AGGGGTAAGTCAGGTAAATATAATACGCCCCCGAAACTCTAGGTATTAGGGGAGGCGTAATAAGTTAAGTAATTATAAAAGCTTCTATTCCTAAATTTCCTATACAAAGTCTATTACCTTTTTAAGTGGGTTCTCGCCTGTTTCTTGGGTGATTTATTAGCGAATAGTGTAAATATAGGATAGTTAATACATAGAGTATTCTTTAAATAGCCTTCTTGTATTAGCCTTCTAACTAGTGGAAAGTTATGCTTAGACCTTGACATTCCCCATGGGACTAGCGAAAATCTAGTCCCATGGGAATTCCTACAGAGGTCTAGTCTCGTGGACCCACTCCCATGGGACTAAAAAAATTTCCTATCTATACATTATTTTCATAATAATAATGGATAAATTGCTGAGTTGTCATAATAAAATACGGTAATTTAAAGATGTTTTAGCGAGTATTAAGACTAACAAATATTTATTACATTTGATATATTTCGACTATAGTTTTGTGATTTTTTAGTATATCTTTAATTTAGAAAAAGCTACTATAAATAAAATACCGTTCGGAACCGCCAAGAAATGCATTATTTATATAAGTCACGAGATAGCTAATGTTTGCATTGTTTACAGCCCCATGGGAAATGTCAAGGTCTAGTTATGCTAGCTAAATATCCATAAAGGTCGGTTAATTTACACCGCCCCTTTAGTAGATAACTAGGGACTTTATCATATTATATAGAATGGGGGGGGAAACTAACCTTTAAACCGAAACATTATTAAATAATAGTCACTTAAAGGGATAAATCAGTAATACAATATATCTAAATTAGGAAAGGTCGACGTTTTTTACGCAAATAAGGGCGGAGGGCTAGGCGAAGGTAGGTATATCCGGCCCTCTAGATATTCTTAACAGGGAATAGTAATATATTATAAATAAGGGCTTAATTATATTGTAGAGGTCTTGAAGTATTTCTAGGTACTATTTTCGAGTTATAATTAGACTTTTGTATAACCTAAGTAAGGTGGAAGGTTCCGACCTAAAACCTAACCTAGATCTAGTACTAGAGCCCTAGGAAACCTAATTTAGATCTAACTCGACCTAATTTTTACGTAATTTTGATTAACGTATTTTATATACGAGCCGGCTATACAAGCGAGCCGGCCACTAACCCACGGTCTATTAGATTTAAATGCTTTATTATATTAAAACGCTATTAACTTGAGGCATGAACCTGATGAAACCTATCTATATATGTATATATATATTGCTTTTATATACCCTTACGTCCTAGATAAGCGATATTTTGGTAAGGCCTTTCCTTATTCGAGGCTACAAGAGCCGTAAAATTTGCCTATGAACTTAGGCTATGTAGGCTACTTAGGACTTAATCAGCTCTGGTTGTAGCTTACGAACCTCTTAAATAGAGATAATACTTTCATGAGCTATCTACCTAGTAGCTTAATTACTTTTGCCCTTCTTCTCGTTTTCGCTGTATATGTCGCTTATTTTTCCCTCGAGAATAGATACTAATTATATTGTAGTTTAGTAGGATTTTACAAATTCGTTTATCGCTAAATTGAATAGACTTAGGGGACTTCTCGAGTGCTACTTTATTAAATCTTTAATCGAGAGGGAGTCTAATCTATTGATATAATAAATGTTAATCTATATTATCTATTTTGTGGTATCAAAACGTCCTTACTACTAGCTTATCCAGTTCAAAATATCGAGAGGCTGTAATAGATAAGATCAGTATAGAGGTAAACAAATTGCAATAATATTATTTTTTTCGCAAATTTTATCAAACTCTAGGGAAAATTACTTCTATAGCTATCGAATATTAAAGATCTATACTTCTTTTCTATATGCGAAGGAATAGATAGAATAAAGAGTTTTTCGAGCTACGAACATCTAATTTAATCGGAAGTCTAACTATTCGGACTAGTATTGGGTCTCTAATTGGCCGGAAAGTTATCGAACCAAGATTCGACAAAGAGTTTGCCTTTACAGATCACGTATAGAGGAAACGTCTACCCTGAATATTTATATATTTAATTGCTATAGCCTACTCGCGATTTGTAGGTAAAAAATACTCGCCGACTATAGAATTTACTTCCTATAATCACTCTGCGGTCATAGTCGAGCCTATCACGAAATTAGTCTCATCAAAATTATAGATATCATTACGGCCGTTACTATATTAAATAATAGTCTTTCATACAAGAGATAACCAATCTCCAATAATCCTAAGTAGACATCGCCAGAGCCCAACCCAAACTAGGCTGTGTGCTTTGCTTATAGGCTCTAAACAATGCAAACAGAGAAGAGACTCGTGACTACATAAAATATGCAATTTTTTCCTGTATTTTTAGATATTTTCTTTATTAGGTATTTCCTTTATGTAACTCTCAATTTTCTTTGACGGAAGCCTTGATTCAGATATGTTAAATTAGTAGCCTGTCGGTTCTAAACGTACGTCGGAAAGTAAAGTGAACAAAATTTCTTAAGACTAACTTTAACCACTCTATGTTAAATATATATTTCTGCAACTACTATTTTTATTTCTATAAATATCCTATAACTAGTGATAGCGCTACCCTATGATTGTTTTACTCTTATATCTAGTAATTAAATTACCACTAAAACTATTATATTAGGATACAATTAAATTTCTCTTAATTTCAGGGTATTGTGTTACGGACTCCATGGACACATGTATCACACCAGTATCGACTCCTGTGAACTACCAGGTCCCGCTTCTTGCCAGTGCATCCCTGTAGAGTCGTCAGCGCCAACTCACCGCCTCTTTGAATCATGTTAAATAAGTCGTTCTTGGTGAACCTGGAAGTTCCCCAAGAATCAGTCTCTGTACACCTTGCAATACCACTTGTTCTGAGACATCTTTGATCTAACCTAGTTGACAGGCTCTATCCTGTAAACACTAGACCTCCCTCTTACAATTCTGATTCTTTCACAAATTGATGGGGCGTGGCGACCGAATATGACGGTACGACATACCACCACTGGCGTTTATACGGCGGGAGGTCGACGTGCTTATCGCGCACCGTTGTCATGGATAGGAGGATAGGGCTCCCTTCGAGGCGGGGGTCGCGGTCGATAGCTAGGCAGTGCCTTGTGAAGGTACGCGTGGTCCCTCGGGAATTAGTAGCGGTGATCGGAACCTCCCACACTCTATACGTAGGTGTTAGTTCCTTGTTGATTGCAGAAATGATAACGCTTATTAGTGGTACGCCCTTAAACCTATATTCCTAAGCGAACTAATAGCTAACTAGGTTAATTTCGGCTCCGCTATCGAGGTCTATATACGTTTCGACGTTATTCGGAATTGTGATTAGGATATAGAGGCGAGTGGCCGTTTTGAGTTGTTCGGAACTTGTTCCTAAGGGGTCGACGTGTCAATCGTTACGCCGACCCTTTGGCTTTTCCCGACTATATCGAGACTAATTGAATCTTAGATAACTTTCGGGGGTATTCGTTTCTCCAGTGGTCGATTGATCCATATCGGAAATAGCCGACCCTTCCGGGTAGTGTTGTGCTGTCGTCTCCCCGTCGATTTAGCAGATACGCGGTAGCTTCTCGCCGGTTTAAATATGAAATTGTATTAGGATTTCGGTTGTGACTCCTCCCACGGAAGCCCCCTCTATTCCACCCTTGGCCCCTCTGAAAGTTAGAGGGTGGTCTATCGGGGTTAATCCACTTGAAAGGTCCCTGCTGGTCTGGAGAGTGATTTATTTTTAGGTAAGTTTTCGCGCGAAATTGATAGCTACGCAGTCGACCTTAAAGTGTTGTATGCGAGAGTATCAAGTACAAACTAGTAGTATAATAGGTAGTTAAAGAAGAGAGATCTAATTACTTAACGCGTTTTGGGTAGACCTCAACATTTCCTATAGGAGTAAAAAAAACTGGGTCCCGCCATAGGAATTCCCATAGATGTCTAGTCCCGTGGACCCACTTCCATGGGAAATGTCAAGGTCTACTAACCACTCGACCGGGAAAAACGTCACTTAAGGATCGCGGAACTAAGCCTATAATTACGATCGGCCAAAATTTTTTTTTTTTTGTCAAACGGTGTTAAGATTCATGGCGCATCCAGGCTAGATTAGATACCTGACACATCAGACATGAATCTAGTGATCAGCATTAGACCTATCAAATAGAGTATAGATCAGAAGAGTTCTCATTTATATTACGATTATCGGCGAGCTTAGTGTAAGGACGTCAAGCTAATCTCTACGTGGTTTGACTTCTAAGATTTATGATAGCAAACTACTACCGGGTATTCTTGATAACGTTATCTATAATTTTGACAGAATTTCCTTTGCCGTTGGACTTACGACTACCGCGAAAATTGTGACATGGACTTCCTACGGTCGGCGAGCTCTCTTATATTTATAACCTAGAAATCGGTGATAGATAACGGTCATTAAGGCTATAGACGCATTAGGTAAGGTACTACCTCAGTGCGTTATTGTTTAAAGGTAAGATCTTATAGAGGCCGAGTTCGCCGATTGTTTAAACCACTGTAAGAGCTCAGCAATCGGAACGCGGACCAAAAAGGCCACTTATGATTGCCGTCAGACAATCCAGGCAATCATGCTCTTACACTGTTTTACTAACTACCAGTCAAATCCGGGTTATAAATATGACTACATTCGCGGAGTCAGATGTGAAGGCGATATACAGTACCCAATGGAACTAGTATAGAAGTTGTTTGATATACCGTATTGATGTTACGTTATAATATAGCCAGCTGCGGGTTATAGAAAGCATTATTGAAAAGCAGCTAAGGACAGAGAGTCTGTCATGCATATGGCATTTCATCGGGCCATATAAGATACACGACGACGGGGCACACCTAGGCCAAGAGAAACAGTCAAATTACAATACAAGGACAGAGATACCACGAATAATCACAAAAGCCCCAGTGAACAAGACTCATACGCACCAGACATGGTGCTCTGCCCAACAAGTAGCCCTTAGCCCCAAATAAACTTCACCCAAGCAGATTGAGGAACATAGTTACACGCTCATAGTCGACATCTGAGCCGGGTGGCCCGGATTTAGGAACACCTGTAGCCGGTCCAACAATAGCTTCCAAATCAATCCTAGTCATGCCAGGATGGAGTTGAACATCATATGCAAGTGTGTTCACATCACCAGAGGAGTGAAGTCGCTGCAGACCCACGAGTGCGACTATCTTCACCTGCCGCTGGGAAGTACTGGCCGCTAAGCGAGGCCTGACCGTTAGTAAACTGTGTGACGCAGGAAGGTTGACAGTGATATTCTGCTGCGAAATCTGCGAAGAGGGCGGTACATCTAAACAGAAATCATGCTGCAATGAGAGGGAGGTGTGCGTGGCGATTTGAACATTTCGAATCAAAGAAGTGCTTGCGTCTAGACCACTATTAGTCAAAACCAAACCATTTACCGCGGGACCCAAACCTTGACCTGGCCGTCTCAAGAATGAATCCGTAGGGGATGTGCCAAGAGGTTGTTGAAGGGGCACACGACCTAAGACGAGGTTAGTATAGTAGAAGGAGAAGCAGAGCAAAGCCCGCGGTTCTGCAAGATAGCCAAGGTAGCCAATAAGAACGAATTACCTGAGCCTGAAGAATACTGAGGAATTTCTGTTGCAGAAGCGTCGGCAAATGAGCCTGGAAAGACCTGTGAAGTGCCAGTCTCATTTTTGATCGAATTGAACATATCTCGTCCACCCGCCAAGCCCTGGTGCTGTTCCGAGCCAGCTGGAGTGTTTGCTCCACTCGATTCTGGGCTCTCAACATTTCTTCGAAAAGACCTTGTCCGAGACATGTTGACTTCTTCACCTGTAGATTCAGTCCTGACATGGTCTCGTTGGCGTTTCAGCGATTCATCGTTGACCGCGACACTGGATGTTTGATGAATGTCTTTGGATGCAATATCGGAACCCTGCGCAGAAAGTTTCAAAGATAACCTCTGTGCCGTTGGTTCTGGCATCACTTTGCCCATCTTCAATTTGATGCGAGGCAATTCGGAATTTCCATCCACCTGCGATTGGTCCGGTACAAGCCTTTTGGCCTCCGCAACCCGTTCTTTGAAATGACGCTACCCAAGTGTTAGAGAAAAGGAGTAAGCAATACGTGGTAGACTTGCCTCTAGAATCCCTGCCAAAACAGAGATGTCGCTATCATCCTCATTGTACTCCCTTGCATTTCGCCATATACAGCTGACTTCCTCCTCAAAGGATTTCCAAGTAGGATATGCCGTTATTCTTGTCGAATTCTTTCTGCTGTCTGTCCCCCGGACTTTCTTCTGAATGCTCCTGAGAGAGACGGGATGCTGAATTATCGCATAATAATCCTTATAGAGATTTCGATCTGGCTTTCCAATAAAAGGATAGGATACATCTTCGCCACTAGTTCAGGATATCAGCCTCGGCAAACATATCGGATGACGGATTGTGCTTTACTCAGAGTCCTTCAGCCGGGCTAACTCTGACATAATCTTGTCCTGCGCAGTTTGAAGGGTATCGCCCTCGAAACCAAACTCGGACTCGGCCTGCGATCCGGGGGTTTCATCCTCGTCAGATGCTGGATCCGAATCCAAATGCGACAGCGCACGGTTAGTGTGTTCAGCACCGGTCAAATTATCATCCTGTTATATCCCAGATAGCCCTGATTAGCAATCCAAACACACGAGGCAAGGGGGTTGAATAAGTGCGCGCTGTCAATAGCAATATGATAGCCCACGTATACAGTACTTAGGTACTTCCAATCCATTTTGCTATATTGCGCGTGTATCACATTTGCCAACCAATACTTGATGGCATGGTAAGGCAAGCACTTACAGATATCTTTCGACGCTTTGATACGCGCCTCACATCTGGTGAAGCTGCGGTAGCTGATCGCCGTTTGGAGCTCATCTCGGATTACTTATGATAGTGTTGTGAGTGGTAATGTGTCACACACTGAGCATTAAAATGGAGAAGAGAATCAAAGACACGCTTATGAGAAAGTTACAAGGAGAGATATGATACAAGGGGAGTTATTGACATAGATTCCTCGACCTGGTGTGCAGACGCGTCTGATGCGATCACCCGGCTTAGTAAGGTGGTATCCAGTAATACGCAGTAGTATTTACTGGTATTGATATGTGTTGATTTGTATTTGAGCGTATTTAAGTATATTTGAACCAGCATATCAAATAAAATTAGAAATTGGAACAGACATATTTCTCTACAGAAATTAATTCTTGAAAATATCGTCGACTAGAACTGATCCGAACATAAACAGATCCGATATATGATCACGTGACGTGGTCACATACCATGATCACGTGCCATGCGGGACATGACACCTCAGGCACCAAATTGTTTTCCCCCACTATTTTCCCAAGTCCCGCAAAACAGTCCGGTGCTTGTTCGACACGCCTTCTTCTCTCCGCATCCTTCTCATTTACCCCCTGGGCCCCCTTACTGCCGCTTTGCCCACCCTCTCAAGCTCTCCAAAATCCAGCCGCTACATGCGAGCATTATCCAAACTGTAAGTGACTGATCCAAGCCCTCCATATGGTAGCTTAACGGTATACCGATGATGCATATAGCTGATCGTATCCAGTCACCCAATTTCAATCTGATACACCATACATCTTTCCCAATGGATATCGACCCAGCTAGACGCAACAAGAAGCCGCGTCTCCTCTTGGAGTCCGAGCGCGAGAAACTAGATGAGTTTGTGGACTCAATTCATTATTCGGCCAGGCAAGCATATTGTCAACTGCAGATGGAGTAATCCACATTAACCCTGCAATATAGGTACAATGACGACAAATTTGAATACCGCCATGTCCAGCTTCCGAAGAACATGCTTAAGAAAATTCCTACGGACTACTTTGATAGCTCCAAGGGGACATTGAAATTGCTTTGGGAGGAGGAATGGCGCGCATTGGGTATCACACAGGTAGGTTAGATATGGCCAGTGGAGGTGTGTGAGGGCTAACTTGATGCGCCTAGAGCTTGGGATGGGAGCATTACGAGGTGCATGAGCCAGAGCCTCATATCTTATTGTTCAAGTTGGTACTGTCCAGTTATGCCTCTGAGCCTCTCGCTGACCCGTTGATAGACGCCCCCTCAATTATCAACCTCCTCTTCAACAATAAATTACTGGTTGCTGGCGTTACCCAAGACATTTGAAAAACTTGAGAAGACATAAACCTGTGGTCGATTATGGTATGGAAATGCATTCGCAGTATGCTTACTATGGTCCAAAAAAGCTTCGTAATCGAAGTTCTGGAATGAGACAACGTTTCATTTTCTCCTTTCCTTTTTTTTGGAACGCTAGATCTTGGTCTTCTATGCTATCCACTAAGTACCAGCCCTATTTCTTACCACAGACGCCATTGCCCTTCCAGCGCCCTCTCAAATCACGTTTTTGGCCAGCCATTCTTCCCACTGGGTAGCGGTGAAACTGCTACTGATGCCACGTTCCTCTACTCCCTGGTCCTGGTGTCAGCACATTGAACATAATCATTTTGTTGAGCGGCCTTACATTGAAGAAAATGGTGGGTGAAACATGGGCTCCCACTACGCGATCCGCCTTTGTGGTGTTAGAGAAAAAAACCAGTTATCCCAGTTGGCAACGAGACAGATGCTTACTTTGACCATCCACTTGATATCGTTGGTCACTTGGTTGCCAACGTTCAATTGCCCATCGTCACCGGGTGTTTCGCTAATGGTTAGCAAATCAAGTACTTTCTTCTCGTCTATCCCCACGGTGCTTGCAATTTGTGCCAGTCGCTCGTATGTTTTGTTGCGCGTTTCATTGACCACGCTGATATCGAAGAAATCGGCTTGGTGCTTGAACAGTGCAGCACTAAAATCCCAGAATTTCTCAGGGGCAACCCTGAGGATGGCTGCACCGGCCTCGTGAGTCAACGTGGACGATGGGTGCCACGGCTGTATATGCTGCCGAAATATAATTCGGAGGCGAGAACCATAGCGCTCAGCGATGATTGGTCTCAGCGTGTAGAACGTATTGAACATCTTGGCCGAGAACTAGAGTAACATCAGTGAAGGTAACCTCAAACCATTTGCGTGGTTTACTGACAGGACAGACATAGTCAAGATCTACATGTTGGTAGTTAGCTGGGATACCTGTAATTAAGGCTGAGAGGACATACACATTTCAAGAGTATGGGGCGTCTCTTGAGATGCACCAGGTAGCTTGAGCCCAGCAAACTTAGGAGGCACAGACATGATGTCAAATAAGCAATGAGATGGATGAAGAGGGAAGACATTAGGAATGAGGGGCTGCCGATTATAAATCCCCACACGTCATCCATCGACATTGTGATGTTAGATATTTGCCTTGATTTCGTCATTTATGTACATGGTATCCTGGACACTATCTTCGACACGAGACGCTTTGAGCACTGAGCTTCCATGCTTTGGCGTCCCTTCGATACATGTCGTTTAACTTCCAAGTGCGCGCTGCCTCCTCATATTCAGATCCTTTAGTGTCATCTCCACTGCTCGCCATTCCCGTTTGGCTGGATCATACTCGCCTCGCACCTCAAATCTACAAAACCCATTGGGTCCTTTTAGCCCAACTGGACCTGCAACAAAGAAAGCACCCCGGCGAGCAGACCCTGGGGTTCGAGACCGCTCATTATTTAGCCGTAAGTTGAATGCCTTTGATGCCAAATGCAAATCCGATCCAGGGCTGAGGTCGGGTAACGGCAACCGCTGTAAAAGAGATATGAGTGATGATGGGTGATAATTGGAATTTTCGGTGTTGGGTGGCATGTTTTCTTTGAGCCCATCGGTTATGGGGGGTTGGATGTTAGATTGTTCCTGTTGACCGTTCCAATTTTTTTTGCCTTGACCAGGCGTGGCGGATGGGTCATTCAAAAATTCCAATGCGTCTAGCGGTTCTCCCTCGGGTTTCCTTAGGCGATCAAGTTGCCGTAACAACAACACTAGATATGCATCTCTGATTGCAAGTACCATATGAACCGGTTTCATGAAGATTTGTAGCTTGTCACCCACATCAGGGTCCATTGGCTTAGTGACCCACGACACACTGTTGTCTGTGATCTCAAGTCTGACTACCATCAGTGACTGAGCAATTCGTCAAGTGTTGCATATACATACCCTGACCGGACATATCCTGGAGGAGCACGGTTTGGAAACTGATGAACAAGCCAGAACCCTGTAATGGAGAGCGGTCCCCCAAGTACTTGCGACATCTGACTTTCTGCACCCTCTAGGACAATCGTCGCGAGTTCATCTAGAACTGTAAGCCAATGGAAATGATGTAACCGAGGCACATTCCTAACCTCTGAGTTTCTGAAGCTTCTTTCTATCCTTGGATATATTGACAAACGTTTGCCATTCTGGATCAGATGTACTGTATAGATCACCTGTTTGTAATCTGGACCAGGCGAGCGGTATGAATAGCGCGTCCTCATCTTCAACTTCTTTTCCGCTTTGATTGCCACTTCCTCGGGAGGTGTGGCGCGAAGTATCCTCTGTCGGTACAGAAACAGAGGCTGAGTCTGTATCGTCGGTATCATCGTCGAATCGGACTAGCACGAACGTGCTCCATAAATGGAATGCGGTGCCATAAAGCAGACACTTTGAGATAAACGACCTAGGAATTTTCGCATCAGTATGACCCAACGAAATTTGAACCAGTCTCCAGATAAGGACAAGCTGTTACTCACCTGACCCAAGGCCGCCTGAACTTCACATGCTGGACGCTCGGTGATGTTAAGAAGTTGGGATGGCCATGACGAGATCGGAAGCGGAAGAAAGACGGACTCGCTTGAGGGGTTCGAAAGAGATACCTGAGCCGGAGCATTGGTAACAGCCAATCCCTAGAAGAATTCTCACTCGAGAATCATCTCAGTCTCAAAAGGAGGAAAAGTTGGATTCCTGATGCGCTGCGAGTTTCCGCGGCGTAGGGATCGGTGGCTTATGTAAACGTTCAGACAGTCACCAGCAGAGGTGCCTAGCTGTGCCAGCTCATGTATACATATATTGTACTTTAATGTACGAGCTGCTTCCAAAGAAAAGAAGATCGAATGTAAGGCATAGTAAAACATATAAATAATAGAAGTACACAACTTTGGACTCAAGTATTATTGACGTACGACCACGTGATATCTTATCGGAGGGCCAGTCTTCCACCAGCTAACGGGGCTTCTATCCTCGTCCTCTTTCGCCTACGGTTATACAACAAAGGCGAATCAATTTTTTGAGAGGAATTTATTGATGTGGCTATCGCCACGCCTGCCACAATAGTCATCTTTACCCTCAAACCTCCTGACTCTCCTCAATATGCGTTGGCTGTCTACCTTCCTTGCCCTGGCAGTAACAGGTGCATTGCAGGTGAATGCGCTGGAAGCTTCAATTTTCGGTCTCCCCTCGCGGCCCTCAGAATTCAACAATGCCAACACCAAGCAACAAACACTGACTGAAGAAGAGGCTCAACTTGTCTTGGAGCTCCGCATGAAGTCGTCTGTCGCATCAGTCCTTGGAATGGTTGATACAGAAACCGTGGATCACTTGAATCAATTTGCTAAAGCTGATTATACTCTATTTGGAGGTGCTAGCGACGATGAGACCCCCGGAAGAAGTGTAATCATCTTAGAGGGGGTCGATGAACGAGTTGGTAAGTGTCCAAATGGGAAGTTGACACACATGAAGATCAGTAGCTAAACTCATTTTTCTGTCTCTTCAGCCACCAATCTGCGAAAAGTTCACCCAAACCATGTCCTCGTCCCTGAAATATCCTCAACGTTCGTGGGGGATGAATTGATGGTATCATTTATCGAAAGCACATCCAGCGTGACTAGGGACCGTGGCCAATACTGCACATACTACGACAATGATGCTAGCGAATCTACATCAACTAAATCTCAGGTAGTCCAGTCGCTATCAAAAATTCTATGACCCCCTGCTAATTTTGGAAATCCGTCCCGCCAGGCCGCTAAAGACTGCCTGTCCAAGGATCCTATACTTGCCCGCGGCTCCGGACTTTTTGACCAGGAAGTCCTTGGACTTGTTAACTCTGTGGAAACTTGGACTAGTAAGAGTCAAGAAAACTCAGCGTTGAAGCTTTCTTTCAAGGTAGTTTGTCTCTCCAAACCACTGAGAGCGCAAATTCTAAACATATGAAATACAGACCGCTTTCGATGAATCGCTTCTTGTGACTAAAGCTCTGGAGTCGTTGGTTCTCCAACTAGCTCAGATTTCGACCAGCGAGCGCGAAATCACAGCTGTCATTCTACCTCCCGGCCTTCATTCAAAACCACTTGGTCGCCAGGATATGGACCAGCATTCTGGATCCACAGCAAAGCAGGATGCGTTCAAGCGGTCTACGCAACCGTTACAGTCAACCCTGGCGCCTGTCTGTCACGCTTCAAATTCGTCATGCGCCGAAGCCACCAACAATTGCTCTGGACACGGCTCCTGTTACTTGAAGTCTGGCTCGGGTGTGGAAGGAACCAGTGGCAACTGTTATGCATGCCAATGTCAACAAAGTATCATAAGGAACAGTGATGGTACTACCAAAACATTGCAGTGGGGTGGCTCGGCTTGCCAAAAAAGAGATATCAGCTCACCGTTCTTCCTTGTCGCGAGTGTCAGTCTTCTAGTCATTGTGCTGGTCGGCAGCGCTATTGGAATGCTCTTCAGTATGGGCTCACAGGAGTTGCCCAGCGTGATTAGCGCTGGTGTAGGGGCCCCCAAGACACAGATGTGAGAACTCTGAAACATGAATGCCCTGGAGCTTTCGTTTCCAAGGCTAGTGCGTTGTATTATGTGTGCTATTTCCCCAAATTCAAGCCAGATTTGTCTTGGTTTCAGCTAGTTCAAGTATAAACCTATATATCTCAATGGCGCATCTGTTAAATTAGCTTAGATATTGCTTAGCTCAGAGAGATCGAAGAACTTTTAAACGGAGGGAAACTAGTTGAGCCACCAAGAGAAGCTTGGCCGTGCGACACGCGAGTCGAATCCATCTCCACCAAGCTCGTAAACTTTGCCGCTGTCCATCTGAGTACAATCTACACATTTATTGCGTAATTCGAGAGAAGATTGCAACATTGCATCTGGAACACTTCTTGTATGGACCAAGATTCTACACAAGAGTAGTAAATGTTGATAGTGCTACGTACAAGTGTTATCGTAGGAAGGAATATGTCGAGAGGTAAAGCGAAACAAACATTGAATATCCGGACACAAAAAAATCACGAGAAGAGTACGCCCCAGTCCTAGTGCCCCGCCAGAAGATAAATTACACATATCATGTCATAAACAGTGAAAGCCCCAGCCAACATTCCAGATGTGGTTCCAGCATAAAATAAAATAAAAACACAAAAAGGGTACTTCGCGCATGAATTGGGTGTGAACTATTAAAAAACCCAAGGGGGCTAGATAGATATCAGGTGGTACCGGCTTCCAGTTGGCCAGGTGTACGCCGATCCGAGGATCTAGGCTCATGAGAGGAGGATTCAACATCAGGTGGTAGTTGAGTGTCTCTAGAAGAGGAGAAGCGGGAGGAAAGTTGTCGGAGACGAGTTGGGAGAAACCGCGGCCAGGAAGACTGATTTGGATCTTCTGATCCCGGGAGCTCATCGCGACTGCGCTGCTGACGTGGTTCTCGGCGCGGTGATATCTCTCGTTCGTGAGAGCTCGTTTGGAACATTCGACCCGGGAAGATCATATGTACCCGGAGCCCATTTTCCCGACTTCGATTGCGGGCAGCCCGAGGAGGTCTGAGAATTGCATCAGCGCGAATGGAGGCGATACGATGTCCGTGTCGATCAGTGCCGGACTGTGTCTCTGTTTGTGTGCGGGGCTTAGGGACATAGTAATCGGCCTTGCACAGAGGACAACAAGCTCTTCTACTCGTCAACCAAGGATCAACACACGAGGCATGGAAAGCATGTCCGCATGTGAGTCCCCGAATGTCATCATCGTCCTCAATGATGTCCAGGCAAATGGCGCAAGAATCGCCAGGGTTGGGTAAAAGATCAGTAGGAACGGCGTTCTGGATATGATCGCCATCATCTTCGTCTTCCATGTCCATGTGAACGCTGTCGTTGGCTAGAGTACGCTCTTCTTCGTTTGTACCAGTGCCCTGATCAGTCAAAGACATTCTTGATACCGTGGGTGTCTTTTCGTCGGCAGACTGTGCTGGGCTACCAACATACAGATCATGGGAAATCGTTTGTGATGTGTTGGAATTGGGACGCTCATTGACCTTGGATGGCGATACTGCGGCTGTGGGAATACCGGCTGTTGTTGTAAAAATCTCATTGCCGTCTTTGAGACTCTGAGGCCTGCTGTTGGGAGCTGTTATGCCTCCTTCAGTCGAAAGACCTTGGTTTGCGCGAGATGACCTCCACACTTTGTATTTGACCAATGGAAATCGTTCGTTCACCTCGTCCATCGTCATCAGCTTTTTCTCCCTCCTTCGGCGATGAGCCCGAGGCATTGCGGTTAAATCTATAGGTTCACCGGTTTCTTCACTGCGTAGCTGACGGTTTCGTTGGTTGTATCGAAAGCAGTACTTGACGCCAACGATGATCCTACAATCAAAGTCAGATTCCAGAAGACACAGAGAGCTTAGGCAAGGGGGAAAGTGGAAGTAACATACCATAGGTTTGTGAAGACGACGCCGAAGCCGAGAGCGACAAAGAACAGCAAAGGTGAGCTTGTAGCATTGTTTGACCCCGAAGCCTCCCCGTTATTGCCAGCAGTGGTAGTCGCTGCGCTGACCGAAGCTGTTGTCGTTGTCGCAGACATTTTGATAAGCGATAAGGAGAATCACACGACCTGGATCGAGTTAATCCACTGGAGTCAGCCCCCAAGTCAATCCTTCATGCCTCGTATCAGATGGCGCTGTGACCCGGCTTCTTGTCTTGTCTTGTTTTTGATTTTTCTGCGCCAATACTCAGGAGTATCAATCTTGAAATATAGGTATGGGATCAGATTTGAAGTGTTACCATGAGCGTACTTGGTAACTAAAATTGAAGATAGCCCATGGAAGATCGACCGTAAGCAATACCCACAGAACTTCCCGGGAGGAGAAAGTGAATGCCTTCAATAACATATCACCCTAAAATAAACCCCTAAAGGCGAGAGAGATGAAGAGGGAATGGCGAGAGGAGAAGCTCGTAATGGATGCATGCGGCCGGGGATGAGATTGGGTCACGGGACTGCTTTGTTGCCGGTACCTCTGGACACTATGGCGGCAGCACTGTTTCAAATGTACCAATACATAAAGCTGTAAAAGGGGATGAGACTGTGAGGCAAGGCAACTGAATCCCTCCTTCGAATACCCTCAAATTATTGACCATTGTACTCCCCAACTCCTTTCTTCATCCCTACCTTCGCCATGGAATCAAATCCAGTGGTTTTCTTTGATATTGCCCTTGGGGGTAAGCTGCCCCTTCTTTCTCTTGGTCCTTGATACTCACATATTCTAGGCGAATCCCTTGGGCGAGTGAAAATGGAATTGTTCGCAAATGTCACCCCGCGAACAGCAGAGAATTTCCGCCAGTTTTGCACGGGGGAAAGCAAGACCCCCAAGGGACAACCCCAAGGCTACAAGGGAAGCAAATTCCACCGAGTGGTATGTATTGAAAGGCCTGTTTCATAGACACCAAACTAAATCTTATAGATCAAAGACTTCATGATCCAAGGTGGGGATTTCATCAATGGCGATGGAACTGGATCCTGTACCATCTACGGCACCTCGAAGTTCGCTGATGAAAACTTCACACTCACCCATGACCGAGCTGGTCTGTTAAGCATGGCAGTAAGTCTAATATCCCGGCTTTCTCCAGAGTGTTTACTGAAAACAGTAGAATTCGGGCCCCAACACCAATGGCTGCCAGTTTTTTATCACAACTACAACCACACCTTTCTTGAACAACAAGCATGTGGTGTTTGGCCAAGTGATTGACGGGATGGAGATTGTTCATATGATTGAAAACACTCGTACGAGCAAGGAAAAGCCTAACCAGGATGTAACGATTGTGCAATGCGGAGAGATGTAAGACAAACGGAAACAAGAAAAATCATGTTGATGCTACAACACAGCTGTGTACTATTAACTTGCAATTGGAACGACGGCTAGAATCAGGGCGCAGGTATAGAACTGTTTGAAAGAATCATGAAAAGACATCAATTTCCGGTGCTAGTAAGTAGACTTTTCGACATTTCATAATTTGCACCCCTCCCCCCTTCTCATACAACTTAGAACTAGAGCTTGAACTTGCTCAGATAATCCGAAGCCAGTGAAATAGCTTCCTCAACCTTGTCAGAGTTTGTACCGTTTCCAATAGAAGTAGGACCCTTTCCACCAGCCTTTCCTCCCACGGCACCAGAGACAACGGCCGCCCAGTCGCTTGCCGAAGCACCTTGGGTGCTCAGTTCCTGATTCCAAATTAGTATGAACCAAATAGTAAGATTTTTTCGCGAGATATATCGGTTGTTACTACTCACCTGGGAAATATAACAGCCGTGCGAGACCCGACCTTGCTCAGAGTCTGCCGCCAAAAGATAAACACTCTTCCCTTGCAGTTTCGACTTGACATGGTTGAGAGACTCGCTCACAGCCTTTGCGTTGGCCGAAATTGGAAGCTGGACGACGAGCCACGACTTGTCTTTGTTTTCTGGGGCTTCAAAGTAGGAAGTGATGGTGTCAACTGCCTTCTTAGACTCCAGCTTTTGTTGGGCCTTTTGGCCATCAAGAACCTGCTTATTGATCTTGGCAAAGCGCTCTCTGAACTTGGCCTTCTCCACGGCGGAAATTGTAAGTTGGTTGAGGTCGACCTGAACCTGCTTGGCCTCCCGCTCCTTCTCGGCACCCAGTGGCAATGCGTTCAACCGTTCAAGGCGCTTTCCAAAGTCCTGGGCAACTCGCTGCACCTCATGGGCCTCTTCTCCAGTGACGGCAATAATTCGGCGAATGCCCTTGGCGATACCGCTTTCTTCCAGAATGATCAAATCCTTGATATCACCCGTTTTCTGAACATGGGTTCCACCACAGAATTCAATGCTGACTTCCTGCCAGCGAGGATCCTTGACGTTCTGTAGAATTTCTTCCAATTCCACACCAACAGAGACAACACGAACAGGATCGGGGTAGGTCTCGCCGAACACGGCTCTGACACCGGAGATTTCCTGGGCAGTGGCGAGAGGGACTTCTTTGGAGTAGACAGAGCAATTCTGTCGAATGTATTCAGTCGCCTTTGCCTCAATTTTCTCAAGCTCGACGTCGGAAATTGCGCTCTTGTGAGAGAAGTCGAAGCGAAGCTTTTCAGCGGCCACAAGGGAGCCCTTCTGGTCCACGCCGTCGCCTAGAATCTCCTTCAAAGCAAAGTTCAGAATATGGGTGCCGGTGTGGTTGTTTCGGATGGGCCAGCGTCTGAGCTCATCGTATTCGCAAATAACAGAATCGCCAACGGCGAATGATCCGTATTTCATAAAGCCAGTGTGGAGAACATATCCGGCATAGGACTGCACATCACCAACCTCAAGCTCCGCTTGTCCATCAATGATGATTTTACCAGTGTCATTTTCCTGGCCGCCCTGCTCGGCGTAGAAATTTGTGCAATCGAGAATAACACCAAGCTGCGCGCCCTCCGGGACACTGTCAGTGTTGTCAAAGAAACCTTTGGCATGGTAGATGGCCTTGACATGAGCAGTAATATTGCCTCGGCCAAATTTGGCAGAGTCATCAGTCTTTGAGACGTCATTCATCTTATCCAGCTTTCCTAGATCGTGGACATCGAGCTTGACGGTGGTTTCGGCCGCCTTCTTTTGGCCCTTGCTAGCCTCCTTGGCCTTCAAGCGGGCTTGTTCAAACTCGACATCATCGATACAAAGGCTACGCTCCTCGGCCATGATCCGAGTCAGGTCAACAGGGAATCCGAAGGTATCATACAGTCGCCAAACATCGGCACCATGGAGTTTGTCGGTGCCCTTGACCTTGGCCTGCTGGGCATATTGTTCAAATTGACGCTCACCCCGGTCCAAGGTTTTGGCAAATGACAACTCTTCTTCGTCCAGAATTTCAATGACATCCTGTTGCTTACGCTTGAGTTCAGGGAACATATCACCCAACTGATCCACAACGGTCGGAACCAGCTTGGCAAAGAAGTTCCCAATGTCAACCTGGAAGTACTTGCGGGCATAACGAGCTCCGCGACGCAGTACACGACGAATGACATAGCCACGACCCTCGTTGTTGGGGATAACACCATCCGAGATGGCAAACATCAAGGTTCGCACGTGGTCAGCAACAACACGGTAGGCAGTGTCAATACCGTCAGCGTCGTCAGCGCCAAAGTTGCCGCGGTATTCGCGGGCTCCGGTGACAGTTTGAATGGCCTGGAAGATGGGAGTGAAAACATCTGTATCATAGTTGGAAGATTTGTCCTGGAGAATCGACACCAGTCTTTCGAATCCCATTCCAGTGTCAACGTGTTTGTTGGGAAGAGATCGCAGGGAACTGTCAGCCTCGCGGTTGTACTGGATAAACACGTTGTTCCAGATCTCGAGCACATTCGGGTCGTCTTCGTTGACAAGGTGGGCAGCGTTACGTCCGCCGATCCGATCGTAATGGACTTCGCTGCAAGGCCCACAAGGGCCTTGATCACCCATTTCCCAGAAGTTGTCTTTCATATCGCCTGGAAGAATGTGGGATTCGGGAACACCAACGGATTTCCACAAATCTTTGGCCTCAAGATCGGGTTCCAATCCACCCGCTTCATTGCCCTCAAAGTAAGTGACATAGAGACGATCGGGGTCCAGTCCGTAGACCTTGGTGAGAAGAGTCCAGGAGTATGTGATTGCTTCTTTCTTGAAGTAGTCGCCGAAACTCCAGTTGCCGAGCATTTCGAAGAAGGTCTAGAGCTTTGCGTCAGACGTTTTCTTGTGTCGATCTGGTATTCTTGAAACTTACATGATGGTAGCTGTCCTTGCCCACATCATCCAGATCCTGCGCACGACTAGTCAGTATACTGACGCCCATCTATGAATTGATACAGGGACACGGACATTATGTTTACCACCGGCACGAAGACACTAATGATCAAGATCAGCCATAGCTCCCCATTGTAAGGTTTCAGTTCCCCCGACAAATCTTCAATACCTTTTGCGAGTTGGTGGCGCGCTTCAGCTTTCCAAAGTCCGACGACGGGTCAACAGTTCCCAGGAAGATGGACTTGAACTGGTTCATACCAGCATTGGTGAACAGGAGAGTCGGATCCGACAGAGGAGCGACGGGGGACGAAGGTACTATGTGCCATTTCGAGTCAGTCTATGTGGCGGGGTGGAGGGGCATTGGGAAAAAAGAATCGCGGGGGTCTCCTACCAAAGGTATGACCATTTTGCTTGAAATAATCCAAGAAGGTTTCTCGGACTCGCAAAGCGGTCCATTCAGAACCAACGGAAGTCATTTTGACTGGAGGGTGGTTGGTTGACAAGGAGTGAACAAAACGAGGGTAGAAGGTTCTGGGGTGGTTTCGAAAGATGTGAGTCAAAGCCTCCCCGTTCCTCACCATCCCAGAAACCCGCATTGAGCGCCCTTTTCAAGAATGACCCCCGGGTCTGTGTACTGGGTACCGTGTACACCTTAGATCCGAGGAAGTTGATTTCTCTCCTTTTTTTTTCGATGGAGGAAAGCCGCGGGAAGAAGCGCCCGGCCCAAGGTGATCCCGATGCGCAACCGTTAACAAAGAGGTTCGGATGCTTGCGAATAGGTGGGTTGAAGAACAATTTGCAAGGAGGTTAAAGTTGACACATTCCTAGATAGTTTGCCAATCTCCGCTCGGGCCAAAGGGGAAGAGAGGGAAGATATGATGCTGTTGGATGACACTCAACATACAACCTACATACACAACTTGGACCAAGAACTTGAAGGTGATACTCCCGATGGGCTTATATTCTCGCCCCTTGCTACAAAGTTGCTCTCGGTGCCGACCTCGGTTTTGTCCTCCCAACCATCGGGAAAAGAATTGGTTCTCTACACCGAACCAGCTTCCCTTACAGTCCCCAAGGACAAAGACAATATACGCAAAGCGATACTGGAATCCCGGGCACGAGCCAGAGCAGAGAGCCAGAGCCAGAGTCATACGAGTCCAAATGCGAAAGACGAAGACGTGGACGAGATATGCGATCCTATGGAGATTGATGAAACTTAGCAGACAGCATGTGTGCATCTATAAAAGGATATACGGAGTATACGGAGTCAAATCAGATCTATAAAATTCCAACTTATACATATCCTCGACGGAGTAAATGAGCGAGGAGAAGCCCTCGCACGTGATTCACCGCTCCCGAAAAATTTTCTGGGTTTTTGTGGCTCCGATTAAATATGCACTCGGGTTGTTAAAAAATTTCCTCTTTCCCCCACCATCCCTCTCTTTCCCATTCCTCCCAATTACTATTCCCCTATCTCATAATGGCCGACATTGAGGTCTTCGACGGTGCCGTCGGTATCGATTTGGGTGAGTTTATTACCTCAATTATGCGGACGCACAACTAATTCTTCTTTTTAGGTACCACTTACTCTTGCGTTGCCAACTACGAGGGTACCAATGTCGAGATCAGTACGTTCTTCCTCCCATCGAAATATTCTGCATAAACTGACTTGTGTGATCAGTTGCCAACGACCAGGGTAGCTACACTACCCCCTCCTTCGTCTCTTTCACCGACAAGGAGCGTCTGATTGGTGATGCCGCCAAGAACCAGGCCGCCATGAACCCGGCCAACACCATCTTCGATATCAAGTGAGTTCTTGAAATTTGGCGCCTGTTTTCGATTCATGCGCATTTCCCACAACTCCTTTTTAGGATTTTGGTCTGACTCGGAACAGGCGTTTGATCGGTCGCCGCTACGAGGACCCCATCGTCAAGAAGGATGTTGAGTCCTGGCCCTTCAAGGTCATTGACCAGGGTGGCAACCCCGTTGTCCAGGTCGAGTACCTCAGCGAGACCAAGACCTTCTCCCCCCAGGAGATCTCCTCCATGGTCCTTATGAAGGTAAGGCGAAACTTGCAGTATGTTGATTCAAGAAATAACTTACTAATACACCCCAACAGATGAAGGAGGTTGCCGAGGTCAAGCTCGGCAAGAAGGTCGAGAAGGCCGTCATTACCGTCCCTGCTTACTTCAACGACAACCAGCGTCAGGCCACCAAGGATGCCGGTGCCATCGCTGGTCTCAACGTTCTCCGTATCATCAACGAGCCTACCGCTGCCGCTATCGCCTACGGTCTCGGCTCCGGCAAGTCTGACAAGGAGCGCAACGTCCTCATCTACGATCTCGGTGGTGGTACCTTCGATGTGTCCCTGCTGAACATCCAGGGTGGTGTCTTCACTGTCAAGGCCACCGCCGGTGACACTCACCTTGGTGGTCAGGACTTCGACACCAACCTCCTTGAGCACTTCAAGAAGGAGTTCCAGAAGAAGACCGGCAAGGATCTCTCCGGTGACGCTCGTGCTCTCCGTCGTCTGCGCACTGCTTGCGAGCGTGCTAAGCGTACTCTGTCCAACGCCACCCAGACCACCGTCGAGATTGACTCTCTCTTCGACGGTGAGGACCTCAACTCCTCCATCACCCGTGCCCGTTTCGAGGACCTTAACGCCAAGGCCTTCTCTGGCACCTTGGACCCCGTCCAGCAGGTCCTTAAGGACTCTGGTATCCCCAAGAGCAAGGTCGACGAGATCGTCCTTGTCGGTGGTTCCACCCGTATTCCCCGCATCCAGAAGCTCCTGAGCGACTTCTTCGATGGCAAGAAGCTCGAGAAGGTAAGATCGTATTCCAAACCCTAGTCAATTTATATCTACTGACATGTCTTGTACAGAGCATCAACCCCGACGAGGCTGTTGCCTACGGTGCCGCCGTCCAGGCCGGTATCCTTTCCGGCAAGGCCACCTCCGCTGAGACCCAGGACCTCCTCCTTCTGGACGTTGTTCCCCTCTCTCTCGGTGTCGCCATGGAGGGTAACATCTTCGCCCCCGTTGTCAACCGCGGCCAGACCGTCCCTACCATTAAGAAGCGTACCTTCACCACTGTTGTCGACAACCAGCAGACCGTTCAGTTCCCTGTCTACCAGGGTGAGCGTACCAACTGCGCTGACAACACCTCCCTGGGAGAGTTCACTCTCGCTCCCCTCCCTCCCATGCGCGCCGGTGAGGCTGCTCTCGAGTGTGTCTTCGAGGTTGACGTCAACGGTATCCTGAAGGTCACCGCCACTGAGAAGACCTCCGGCCGCACCGCCAACATCACCATCTCCAACGCTGTCGGCAAGCTCTCCAGCGCTGAGATCGACCAGATGGTTGACGGTATGTTACTTCCATTTCCTATTAATTGTTTGATCCAGTACTGACTAACTTTATTTAGACGCCGCCAAGTTCAAGACCAGCGACGAGGCTTTCACCAAGAAGTTCGAGTCTCGCCAGCAGCTCGAGTCTTACATCTCCCGTGTTGAGGAGATTGTCTCCGACCCCGGCATGTCCATGAAGCTCAAGCGCGGTAACAAGGAGCGCATTGAGTCCGCTCTCAGCGACGCCATGGCCCAGCTCGAGGTTGAGGACTCCACCCCCGAGGACCTCAAGAAGAAGGAGCTCGCTCTCAAGCGCCTGATTACCAAGGCTATGGCCACACGGTAAATGCATCCATGATATACATGGGAAGACATGAACATAGACTTACGGCCAACGAATTTCACTTTCTCCCGGGACCTTACTTCTCAGGGAATCTGCACCATCTAGACCTTGGGCAGAGTTGGTCTCTGTCATGCTTTGTTTAAGCCGGGCAACTTGGGCGCAGTTTTCTTTTCTTGAAAAGTATGATTTGGTTTGTTTTTTTTTTGTAGACGAAGTTCGCCATTTGCAATTTAATGACATTGTGATGAAATCTTCTTGCTTCTTTCTGTAGTCGGTAGACAACGGTGCGTTTCGGGCCAAGGCGGGCGAGGGTGGAGATGCGACTGCACAACTTTTGTGTTCGTGCTTTCACTTTCCAACCATTTTTACAATAATTGCCACCGCCATGCAACGTATTATCTCCCAATCATTTCACTCTGGCTGTCCTCATCTTGCAGTCACACGCCTTTTAAACCCTCGGTCGTGTCTCTTGCCTCGGGTTCAGTGCTCAGTTCCTCTGAACAAGCGAAACTTTGCCAACTGCCCTGCGCTATACAAAAAGAAGGAAAAGGCCAAACAAAGCTCTGCCCCTGAGCCAAAAGAAAGCTCTAGCATCGCTGAAGATCCCTTTGACCTCTCTCAGCTGCATAATGGCATTTCCACGACTGTCGCTCGGCTCAGAGATGATTTGTCCAAACTTCGCACGGGAGGGCGGTTCAATACCGCTATTCTGGAGAACTTGAAGGTCCAGCTGAGCAAGGACTCTAAGGAATCAGTCAAACTAGGAGATCTGGCTCAGGTTGTGCCCAAGGGAGGACGGATGGTCACTCTCTTAGCCGCAGAAGAGGATGTGAGTTTGACGGCTGATGTTCACTTCAGATTGGAGCAGTGCTAATATATTGCGTAGCATATTAAACCTCTTACTTCAGCTATCATATCCTCGAACCTATCCTTGACACCGCAGCCTGATGCCCACAATGCCCTCCAACTCAACATTCCCATTCCACCACCCACGAAAGAATCTCGGGATAAACATATTCAAACTGCTAAGCAAGCATTTGACAAAGCTGCGAGCTCGGTGCGTGATTCTAGAGGCGCGATGCACAAACGCCTCCAGGACCTGCAGAAAAAGAAACTAGCTCGACCAGATGATGTGCGCAAAGCTCATGATCAGATGGAGAAGGTCACAGACCAAGGCCAAAAAGATCTCAAGGACGCATTTGAAGCAGCTAAAAAGACTCTGGAGCAGGCATAAATATCATCGGCTAGCTGAGAAAGAAGGTGTTTGTAAAATAATGACTTTGTAACTTAGGTACAGGCATAATCGGAGAAAGATGGGTGGAAAACAAGAGATAAACCCAAACAGAACTATATAATACAAGTCACATCTACCACTGGTCCTCGCATAGTATCAGACACGCTTGATGCTGCCAGAGACAAGAGATTCGAGCTTGGCCATGAACTGAGAGGTTTTCCCAGGCGTTTGGTATGTCCCATTGTTCATGAGGTTTCTTGTCACCTCGCCCAGTACAGCATGTCCATCCTTCTTAGCCTCGGCCGTAGGATATTTTCCCTGCGCGAGCGTTTCCATGAGAGTTCTGGTGCTCTCCGCATTGATAGGGTTGAATTCAACAGTGCGAGGCTCCACAAGGTCACCCTTGTGCTGTGAAATCCGGTCTGCACGAAGCTGGGCCAACCGCTTAGTCTCCCCCAAAGCCTCAGTCTTCTCGGCCTCATTGCTGAAAAGAACACTCTGACCCTTCCAGAGACGTCTTCCAAGCTCATGCGGCGCGACGTAGCCATTGGCGTAGCGACCGCTTAGGCTGACAAGCTTCTCGTAAACGGCAGCTGAGCGCGAGTTCGCATCTGTGGGAATTGAAGGCCAAGTCTCTCTCAACGTGGAGTAGGTGATATCCTGAGGCTCATAGCGAATAGGAACAGGACGGTCCTTTAAGATTTGCTCTTGCTCAACGGCCTCAATGGCCGCCGCTTCGGCCTCTTCGGCCTCGGCGTTTACGAACGAATCTGTGTTTGAGCGCCGGCTCTTGCGTGGACCCTTACCCTTAGCGGAGGGTTTCGCTTTGCGATTTTGGCCTTGGTTGCCGCCACGAGCGGTGCGCATTCTCGGGCTTCGGATGATCTTGGGTTGTTCGCCACCGGTAGCTTTGGAAGCGGCAAACGATCTTGCATCAATCACTCGAGCAGGGCGAGATTGATTCTGGTTAGGGCGAGCTGGAGGGCCATTGGGCTTGCGAGGCTGGCGAGAGCGTGCGTCTGATGGAGGAGGACGAGTGTTGGGCTTTGGGCCTAATGGGGTTTCCGATCAGATATGGGACTCAATGGCTTTAAACTGAAGAAGCAATCGTTTTTTTGCTTCCTCGGAACTTGGTTCATTGCCTGTACTTACCGGATGGTTGGTTTTGATCTTCAGCAGCCACTGTCCGGGAACAGGAGAACTGCCGAACTGGCGTGGAGAGACCAAATCTCGCACGTTCACATTGCAGAGAAATCTGCCTGATCTGTGGCCGAATCATCTTGGACCGTCAATAAACCAGGTCGTGTGCCCGGAGCGTTGGTATCGGACTCAAATCTGTGACGGGCTTCAACGCGGAAAGATTGAAGAATGCCGTCACGTGATGCACCGCTCACCTACCTCTTCATCGCCAACTTCCTTGAACCAGTGGCATACATTCTGACGGTTAAAATGCTACGCCGAAAGCCAACCGCTATTGCCATCACATCCGAGGATCTTGCCGCCTTCGAGGAAGAACGACTCCGCAAATTGTCGGAAGAAAACAAGCACCCGGAGCAGCACGTCAAGGGATCCTCCAACGCCAACTTCGACCCCAGCGATGAGTTGAAGCCACTTCCCGGTGACAAGGCCAGGATTGTGCGGTCACGCGAAGAAAGGATAGGCATTGGCCGACGTGGTTGATTGTCCATACCGCACCGAGACCGCTACATTACCACAATCTATTCTCATGTCGATCCGAAATACATGTGCCGCCCACGATACAATAAAGAAAAGCCCGTTTATCGCATCAAAATGCGTCCCTGATCATGTGTTCTATCAGATAGAGCCAACAAAAGAAGGCACAGGACCCCGAAAAGATGACCTTTGTCAATACACTGCACTTGCACTATATCTTTTCTTTCCTCGTGTCCGAACACATACATGGCAGCAAGGACAGGACATGAGCCCATTCAAGCTTCAGAAAGCGAAGACGAGCTGATTGGACCGACTTTTTCTTCGTCGATCTCCCAGCAAACCCTCCAATGTTTAAAATGCCCGGCAATACCAACTGTCTTGTCCTACTGTCCTCTTAACTTCATTTACAATAATATAACCAACTATTTGATAGATAGTGGGATCCAAGGAGTCCGTAATATCAGCTAGTGACCAATTAATGATCACCCAAGCTCACAAATCATATAGTTGAGCGTGCAATTTCCATGTCTTCACCTTTTCTCGTAGTTATCGATATAGATTGTAGACGGAATGACCTATGTCGGCTTTTGCAACGGAACTGTTCATGGGCAATAAGATGCAGAATTTTGCATGCACTCAGCGTACTCTATCCTAGGGTAATACTAGATTTTTATATAACCGTCTCTCCGCCAATAGGCCCGTCATGAACTCGATGTTCTGCGTAGTATGTTGTATTGCAGGGTCAATTAGACCCTGTCTGGGGCAGCTTATTTGTTCTCTTTGTTGTATGTCCTAACTTCAGTGGGATGCGGCCTGACAGCCTGCCCCTCAGAAATTTTTCCAATATAAAGCATAGTGGTCCAATGACACAACTCTTGATATCTTCTGGCACCTGATATACGAATGGGAAGAAATCGATTTCACAAGGAAAAGGGGGAATTTAAATCAACAGAAGCAATGGCCGATTCCAGACGAGATCGTCCGATTGAAGCCAGCGGGCCAGAAAAAGAGGATGGTCGGATCAGTCGCTAAAAAGTCCAAGTCCAATGCAAAGGATTCAGTTGCAGGTGTATCATCCCCGTTGTCGCTTAGACATATTGTCAGAACCAACATCAACTGAATGGTTCCATCGCCGCTTTACGCCCTGTGGATCATATACACTAGCAACACTTTGCTGCCAATCTCGGGCTGAAAACACAACCGGGGGTGCATGGAACTGCGGTGGGGAAATGGACTGAGATGGGGTGAAAGAAGACACCTTGCTTGGTGTTTCGTACTGCATAGGGTATTGAGGGTTCACGACATTTGGTACACCCGGTGTCGTATTGTTCATGGGCATCGGCGGAGAATTGGTGCTGACAGTAGAGGGATTCACGGAGAAAGCCATGTCCCATTGGCTATGGAAAATAGGGTTAGCACAAGACAATACACATGACCTGAGGCTCAATGACTGTACGTACGTGATGATGCGGGTCGGGTCCCAAGTGTTTTCGTCGGTTAATGGGGCGTCCATTGGGTGGGTTGTCGGAGGTTGATGGGCAACCATTCCAAGGGATTGTAACTGAGAAGATGTGTCGGACTTGGAGTCTTCAGCACCAGTCGAAATTGGAGGAGTTATTGGAAGCGCATGGAAACCCACTCTAGATTGGACTGTATTTAAATGAGGATGGTAGTGCGCATCCATAGGTGGACTGGGTTGATAGGGTTCCGAGGGACTCCCATAAGGGAAACTCGGTTTCAGGTCGAAGGGGCGTTGCATGTCAGCGGAAAAGGCTAGTCTCAATGAATCGATCTGTGCTTGAATCTCGGGCATGGGCCAAGCCGTTGAGCAGGTCTCTAGGATTCTCATATGTCGGGTGAAATATTCACGGGCATCTGCGTTGAATTCAGGATCGGGAGAGGTTATGGCAACCTGCCAATGTCAGAACATCCTGTGTTTTGGAAAGCAGCAAATAGAAGTTTCTATATTTACCAGGTGAAGCATTGTACAAGTCAGAATACAATAAATGGCAAAATTGATACCTCTTTGCATATAGAGCAGGCCAGAAAGCCCAAATCTCTGCAAAATGGCTTCTTGAAGACGGCATAGACTCTTGGCTGAGGAGTAGCACAGTGACATGTGAATCTTCCATTCACCACCGGCCGCGAAGGATTGTGAGGCGATTAGTTGAGGTCGATGTAACAGGATGATCGCAAGGTGGCAATGAGAATGCATGTTGCCCACAAAATGAGATGGCAGCCATGGTGCAGACCCATCGGCAGGATAGTTGACCTGTAAGTCGGGAGGCAGGTTGCGAAGCCAATCTGAGAAGAGAGGATTATTCTGTACAAATCGGGCGTCTGCCCCCCAGTCCTTTTGCTTCTTAATTTTGTGATAGATATCTGTGATGATGCGAATGTGATGTGCGTTGCGAACGAAGTAAGCATATTGCCTTGAGCGATCGATCTCGTATTGGTCAAGACCTCTGATATCTAACGTTGGGCGCATGTCCACTGTTTCAGGGTCGACTCCGTAGTCCGAGCGGCCTGATAAAATCAGCAACTGCTGGGTTTATCAAAGGAAGGGATGTCGACTTACCTTGAGGTGCTCCGATCATTACCTCGACTACCATGATAGCTTGCCATACCCTGGTCTGCACCAGGCATTCAATTGGGCTGAGACCGCAAGGTTCACCCTCGGCGTGACTGCTGTGGTGCTCGTGGATGTCCATGTCTTTCGCCATCGAGACAATTGTTTTGACAGTTTGCCAAGATCGATAATAATAACCTTTCTTCGGCAAAGATTCTCTGGCCTTGAGCAAAAGAAGTAATGCTTGAATAGTACTCAGGCGTGGTACGTCCATAAAGCTAGTTTCATGCCCTAGACGAAATCAGCTTTAATTCAAATAGACATTCAATGTTGACTCACTGTTGGCCAAGGCCAGCCATTGGGCTCCCTCTGCGGGCTCATCGGATAACCGCCCTGCACAGGCAAACAAAGCCTCCAGAAGGAGTGGAGAAATGGAGCGGCGATCATGTTGCCACTGATAGTACAGATGGGCACGAGAAACAACAGGAACATAGGGGTGTATCTCATCAAAGTAGATCTTGAAATAAGACATCACGTCGTCTTCCGCAGGCATAAGCTCAGGCGGGATTCGGATTGTCGCGCCTGAGCCAGTACTCAGAGGTGGCAGTCGCTCTTCAGCCTCATCTTGAGTAGGAGCATCAGGTTCAACACGATCTGTCCGTTGCCTTCTAATATAGGGAGCTTTGAGGGTAAAGAATCGTTAGCTATTGACTGCATGGGCACCGAAAGAAAAGACAATGTCATACCGATGCCGCTCTCGTCAATCTTTAGCTCTCCAAGCACATCACTGAGATTCTCGGCGGTTGATTGGTCGTTGTCCACATAAAGATTCCGTTCCGGTGTTCCCAGTGACGGGGCATGGGTCCCAGCATACATCTGAGGTTGCTGATATGTCATCTGCGGCATGGGCATTTGTGGCGATCGAAGGTCGTTATAGAGGCCTTGCTGGGGATGTGGAGCAGGTACAAATTGAGAATACATGCTCATTTGTTCATATGAAGGCATGGTTCCCATGGGAGGTTGGTTATTGTCCCTGTAGGTCGGAGGTACTGGGAAGGAATGGGAGCTCTCGGGAGCACTGGAAGGACCACCGGTATCTAGAGTAGAGTCCTGGCCATCTGGCAGGAAGTCTCCATCTTGGCCAATGGTGGGAGGGACGCAAACCAACTTCAGACGAGTGCACGCAGAACAGGGCCACGTATTTGTCGTGGCAGCATCACATTTGATTTTCCTTTTCCGACAACCATTGCAGGCTCGCATCACTAAATTCTATTAGTATATTGGACACAAATCTCTAGGTACATGCATACCCTTGAGTCTCTTGTGCCTATTGTGTTCATCAACAAATACATAATCTACCGAAACGATTAGCGACTAAGTCGAGATGCAAGTGATACTCGAAATTCTCCAATGTCATACTTTTTTGTCCTTCCCTCGGAGGCCCGGCTGGGGGCGCAAATGAGTAGCCCTGCATGGTTGTCTGCTTGATCGCACCGATGCCAAGCAAATCACGCGCGGTGTGAGGTACGAGTTATCCACAAGGGCCTGCCTTGGGATTAATAATGACGATGCGCGGAGGCAGAATGATGTCGCAGTAGGTTGCAGTCGATGTACCGAGGCACGGCGACGAGTGGAACAAAGAGATGTCGCAAATGCCCCCGCGAAACACTCAAGTATTCTACACTTTATGAAACCGACGACCGTGAATATAGCAGAGGATTGCGCCCAGGTTTAATGAGCAGATCCGATGCGAAATGAATATCGGACGCTGAAGTCGGAGTTGGCGCACAAAACGAAGACGCAACAGTGGCTCTGAGCTCGGAACGTATTGTGAATCACAGGTCAATTACTAGAACCCCATGCATCAGTACAGTTCCGAGACGTCAAGAAACGCTAGATATAGGGCGGTAGATCGCGATTCGCGACCAAAGCTCAAGATCGCGGATAAGTCCCACGACAAGGCAAAGGCCAGTCTGCAGAGAAGGAAAGAAAGGCGACCGCTTACCAGTCGAGGTGTATAAAGATTCTAAGGCAGTTCGGAGGAGGGGGGGGGGACTCGAGTCAGCGGAGCATGGCGCATCGCTCAATTGACAGAGGAAGGGAGCATTAGGACGGAATGGGCAAGGTCGCAAGTGGAGTCATCAGGGGCGAATAGGCTCAAGAATGGCATTTAGCCAGGAGAGGAAGAGAAAGAAGGTCGGAAGCTGAGGGGAGAGAGAGAGAGAGAGAGAGAGGGTGCCAAGAGGATCCAATAGCGCCCGCGGTTGTGGATTTCTAAGGTGGAGAGGGGGCGATCCAGTATTCGATTATAGTTAATAGTGTTATTATATGTGCGTTGGATTTCAAAATCCCAGTCCCATCTTCTGTGCATTACATGTACTGCGGTCGATGTCCGAGGCTAAAATCCCCACTGTGACCTTCAGGCTTTAAGCCTAACTTAGATATGCAACGGAAGAGGAAAGAAAAGCAAGGAACAACACATAAGGACATCAGGTCTAATTTACCGGAGTACCACAAGTAATTCGTCTGAAACAGCCTTCAGAGCATCACACATGTATCTGGATCATTCTGTGACCCTGGCTTCGAAGTGAAACTACTAGTGGAGAGGGGAAAGATAAAATTCACAACCCCGGAGACACTTCGGAAAAGAATAAGAACTCGGCTTGTCGATCCTCCCAAACCACTGGGATTCCCAGAGCATGATGATATGATATGAGTTAGGATGTCTATGAGATATCAGGTATAACTACATGAATATTGAACCAGGGTTGTCTATGTTCTCTCTACATAATCTAGGTAACAAAATATAACATAGGAGATAGAAAGATCGCACGTGCATCTGTTATCGTCGCCTTTTTTTGCCCCCCACAACTTCCCCCTCGACACCTTCCAAGGCTACAACTCAAAATGGCTGAAATGCAGAACGAGAACCCCACGATCCTCAATGCCGCAGATCTACCCACGCGGCTGAGGCCTACTGCAACCCCCAAGGGGGAGTATGCCGGTATCTTCACATCGGTGCCCCTCCCCGCTGACTTCCTGGAGAGCGCCCCAACTTCAGATTCGGAGGATGACAACCTACTGGAGGAGCCGATTGACGAACAAGAAATTTATGGTACGCTCCCTTTCTCCGGAACAGGAAACCGGAGATCGTTGTCTGCTCAATGCACTAACCTGTCAGATCTCATCTCGTCAATCTCGGATCCGGAGCACCCCATCTCCCTCGGTGAACTAGCCGTCGTGTCTCTTCCTGACATTTCAATCAAACCAACCCTTCCGGATGTACCCGGATCACCTCTTCAGACGGTCACTGTGCTCATCACCCCCACCATTACGCACTGTAGCTTGGCAACAGTCATTGGGCTTGGAGTCCGGGTGCGCCTCGAGCAATCGCTGCCCTCACGCTTCCGAATGGACGTGCGCATCAAGGAAGGGACACACAGCACAGGCGATGAAGTCAACAAGCAGCTGGCGGATAAAGAGCGGGTTGCAGCGGCCTTGGAAAATGGTGCGCTGATGGGGGTGATTGCCAAGATGATGGAGACGTGCCACTAAACCTCCGATTTCCCTTTCTGTACTATTAGCCTTGGATCTGCACTACGGTGAAACAGGCCCATCATACCCAGCTCGTGACGATAGTTTATGACAAAATAACCAGACTCTGAATGACTTGCATTGGACTGCGTATTAGATATACAAACATTGCTCTACGTTAAACCGGATTCAAAGACTCCCCGTAAACCCATTTTGCTGTTTAATTGTATGAGATCATGAGTCCAAAACGCCACTTTCCTTCAGTCCTTTCCAAAGCTCAGGCTCCAAGAACTTGCTGACAGTAACATCCTCAGCCAAACCCTTGCGCCGTCTTGTCTTCAAGACAAAGTCCCGGGCTGTAGCCATGGCGGGAGCCATCTCCAGGGGCTTCAGTTTGATATCACGGTCCAGCGGGTCACCAGGAACCACACTCCACTTGTCGAAAGCCAGATTAACCATGGCCTGACCCTGTGTGTGGATACGAAGATCGGTCTCAAAGCCAAAGGAATCAATCACTGGGATCAAGCCGCGAACAGAGTAAAGAGGCGTTCCCGCAATAGGGCCGTCTGACAGAACATGACCTCGTCGACGAGACAGAACGGTGTACACGGAAGCCACGGCGTCTGCAGGTCCGGTCATTGTGCAAGAGTAGATCGGTTCCATAAGACGCGGGGACGCCATGAGGAAGGAAGAATACACAGCGCGACGGGCTGTTGGGATGATCTGGCCACCACCGCGGTAGATGGCCTGGTCCGCAAGGGACACATCTGTGAGCCTAAACTTTGTATTGCGAATTGCTAAATTTCATGTTAGTGTCACATTCGCCTATCAAGCCGAAAAAAAGAAAAGCATTGATGCGGCGGGAAAATGTAAACTTACGCTCTTCACATAGAGGGCCCTCTCGTGTACCCCAGCTGAAACCCTGAGTGATCGAGTCTCTGACAGTACCGAGAAGCTTTTTATCAACTTGAGAGGGTAATGTGTCATCCTGGAGAATATTGGGACCCATCTCATCGGGTCCAAATGCCCAGATGCTTCGGGCTGCAAGCTTGTCCCAATCATAGTTGTCCTCGAAGTATCGAGCAACCTTTCGAATGGGATCCTTGATATTAACTCTGCCGCTTTCAATGTCCTCGGCAATACCATCGTCCAAGGGTTCCGCAATCATGGTGATCTTGTTTTTCTTGTTCGGGGTAATAGAGTAACACATGATGGCAGAGGTCTCCACCACAGTCTCACAGAAGCGTGTAACGGGGTCAGAGACCTTGATCTCCATCTCTGAGTACAATTTCCGAAGGTCATGTAGCACGCAGTCCATGTACAGCTCGCCAGTTCCTAGAACCACATGCTCACCAGATTCCTCGACCTTGGTGGATATGAGCGGGTAGCTCTTGTTGATCTTGCGCAATCCATCCAACATCTTTGGAAGTTCCGAGGGGTTGACAGGCTCAACGGCAACCTTGAAGACCGATTCAGTCATGTGCCGAATGGGACGGAAAATGTGCGCCTCTTCGTCATCCTCGAGCTTGAGGGGCATCAGCGTAGCGGTCTTGACAATAGAGTTGTCAACGCCACCCAGGAGCACCCAGTTTCCGGCGGGAACGCCGTTGGTAGAGATGTTATAACAAGTTTCCGCAATCCACGTGTCGGAAATGGTTGCAACAACCATATCTTCCTCATCCTCTGGGGTGTAGCCTTCACCCAGGACGCGAACCTGCTGACCAGGACGGGCTGTTCCACTCATAATTCTTCCAAAAGAGTAGAAACTGCCAGCATCGGTGCTGCTGAAAAGCTTAGTGACATGAACGACGAGAGGGCCATCTGAGTTACAGGCGAGCATTGAAGCTCCGACCTTGGTGTCCACGGGCCCAGTGTAGTATCGATCCAATGCCCTCTGAGCGCCTTCCACCGGGGAAGGCACATGCTGAACGACCATGTCGACAAATCCAGTTGCGGGACCAAAGAATTGCCCGCAAACCAGATTGAGAAGCTCCTTGGCATCCGACTTGAGCTGGGATGGCTTCAGGGTGACACCGACACTAGCCAAAGTCTGTTTCAAATCTTCGGGGCTCTCACTCAGTGTGTGGGAGTAAAGCTTATAGATTGGCTCCAAGACAAATTTGACAAATGAACGCTTCGAGTTCTCTTCTATTCCCTTGCGGGTGAATTTCCGGCTCTTGGGATTGTAGAAGATATCGCCCCAAAGACGGGCAGCGAATTCTGAAGAATCCAAGCTTGGGTAAGTGTCGGCATACATCCGAGCAAATGACTGCAAGGTAAAGCACCAGTTCATTGAGCTGGACGCAAATGCAACGTTGCCTTTCTCGGGGCTCAATCGTCGTCGCTCGCCCTGGCCTGGTAGAACATTCTCAATACAAGTATTGATTTCTTCAATAACATGCTTCAACTTGAAATAAGCATCATTGGGAGGCAGTTTGAGCTCAAGAATGAGTCGATCCATCTTGTTCACGACCAAGGTCAAGGGTAGATCTTCCAATACTGCGTGCTTGATAATTTGCTCTGTGTTCGCCTGGACGCCCTCAACGACGTCCACAACCAATACAACACCATCGGCTAGGCGGATCGAAGCAGCCACCTCATCGACAAAGTTCACGTGCCCGGGGGTATCAAGGAGGTTGAGCAGGTGGGACTTTCCTTTGGTGCCTTGGAGAACGAGACTCATGGGGGCCGACTTAATCGAAAGGCCACGTTCTCTCTCTAGGAAGTGAACATCGGTATAGCGAAGCTGTTCCTCTCTTCTCCGTCCAATGCGCTTCTCCAATCGCTCCGTCAGGTCGTGTGTCTCTTTGACCAGCATGTCCATGAAAGCTGTCTTTCCGTGGTGTAGATGACCAACAATCGCGACATTTCGTATTTGATCGGGGAAATTCAAGAGATCGGACATAAATTCTCGAGAGAAATGTACGGGCGGAAGCTCGGTCTCAGCGATCGCAAATTTCTTCTGCTGCACGGGGGCAATGATAGGCTCTGACAATGGCTGCGCATCTTCTTCCTGGACCATAGTTTCGACATCTTCACCGTAGACCTGTTGTGCGCTAGGGTAATATTGTTTATCTTCGTGTAGGATGACCGCATTTGAAGGTCCATCTAGGAAGAGACGCGAATTAGCAAGATCGCAGACTTCAAATAGACGCGCAAGCCTACCGTCAACCTCCATCAATTGTTGGTCATTAACTTCTTCTTCTTCCTCCTCATCATCGAAGGCTTCATCAAACTTGAAAGCCTGGGGCTGCACATCTTCATGGTGCTCTTCATCGGATTCCGCATCGCCAATGTAGTTACCGAACCTGAAAGAAATTAGGAAAAGTGCGAATACACAAAGACACAAAGCTGACAACATACTCATCATAGAGATCGTCCATGGTGAATTGAAAGGAGGGTGCAAAAATGGCACTAATCCAAGAAGAGCTCCAATGAGTTGGCGTGATGCCGGAGAAGTTGAGGTTCTCAACTTTCACTTGGTCCGAGCGTTCTCGGAGTACTCGCGCCTACACCGTACAGCTCCTCACTCCCCATTCTTATAGATGCCCCTCTCCTGACCCGCTTCTTTTCTTCTTCTTTCTCATTCATACTTTTTTTGATACCCTTTAATTTTTATCTCGATCTCTGCTCTCTGCTTCAAAATGTCTTCTCTTCCTCCCGTCTACATCGTCTCTACTGCCCGCACTCCCGTGGGCTCGTTCCTTGGGTAAGTTACTCCTGAACTTTTCTTCCATGGGGCTCAATTAACATTGTTTATAGCTCCCTCTCAAGCCTGACCGCTCCTCAGCTCGGATCCCACGCTATAAAGGGTAAGGCATACCAATACCCTTCATGTACCCCTCATGTTCAAAGTTAACACAAGTATCCAGCCGCCGTCGACCGTGTTGAGGGCATCAATGCCTCCGATGTCGAGGAGGTCTTCTTTGGTAACGTCCTGTCTGCTGGGTAAGAGTCTTTTCAACCCCATACCATGCAATTTTTACTGATTTATCTCCAATTAGTGTCGGACAGAACCCCGCCAGACAATGTGCCCTCGGTGCCGGCCTCAACGACAGCACCGTCTGCACCACCGTTAACAAGGTCTGCGCCTCTGGCTTGAAGGCCATCATCCTTGGTGCCCAGACTATCATGACTGGAAACGCCGATGTCATTGTCGCCGGTGGTACCGAGTCCATGTCCAACACCCCCCACTACCTCCAGACCATGCGTAATGGTGCCAAGTATGGCAACCAGACCCTGGTCGATGGTATCCAGAAGGATGGTCTAATGGACGCCAGCTCCCAGGAGCTCATGGGTCTTGCTGCCGAGGAATGTGCTCAGGACCACGAGTTCAACCGGTCTGACCAGGATGAGTATGCCATCCGCAGCTACCAGAAGGCCCAGGCTGCCCAGAAGGCCGGTGCTTTCGACTATGAGATTGCCCCTATTGAGATCCCCGGATTCCGTGGCAAGCCCGGTGTCACCATCTCCCAGGATGATGAGCCCAAGAACGTGAGTGCCCACCATGCCAGATTTCATAAGATTTTCGACTTACCATTGGTTTCTGTATAGCTTAACCCCGACAAGCTCCGCGCCATGAAGCCCGCTTTCATTCCTGGCACCGGAACTGTCACTGCCCCCAACTCTTCCCCTCTCAACGACGGTGCCGCCGCTGTTGTCCTCGTTTCCGAGGCCAAGGTCAAGGAGCTCGGCCTCAAGCCCGTTGCCAAGATCCTTGGATGGGGTGACGCTGCTCACAAGCCCAGCAAGTTCACCACTGCTCCCGCCCTGGCCATCCCCAAGGCTCTCAAGCATGCCGGTGTCGCCCAGGACTCCATTGATGCCTTCGAGATCAACGAAGCATTCAGTGTTGTTGCCCTTGCCAACCTGAAGCTCCTTGGTCTCTCCGAGGAGAAGGTCAACATCCACGGTGGTGCTGTCGCCATTGGCCACCCTCTCGGTGCCAGCGGGGCCCGCATTGTCTCCACCTTGCTTGGTGTTCTCAGCGCTAAGAAGGGCAAGCTTGGCTGTGTCGGCATCTGCAACGGTGGTGGCGGTGCTAGCGCCCTTGTCCTTGAGTCCTTGTAAATGTTGAACTCTGTTAACCATAACGGAGATGTGATATGACCATCTATCTTTGCACGATATATTAAAATTTTGGTGGGTTGATCGGATTGATTCTTTGCAGACTTCGGCGTGCAGTGCATGCGAAGATCTGCAGCGAATGACTTCGGTACATCCCTTTTCGGCTGTATCTAGACTTGTTAATGAGATATCCTACTGTCTTTGTGCCCATCTTGCTCCTTTCCTTCGTAGTAAAGGCCCTTGAAACCCGTTATAGCTAATTAGCTAGTGTGCTTCGCACCTCAACCGTAGCTTACATGCATAGCATCCGGCAGAATTTAGTATCAGGCCGAAGGCCTTTATAAAATTTGTATGGTATCGTTCGCTCGCTTCGTTAATCTATCTGACAATATGACCAGAAATCCCAAAACATCTACATTGTTAAGCAAAGGCACCGACAAAGGCCATGAGAAGAGCACCACAAGCAACAGATACGCAGGCCTCGACACGTCGTCTACCCTTGAGGGTCTCATAACTTGACTCACTGAGGAAGTCCTCCGCCAGGAGTTCTACCAAGCCCGCAAAGAGCAAAAGGCCGCTGCTGATGGCATTGGTAATACCAACCATCAGTAGTCCAGTCGTGCTTGCGGGATCGTAGAGGTTATGCAAAACCAAACCAATGGCTTGGCCGACTGGTGTGGTCGTTCCATAGGCAAGTGACATCAGCCATGGTTTCATGGAATTCGGAGCGAATAGATCTGGGATGAGCGACGCAATCCGAGATCCGAGGGCAAAGCCCTCAAAGGTCTGGTGGAAACTGATGGCGATTAAAAGCACGACAAACGACGTGCCAGTTGCAACGCTGAGCGCCATGCCAATGAAGATGCTGTGGAACAAAATGCCAGCCTCCAGAAGGAGACACTGAAGAAGTTGGCGTTGCGGGTTCTGCATTGGAAGGTCCGACTCCGCTTGCTGTCGGTGACTCTCACTTGTATGTGGCCGATGGCGACGAGGCTGAGATTGAGCTGCCTGTCTATTGATTGGCTGCAGGTCATCATCTGTGTAGGCGTCAAGACCATCAATGTCGGAGAGATCATCCTCTTTGCCTGCAGATGTCTCCGCCACATTGAGCCGGTCAAGTTCATGCGACGAGCCGGAAGCTCTCGCTATCCCTGATTTGGGGTTGTAGTGCATATTATCTAGATTAATGCTTTCCGAAGCTCTCCGAGATTCTAACCCCGAGTAGTCTCTGTCTGCATCGCCCAATTCACTTAGAGAGTGGCGACCAACTTCACCAATGAGGTTATCGTATTCGCTCCCATGCACATGTTTTGCACCTTTCATTGCAAAGAACATTTCCACGAGGACAACAGCAAAGACGGCGATCATTGCAACGAAGCCCGCCATAGCGCGGTATGACTGACTCCAAAATTTAGGAAGGCATGGGTCGGTCAAGGAGACGAAGGCTGTAGGGAGAAGGTGTACAAATGCCGTCGCAATCAGGACACCCGTTCCGAAGTGTCTCGATATAAATAGGAAGCGACGGGGGATTGGGAGACCGGGGAATCGGCGCGCAAGCACTGGAAATGAACATGCTGTTGTGAATTGAAGGTTAACAACAAGCAGCTTGATGGAACGGGGTATAGTAGCACATACCGAATGTACTCAGGATAAGGATGAGGAACAGTGCCATAACATGTAACGGAGTGTTATAGGCACCCCGCTCCTTGGAGCCACACGCCGGCGTGTCATCTGGAGCTCCATCTCGCCGAAGAAGCTCTGCTTTCAAGATAGAATCGGGAATGCCTGAGAGAGCCAACATGGCGCGCTTCAAGTCTATTCGGACCAACATCAGCTGTGCACCAACCAGGGCCGATTGCTTGAGATGGGAACTCACCACCAGAAGATATGCCGTTTGCAGGCTGCCACGACTGGGCATTCTGCATTTTGATATTGGATCGAAATTGTGGCTATAGCCGCATCCCCGATTCACTTCGACGCGGAAGGGGAACTCGGATCGTAGGGTTACGGAAAGAGACACGCAATTGAGTCCTGAGCAAAAGAACAGACCACAGAGAACTACCGGGAAAATGTCAACAACGCAAGCAGCATTGTTTCAGAATCAAAAGTGGCCAGACTAGTGGAAGCGATCTTCGGACACGCGTTAGAGTGAGTCTCTATCCATCGGCCCCCGGTGGGCCCTCCTTGCTTAGTCACATTTCTTGCATCTGAAGCTTAAGTGAAGTTTACAGCTTTGACCAGGTAGATTGTCAATTATATTTCCTGTAAATAACGAAATTTTTTCTCTTGTTTCCAATCATCTACTGCCCACTTTGGTCCAGCCTTTGGTACCTCTAGGTCGTGGGGAGCTTGGGGGGTCTTCGTTGCCTTGGTTTCTCGCAGAGCCAGATCGTGGTTTTGAACTTGCAGTGGACTTTGCGTCACTCGTCTCAGCTCTAATCCCCGATTGGGAGTCAGGAGCAAGGGTGTTAAGGTTGTGTGGGAGAGATGGTTGGTGGGATTCCGCCACTGCATCGTCCCATTCTTTTTCCTCGAGCAATTCCCACTCTGCACTTGCCATCTCCCCAAGAAGATTGGACTTGAGTTTGTCTACAATCTTGGTAGGGGTCGGTAGCTTCCACATGCGCATGAAGTCCACTCCTTCTGATGCTCCTAAGAATGAATGCGCCGTGCCATGGGAGTAATGACCCAACATGGGAAATGATTTTGTCCTTTGAATGGTTGTCTTGGGCGAGTCTCTGGCCGATTTCATCTGTGCTTGTGTATCTCGGCCAGCAAAAGCTCGCATCAGGGTTGAGGGATGAGCTGGTGGAGCAACAAGCAATTGCCATAAGTTTTTGCCAATATTGCACACTTCTTCCCATGAGTCTGACTGCACATTGATCCCTTGAGTTCGACAAAGCCACGCAACATTCCAAGCCAGGAGAGTGGACCCTTCTAGAAACAGGGCATATGTTGCTGGGTCTTCCTTCGCTAATCGGGGTAGTGATTTGTCGACGAAAAGGGGCCGCGGACGTGGGGTATGGGCGCGTGGATCCATCGTTCTAGACGCTGCGGGACTTGAGGATGTCTGGATATTTGCTCCATCGTGGGTGTCATGAGAGCGATATGATGATGAAGGGGTGAATATCGTAGGCGCAGGGTAGTTTTTATGAGGCAATGTGATTTCGGCGGGGAGTCTCAATGAGAGATAATGAGAGACAATAATAACAAGGTGAGCGATGTTTGAGAAGGATGTAGAGATCTGTTCTGGCGGGACACCTGTATCCTCTCGTTAGTATGCTATCAAATGGGTCTCTGTCCAGTCATGACGGTGAGCTTACCATTCATATCTCTCAAGTCGATGACAGAGCCACCTCCCAACACATAAATCTCCTGGGCCTGGCCCTTTATCGCGGTCTTCCTCAGCCCGTAAAGATTGGCAACCTCCCGGCATAGATAGATACGGGACTCAGCAGTTCTGCTATGAAGCGAGTGCCAGACATGCTCCGTTCTTTTACTGGTGTTCTGTATACCGGCAACGATTGCGTTTTCGCGATCTTCAAGTTGGTACTTTGCAGACTCCGCATCCGAGCGCCTGCGGGCCAGAAGTTCTTTGCGTTCAGATATCTCATTATTCTTGGCTCTAACTTCTGATTTCAAAGATTCGATCTGATGTGAAAGAAGCTCCCTCTTTGCCAAAGACTCGCTATGCCGGCTGCTTATCGTCTGGAGGTCCCATCGGGGAGATCCTTTATTATCCGTATTCGGAGACTCTTGTTGGCTTTCGACTTGATCAGGAGAGCCAGCAGATGTGACAACAGTCTCAATTTGCCGTCCAAGGGCTTCATTCTCCAGAAGGACTTGTGTGGTTTCAATCCGAAGCCGATAAAGCTGGTTGCGGGCACATGTCGGGCAGTGAAGGGCAAGGCGGGAGTGAGGCGCACAGGAGCATATAGAACAGCTCATCGCAGGCCGCTTTGTTCGGGTTTAACTGTTCGTTAGGGGCGCAAGGCGCATGTCCATACTGTGTTCTAAGATGAGAGTGGGCGCTGTTTGAGTCGCCGCCGAGAACCATATAGTAGAGTGAGAGCGTCATCAAAGAGATGCAGATGCCACATGACTCAATGAAGATGGAAGATATAACGAATATGACCGGCTTCGAGCCCGATTCTAGTTGGCATTCTCCCTTATGACAGAAGGAGAGGAATAAGTCGGATGATGAACAGCGACGTCACCTGACAGCGTGACCGCTCCGTTATCGCTTATCGGATAGCAAACAAATGCAAACTGTTATATTTACAGAAGTTGTGATCTATTGACCTGCCATGCTTCCTGTACCTTGACGAGCTGCCCCAGAATGGCATCAACACCCAACAGAACTAGCAAGATTCCCCGACGTGGAACTATGTCTCCACTAGTCAGCCAAGAAAGTAAAAGCCCCCAAGAAAATGGAAGCTCCCAAGATACGACTCCACAGCTACCAACCGATCCTCTGCCTGTTCCTGCTCAGGATGAATTTCCTCTTGTTTCTCAGCTGACGCAGGGCATCGAGGACTGTGAATGGGAGCAACTGCAAATCAAATATTTCGATTCAATGGAAGAACATGGCCGAGTGGAAGAGACTCTTCGCCTTGAAACAGCAAAACTTCTCGAGGTAAATTATTTGACAGCTATATGCGCTGCAGAATCATATCTGACCAAATGGACAGGTCTTCATGGCTTGGTCTGAAACTACTGTGTTGCAAGATGAGAGCCGAGCATTGAAAAGGTGTGGTTTCCACCAGCTGGAAAGAGCCAATGGATGAAATTCTAATGTCTTATAGATTCAAGACTCAGATGCAGCACGTTCAACACTCGGAGGTCAGCATGGAGAACAAAAGGAAGCATTGTAAGCTTCAACTTCATTTCTTGCTTGAGGCTAGCCACTGATTGCTTGATTTAGATATGGAGGTCGTGAAGGCTTTCCAAAGCGCTCTTGCTCTGCTTAACGAGCAGTTGAAGATATGAGCCCATTCTTGGTACGAAACTTATGAACCAATATTACGAAGTTATGCTATATATCTATGGTGCTTGAGCATGGGCCATACAACGCTTGAGAATAAATCAACACGCAAAATACCATGGTGCATTATTCCCTAATTTGTCTGGAGACGTGAGCACGCACTTAAACAAATACAACTCATGATAATGACAAGTGATGCTATGTAATTTTATCATGAATCAGACCACTGAAAGACTTTTTTTTCAGTTGTTTTTGTGAAACCCTTGAGTGATTAGTACTTTCTCAGTCATCCTAGATGACATTCGAACCACCATAGTACGTCGGGATTATCGGTAGGTTAGCCAGAGGAGTGTTCGCTCCTAGCAGCTCTGCCTGTGATGTCTTGCCAACTGGCATTGAAGCGTCTGCCAGTATTGGCCAGTAGGCCTTCCTCTTCAGCCTCCTCGGCGTCTTCATCGAGCTGTCTCTCATCCAGTTTCGGGGAGCGAAGCAGGGAGGTGACGAAAACAATAAGATACAAGCCTGTATTGGGGGTTAGATTCTGCAAAGAATGAACTGTTGGACATGTGAGAGCAAGACTTCATCTTACCTAGGAAGATAAACTGGGCCCAAAAGAACACGACTCCAAAGAAAGGATAGTTTAGAGTGACCCGATTAAGAAAAGTGCTCACAACGCTGGGAGTACAGATTTGCTGTGCGGCAGGGTTCTTCGCTAATTCAGAGCATGGCTTGATGAGTTCTTTGTTGTCTGAGCAATCCGGCTGCCCCAGGAACAACCCAGGAGAACGATCGCAGAATGTTTGTGGACCGAAAGTGGCGTACTGAGGTGCAACTATCATCGAAATAGAATAGTTGAGAGCCAGGATGATTAACATCAACATGGCAGTTGCTAAAAGCAGTGCCTGAGGAGATGTGTGTCCATTGCGAATTTGGAAGATTCTGATCCAAAGGAAGCGGATTCCTACCACAGCAATACCAACAACGGAACTGCAGAAGAACAGCAACACAAGCACGGTGAATATAGCATAGTCAATGGGGAAGACCTTGGCAGACTGAACAAGCGCCCAGTTGACAGGATTGAAGATATTGACGTGTGCAAGAATATATCCACAGCGGTGCTTGCAGATTGAGTTCTTTGCCTTGTCAATTGAGGTCAAGAGCATGGATACCCATGTTATGAATGCAACGAAGAGCAGCAGGATGCCTCCTAGGAGCTTGAATGGACGAAGGATCGCGCCAACCTTGTACCATACCTTCATCAACCAGCTCCGCCCCTCGCCTTGAGATTCCTCAGCTAAACGTTGGCGTCGACTCAGGGTCCTTTCCTCTCGCGTCAATGTATCTAGTTCACGACGGTCTTTGGAAGACAGAAGCTCGGGGTCCCCGGCGCATCGCCCTTCGAGCTGTCGTTGCCGCTCTCGGTTTGACTCGAGTTGCTGTTCGGTACTCGCTCGCAGGGTAGCACTAGAAATTGATGGCGCAGTCTTGATCAAGCTGATTGGAAGGAGAGCCAATCCTGCCGAAGTGTATAAGACATAGAGACCGAGTCCAATCGTCATCAGCAACCCCAGAGCAAAAGTCAGAGCACGCTCGCCATCTTCATAGAAATATGTCAGTTTTGCAGTCCCCAATGCCAGGAGGGACCAGTACTTACGGTTCTCGGCCAGAAGGCGCCTGAAGTAATCCAGGTCTATATCACTCTTTCCCCGTGATACTGGAACGAAGAATCCAACCAGGAAGAGAATCACAACGATAACAACGAATGATAGGGTGTATTTCAGGGCACCCCAAATCCGCTGGCCCACTGTTTGCTCTCCCGTTTCAGTTGCGACCTCATCATATTCTTCGTACCAGAAGTACGTAAATGGGATGACCAGAAGACAGAGAAGAGCATCCAGAGAGTAGAGGAGATAGTAAATGATGGTCAAAGAATAGGTAATTCTGTCGACAACATCTTGCGTTGCCCAGTCCTTCCGCTGACCTAGCTTGGACGAGGTGGTCGATGACACTAGGGCGACATCCACTGGCAGCAAAAGTACCGTTGCTAAAAGAGAAGTAATTGAAATGATGCAAGTCAAGGTGACCGAAGGCGAGCGGTCACGGGGGGTTTGATAGACATAGATAAACACGGATGCCACGGCTAGTAGGATAGCTACTACCACCGCATAGACGATCCAGATTAGTGAAGTCTGTAAAAGGGCCATTTTGAAGAGCAGTTCACAGGCCGCACATGGATCGTGAAGTCGACATCAATCTGAAACCTGAAAGAGACAGGAATGCGCGCCCAAGAAAAAGGATCCGAAGCTATGCTTGTGTCGTCATTGCTCACGCTACGCTAGCCTAGATCGGGGATATGGAACTGACCGCCTGATTCTGCCATGCCAATCAGCGGATCTTCGGATTTTTTATACTTTGCCAAATGCTGACTTTGTGGCTTCGATGTTACTTGATTTTGTTGCTGGTGTCCTGTTTCGCTGTAAATATGGGCAGTTGACCTGAAGATAAGTTTACATATCGGTGAAGTCTTTTAGATTGTACACATACAACAAGCTAGTTCTTGCTACTTGATCTTCTAGTACCCTTTATTATGCCATGTGTAATTACACTAGAGGTAAAAGATCTCATCTATCATGATCATGCTCAACATAGTCAAAGGACTTGCTTCCCAAGAAGCCTCGTATACAAAGAAATGGGCAAAAAGGGCGGTAAGGAAGGCGGTGTATTTATGCCACCCATACTTTCGGCTCTGCGCTTCGAAGGAGCTACAAACTTGACTCTTACAAGACAGAGATCGATCTCGATCTCCGATCTCTTCCTTCATTCTGATCGGGTCATATTGCCTGCTTCATTTGATCAACATTGTGCTGTTGGTACTTCATTGCCTCGGTTTTAACCCCCTGATTCTGCAATTGCAATGTGCATCCCGAGTCATATCAAACACACAATTTAGCTCATTGGAGGTATCCACACGGTTTCAAGCCTTCTCCGAGTTTAAAAGCGGCTTCATTTCCAAATGCAGTGCTATACAGAGCTTCTTCCCCCAACTGGGGTCACTCATGCCCTGGCAGCGCCTTTTATTTCAGCAACAGCCAACAACTTGATTGTTGTCAGAACGTCTCTTTTGCAGGTGTTTTCGCTAATCAAGTCTTCTCCTCAGCCACAGGAAGATGGATCAGATAACCAGGTCTCGCAATTCTCTCAGCCAGAGACAAAGCTAGTCCTGGAGAAAGAATACCAGCTGTCCGGAACAGTGACTGATTTGAGCCGAGTCAAAATTTTGAACACGAAGAGTGGCGGAGAAGCCATTCTGATTGCAGTTCGGAACGCCAAACTTAGCTTGATCGAGTGGGACCCAGAGCGTTATGGGATCTCAACTATCTCCATTCATTACTACGAGCGGGACGACATGACCCGCAGCCCCTGGGTGCCTGACCTGAGCCAGTGTGGGAGTATTTTGAGTGTGGACCCCAGCAGCAGATGCGCGGTGTATAATTTCGGAATTCGCAACCTTGCGATTCTGCCTTTTCATCAGGCGGGTGACGACCTGGTGATGGATGACTATGATCCGGAGCTTGATGGAGAGCGCCCAAGCCCTGGCTCAGAAGTTGAGAAAAGCAAAGATGAACCAGCACATCAAACACCCTATGCCTCATCCTTTGTCTTGCCATTGACCGCTTTGGACCCTTCATTGCTGCATCCCATAAGTCTTGCATTCCTTTATGAATACAGAGAGCCAACTTTTGGAATTTTGTATTCACAAGTCGCAACCTCTACTGCCCTTCTTCACGAGAGAAAAGACGTGGTATTTTATGCTGTCTTCACACTAGACCTTGAACAGCGAGCATCTACAACCCTTCTTTCAGTGTCTCGTCTCCCGAGTGATCTGTTCAAGGTTGTGCCACTGCCACTCCCGGTGGGAGGTGCCTTGCTTCTTGGCTCCAATGAGATCGTGCATGTAGATCAAGCTGGCAAGACCAATGCGGTGGGAGTCAATGAATTCTCTAGGCAAGTCTCTGCATTCTCAATGACAGATCAATCTGATTTGTCGTTCCGTCTCGAAGGCTGTGTTGTTGAGAGACTTGGTGGAGATAGCGGCGACCTGGTCCTGGCTCTTGCGTCTGGAGATATGGCGCTTATCAAATTCAAGCTTGACGGAAGATCTGTTTCTGGCATCACTGTTCATCGCCTTCCTTCGAATGCGGGTGGTGATATCCTGAAGTCGGCAGCATCATGTTCTACTTGTTTTGGTGATGGGAACGTTTTCCTTGGCAGCGAAGGTGCAGACTCGGTACTCTTGGAATGGTCTCATTCATCAGCTTCAACAAAGAAAGCCCGGATTGGGTCGAGGCAGGTGGATGGTGCCGATGAACTTTCGGAGGATGACCAGATGGAAGACGACATCTACGACGATGATCTCTATTCCTCGGCACCGGGACCTGCACAGGGCGATCATCGGATGGGAACCGACAGTTCGACACAATATTACAACTTCCGATTGAATGATCGTCTGTTGAACATTGGGCCCCTGAGAGATATAACATTGGGTAAAGCCATACTACCCGGAACGACAAAAGATCAACCGACTAGCGAAGCTGTTTCCGCCGAGCTTGAGTTAGTAGCCGCGCAAGGCTCAGACCGAGGCGGTGGCCTGGTAGTAATTAAGCGTGAAATCGACCCCTTGACTACAATGTCTCTCAAACTTGATGATGTGAATGGTGTTTGGTCGGCCATGGTTGCTCCCGGGAAAAGTGGATTGTCCAGCAGTACCGATAGCCCACCTCGCCAATACGTGGTCATTTCACGGTCCACGGAATCAGACCAGGAAGTGAACGAGGTTTTCTCAGTAGGAGATCATGGCTTAGAGCCTTTCAAAGCCTCCGAGTTCAACCCCAATGAAGACTGCACGATTGACATCGGTTCTTTGGCACATGATACTCGCCTTGTCCAAGTTCTGCGGAACGAGGTCAGAAGTTATGACATGGGTACAATCTTCCCCGACTATATTTGCAAGCGCTGGATAACTAATACTCAACCTTCACAGATCTGGGATTGTCGCAAATTTACCCTGTTTGGGACGAAGATACCAGCGAGGAGCGTGTGGCCGTGAGCGCGAGCTTTATTGACCCTTACCTTGTGATTCTTTGTGATGATTCATCTGTCTTGCTTCTGCAGGCGGACAGCAGTGGAGATCTCGATGAAGTTTCGCTTCCAGAAGAGATCAACACATCGAAATGGCGCTCCAGCTGTCTCTACCACGACAAGTCCCAATCATTCAGTCCTGCAGATTGCACGCCCGACAACGCCACAAAAGATGAGACACTTCTTTTCTTGCTCAGCCTGGATTGCAAGTTATCAGTAAGTCCTTTTCAACGGATAATCTGGAATTTGCTTCTAACTTAGAACACAGATCTTCCGAGTGTCTGACATGAAGCTCTTTGCTGTCATTGAAGGCGTCAACTGCTTACCACCTGTGCTATCGTCTGAGCCTCCTCGGCGGTCAAATAATCGGGAAACCCTAACCGAATTTGTTGTCGCAAATCTTGGCGACCGGACCAGCGCTTCGCCTTATCTGATTGTATGTATATCATCACTGCTCATGGCTTGTTTAGACTCTGACGAGAAAACGTTAGGTTCGAACAGACAACGATGATCTCATCTTCTACAGACCGATGTTAATGCCATCAAATACTGATAATGAATCGTTCCGTTGCTTGCAATTCTTCCGGGAGGCAAACCACGTTCTCCCGAAGAACTTTCCAGGAGAGACTTCACAAATGGAGGATCAACGACAAAATAGACCGTTGCGTGTCTTACCTGATATCTCAGGATTCAGCACAGTTTTCATGCCAGGAGCTTCATCTAGCTTCGTTTTCAAGACGGCGAAGAGCTCACCACACATATTACGTCTTCGGGGAGGCTTCACCTGTTGGCTGAGCAGCTTTGATTCAGCTGACGCCGGCTGTGAAAAGGGTTTCATCTATGCGGACTCGCAGGTAAGACCCCTTGTCCATTCCAACGGCCATCACTGCATTTTCTAAGACAATAACCCACAGAACTGCGTCCGAGCTTGTCAACTGCCCCCACAAACGCAATTCGACTATTCGTGGACGTTGCGCAAGGTTGCCCTTGAGGAACAGGTTGATCACCTGGCCTATTCTACGTCTTCTGAAACATACGTATTTGCTTCAAGTCAACCCGCAGACTTTAAATTGCCAGAGGCTGATGATTTGCACCCCGAATGGCGAAATGAAGGTTTGTGTTTGCATTGCTGATCTTCTTTTATTGTGCTTTGCTAATACAGCATGCAGAGATATCTTTCTACCCGGAGATTCCTCGGGGCAGCATCAAGGTCATCAGCCCAAAAACATGGTCTATCATTGACAGGTAATCACCCACAACCTCGCGGTATAATGAGAACAGGCGCTAATAATCATCACAGTTACCAGCTAGATCCCGATGAGCAGGTGACAGCAGTGAAAAATGTGAACATCGAGATCTCAGAGAATACCCACGAACGCAAGGATCTAATTGTTGTTGGAACTGCTATTGCCAAGGGCGAAGACATGCCAGCCCGCGGCAGCATCTATGTATTTGAGGTGGTGAACGTGGTCCCAGACCCCGAGAAGCCCGAAACCGGCCGCAAACTAAAGCTAGTCGGCAAGGAGTCAGTGAAGGGCGCCGTGACAGCGCTATCCGGAATTGGCGGCCAAGGTTTCGTGATCGTGGCCCAGGGACAAAAGTGCATGGTCCGCGGTCTCAAAGAAGACGGCAGCCTTCTCCCCGTGGCATTCATGGACATGCAATGCTATGTCAGTGTTGCAAAGGAACTCAAGGGCACCGGAATGGTTTTGCTAGGCGATGCCGTGAAAGGACTCTGGTTCGCCGGCTACTCAGAGGAGCCTTACAAGATGTCACTCTTCGGCAAAGACCCTGAATACCTGGAAGTGGTAGCAGCAGACTTCCTTCCAGATGGAAACAAGCTCTACATGCTAGTTGCAGACAGCGACTGCAGTCTCCACGTCTTACAATACGACCCAGAAGATCCCAAATCTTCGAATGGCGACCGACTGCTCAGTCGAAGCAAGTTCTATGCGGGCAATTACGCCACATCAGTGACCCTGATGCCACGCACAGCGGTGTCATCCGAGCTCATTGAATCCTCCGAGGAAGACATGGACATCGATCAGACCTTTCCAACCCATCAGGCCCTGATCGCATCTCACAACGGATCCCTGGCACTAGTAACATCCGTCGTGGAGGAATCCTACCGCCGTCTATCGGCACTACAGTCCCAGCTCATCAACACCATTGAACACCCAGCTGGACTGAACGCTCGTGCCTTCCGCGCTGTCGAGAGTGACGGTGCTGCAGGCCGAGGTATGGTTGACGGAAATCTTCTGCGCCTCTGGCTCAACATGGGCAAGCAACGCCAAGTTGAAATTGCGGGACGGGTCGGCGCCACGGAGTGGGAGATTCGGGCCGATCTGGAGACTATTGGCGGAGATGGCTTCGGATATCTGTGATGTGAATATCTTCATTGTTAAAGGTAATTCAAAGCCAGTGATCGCACACCATTGCAATTGATACCACGAACAATATTATGAAGTAGGCTACAAATACTTTAAGTAGAGAAACAGAATGGTCAGCCCAAAAGGAGACTAAATAAATTGCTAGCCACGAAAACATGTATAGCCGAAGATTCTCCTATCCTGCGAAGCCCACCAAGTAAAGAGCAGCGTGATATCATAACACAATGGGATATAACCAGACCAGAACCCGCACCAAAACCAAACCCCAAAGGAAAAAAGAGAAATAGACCCAGCCCCGTTCTTGGGTAATCCAAACCCAAACCCATTTGCACCCCCCAAATCCAGCGGGATGTCATGAAATATACCCAAAACCGATGTCCCAAAAGTCGACACGAACACCTCAACACGCCACATTTCGCCATATTGTAAGATTCAATTCATGTTCAGATTCAGATCCATGATCACTGATCGTTGATATAAGACTAGACAGAGTCTTGATCTGGAATCTTGGAATCGTATATGCCCCCCATCCGGGTCCACATGAGCGTCAATATCAATAACGCATCCCAGCATTCAGTATGGAATCAACCATGGTTATGATTTTGTGTCGATGGGTGAAGAAAAAACAAGGCAAGTCTAAGAAAAAAAAGGAAGACAGCAACAGACAGGAAGAAAAACAAAAGAAGAACAAACAGACCCATCCCAGAGTGCAAATGCAGATGCGAAAATAAGAAAGACAAACGCCACCCCTTGCCATTACCCCAGTATCGAACGAACGAGCTTAGAAGACATCCTCTGCGGCAAAGTACCGCTTGCTGCGGCCTCGCGAGGCTACGAGTTTCATCTCGGGCATGTTGGTATGGTGTACAACGTGTGGCCGATATACGGCGTCGACGGGAACCTGCCAATCATCTAACCCGAGAGGGAAGTACTCATAGAGAAGATCGGTGCTTTCGTTCGGGAAGGGAAGCGAGGATGCAAATGGCTGAGGGAGGTTTGCAGTTTCCAACAGAGGCATTGAAGACGCGACACTCCGTGATGGGGTTTGAGAGACGGCATGGGAAAGCTTGCGCATTTTAGCAGGCGGAGCCGCATGGTCCAGACTCAAGGATCGCTGGTGAGATAGCTCGTTGGCGAAGGGGGATGGCATCTTTGATGGGTCAAGATGGAGATTAGGGTCGCCACTTTCTTCCTCGTCCAGTAATGACAGGTTGATTGGTACAGCGGCAGCTGTGCTCACACGACGTTGTGAATCAGTCATCTGAGATAATTGGTCCGGGCTAGAGTGGGGGAAGAGGGACTGCTGATGAGACATGACATTGTTGGATGTCGATTGCGGGATGGACGTCCAGTCCGGCGTGGCTTGAGTCTGCTGCATGAGGCTGGGCGGCGGAACCGACGTGGTTTCCGGGGAGCTGCTCTGAGCGGTTGGCTTCGACTTGGCTGGAGTCACGCTGGCACGACGCGGGACAGAGTCGCTGGTAGGGGTCCGGTTGAGAGCAGGGTTTGAAGAGTTGGCCTGGGCATTCTTCCTGGACGCGGCGGCACTGCCACTTAGAGGGAGATCCTTGCGAGACTGAAAATTACGTGGACTGCGGCCACGGACAATGACGGGACCCGACTGGACCTCTGAGATGGGGATCTTTGCGCCAGTGGACAAAGTCGCAACCACCTTGAGGCGAACGACGAAATGCTGTTGTAACTCCTTTCGGCGTCCATTGTTGGCAGTCGCGACACGGAACTGTAACCGCTTCCAGGCGATAGGGAAGGTGGCATAGTCCGAGTCCAGATCCTGGCCGGCCATGATGTCCAGAGGAATTGGTGGTGGCTCCTTCTCGATCTTGGCACCGGTCGTTGGGTTGTTCTCCTCGGGCGCCGTGCCAGAATTGGCGGCAGCCGCAGAGGGCGTCTTCCAGGGCACCGAGATGATCTTCACTGGGTTTCCTTCGACGGATTCGGTGGCGGATACCGTGAGCTCCTGCGCGAGAATTGGAATCCGATCGCCTTGGTCGGTCATGATATAGCGCATCCCACGAGGCAACGTCACCGAACCAGTAATTTGGAACAAATTACGGCGGTAACACGTTAACTCGGCACCTTGCTGTGGTGGGGCGTTGTCGGAAGGGGACGTTGTATACGGGGACTCGGCCAGAAAAAACATTCCGTGCAACTGAGCCGACACAGACAAATTGGTACGGCGCATCGAGTAGTCCAATAGGGTAAAGTGATATACTGGGATCGAGAAGCTCAAGAGCTTGTTGTTGTGGTCGATCGATGAGGATTCCTGGGATTGTTCCTGGGGCACCGGGTCAAAGGGAGCCACCATCTCGTTGAACGCATCATCGTATGGGAAGCGTTTGAGTCCATGGGAGATACTAGGAGGTGCAAAGGCGAGATCATCACTATTGTACGCGATCAATTAGCAAGGCAGCCCCGTTGAGGGGAGTGGATCCCCCCTCCCTCGTCCCACTTGGAGAAGCAAATCACCCACCTGACAAAGGTCTCTGAATCAAAGGTTGACCGATGATCCGGTATATCAAGACTTGGCATTGCATTCAGATAATCGGTCCCTTGCAAATTCCCCAGTGACAACGGGCTGGTCATATATGGCGGCATGGCCATAGTATCGAAGCCCTCCATGATGAGGACTGATACGATAGGTACACGCAGGATAGGGTAGAGGGTATAGTAGGGAAGGTTAGGAAGAAGGGAAAGAGGCGGAGGAAAGAAGGCAAGTGAAAAGAGAGAGAAGCCAAGGATAGATGGAGAAGGCCCCGGGGAATGCTGCAAGCAACGTGTGGAGCGTGTGGAGCGGAGAGATCTAGGGCGGGAGTGAAGGCGGAGAGGACATTTGAGAACAGAGAGGAATGGAAGAGAGTTGAGAGAAGAGTAGAGGGTAGAGAGTAGAGAGCAGAGAGATAGACGGAGCCGGAGGAGGAATCTCGACTTCCAGACGATCAACGGATTCGGGGAATAGTGGAGCCGCGGTTTTTGCGGAGAACGAACGCAGCGCTGAGTCAGCTAGCTCCCTTTGTGGTTTACTGAGTTGTAGTAGTAAACTTAGCAGTTAGTACGAAGTAGTAGAGTATTAATGGGGACTCGGCTATCGGCTGCTAAGTCCCTGAAGATCAGCGTACATATGGTGCATACATGTCCGTACTCCATACTCATATAGTTAAGTTAAAAAGAGAATACCCACCTGCCTATTAAGGTACTACTGCTTCGGGTTGACCCTCCTGAAAACGCCACACTCTACAAGACTCCCTTCTTCCTATCCTGTTTCTAACACATTATCTCTTGCAATACATGGATTCAAAAATGATCATCATGGCCCGTCTGACATGCGTTCAAGAGGGTCCAATCAGGGCCAACAATAGCAAGCAAGCCCCTCTGGACCCTCTGCGAACGGACATGCATGATTAGACCAATCTCCACCAGGTGGATCACCGGCGATGTCCGCGATACGAATCTGCAGGACTTTTAGATGTTCCGCCTCCCTTGTGGAAGGAGATACAAGGACTTTGGAACACGTGAAGTTTGGGACAGGGGACCCTGCATTTACCCGATTTGACCATCCCGAAGCTTCGTAGGGCTTGACTTTCCTTAAGCCCCTGAGTAAACTCTATCAGAGACATAAAGCGCATTAAAGCGACTCTCTAGTAGAAATAGAGAGAAAGTGTCCAAGTCAGAGGTAGGAATGTGGAGCCAAAAAGAGTAAAAACGGTTCTGTGTGACTGAGGGATTTAACGCAAACGGATCAAAGTTTGGCCCCGAGTTCCGGTCTCGCATATTTATAGTATATAGTATATACTAGAACATACCGTAGAGTCTGATAGAGAGAGGGGGAGAGAGAGAGAGAGAGAGAGAGAGAGAGAGAGAGAGAGAATAGAATAAGCTATAAGACAGAAGAGGATCTATTGTTATATATAACAAGACTCAAGGTCACATCCTCACAATGTAATGCTACCTTCAGTGGATAAGCGGAGGCCACTAGTTCAAGTTTAGGCAACGGTCTGAGCCGAGGTTCATTTATTTCGATTTCGAAGTGGCTTAATTAATATCAAGGCCCGAGTCCCCCGTGCCAAACTCTGTTTAGTCCCTCGCGTACACTATACACCCCTGGAAGGATTGAACTGGAATTTATACTGCGATGATTGGGCGCCTGTCCTACCCATTTCTCGCCCCAATATATGCAGATGATTCCTTCACCGTCCCAATAGAAAAAAGCCAGACCCAATGCGATATGGATATCATAGAACAAGATCAGAAGAAAAAAGAAGAAAAGTGAAAGAGACAGATGTCTACGACGTATGCATCATCGTCCATGTAGCTGCGTCACAGTTGACTTCCTCAAAACTGTGAAGCATAGTAAATCCCATCATCGAGAGATTGTCAAAGTTGCCATCAGCGTCGACCTATATCATGTCAGATCATACACCAAATCGGGAATAGCAAGAGAATATTAAAGAAAAACTTACACAATCCATGACCACGGCGTTAGCACTCAACTTCCGGATCTGCTTAATGGCCAGCAGGATCAACCCCTGCATAACGATAGAGTAATCCTCCCCACAAGGGGAGATAACGGGCGAGGAGATACCTCCCACGGAAGTCTGGGTGGCGCGCAGCACGGGCATATGCTCCGCCAAGGAGGATCGCTCGTTGTAGATCACGATACTCCCGAGGATGACTCCGTCGGAGGGCCGCTTGGCCCGGATGATGCCGCAGTTAGGCGCGCCACCCAAGGCCATCCGGTAAATATCGGCAACGCCCTGTCGGGCGTACGTTTTGATGTGATCCAGGATGGCCCGCGCAAAGTCCCAGCCATACACGAGGTCGTAAGTGATCTCGGCGCTCTGTAGCGTGGCAGTGAGCCCTTCCGGTGGCACCCATGTGGCTAGATTGCGCAGGATTACACTGCACACCGGTCGCGAAAGCGCAGTGTTCCAGCCTAGGTTAGCGAACCACTGCCGTAACCGCTTGCGTTCGACTGGATTTACGGTCGGTATGCCAAGGTAGATGCCGGGCAATCGTGAACCTAATTGGAACCGTCGCATTCCTTTGCGTTGGAGGAGAGTTCGAATCGCACGGCTGTGCAGGGAATGGCCAATTGATAATTTGCGCCGACCCGGGTCCACGATGAGACATCCTAAGACACCAGTGCCTGTTGACCGAAAGAAGTATGTCGCGCAGAAGCCATATAACGCCTGCGTGCTACTGTTCCGGACGACGAAATGAGCTTCATCGATATCCTCTTTTCGTAAGAGGAAGCTGCTAGACGTCGCTCCTAGCAATTCCGACCGCTGACCCGGGGTACAGTCGGCACGAATCGATTCGAGCAAAACCTCCAAGCCGAAGGAGTCGCGGTCTTCGTTCCAATTCTCGACCAGCCAATGCTGCCGAGATTGATGAATTTTCTGGGTGCGACCAATGGAGCCAGGCAATGCAGCAGATGGAGTCAGATCACCGTACAAGACCTTGACCAATGCCTGAAGAGCCGTTTCCGTGAAGTCGTATGTGCATATATAGGTACCGATCGAGGAGTCCATGGCAAAGTCGTATGGTGAACTGACTGCCACCACGACCAATGGTTTCGCTTGGTGCTCGCCTGACGAGCTATACTGTGATTGACATATCATCGAGACATGTTTAGAGAAGCCTTGCTGATATAAGTTGCGATTGGCATCTGCTGTGACAACGACCACCGCGCTCGCTCTCTGGATTAAGTCCTCGTGGATTGGGCGCACGCCGTTGGAAGTATATGAGGTGTGTAACACCCGACCGTTTCTTTGCCGCGATAGTGACCGCCCTAGCTCTTTAAACACGCTCTCTCCACTTAAAACCGATGAAGTCCGATCCGCAGACAGATGATCCATTGACCCATGCGCAGACTCCGAGGCCGACAGAGAAACCGCTGATGTTGGGAGTGGCTTGACCAACGGTGTCAGCAGCAAAAGTTCCTCGTCCGCTTCGATAACGTTGGACAACGGTAGCAAATTGTTTTTATCTCTCATCACCGTGATGGAAGAGTTGTAGGCTCGGGTGGAAAGGTTAGTATGCGAGGGTTGCATCTGTGTAAGTGAAGAAAGACCCGGAGGGTTTAGGGCCTGGTCCCACGAGGTGCAACGGGCCTTCAGATCTAAAACCCGACGCAAAGACTGTTCAATCCGTGGACGGCCGATGATCCCGTTTTCCACTCCCAACTTCAATCCATTGATGGCTTCTTGCTGGACTGGGAATGATCGACATAGGAGAATCACATCGCAGCCAGCGTTCTTTGCCATCACTGTACCACCTCCTACTCCAATATTATGCGTGAGAGCTTCCATCTCTAGACATTCGGAGACGACCACGCCTTGGAATTGAAGGTCCTTTCTGAGGAGCTCGTCAACCACCTGGTCGCTTAGACAGGCGTGCATCACGTTCATACCTGCAGACGACAAGGAGACTCCGCCTACCATCATTGCATCAAGACCCTGCGTGATAGCACTGCGAAAAGGCACAAGAGCGCTGAGACTGAGTTGCTCCAGTGACTCTGTGATAATTGGAACGTCTGTTTGAGAACCGAGAAATTCCAAATTACCATAAGATGGAAAATGCTTCCCGCAGGTCACCAAGCCGGCTTCTTGATATCCTCGCATGAACTGGACACCGAACTGAGATGCCTCTTGGGGGTCATCGCCAGAGGTGCGGACGCCTAATGGCTGATTTCGCACATTGGTCAAAACATCCAAAACTGGCCCTAAGATCCAATTAACACCGACAGCTTTGAGCTCCTGTGCTGTTGCAACAGCCACCTCATGGGCCAGAGTTTTAGATCCAGTTGCGGCAATGCCCATGGCGCTAGGAAATTGTCTGATATAAATTTCATCGTATAAACTGTTTACGCCGCCATTCTCTTGGTCCAGCGCAATCAGCAAAGGCACCGGATGGCCAGCATCACGTGCAATGGTCTGCAATTCCAGAACCAATCTGGTCGCCTCCTCGGCAGCTGCAGTCGCGTCAGTAGATGCTCGATTAATGGCCGGACGTGAAGAAGTACATTTCAAGTTTTTAGCTGATAGCAGCACAGCGCCCAGATGATAACTTTCAATGAGCGATCGAATCTGAGGATTGACTGATGTCCCATCAAAGCCCATCATAAAGAGCTGGCCCATCTGCCTGTGACATGTCAGTATGCAATTACCCAAAGAGGAAGTAGTCTAGATAATCGAAAAAGGTTCCACAGGGGCAGATACACCGAGATCGCGATGGGGAGTACGGGGGCAGGATAACATGAGGCCGAAACAGGAGATCGACATACCTATCTAGATCCTCCCAGCCCGGGGGCAGCATGTCCTCTTTCCGGGCCATGGCCCTGGGAAGCGGAATGCCTTTCAAGGCCAGAGTACAGTTTGGGGGGAAGGAGTGGACACCGCAAACGTCAGGCTGACTCTCAAGGAATATGCCCAGGTGAAGCCAGGTCAGTGTCAGGCTCGGGCGTGTGCGCGTTGGGGGTCAGGTGACTGAGTTCCCCAGAGCCGCAAAGTCGGGGAAGATAGGGAAGGTCACGGGATCGTGTCTCTACAGCTACGGATATTTACGTTAGACAGAGTACCTAGCCCTGGGTGTACCTTGGAACAATTTCATGTTCTCCATGTCTCATGTCTCATCTCCATTTCTCCATATCTATTTGTCCCTTTTTCCCGTTTCTGAAATTTGAATGCCAGACAGTCACGTGCAGTCACGTGTATACAATACGGTACGGAACCCACTGCGACGTTGCAGGGTTGCAATCTTCTCCAGCTTTTTGCCGATTTCACCGGATGCAACCCGTGGGCTTCTTGAGATGAAACCTCCCATTTTGATAATGCCCTTTTAATCCTTCGACGTCATATCATTCCTATCATTCCTATTGTTGGCCACATGGAACATGTGTCAATCCGGTGCCTTGATAAACATCCGGCGAATGAGGTAAATGCTGCCTATCCCGTGGCATATTCATGTCAAGATGCGGTTGTCTGCAGACGTCAATGAACTGGCCCGACTATCTCGGGAGGGTCCCCTGCCTGTCCAATCATGGTCCAATCATGGTCCAATCATGGACTTGGGGGCGACGGGCGATGATACATTTGCGGCCAACCAGACCCCGTAGTAGTAGATGGACTATACGACGTGGGAGATCCTTTTGTCACTGTCGTACACTCTCCACCCATGTCACTTCCATTTTACTCTTTTCTCAGTTCTTTTCCTAGATAACAAGATATCAACTTCAACTTCCTCTCCTCTTTTCTTTCCTTCACTCGGAAAGCTTATCCTAACACCCACTCGTGACGTCAACATGTATGTGATTTCTTGATCTGCCTGGACTTTGCTAATCTGTGCAGGCGTGTTATTATCAGAGAAGACCCCAAGGAGGTGTCTGTGTATATCGCAGACTATATCATCAGTATGTTCAAGTTCAGCCTTTGCGCAACTCAGAGATACTGACTCTTCAGGCCGCATTCAGTCGTTCAAGCCTACCGCTGAGCAACCCTTTGTGCTTGGTCTGCCCACTGGCAGCAGCCCTGAATTCATCTACAAGATCCTCGTGCAGCGTCATCGCGCAGGCGAGATCTCGTTCAAGAATGTCGTGACTTTCAACATGGTATGAGATGTGCAACCCCCCAACTATCACCAAACAACAACCGACTGACCCATCACAGGATGAATACGTCGGTTTGCCTCGCGACCACCCAGAGTCCTACCACAGCTTCATGTACAAGCATTTCTTCTCGCATGTGGACATCCCACCGCAGAACATCAACATCCTCGACGGCAACGCCACAGACCTGACGGCCGAGTGCGCATCCTTTGAAGCGCGCATCGCCCGCTACGGCGGCATCGAGCTATTCCTAGGTGGCGTCGGACCAGACGGCCACATCGCCTTCAACGAGCCCGGCTCATCATTGACCAGCCGCACGCGCGTGAAGACCCTGGCCTACGACACCATCCTCGCCAACTCACGCTTCTTCGACAACGACACGAGCAAAGTGCCGCGCATGGCCATGACCGTGGGAATCCAGACTATCATGGACTCCCGCGAAGTCGTGATTGTCGCGACAGGCGCCCATAAGTCCTTCGCTCTCCAAAAGGGCCTAGAGGACGGCGTGAACCACATGTGGACCCTATCCGCACTGCAACTGCACCAGCACCCACTGGTCGTGTGTGACCGCGACGCCACCCTCGAACTCAAGGTCAAGACCGTGCGGTACTTTGAATCGATCGAGCAAGCCGGTACCGATGCCCGCACCCAGGGCCCGGCTCTCGTCTATCGGCCCCGGACCTACGTTCCGGCTCCACTGCCCAGCAAGAAGTCCGCTTCGCAGCAGCCCACCCCCGATCGGACCCCGGAGAAGGTGCCCAAGGATCTGCGCATCAACACTGAGTTGCACCGCGCCATGGAGGACGATGAGCTCACTCCTGACAGCATGTCCTCACGTCTGGTCGACTCGGCCATTGGCATTGATGGCACTCTCAAGAGCGATCTCATGTTTGACCGCATGGGCACCAGAATGACCGCGCTCTAAGTGGCTCCGCAACAATCTTATGGCATTTCTTTCCGGGGTTTCTTTTTCGGTTTTGTCTTTTTACGTGGAATTTGGGTTTATCTTTTGCAAAATCATATCTGCATGGTCTTTCATCCGGTTTCGGGATATCTTCAGGAGTTTTGCGTTGCGTTTTGCTTGTTTCAATAGATGTGTATTCTCTAAGAGACAAGTGACTTTACCAATATTTAGCTATGGAAATCCAAGCATGTATAATTTATCAATTTATTGTCATTGTAGTGTTATGTGTATGTGTTTGTAGCGTGGTGTCGATCAATCTTGGATATGTAACCCAGAGGCCCCTGCGTATGCAGCGGGTGACTATAGTAAATCCTACTACTACAGAGTAAGAATCGGTCTGTCTGATGCTCATTTCGCAATCTGTCGATCACTATATAACTAATTTTGAGGTCGTATATGCATGAACTATTTACATTACAGCTTGGCAAAAACAGTGGCCACAGCACCGCTCATATCAACAAGGGTGCTCTTGTTCTGCAGCCAAGCCTCAATACCACGACGACCATTCTCCACGCCCAGACCGCTCTTCTTCCAGCCACCAACAGCCATCTCAGCAGGGCTCTCACCCCAGGTGTTGACCCAGGTGATACCAGCCTGTAGCTGGTCAATGACACGGTGGGCCTGGTTCAGGTCCTTAGTGAAGACACCAGCAGCGAGACCAAGCTCGGTAGCGTTGGCGCGCTGCACAGCCTCCTCAACGGTATCATAGTACAGAATCGACATGACGGGACCAAAAATCTCCTCCTTGACAATGCGCATGGAGTCAGTGCAGTCGGTGAAGATGGTAGGCTGAACCCAGAATCCAGCCTGCAGGTCCTTGGGCACAGAGGGTTTCTCGACACCACCGCAGAGGAGGGTGGCCTTGTCGGACTCGATTCCGTGGCGGATGTAGGAGACAACCTTCTCGTAGTGGGCGGAAGAGCTGAGGGGGCCAAAGTTGGTCTGCTCGTCGAAGAGCGGGCCAGCCCGCACATACTGGATCTTCTCGAGGAGGGACTTTTCGAAAGCGGCCTTCATGGCGCGAGGGACGAACACACGGGTACCGTTGGTGCAGACCTGGCCGGTGCTGTAGAAGTTGGCCATCATAGCACCGTCGACGGCGTTTTCGAGCTCGGCATCTGGGCAGACAATCAGAGGGCTCTTGCCGCCGAGCTCCATAGTCACGTATTTCATGTTGCCGGAGGCGTTACCGGCAACCTTCTGGCCGGTTGCCACCTGGCCGGTGAAGGAGACCTTGGCGATCAGAGGGTGACCGGTCAGGTAGGCACCAACATCACCAGCGCCGTTGACCACGTTGAAGACACCATCGGGGAGGCCAGCCTCGGTGTAGATTTGTGCAAGGGTTTGGCCGTGGAGAGGGGTGAATTCACTGGGCTTATAGATCATAGTGTTACCAGCAGCCAAGCAGGCAGCGGACTTCCAAAGAGCACTACAATGGAATTAGTTTCCATCGGCAAGAAGACGAGCAAATTGACTTACATCTGAATGGGGTAGTTCCAAGCACCGATGCCTGCACACACACCAAGAGGGGCCTTCTTGGTATACACCCAGGCGTCTTCACGGAGGTGAGTAGTCTCGCCATTGAGACCACCACCACCAATGAAGTTGGCATAGTACTCCAACACATCGGCGCCTGTTACAACATCGACGGTGCTTGTCTCGGTAAAGGCCTTGCCCGAGTCCAAAGTCTCGACGCGGGCAATTTCATCGTTGCGCTCGCGCAAGAGAGTAGCGGCTTTGTGAAGGATGCGGGCACGGGCAATTAAGGGAGTCTGGGCCCACGAGGGGAATGCGCGGTCTGCGGCAGCAATGGCGGCATCGACATCAGCGTTGGAGGCAATTTGGATGTCGGCCAACGGAGCTGCGGTGGCGGGGTTAATGGTTTGAAAGGTCTTGCCGGAGGTAGCGGCCTGGATCTTGCCGCCGTAGTAGAGCTGACGGGGAGGGAATTCGAGAGACATGATGCGTGTGAATGAACGTGCAGTCTGTACTCTGTAAAGATTATGATCTTGAGGCAGATTTACTTCTCACCGCCTTCAAACTACCTCGGGACTAGCGCAGGCCTTAAACTAAGCAAAATCTCGTACGTAAGAAACTGCGCCCGATGGCGGGGAGTCTTGGCCGAATCTGCACTTTCTCCTACTGTGAATGGCTCGTAAGTCCTCAGCCGGGACTTCCGCCCTAAGAATGGAATTGCTAGCCTTACGCCTGTGACGTACTTCTACTGTCCGATACACAAACTCATACCCTAGCATCGGAAGGGCAATCCTTTCCTGGATACATCTCCTATCAACTCAATCTCTTGACTCCAAATACTCCAAGATACACATAGATACACATATTCCATATGCATCGTACGATAAGCGATGAAACATCTCGGCCGTTCATAGTTAAGAGGCGGTGGGCTCATTATCTAAAACCTCTCCACTTCTATGATCGCCACCACTCAGAGTCTTTTAATTCGCCGAGTCTAACTGAAAAAAATATGAAAAAAAAAAGTGGAAAGGTAAAGACGAATTTGGTGAACCGATAGAGACGTGTTAGATTCCTCAGACCACTTCGATTTCTCTATTCAAAAAGGCGGTCTCCTCTTTTCATACCTCCCCCCCTCCCTGCATACACATCTCCATCATGGCTACTACCAATGAGCTCCCCGCTGTCGATGTCAACAGCTACGACTACATAGTCGTTGGCGGTGGTACTGCTGGCTGTGTGATCGCCGCTCGTCTGGCCGAGTACCTCCCCAACAAGCGCACTCTAGTCATTGAAGGTGGTCCCAGTGATTACAATGACGACCGCGTCTTAAACCTCAAGGAATGGCTCAACCTCCTCGGCGGCGAGCTCGACTACGACTACGGCACCACCGAGCAGCCTATGGGTATGATCTCTTTCCTATCTCGAGTGATCGCGTGAAGCTGAGTTGCTGACATCCCGCAGGTAACAGTCATATCCGCCACTCCCGCGCGAAGGTCCTCGGCGGTTGCTCCTCCCACAACACTCTGATCTCCTTCCGTCCTTTCGAGTATGATTGCCAGAACTGGGTTGCCAAGGGCTGCAAGGGCTGGGACTTTGAGACCTTCACCCGCATCATTGACAACCTGCGTAACACCTTCCAGCCGGTGCATGCCCGACACCGCAACCAGCTCTGCAAGGACTGGATCCAGGCCTGCTCCAGTGCTATGGACATTCCCGTCATTGAGAACTTCAACGCCGATATCCGCAAGAACGGCGAGCTGACCGAGGGTGTTGGCTTCTTCAATGTGTCTTACAACCCCGATGACGGCCGCCGCAGCAGTGCGAGTGTCGCCTACATTCACCCCATCCTGCGCGGTGACGAGAAGCGTCCTAACCTGACCATCCTTACCAACGCTTGGGTCTCCAAAGTCAACGTTGAGGGCGATGCCGTGACCGGTGTCGATGTGTCTCTGCAGTCTGGTGTCAAGCACACCCTGCGCGCTAAGAAGGAGACCATCCTGTGTGCCGGTGCTGTCGACACTCCTCGTCTGATGATGCTTTCTGGTCTTGGTCCCAAGGAGCAGCTCTCCGGACTGGGCATCCCCGTTGTCAAGGATCTCCCCGGTGTCGGTGAGAATCTGATCGATCACCCCGAGACTATCATCATGTGGGAGCTCGAGCGCCCCGTGGACCACAACATGACCACCATGGACTCGGACGCTGGTATCTTCTTGCGCCGCGAGGCCCCCAACGCCGCTGGTTTCGACGGTCGCGCTGCCGACGTGATGATGCACTGCTACCAGATTCCCTTCACCCTCAACACCACTCGTCTGGGCTACGACGAGCCCATCAACGCCTTCTGCATGACCCCCAACATTCCCCGCCCCCGTTCGCGTGGTCGTCTCTACCTGACTTCCGCCGACCCCTCCGTGAAGCCCGCGCTGGATTTCCGCTACTTCACCGATGCCGAGGGCTACGACGCCGCCACCATTGTCGCCGGCTTCAAGGCTGCCCGTAAGATCGCCCAGGAGTCCCCCTTCAAGCAGTGGATCAAGCGTGAGGTCGCCCCTGGCCCCAAGGTGCAGACCAATGAGGAGTTGTCCGAGTACGGCCGTCGCGCTGCCCACACCGTGTACCACCCCGCTGGTACCACCAAGATGGGTAACGTTGCCCAAGACCCCCTGGCCGTTGTCGACCACAAGCTCAAGGTCCGCGGCCTCAAGGGCGTCCGTATCGCCGACGCCGGTGTCTTCCCTGACATGCCTACTGTCAACCCCATGTTGACTGTTCTGGCCATTGGTGAGCGCGCTGCCGAGATGATCGCCGAGGAGGCCGGCTGGGCTCGCAACCAGCCCCGTCTGTAAATGCACATGCAGTACATGTGCCGATGTGACATGCCTGTAAAAGTATATATTTTATGTTTGATTTTGGTTTCATTTTTGCATACAAGCGAGCGGCGCATCCACATGGATCTGCCCACCAGGTCTGCAAGACGGACCTGACATTTTGATTCCTTGATATTTACCACGACATCTATTCAATGATTTGGTCCTCAACTTATTCTTTGGATACTGATGTAAATTTGAAATGTAGAATAACATGAGAGGTATTCAAGATCGTAGATCTATGATCATGCGCTTGTTCTATGCTCATGCAAATGACAACCTAACCCCTATAACCAGTAACCCGAGATATGAAAACAACAGCAGAAATAGAAAACAGAAACAGAAAACAGACATGCCTTCAAACCGCCTTGTCAGTGTCATGGATCTTAGCACCAAGCTTCCAGACCTGATCAACAGTCAAAGTAGGACCAGAGAACGGATCATCATTCTCGCCCAGCACCACCAGATCGGCATCAGCGCCGCTATCCAATGTGCCCTTGATACCCTGTAAGCCAAGCAGACGAGCAGGGGTAGCAGTGACAGCATTGATAGCAGCAGCAGTAGAAGACCCAGACCAACGGCGGAAGTTGTTAACACACTCAATCAACGTCGCAGAAGACCCAGCAATCTTATCAGACCCCTCAAGCGTCAACCGCGCACCAGTCTTAACAATCCTCTCCCCATTCGTCCACTCATAAGTACCGTCAGGCAACCCACACAGCCGCATAGCATCCGTAACAAGAATCAACCCCTCAGGGTGCGCATTATACGCAATCTTAATAGAAGTAGGATGTAAATGGATGCCATCGGCAATAACACCGTAAAACGGCCGCCTGCGCTCACTTTGACCAAGCAAGCCAAAGATACCAGGGTCGCGGTGGTAGAAAGACCGCATAGCATTGAAGAGGTGCGTGATCATGCGCGCACCCTGGTGAGTAGCTTGAACAGCCTGCTCGAATGTCACGTCCGAGTGGCCGATGGCAAAGACGATATCTTTCTTGGTGATTTCGGGAATCTGGGACATCATGTCGCCGACTTCTGGGGCGGCTGTGATCATCTTGATTGGGTTTGAGCCTTCCAGGTTGTCTGCGCCGTAGCAGTGCATTATGTCTTGGAGGGTTTGCGCGGAGCGGAGGACGTCCTTCTTGTGGATGCCGTTTCGGCCGGGACTGATGAATGGTCCTTCGGCGTGGGCGCCGAGGGATTCGGCGCCATCTTGGGGTTGATGCTTTCCTGCGGTTGGACCGAGGGATGGGAGGACCTGGGGATAGTTAGTCTGGTGTTCGAGTTTCTATAGATGTTGGGTGGTGTTGCTTACCTTCCAGTATACTTCCGGGGTGGAGCTGACGAGTGTAGGCAGATAGGAGGTGACACCGGTACGAGCGAGACCGCGGTTCACCATGCGTAGACCCTCGTCGTATTCCTCCTTTGTGTCACATGGAACGGAGAAGTCGAAGCCGTGGGCACCGTTGAGTTGGACGTCGATCATACCCGGGGCCACGATGCGGCCACCGAGATCGATGATCTCGTCCGGGGAGAGGTGCAACTCATAGAAGGCTTCTTGGTCTTTGAGGATCTTTCCGGTCAGGGAGTCGATCCAGAGATCTTGTTCGACTAGAGATGAGCCGCGCACCAAGCGGCAGTTGGTGAACTTGGTGATACGGGGCGAAGAGGTGGTTTTGCCGGGCATGATGTCAGAATCTCTCAAGGCCAAGATCAACGAGAAAGAAAGAGATAGGACAGTCTTGACATATAAACAAGACAGAGAGTCTGCAAGCACAATGATGTAACTGTGTAGTGACATTCGGCATGCCGAAGTAGTATACCACTTATACCACGTATTGTCACGTATTGTCCCCCGCATGCAACTCTCCGCATGCGGGTCCAATGCGACCGGCAGAGTCGCATTCGTTGTGGACCTCCTTTTCTCTCTCTCTTTCCTCTCTTTCTCGCCCAGACATCTCAGTACCACTGGATGTCATTATTCATCTCTTGATGACTCTCTCTTTCTTTTCTCTGCGCCGTGGTTCGCTCCATCTCCTGTCTTTTTCTCCAGACCCATCTTCAACCCCCCGCAACCCCATGGAACTGATCGGCCTAATAGTGTCGCATCGATAATTATGGAGTCTCGATAAGACTATCGTGTGACTCGGCTATTACTATTCTCTTCAGCTTTAAAAAAAACTAATGCCCTGGACCTTGACTCCATTATCTCACTTTCTCCCTTCTAAATTTTCACGTGGGACTCACATTCCAACCCCTTGTTCCTTTGTTATTATCTTCACCCCTGTAGATCTGTTCCTGTTCCTTCAACCATGGCGAAGGAACAGAAGCAGGAGATGTCGGAGTATGATTCTGCGAGGGCCCCGGATCCCGAGTCTGGCGTGGATCAGGCCGTGTTAGGGCCGGCGTGGATGTACAAGCCAATCTTCAAACTGGGCAAATGGGAGGCCCCGTACTTTGCCTCGCCCGAGTTCCAACTATACCTGGTGTCGTTTGTCTGCTTCCTGTGTCCGGGCATGTTCAATGCTGTCAGTGGTCTCGGTGGCGGTGGCCAGGTCAACGCGACCGATGTGAACAACTCCAACACTGCGCTCTACAGTACCTTTGCCGTCGTGGGCTTCTTCGCCGGCTCAATTGCCAATCGAATTGGCCTGCGATTGACCCTATCGATGGGCGGCTTGGGATACTTCCTCTATGTGGCCTCCCTCCTCTCCTACAATATCAACCAGAACTCCGGCTTCTTGATCTTCGCTGGAGCTTTCCTCGGTGTCTGTGCGGGTCTCCTGTGGTGTGCGCAGGGTGCGGTGATGCTGAGTTACCCCCAAGAACATGAGAAGGGCAAGTATATTGCTGTGTTCTGGGTTATTTTCAACCTGGGTGGTGTCATTGGCAGTTTGGTATGTTCAATTCATCATATCTCATATCCAGTATACTAATGATAGTAGGTTCCCCTCGGTCAAAACATGCACTCCACCGCCGGTAGTGTCAACAATGGCACCTACATTGCCTTCCTGGTCCTCATGGCCATCGGCTTCGTGCTCTGTTGGTGTCTTGCCGATTGCAAGTATATCAAGCGCAGAGACGGTTCCCGTGTGATTGTGATCAAGAATCCAACCTGGAAGTCCGAGTTCGTCGGACTGTGGGAGACTCTGATCAACGACTCATACATTATCCTCATGTTCCCCATGTTCCTGGCCAGTAACTGGTTCTACGGATATCACTTCAACTCCGTCAACCTGGCCTATTTCAATGTCCGCACCCGCGCCCTGAACAGTCTGCTTTACTGGCTGATGCAGATGGTGGGTGCTTTCATCTTCGGTCAGCTTCTGGATCTGAAGTGTCTCTCGCGTCCCTGGCGTGCCAAGCTCAACTTTGGTATTCTGCTGGCTGTCACCATGGGTATCTGGGGTGGTGGATATGCCTTCCAGAAGCAATATACTCGCGAAAGCGGTTCTATTGATACCGATTTCACCGACAGTGGCTATATTGGACCTATGTTCTTGTACATGTTCTATGGATTCTACGATGCTGCTTTCCAAACCTGTACCTACTGGTACATGGGCTCTCTTTCCAACAATGCCCGCAAGTTGGCCAACTTTGCTGGTTTCTACAAGGGTATCCAGTCTGCCGGTGCTGCCGGCATGTGGAGGTGAGTAGTCTATCTTCCTACCTGCATTGATCTTACACTGACAATTTCCAGCATGGATGCCAAGAAAACTGCCTATATGACCGAATTTGCCTCCTGCTGGGGTCTGCTCGTCGGCAGTATGCTGGTTGCCTCTCCTGTAATCTTCTTCAAGATCAAGGAAAGTACCGCTGTCGAAGATGACTTGCGATTCTCCGACGAAACAGCCAAGGACGTCCTCGGCACTACCACTGAGTTGTCCGAGTTCGAGAAGCCTCAAACAGAGACACACACCCCCACTGAACTATCCGAGTTCGAGAAGCCTCAAACACAGACACACACCCCCACTGAGACTCTCCGCGACTCCAACGATGAGCCCACCCCCAAAGCCTGACGGGAGCAATCCCTTGTACCACCACGGTCATTAGACTTATACACCTTTGTATCTCACCATGGGTCTGACGATATCTGCATTTACGAGGCGTGCCATTTCTGAATCGCGGGGCTCGCCTGTGAGTGTGCAATCATGTTCAATGTCAATCGCTTTTTATTTCAATTCTTGTACATTATTTTGGCAGACCTCTAGGGCCAGGGATCGTCGGGATTTGCTGGCTAGTATAGTTCTGGAGATATCGTCTTTAGTGGAGGAATGTGACTATATTGACCTTGGTCAAGTTTCATACATTCCAATTATATCATGTCTTAGATTCTCGTCAGTCATCGAGTAATCATCAAGTTATGTATGGGTTTATATATATATATCTCTCTCTCTCAGGCATGTGAGCTATTCCTTCCCGACCCGACCCTAAATCAACACAGCCTTAGTAGCCGAAGGCAAAGCCACCGAAGCCTGCGTATGAGTAGCCTCTGCATCCCCTTCACTAGAAAATCCAGCCTTCAACTTCTTCCCCCCATCAGGCAACTCCCACCCAAACAGCGTCCGGTTGAACAATTGCAACGCAGCAACAGGCTGATAATAAGGAACCTCATGACCAGCCTCATAAACCCTAGTAAACGAGAAATTCCCAAACTCCCGGGTCTCACCATACTCAACACCGCCCACAGTAAACGGCGCATAACCAGCCTTTGCAAACTGCTTACTATGCGGATACTTCGCAGCCAGCGAAACAGCCTCCCCGCCAAACCAATTACAGATATAATCGGCATCGCCGTAGATGAGGGCCACGCGGACCGGGCGCGAGAGGATATCTTCTAGATCGTCGAGGAAATTGGGCCAGACGAAGTCGCCTTTTTGTTGGAAGGCGAAGTAGACTTCGTTGTTAGATTGGGTGTAGTTGATGTCTACGCCGAGGCCATTTAGGACGTTGTCTTTTGCGAGGTATTTTGTGTAGTAGCCTTCTGGGGTTGGGTCGGCGTATGGATGGCGGATGTCGTAGACGCCTCTTTTGCCGAAGGTGTAATAGGGTCCTTCTGCAGTTTGGCGTGGGTTAGTATGTATATGAGAGATATGAGAGGAATGGGATGGCATGGGATGGGTGGGCTGTACGTACCAACATTGTCGCGACACATGTTTGTTGCTTCGGTGCAGAGGGCGAAATCGGCTAGGGAGGTGCGGTTTGTCAATTTGCAGGATGCCACTTGGTCCTGACAGCCGTTTGGCATTTCGTTGGCGAATTTCATGTAGTTGTAGACTGTGTCGTTGACCTTTATTTATGTTAACGTTATGGATTGGAAGGTATGCTGTCGATAGGTAGACTCACGGCTTTGATGCCATAGGTGTTGTTCACGGCGAATTCGGGGTAGTGACGGGCTTGGATTCCTTCGTCGATGATTCCGTTTATAATGCCAAGAGTGTTGAAGTCGAGTTGGATGCCTTTTTGAGTTCCGTTCTTGATCTTCTCGTTTTCTTCGTAGAAGTGGTCGAAGAACTGCATGGTTAGCTAGAGATAAACTGAGTGGTTGATTTGGCTTACGGCAGGGCCATAGTGTCTATAGAGGTTAGCGGCGATATATACAGGTGGAAGTGGTACTCACCCTCCATAACTTTCAGTCCATAGATTGAAACTCTTCGACTTGATCTTCGAGTCCAGCTTGGGGAGAGCACCCAGGAATCCCTGCAAGACTTCCCAGGTAGCTTTAGCAGCGAGGTTGGTCGTATCAATCTTGGTAGCATTAATGACCGGATAACGACCATCAACGCCGGCAAAGTCTGCATCTTCGAAGACACCCGTCAGGGGGTTAAGTGTACCAGGCGCCTTTTCAGCATAGGAGAAGCCTGTACAGAATCAGCGAAATGTTCCGACGACACGTAGAAGCCTCAACATACCAACACCCAACGGCTGAGACAGGAAAAGCATATTCGAAACCTCATTCCACGATTGAGGGTTAATCTCCGATTCGGACTCATTATTAATACGACAAGGACCCAATTCCTCAAATAACCCAATCAGAGAATCACTTCCGGGACCACCATTCAGCCACAACGTAATTGGAGCATTTTTAGGATCATGGCGAGCCTCAAAGAACCAGAAGAAAGTATGCTCTGTCGGCGAGAGGTCGACATAACCAGAATAAGACTTTACACCCGGAGTCGTCTCACAAATGCCCTCTTTCCCGGGTTCCTTGTAGCGAATCGTGACATTATTAGCCGTCTTAATTGTCTTCACACCAGTCGGCTCCTTGGGTAACTGGCGACGAGTAATAGCCTCGTAAACAGGATTGTGTGGCACCGCCGACACAAGAGGCAGGAACAGTGGAATCCAGGTCGAGACACGCATAGCTGGGCAATGATGTGTCTATATGGACTATACGAGCATTCACGACAGCACAGGGGACAAGCGGGGGGTACTTATAGTACTCCCCGAGAGGGGGAGGGGAAAGAGATTGGTCTGCATTGGAGTAAACAAGTAAATAAGCACGATAACCGGCAGTATGCGAGTCAGGCTGTTCGCAATCGGCGCCCAGGATTTCCTCACGGGGCAGGTTTGATCGGTGTCAACAGGGGGCCTAATCAGTTACTCCGTTGGAGCTCCGGGGAAGGTAACATCATACGAGTGGAGATAGGCTTCAGTGAGTCGGCAGTGGCTGGCCAAGACCTCGCGGGGCGATAGCTTGAGGCGATGACTTGGGAGGCTGGGTGAGGGGAAGATCGACGCTACAGTAGACACTGGCTGCATGCCAAGAACTGTAGGCTTCGATTTTGCCCGAAAAAACAAGAATCAGGAAGGGATACAGAAAGTGGAAGGTGGAAGTGCAGCATGCGATTAGCAAATATCTTGTTCCTGTGGCGCCTTAACCTTAGCTCACGGCCAGGGGAAAGTCCCATATGGACCCTGTTTCCCACAAAGAATCTGCAATCCCCCACTGGAATCAATATAATAAACAGCACCCGTCTTCTCATGTCCAGTCCAGGCATCTGCATGCATACAAGCCTCATTCCAAGTAAACCGGTTCCGACTCCCTCGACAATTATGCAAGCTGTGGATAACAACTGGATTGGTAATCAGATCGGTCCCCCAACCAACAGCCGATATGAAAGACAGACTGGGAGTTTGCCCGCACCAGGTATCCGTGGATGGGAATGGATTGGTGAATGGACCGAAGAGGGAATCGGTATCGATGGCCATGACCATGGCCATGGCACTGTCTGAGTAAAGGTTTGCTTGAGCTGCAGTGGTTTGGTTGGTGTCACCAATGCTGAACCTTTTGATTGTTGAGTGCTGTGCATTGAGACGTAGCTGTGGTGATCGATGGAGTGGAGCTAGTCAGGATGGTGCTGGTGGAAACTGCAGTTGCCGTCACGGTGGCAGAATAATCGGTGGCTACCTGGACCAAGACGGGACTGCCTTCATTCACAGGCAGTGCATCTCCCAGTCCAGTCAAGGTGGCTAGTGCGAATATCACGAGTTGGATCATGGCAAAGGTAGGGAGTAGCTATGTCAAGGTGATGAGACTTGAGGATGAACAATGGTTCAGACATTGGAGGGAATAGCAGGTATTGAACTTTGAAGAACAAACTCGTTGGAGTCAGTATTTGATTTCTAATGGACATGGAATGAATCGTGCCATTGTAATGGATGAAAGAAGCGATACGTTCTATTGGATTGAGAAGCTAGACGGGAGATCACTGATGTATCAATCAAGGTAGAATGGACCTAAGATGGCCATACGGTAGAGCTGACAGGGCTGAATCGCAGACACGGCTGGCTGAAGCCAAGTATCAACATAAGCTCATCGAAACGGTATACCTGTATGACTCTTGGATTCAAAGGGACCATATCTCATGCCCCCCAAGCCCAATATACTAGAACCTCTTGGAATTGCTGTCTTAGAGTAGCCGCCATCTAGCTAGATGGATAGAATATACACTAGACGTGGCAAGCACGAACTAGTATGGGTAGAGTGAGGAATATGCATTAGGCTCGGGAACACCGAGAACAGTCTTCCAGAAATAAACGATCTTTGCTTTTAGCAGATGCCAAATCGTGATCCTTGCAATTGAAAGAACTGCACACCGTTTGCTCTACTGTGCAGTCACGAACTGTAAGAATGGAGAAGATCAATCTTCGGCCCAAAGCCGAGAGGGGCATTCCGCTCTTCATCTACGCGTATGAAACGAAATCACATTGTTTGCCCTGACGCCAATGGAGATGAGTCCATCGCTCGGCGCCACACGCGTTGAGGGAAGTATAGGCCGAAGATAGCGCCTCGGGCAGAAATGGATCTAATTTGCAATTCTAGTTTAGTTAGCATGTTGGACATCGCAATAAGGGCCTTGTCAAATAGTCTCACGGTAGTCGAGAGTTAGTCTAATTAGTCGAGAATGGAATGCCAGATATGCCGATCTCGCCACCTAAGGATGTGTGCAGGTACGCGGGCTAGAACCGCATATCATTTCCTCCTGTAAAATATGACTCCAGTCTTTCTTTCTTTCTTTCTTTTTTTTTTTTTTTTTTTTTTTAGAAAGAGGCTCAGAGGCTCAGGAGATAAAGTTAAGCGCAAAAATGGTCGGGTCTCGGCTCTTGTCTAATAGGGGAGGTGCCTACAGTAGGGGGGATTTATTTGTTCATATGCTCGACTATGAACCCAGCGACTTGAATATTTGCATAATGGAAGTTATAGATAGATGTACAAGCAAGGGCTTAGCAATATCTGACGTAGATGCAAGGCGAACAAAGCCTCTCGTGAAATGTTTTAACCTCGTGTTTCACGCGGACCAACGCATAACCGAAGGTCTCAGACCCGGAGATCGTCCAGCCTTTGCACGCGGGATCGGCTTCATTTCCACCGTCGAGTGAGGCGATTCTATGATTTGTCCGTTTGATCCTGGTGGGAAATGTGCCAACAAAGACAGCCCCTGTCTCCACCGCGTAATCAAAGTCCGACCCGTAAAATCTCTCGGAAAATGAAAGGAAATTGTATGCACAATTAACGGAGGAATTTGAGTAGCTGCCTCTCGTGGCATAATCGCCGATATTAGCTGTTCTTTGTCCATTGACCATAAGATCTGAATATCTCCCTCTGTTTCATCCTCCATACAGTTCCCAGCATTGTGTCAAAAACCCGAGGGGTACTGTACGTTGGTTCGGTCCACCGGGCCCCAGTGTCTCTCTCCTGCTCATCTCAAGAACCAACCCTAACCTTGCATCTCCAGCCTTGTTTTGGCTTCACCATGACCCAAGCCTCTTTGGGCTGGCTCCCGTGATTTTAAATTTGACCGTCCCTGCGGACACCAGCTTGAAATTAGCCTAACGGTCGTGACTCGAAGTTTAAATCTTATATCTACGCTATCATCTTTACCTGGAACAACAGCGCCCTCTACTATGGCTTCTGCGCCTGGAACTCCTGTTCGCGCACACAGTAGTGCAAGTGCAAGGAAGCGTCCGGAGTCATCACTGCCCCCGGTCATCGAGGACGTTTCGTATCCATCCCATCCGATTGCCCAACTTCAAGGGCCATTTGAAGAATCAATTGTGGAGACGACCAGTAGCTCGGCAGAGGAATGGGTTGTTGAAATTGACGCGCAGACACGACGGCGCGATCTATTGGAAAATGACGACTATGAGCGTCTCTGTGGGAGGAAATGGCGCCAAAGATCCTCGGAAAGGTTAGAAGCCAATTGCACTTGACTGAGCTGGAGCTGACTCGCATAGGTATCATCCATTTTGGAAACTGATCTCCCAGATGGTCTTTGGAGTCCATCTTCTCGGCAAGAGTCTGGCCAAATCGGAGGTGTCAGTCATGAAAATTCTCCAGACGCACGTCGATGAGCTGGATGGCTTTCTGCAAAGAACGACAGAAGACTTTCTGATCATTCGATTGGATGTTCGCACCCGAATTCAGTATCTCAGTTTGCCTTTGGGTAACCTGGAGGTCTTCGATGAGATGCTTCAAGACCGAGCCTTCCGGCTATCGGTTGTGTCGTATAATGACCAGATCGAACATTCCATCTACAGATTTACCCTGGCTATCACAGATGCCCTCAAAGATCTTCAAAAGGCAAAGGAGGCCATGGGTGCACTCTGGTTCTACTTCCGAGAGCTTGCGGACGAGGGCTGTTTCGAGACTGACAGCCTCAACGCCTTTCGTCAGGCCATGATGGACAACATGGAGGGCTGGATTGTTGCTATCTCTAAGCTTCGTCAACGAGGCGCCGCTCTCCAAAAGGCTCTCAGTCAGTTGGGTCTTGCAACTACAGAAATGCAACGCCGCGTGGGTGTAGCGAGCAGAAAAGATGTGGTGAGTTGCCAACTTCCCATGATTACATTTCGTACTAATTGGAACAGCGATCATTCGTCCAACAAAGTAAAAAGACTGCAAGACGAAGCAAGTCTGTCAGACAGAGACTCTTTGAAAGAGAAGCGCCTGTTCCAGAGAAGCCTCTCCCTCGCGATCCATTATCGAAACCAAAGCGGACATCTTCCAAGAGTCCACCAGCCACACCTGAAGAACAACCAACGACTCCCGCAGATCCAAACCAAACCGATGGTCTACGACGCAAGATCCTAAGTCGGGCCAAATCATGCAGTGCTCTCATAGGAGAAGCCAGCGCGGGCGCGGGCGACGCACCACCACCTCTTCCATCAACACCACCAACATCTGGACTACTAAAACGAAAGCTGTCCATACCATTCCTACCCAAACGATCTGCCAGTGAAAAGATCGATCTCAACAAATCCCGACCTAGGACAGCACCTTCACAACCATCAAGGCCATCGCGCGCCATTTCAATAGAACACCTACGAGCATTCTGCACAACACCACGACCAGTAACCCGACAATCGATGGCCAAATCACCTACACAAGCACGACAAGAGACCCACAACAAGCTCACGAGCGGCCGAGAGAGCATGAAAGACCAAATCTCGCAATTCCTCAAAAGCGACCGCGTGGTCGATGCCTGGGATAACGTCTCCAAGAACGCGTCATGCTGTGCACGGCCACTCGCAAAGACAAAGGAATGGCCCAGCAGCATCTTCCGCACGAAATCCTCTACGACACTACAAAAACAAGGCCAAAATGACCTCTCCGGGCCGGACCTGGAAAGGCAGATGTCATGGGTACAAGAGACATTCGATGTCCTGCCTAAGTACTCATTCAAGCCGAAACCCGACATTTCGCCCCGCATCCACGTCCTGTCTGTGCAGATGACATTGGATGAGGAGGCTAGTGTGTCCAATGGCGGAGAGGCGAGTTTAGATATGCGGAGTGAGACCGGGTCAATCACCGCATTACCGGCTGTGCCGGCTCCGCCGGTTTCTATTTCACCAGTAGGTAGTCAATCATGAGATTTGTGAATTATTTACTGACATTTATAGATCAATTTGGAGCATCGGACAAGGCTGGTGGAATGTGAAGCTTGAACAATTTTATACCCGAGGTGTAGTTACATCATCACTTGAGCCTCGTCTCGGGTCAGGTATCCGGAGGCAAATACATACAGGACACAGCGTTAACTACATTCACATTTACAAATACAATGTCAGTAGAATTCAGTTCAGCACAGCCCATTTGCCTCTCAGCCCTGCGCCCCATCGCAGATCATTGGATAGTGGAATACTGCGCCACGCGCTGCGCCTACACTTAGACGACAACTGCAGTATTTAGCGCTGAGGTTCTCTCGTTTTTTCGCAAACCTGCTATTTTCTTGTATTTTCTGTAGTTTCTGTGATTCTTCACGTTCATTTTCAGGTACCAACTACTTAATCCCTAGCCCAAAGTGCGAGACACGTTAGGTCGCTGGTACCTCGCCAGCTTTCAACTGCAGCCTAGTGCCAAGGACCCACCGCCCAGCCCCTACGATTACGTCGAACATCTCAGCCTTGGGGACTTTTTATCTCTCTGGTTCACTCCTCACTCCTGTCACCCCTGCCCTCATGGCTGTCATTTTCCCCAGATACACCTGGTAAGTCGTCGGATACTTCCCTCCGCCAGCATATGCTAACAGTCATCCAGCTACGGTGGTTATGATGGCTGCTACTCTACCTGGGACTCCTGGGGCCGCTGGGTAGCATTTGCGGTTATCGTCGGTGTTGCTTTCCTGCTCTTCTTCGGTTTTGCGTGAGTCTCATCTCAACCCTCCAGATTCATGTGCCATGCGCGAATTTCAGAGCTAACATGGCCCAGATGCTTCAATGCACGCCGTCGCAGAACCCATGGCCAGCGCCCTATAACCGGCACAGGCTGGATGGCTCCTCCCCCGGGACCTCCTCCGCCAAACCAGCCCATCTACCAGCCCCCTTACGGCGACCCCTACTACCAACAAAATTCGCCACCCCAATACAGCGCCAACCCCCAGAACTACGGCTACTTCGGCGCCCAGAACGGACCACCGCAAGAGCAGGGAATCGAAATGCAGCCCCCACCACATGCATACAATGGGGGACAGCCCTACTCGCCCCCGGCCGGCCCGCCCCCAAACGCGAGCAAGGTCTAGACGCTAGACATCCAAAGCTTTAATGGACACAGGGCTTTGAAGCCTGATTTGCATTTCCCTAGTGCACTGGAACCTAATGTTTTACGGCGTTTTCCTATCGGATGGTGCGATGCATGAACTTTGCTTTGATACGGATACCCGCATGGGTGGATTGTTTTGTTTCCTTTTTCAATGTTCTCTCGGTTCTGATCCCAGATTAAAGGACAGGGTTCGGGCACTTGTCTCTAAAACGGGACTTCAATAGTTCTGTGTTCTCGTACATTGTTCACATCGCTATTTCTAATGACATATCTTGAACGGCCAGTCCTGCATAAAATACATTAATTACCTAGTTTCTTTGAAAGTAGACTGGTCTTGGATCAGCGTCGATCATTGTGCAGGGGGTTGAGATGAACCGGTTGCGCAAATAAATTACCCATGAAACACCCACTGTACTCAACGCCTTCGCGAATCTAATTGAATCCAATTGAATCTACTCCAAGTGGATTCCTGCCTGGGGCATCCACTCCGCCCTATATCGCGCTCCGCTCTACAATTTCCTCCACCAAACCCGCAATGGACATCGACGACATTCTCGCCTCGGTCGATCGCGGCCCAGGCGCCAGCCCAGAGTCAGCAGCGCTGGACCACCAGCTCCTGACGCGTTTCTGGGTCGCCGAACGCGCTGTGTCAGAGGTACTACCGTGGCCCGCACCACTGATGGAGCGCATGATGGACCGAGTGCGGATGCAGGTAAGCAGCGCGCAAGAGCAACAAGAACTAGCAATGTTAATCATCGAGACATTTGTCCAGATCGAAACAATCGAAGACCTAGCCGCCTCATCAGGCGACACAGACATGCAACCAACAACCCACAACCCAAACCTCAACCTCCGCCTCTCAATCCTCCAAACAGACCTCGCACGCACGCAATATATAATCCGCAGTCTACTACGGGCGCGCCTGGCAAAGATCACAAAATACAGCATGCACTACCTCGTCCAACTAGCATCGCGCAACAAAAACCCTCTCTCGCAAACGCAATCCCAATCCCAGTCCCAATCCACAAACGCCAACGCACAGCCCGAGGATTCAGTGCCTGATATTTCCTCCCTAGACGATCTAGCGCCGCTGTCTCAGCCCGAGGCTGCATTTTTGCATTCGCATCAGACGCTGTTGGCCGGCCATTATGCGGGGTCGTTTATGGGTGCTTTTCCACGGCAGTTGAGGCGGTTGGATGATAATGCTGGTGGGACGAGTATGATTCAGGGCCCTGAGGTGCGGGAGGTTGTTTTTGTTCGGTGTTTGGGGGTTGAGGTTCCTGTTGTTGTTGGAGGGGAGGAGGATGGCGGGGATTATGGGGTCACTATGCGTATAGGTGATGTTTGGGTTGTTCGGTGGGAGGGTGTTAAGGATGCTTGGGGGAGGGGGGAGGTTGAATTGTTGTGAGATGGGGAATTTGTTTTTGATAGCGGCATTCTTGCACTTGCACTTGCACTTGGGTTGGCGTTGTGATTGGGTTATATACTCGGTTGTGGTCTACGGTGCTAGACCAGAAGGATATCTTCTATGTTCTGTTCGATGTTTTTATTTAAATCTCAGTTGTCTTACTGAGTACTGAGATATGCATGTCTGGAGTGGCCAGGTCCAATTCTATACTTGCAGCTAATAGCAAAAAAAAAAAAAAAAAAAAAAAGAAAACCAAGTACATGACATGATCTTTTGCAAGGCCATTGCATTTCTTTTCACTCTTCCCCTTGGAGACGCCAGTCGCTAACCGCAAATGAAAATACAAAGAACCCCGAACGCAACCGCCAATATGCTGAGAATTTGATCATAAGATCATGAGAATATCAAGCAAATGACCAAAGCCATTGCCAACAAGACCGATTCACGCAATGTAGCCATAAGTAGGCGGTTCCTCGGAGATACGCTCCAAATATTCACGGTCAATCAAGCTCTCAATTCGACGCTTGATCATGTGTACATCCGGGACGAAACGAGAGTTCAATTGAGAAATGACCTCTGTCATTAATTGTTGATGCATGAGATTCTTGCGTTGTCTAGGATATGTTAGTATATCACATGTGAAGAAAGATGAGAGAAACATACTTCATGATACGCACGATAGCGGCCTCAATGGTACCGCCACGCTCCTCGCTCATCTTCTGCTCAGTATCCTTGCGCTGGTCTGTGTTCTCGACCTTGTTTGCACCACCGCTGACGACTCCAATGCGCACTTTTACGAATGGACTGTGGAATTCATGGTTGAAGAAGAAGCGGTCTGCGGGTTGGACATTCTTGCTCATTGGATCCTTTTTCAAGACTCGTGTCTTGGGAGCAACGGCCAGCGATTGCAAGTTTCGAATTAAGTCGTGGTCGGGGATTTGGGTGCGCATCTGAATCTCTTGGTATGTCAGAGGCTCACCGTCTGGTGTGTCGTTAAACAGCATGAGGATGACCATGGCGTAGGTTGAAACATTCAGTTCATATCGCTGAACCTTGCCATTGGGTCGTTTGAAGGTGGCTCGGATGTCACCAGTGCCCATGCTAGCTTGCCAGGACAGCTTGCGGCCGTTGTGTTTTCCAAGGTAGAAGCGCTCAAAACTATGGATGAGCGAGGAGATTTCCTTCGGGTAGATGCAGGGTAGTTGAACGGTTCCTTCTTTCGTGCTAGCCATGATGTCCATGGGCCACATGTTGCTGGTGAGAACATTGACCTCCAGATCCACGGGCTTCTGGTCGGGATCCCCGGTTTTTGATACGTGATCTTTATAGTTGGCACTCAGATCCTCGGATATCGTCATGTCCTTAAACATCGCTTCAATGCGCTGGGTGAACTGATTGCCGACTTCCATCTTCATCTTGGAAATCATTTGTCTCTCTGCATCCATGCTGGCAGCGCGCTTCATCAAAAGACGACGTGACAAATGCTTTTTGTAATAAGTTTCGAATAGATCCTTGTCTTTGATATACCGCAAAAGCGTAATGCCATTGTCCAGTAAAGCATCGACCTCGCTCTCTGTCTTCCCCTTGATGCCCTTCTTCAGGTTCTCGTCAAAGAACAGGGAAAGGAACTCGGAGCTGCGAGGGTTCATGTTGATAAAGTCCGAAAAACTCCCCATGATCGAGCTCTCAAGACCCTGGTCAGACAGGAAAGCCTTTTCCCAGACATCGTCGAATTTCCTCTTAAGGGCCAAGATCTCATCAACCCAGCGAATTGCGGACTCGGTTTGCTGATTCACGGGCCTCTGCTTGTCTGTTGCTTTCTCCTTTCTATCGCTCTTTTCGTCCTTCTTGGCAGAAGGAGCTGGTGTTGGCGGAAATTGCTTTGACAAAGCATTGATATCCTTGCCCATTTCCACGATCCTCTTGTTGACTGCCTTGGCCAGGGCTTCCTTTTTGGGGTCAACTCTGGCATTCAGCGAGTAAATGTCGCGTAATGCATCGAGATGATTGTGGTCAAGCATGTGTCGCACACCAGTTCCTTCAAGGTTGACGACTTCTGCAATGTTGGTGCGAATCAAGTGCTCATCTAGCAGGTCGAGAATTTTCGGTTGGGTCGTAATAGCCAGAGTATATTGGCATCGCTCCTGTTCTTCGACAATGCGTTGGATTGCCATCCGGCAGAAAGTGGCGGCATCCCCAATCTCCAACAATCGTCGTCCTTCGGCTTGGTAGAAATCCTTGCTTGTATCAAGGAAAGCTGGTTCGAAAATTGTGAGGTAAAGCTTTGTACTCTCCTCCTCTGTAATTGTTTCGTAAAGGCCCTCCATCATTTGGATGCAGTGTCGAATTAACGGACGCTCAATCATATGACCAGAGCGTTCCAGCTGGATCATGAACAGAATTGTTGATTCCAGCATTTCAATTACCTTGAGTTCAGAGCCGGGGCGAACGGAAGACCGAAGGATATGGTCACGGAAGAGTGCCATACAGACGACATAGATAGAAGGCTTGGTGTGAGAGGCCAAGACCATGCGGTCCTGCGCAAGATATCAGACCAATTCCAAAGTGAGCTCGAACAGCTCAAATACCAAGCATTTATACTTACCATATACATCAGAACATCCGTAACCATGCCCATGCATAGTTGGTGATCCTCCCATGCATCCTTCAGCGCGGCCAAGAACTTCTCACCCGCCTCTCTCCTCTCATTAGATTGGTCTGGCGCATCCAGAGAATTGTGTGTTCGAACGAGGATCGAAGAAATCGACCCTGTAATGAGCTTTTGGACGTTGTTTTGAAGCCATTGCTGTTCCAGTTCTTTGACCTTGTCGTGGAGTTCTTCACCCCGCATCATCAAGGCGATCTTGTATGCATGACGGTATAGCTCTTCGAAAGCCAGTGTGGAGGCATTTTTCGTATTTATTTCGGTCAATGATGATGAGAGAACGGACCAGATTGCGTCGAAAGATTCCGGCTTCGCTGCTGAGGTTCCCTAGTGCGATCTATAGTCAGTGGAGAGCTTCAACTTTCACCCCGCATTCACTTACCCCCCTTCGCGGAGCTCGGATTTTGTGGCGAGCTCTCATTGCCATTTTGCAAGCCTTCAAATCAATGAGAAAGTAAAGAGTGACGGATGTGTAGTAAAATTTTGTTAACGAGATGAGTTGGAGAACAACTCGCCGCGGAGGCCGGTCCGGGAAAATAAAATCCCGATGCTTATCTGAATCCTTATCAGTAAGGGCCGGGTTAACTAATTATCCGGGATTTGTTGGCATCGTCATCACCGCTGAGTCTTTCATTCGTTGTCTTTGAACTACTACATCAGCCACGATACATCTGCGCCCTCACTACTAGCATTGATTTCGACTCAATACCTCAGCCTCACACTCACAATGCGCCCTTTTACCTCGGGCTTCCGCCCATTGAACACTGTCGTGTCGCAAGCTCAATCATACACCTCCATCGCGCGCGCACCCTCATCGCGCTTCCTCTCAACCCAAATCACCCGCCCACGCTTTGCCATTCGCTCCCTTCCTCGCTCCCAACGCATCGTCACCCACACTCAATTCCGAGCCAACTCAAGTGCCGCTCGTCCTCTCACTGCAGCTGCCCCGAGCCAGACAGAAACGGACGCCGAGCGCGAAGCACAAAATGCAGAGCGACGTAAGAATGAAGAGGCCTACCGCATTACCTTTACTTGCAAACCTTGCGGTCATCGCTCTGAGCACCGTATGTCAAAGCAGGGCTACCACCGCGGAACCGTTCTGATTCAATGTCCTGGTTGCCAATCGCGCCATGTCATGAGTGATCACCTGGGTGTTTTCTTTGATAAGAAGACCACTTTGGAGGACCTGCTCAAGGAGAAGGGTCAGGCTTTGACTCATGGCCACACTGATGGTAACCTTGAGTTCTGGGACGATGGATCTGTGAAGAGCTTTAACTCGGAAGGCAGCAACCAGATCGGGTCTTCCGAGGAAAAGTCTTAAGTTGTTTCCAGTGAGATGGTATTTTGCATGGGTGCTTGGTACAATGTTCGGTGCATATAATGGTGTCGGTTCACTGGTTGTTTGTCCTTTTGGATCACCTTGTATTTTAGAGAAAGACGTTCACTCTCCACTCACAGCATGGCAGGACCTAAGCATCGATGAGAAAGTGATTAGACTTGGGATTTTGTACATTAGAAAATAAATATTCGCCTTGCCAATGCATTTCTTGACTCTGCAATATACTGTACGGCTGACCTACGTGAAGCTAGTGCCAGATCTGTACAGAAGAATCATATTGTTCTCAGGTATATACAATGCAAGTATAATAAACCAATCCACCAACGCCCACTTTTTTATATGCCAGAAAAACATTCATGAGACATGCAATACACATGTAAATGCCAAATCCTTTACCACCCGCGTCTCTTACCACGATGCTCCATGGCCTTCTCACGACGCTTGTCCTTCTTCCGCTCATTCTTCTTGATCTTCTCGCGTCCGTAACGCTCGGGATCGGCAACAGCGTCGATGCGACGCTTGACCCGTCTTCCTTCACGACGTTCCTTGATAGCCTCCTGAACCTTAGACATCTCGTCAATGTACTCGGTCGTGCCGAGCTTCTTCTGCAGAAGATCCAAGACTTCGTGGCAGTTGGAGACGAGGGACTTATATGTGTTCTGGAAGGTCTCATCCGACGAGCGTGGTGCCGGGATGGATGAGTCAGTTAGATGCTGCAGGGGGATAAGGATGACGCGGATGGAAGGCTTGATGTGCTCAGCGTCGAGGTGGCGTATGAGCGCGGCGAGGAGTGTGATGGAGGCTGTCTTGGGGGTGAGGGCATTTGCTCTGTTGGACAGCATTTCACGGCGCAGGAGAGATGAGATCTGCTTGAAGATGTAATGGAGGGCAGATCTCGGAGATTCAACGGTCTCTTGCTTTGTCTCTCCCTCGGCGTCGCTACCGGCATCATCTTCATCCTCGTCCTCGGATTCCACATCATCACCTCCCAGCTTTGGAAGCTCCAGTCCATTCTGAGCACAGCAACGACCAAGGAAGACAAGGTTGCGAACGCTCTGCATGGCAAGATCCTCAGTGATGCCTGGAGTGCGCAGACTGCGCAGACCAGCACGGAGAAGCTGGAGCATGGCAGGCTTGTCAAGAGCAAGACCAGAGCTTCCAACCAGGGGAATCGAAGCGTAGCCTTCCGCAGCATTCGTTTTGGCCAAGTCAGCCATCCACATGCCAATGAGGTTTGCGGCGCAGGTCTTCACCCAGGCGTGGGGGAAGAACAAGGCTTCCTGGATTGCCACCCAGATGGTAGCACATTGCGGGCTCAAAGCAAGAGTGGAAGCTGTTTTGGTAAGTTTTGTGAAAAGCTGCAGAGCGAAGTAGAGAGCCTCCCAGTTGCCGTTCTCATGGTCCTCGAGGACAGGCTGCATCAATTCTGGGAGAATGCCGATGACGAAACGAGCCTGCTTGTCTTTCTCGGTTTCCTCGGCCTCGAAGTAGATTCGCATGGCCTGCAATCCAATGCTACACAGAGCCATGTTGTCGGTCTGCCCCAACCATGAATGGAGGGGAGTGAGCATGACTTTCATCTGCTCCCGATCCGCGCGGTTATAGAACTCTCCCAGCAAGGTACCTGCTAGCTCTCGGCATTCCGGCGACTCATCGTTCGCCATAGCGAGAACAATCGGCAGGAAGAAAGTGCTGATGATATCTTGAGCCAATTCCTGGCCAGTCTTGGAGAGGAGCATGTGCATAGCCTCCATGACTGACTGCCGTCCAGATTGGTGCTTGTATTCCAGGTTCTTTGCAAAGAAACTGAGCTGCTTGGTCCATCGGTTCTTGGCCTGCGGGTATTCAATCAGGAAATGAACGTAGGTGCCTCGGGCAAGGTCTCGAGCAGAACGAGTCTGATTGGTCACCATCATGGTCGCGATGTTATCCATGAGTTCGTACATCTCTGGGACAACAAGCTTCCGGGACATGACTGCTCGGATGAAGTTGAATGTCACACCTTGGCGGTCTGGCTCTTCAATGTCGGATGTCAAACGATGAAGCAGGTAAGCAAGGTGACCATCGCGAAGCTTGGTATCTTTGCGTTCGCGGAGCATTGAGGAGATCAGCTTCAGAGAAGCTTGTGCTGCCTCAGTGTTGGTGCTAGGAGACTCCTTGACCAGTTTGACGGCTTCCGTAAAATAGACATTTGCGTTCTCGTCAAGTTCGGGCAGAGGGAGCTTGATGATGGTAGACAGCAAACGGAGAGCCGAGACCTTGACTTCCTCTTGAGCCTGGACGAGCGCATCACCGATGATAGGAATGAATCCAGACAGGTTGGTAGCAGTCAACAGCGAATTGAACTTGTTGAGGGTCGCACGAAGGACATCAAGCGCGAATCGAGTCAACTTGTAGACGTGAGAAGATGTCGTACCCCGGTGCTCTCCTCGCTTGGCTCCTTGCAACCTGACCAAGAACCGTTCTTCAGAACGAGACTTGGGAGCAGGCACAGCCTCAGTCGGGGCACTGTCGCGGTAGGACTCCTTGATTACTTCGTAACAGAAGACCAACAGATCGCGGCTCTCAGCATTGGGGTTTCTCAGAAGACCAATACCGATTCTTCGCATGAGCTCATCGAGCTTCTTGACAATGGTCGAGTTGAGCTTCTCACGAAGAAGTGCCTGTAGAGGGCGAACCAAGTTTGAAAGCTGGCTGATCGTGGAGATCTTTGCAAGAAGTTCCATGGAGTCGTAACTCTTGCTGCTCTTCACCTCCTGCATCTTGCTAGTGTATCCTTCGGCATCCTTTTCTTGACCGACAGTACCGAAGGTATCATCCATGACGACTGCGACCAGGTCTGTCAGACAATAGTCCAAATCACCCTGCTCGAACGCATCCGTGGTGTGCACGAGCATGGAATGAACGGTGAATGAGAGCACGTGAAGCTGGTAGCCTCGCGCGAGAACATTGCGCAGTTCCTTCAGGATGTAACCGAAATACACAGGACCCAGAAGGAGAGCAATCTCATTCAGTGTTTTGCGTGCTGTGTCACGGGAATCCTGTGCTTTACTCTTGAGGGTAGTGCAGACATCGAGCAGAACAGGGGGCAGACGAATAGCCATGTCCTCCTCGGGAAGAATCTTGAGGAGCTTGACAGTAGTGACCGCAGCAGGCAAACGCAAACTCATTTCCGTCTCTTGCTTGTGGTGAATGAACTTGGTCAAGAAGGGAATGAAGTTTGTAGTCAATTCCGATGCCACCTTGGTAAGAGATGGAACAGTCTTAGCAAGCGTGCACATGGGCTGCTCGACAATGTCCATCTTTTCAGCATTGTCATCAGTCTCCTTCTGCGATCCCTTCTTCCGACTCATTGCGCTGGAAAGAGCATCAGACATACGGCCCAGAAGCCTGAGAATGTTCTTCTCCTTCTCGGGCTTGCTTGCCATATAGCTGCGGTATCTCCGGAAGTTGGCACGAAATTGGTTCCAGTCCAACCATTCTGACAGAGCTCCGATAGTCGCAACACCTTCAGCAATCAGGTTGTGAGCATTCTCATCAGCTGCGTCCTCAAATACGAAGTGCTCAATCAGAGGAATGAAGATTGTGCCCAGGTTTGAGGCCTGGATGCTGCCATTGGCTGCATCTGTAGCAAGTCGTCGCAATGCACGCTGTCTGCGGTGCTGCTGGATGTGAAGAATGTTGGTGAAGAATGACGCTTCTTCATCATCGCCGACAAGGAGGACATGCATGTCCTGCACTGAAGGTCTGGTAGGATTCAGCTTAACAAAGTAGCCAATGACGGCGACAACTTCGGAGCGAATAAGCTCAGACTTCTGCCGGATACCGTATTGCAAGGAAGGGAAAAGAACATCATTAATAAGAGTTTCGAACGCCGCATCTGATTCATTGGCCGTGCGGTCGATGAAACGTCTCAGACTGAAAGAAGCGCTGGATCGGATTGCAAGCTCGTCTTCGTCTCTAACATAGAAGAGCATGTTGTAAAGAAGAGGTCTCCACTGCTTGGCACTGTAACTGTTGTACTGTTCCTCGTTGACTTTGCGGAAAGCCTGCAGGCGTCGTTCATAGTCGGGTTCGAGCCTCCTTGTCGAGCGAGAGTTAAGGTCTGCACACAATTCAGCAATCTCCTTGAGCTCCTCATCGTGGGTTGCAAGAGCAGCGAAGACTCTGGACAGCACTTCTCTGTTGGCATCATCTTTGAAGTAGTCGAACATGGAGCACACGGCCTCGAAAACTTGCTGACCAAGTTCGACATCTTCCTTTGTGTTCCATAATGGGAGGAAGTGCTCGAGAATCTTCAGCAAGCCAGACTTGGTTCTGGGACTCACACGGTCTGGGGGTTGGCGGAGAAGATAGGTAGTGATGCTGATAAGGCTTGATGTCTCTTGAGAAGATTCAACACAAGGGGCGATGAGAGAAAGCGCGTTGACACCTGAGTAGAGGACAGGCTTGGAAGGACCTCTCTTGAGAACGCGGCCGATGTGCTGCAGAGCGTGTTCCAGGTAGGGAGAGAGAACCTCCGTTTTAATTTGCTCTGCTGGGAAGTCAGGCATCTCTTCGTTTTCTTGCAGCTTCTTTCCGGTGGAGGTCTCAACCAAAGGCACAAGAATTTCATCCAAAACGAAGTTCTTGACCTCGTCGCGTGTTGATTCTACTCCAAGACAGTCGATCACCTTGGTCAGAACCTTGTCGTTGTGCTGGACTAAGTAAAATGTCGATCGTGGGAAAGAGGCCCAAGTATGGAACATCCGCAGAAGTCCTGAAACACCCTGAGCAGTCTCGATAGGGAACTGATCCAGTCTGCTGTTGATCATCTCGTCAAAGATAATGCGGACATACGAAGTCCAATCGCAGTTTGAGGCAATTGAGAAGATCAAATTGAGACAGCGAATACATTCTGAACGAATGTTTTGGAGCACAGTCAAAAAGCGCTCCTCCGGACGATCGCTGCCTTCACTGTAGAGAGCCCGGCATGCTCGCACCAAACAGTAAATGACCACATTCATGGTTTGGGGTGCGTATGCGATCATGCGGGTTTGAAGTGTCTCAAAGACCGTATCAATCATCTTGAGCAGACCCAACTGTCTTCTCGGGCTTGTCAGTTCCTGCTCAAAGATGCTCGGGTCTTCAATGACGTTTGCATCTGCAAGTGGACCAAAGGCGAGGTGCATGAAAAGGCCGAAGTCATGCTCAGAGAGATGTGAGATGGTTCGTAGAATGGTCTTTCTCCTGCCGACTTGGCCGGCTTGGCCAGAGCCACCGGCCTTGGAGATCATTCGACCGTACAAGAGCCGGAGAAGTACAGGAAGGAGGATCTCGCGGTGAGACTCTTCAATCAGACTGTTGTCGTTTCCAACGTGCACAAATGCTGCGAGCTCATCTTTGAATCTGGACTCATCAAGAATATTTAGCAAGTTCTCCTGGTAGGGAGTGACACTCTTATCTTTCCAGGTGAACAGAACCTTGAGCGCAGATTTCTGGAGCTCAGAGTTTCCGTGACACAGCAATCCCAAGATGGCCTTGTGGACCTCATCAGTCCTGTACAAGACTCTGGGATTGAGGAACTGTGCGAACAAAGCAAGCATAGACAAACGATCCTTGAATCCCCAGCGAACCTGCTCTTCGCCAGTTTCGGCATCGGTTTTTGCCTCACCGGCCGGAAGGGCATCATCCTGGTCATCGCGCAAGGCCCATGTCAAGAACAATGGCACGATTTGACGGGAGCGCTTCTCAGCAACGCCAGGGGCAGCGTTGAGGACACGCAGAGCATGAGTTCTTGGGCAGGTGGGAAGAACAGCTGCGATGGTGTGATCTTCATTGAATTGCTGGGATAGGACGGAGTATGGATCCTCTGTGCTCTTCAAGTTCGCAGCGAGGACCTTTTGAACCTTGGCAACGTTATAACACTGGAAGTGACTGGCAACGTACGAACTTTCGTTGTCATCATCTGGGGCATCAGGACCTTCAGAATCACGCTCATGCAACCACTGGATAGACAAGTCGGACACGATCTTCTCACCCTCGGGGTGCTCGCTGATAGACTTGAGTGCTGCAGCAGAGTCATCCCACAAGGGAGCAAGCTTCTTTGAGAACAATCCAAAGCAAAAGTAAGGGATCAAGGTAGCCATCCATTTGCGAGACATTATTTGGGGGTAGAGAATGGCGAGTTTTCGGATATGCATGGAGATGACTCGGACGCTGTCCATGGTCAACGGGCTTTCTTCAACTTCGATGGCCAGCTCCACGGGAGAGGGATCATATTTGGCAACGCGAACAATCAATTCGCGTAAGATCCGAAGGGATACCAAGCGTAGTCTGTGAGACGGACTAGCCAGGTTGACAATTAGGTCTTGAGCAAAGGCCTCTAGTGTAGAGTGCTCTAGGTCTGCGGACTCTGGTAAAGCAGAGATGAAAGAGAGAGCGCCCTCCAGGAATACAGGCAGACGGGAGAATTTGGTAGCAGTCGCAATGACTTGTCCCCAAAGACTCGGGTCAAGCTCTCCGACTTGCTTAGCGAGTTCGACATATGTCTTGAAGCCTTGGCCGAGGAAGAATACCAAACCGTTGGTCTGGCCTTCCTTGCCTTCAGTCGCGCCATCCTGGAGAGCCGACAGAAGGTTGGTGTGTAGCTTGGAAACCATCTTCGACATCGTAGCAAAGCTTGAGAACAGAGAAATAGCCGATGGAAGCTTCACAAGTGCATTCAAAAAGGCCTCATCCGTGGTGGGATATTCAAGCGAGTCATTGACGCGGGCTTTGAATGCGTCGGGGCAGGAAATATAGCCAGACTTTGAGCTGTCCGGTGTGATGCAGCCAGTCTGGTTCAGGCGAAGCAAAGTTGAGCAAGTCTCCCACTCGCGGTCTTTCCATGATGAATTGATGAACTTTTGGAGAGGCGAAACAAGCAAGCTCTGGAACCGCTCTGAGCCCCACTCCGAGAATGTTGTACAGAAGAATAGGAAATATATTGAGAGCGGACCTGTGGACACAAGGTCCACGACAGAGCGCAGGTATGGGAGCAGCTCGTCCATGGGAGACTTTTGCAGGGCATATGCAACACTTGTAAGAAGGATTGATATCGTTCCTGATGACACATCAGATGATGCCACCTGCTGAAGCAGGGATACCTGGATCTGGTGGACAATCTTCCAGTTTTGAATTCTGACACCCTTGCGGGTTGTCACAAGCAAAAACATTAAACGGCAGCACTCCGAGATATTAGGGTTCGGAGTTGTCTTTGAGCGCTCCTCGATGTAAGTCTTGACAGTGTCAAGGATAGGGCCGAAAGTATCGGGGGTCGTGTGGTGGACGAGGCTGACAGCCACACCACAGACAACCTCTGCTGGCTCATTATTGGCTTGACTTGGTGGGATATTCGACAAGATACAGTCGAGAATGTCCATTCCGTTGGAGTGAAGTCCGTTGTTGACTCCTCTGATAGCGTCGGAGAACATGTTCATCAATCCGTCTCTATAATTTTCGGTGTCCTTGCCCTCCTCCGCGGTTTTCGAGATATCGTCGAAAAGGTATGATACAGCGATATCGAGGGGCGCCTTGTTCTTGTAATAGACGAGACCGGCCTTGCGAATGAGGAACGACATTGACTCGGCGGCGAACCTCGCAATGAATGGCTTCTGTCGCTCTTTGCCGAGGTATGGAGTCATGATACCGAGCAATTGTCGCAGGTCCGGTACCAACAGGCGAGAAAGGAACTTGAAAATCCATGCTAGACAAGTGAAACTCCACTCGACTACCTCAATGTCCGCATGTGTCGCCGCAATGGATGAAACGAGAGTGACCGCTGTCGCAAAGTGTTTTTCGAACTTGACACCCAAGTCCCGAGCAAATTGTGCAAGTAGACTCAATAGCGGTTCCAAGGAGTGCTGGTCTCTCTTCTCAATAAACTCGACCAGTAGAGCCATAATCTTTTCTTCATGGTAGACGACCTGGGCAAAACTTTCGGAGAGAGGGTTGACACGCCGTACGAATTGTGAAAAGTTATCTGAAAGGTTCATCTCAAACCAATGGTCGAGCGCCGATCGAAAATATGAGGTTGTTTCGTCATCTTCGCCGAAACTGGCGCGGCGCACGCGGTGGATCGGGTCGATTTTGAGCTTCGAGATGCGCGATGAGAAGCCCTCGAACCGATGATTTTTCGTGGTTTCGGTGCCTTTCTTCACCCGGCCAACAGGCCTGGGTTTTTTGCCTGTTCCCACCATCTTGACGGGTCTGGGCAGCACTGTGGGTGAGAAAGGTACTAATCAACTTTTTTGCATCTTATCCGTATCGAATACAAAAAAGTTCATCGGGACGGGAATTCTTTGTTCCGCCGCGGAATTGAGTATGGTCACGTGATGTTAAAGATGGCCCAAGCTCCTACGCAGGATGTTCGACTCGCGAGTTGTTCGTCTAGTTCAGTTGAGTAGATGGTGTATGATTTCCCATTTCTGTTAGGCTGGACTTGAAATTATATAATTATTCTTTCTCTGTCGCCTCTCCTATCTTTATCGCCTCACAGCATTCTTCTAAAACCTGACTTCAACGTACCACTGGCCGTTAAAATGGCGTCCAAGGTGTAAGTATATCTGGACTAAGTGGTTACCAGCGGCTAACATGATATATAGGGTTGTTATTGGCAGCGTGAATGGTCAGCTAAGTGCTGTTTTCACCAAACTTGCCAAGTTGCAGCCAAAGCAAAATTTCTCTTTTGCGATCATCGTCGGAGACCTCTTCGGTGACTGCTCGACTGAGGCCGAGCTGAATGAGATCACTGGCCTACTCCAGGGCAACACGGTTGTGCCATTGCCCACCTACTTTACTGTAGGCAACCAACCACTCCCTACTCGGGTGATTGAAAAAATCCAAGCCGATGATGAAGTGTGTCCCAATTTGTTCTTCCTTGGAAAGCGCGGAACACTCAAGACAACAGAGGGTGTTCGAATTGTCGCTCTCGGTGGAACCTTTGAGCAGAAAGAAGGACGTGCCCCCGAGAGCAATGCTGTTGGCAAATTCCAGTCGACATACAACGAAGCTGATGCTCGTGCACTCTTCGGCCTTCACCGTACCGACATTCTTATTACCAACCAGTGGCCAAAGGACGTCAAACTTGGATCTAGCCAGAAGGTTGCTGGGGACGAGAGTGGTGTGCCATCTGAGTTGGAGTGCATTGCCGACGTCTGCAACACCTTGAAGCCCCGGTACCACTTTTCTCGTTCGGACACCGCTTTCTTTGAGCGGGAACCTTTCTTTTACATGCCCGCCGAAGAGGGAGATGGATATCAGACGACCCGTTTTCTATCATTGCCTTCATACGGCTCAAGGAAAGATGCCCTATACGCCTTTAACCTAGACCCATTAGTGGCACCTCCAATCAGTATTCCCGTTGGCTGCACCATCTGTCCTTGGTCAGCTGTACAAAGCAAGCGCAACAATTTACCCAGTCAGCACGAATCATTCCAGCGCTTTTCCCAGCCCGACGGAGAAAGAGACCCAGAGCATAGGCGCAGGCACAAGAGGAACCGTCCCCCTCCACCAGGTCCAGAGCAATGCTTCTTCTGCCTCTCAAACCCCAACATCGCCACCCAACTCATTACCTCCATTGGCAACGACAGTTACATCACAACAGCCAAGGGGCCTCTCCCCAAATCCGACTTCTTCCCGTCCCTAGGCTTCCCAGGGCACATGCTCATCATCCCATTCGAACACAGCCCAACAATTGACCTAATCTTCGACCCCCAAACCCGAGCCTCAACCTACGCTGAAATGCAAAAATACCGCGAATCTCTCCACCAAATGCTAAACGAAAAGTCAGGCGGCAAACTTGGCGCCGTAACCTGGGAAGTCAGCCGCTCAGGTGGTATTCACACACACTGGCAATTCCTCCCAATGCCAGTAGAAAAGATCCGCGGTCGTCTCGTGGAAGCAGCCTTCCAAGCCGAAGCAGCAAACCTCAAATACGAGAAATTCAAAACAATCCCTGGTCCCGACGAAATCGACAACCACGACATGAACGATTTCTTCCGCGCCTTCATCTGGACACCCTCGCGTAGCGAAGACCAAAACGAGGAGGGTGATATGTGGTCTAAGCCTGGCCACAAGGGTGTGTACAAGACGTCATCGGGCGAAGAGAAGATAACCATGTTGCCCATCCAGCCACAGAACAGATTCGATCTTCAGTTCGGTCGTCGTGTTATGGGCAAGCTGCTTTTGTTAGATGAGCGTCTTGATTGGAGAAATTGTACCCAGACGGAGGATGAAGAGACGAAGGATGCAGAGGCATTCAAGGAGGCGTTTAAGAAGCATGATTTTACTATGGAGATGGAGGAGTAGGGCAAGCATTAAACCAAGCAAGCGCCTTTTTATCCACAACATTGCAAATGTAAGTTCTAGGGAGCTGCTAGGGAGCAGGAAGGGAGGAGTTCCTTGTACCATACAATTAAATGTGAACAATGAGCGCTCAGTTAGTCAACTCTAAACATGATAGTGTAACTTATCAGTTTTCCCATTTGCGGTTATTTGAAATGCCGAATGGGTGCTTAAGAAATATACGGGACAGAGCCCTGGTTCATCAATATCATTCACTATGCCCTCTAGCCTAACATCGAATGCTAGAGAATAATGAGAAACGAAACCAGTCCGACAATAGATACACAAGACAGGCCAGCTGAGCATGCACTGTACAAAGACAGAGGTAGTCATGGTAATGTCGGTAGGAAAAATGGAAAGGAAGTATCACACAAGCTGACGAGGGATCATTCGGACAGCAAGACATCAAGTTTCAAAGAAAGAGGGAAAGAAAAAAAAAAAAACTTTCATTTCCAAGCCTATTTCCAGCTTGGAGTGTATGTATGTACGATGAAAAAGGCATAGCAGCCCGAGAATGGTATCAAAAAAAAAGAGAAAGGATGAAAAGAGAAGAAAGGAACCCGCTCAACCACATTAAAATGCCAGCCTCAGAAGTTATGAGCAGCATTGGGCTTAGGCCCACTCTGCAACAAACTAGGAGGTCTCATTGTATCCGGCTCGGGAGCTGGTAGCGAAGACACGGCATGGGGGTTATAAGGGGCATACTCCGAAGGCGAAGGAGCAGGGAAAGGAGGGGGCGGGGAAGCAGGCGATGGAGAGAAAGCTCTGTACGCCGACGGAGGCTGGGAGGTATAAGTAGGAGGATACTGGCTCGAGCCGAACGAGGGTTGGCGCGTAAAGCCAGGAGTGGGAGCGGCACCTGCGCCGTGGTCCATTTCCACGGATGGGGTGAAGGACATTGGCACGGGGCTGTAGTTTGTATGGGGTTTGTAGGCGGCCACTGGGGAAGGGGATGTGACGGCGTGGTATTGGTTGCCGCCATAGGTGGAGTGGTCATCGTACGCTTGGTCATAGGGGTTGTGGACTGGGGCTCCTGCGGGGGAAGTCAGACCTGGGGAGCGGCGGTTGTAGGGGTCTTGTGTTGCGGAGAGTGCTGCTGCTGGGCCGGGGGATCTTCTAGCGTAGGGATCCATCGGTCCACCTGGGGATGCCACACCAGGGGAGCGACGTCCGTATGGATCCTGCGTAGCAGCCAATGCAGCTGCGGGAGCGGGTGAGCGTCGCGCATAGGGATCAGTAGGACCAAAGCCTCTGTAACCTCCACCGGCCATGGATGGGCTAGGAGAGTAATCGGAGTACGCAACACCAGGAGTTCCAGCACCCTTCCTGTCTCGGGGATTCAGAGGTTCCATCTCAACGTCATCATGGTGATTCGGATCTTCGACATGCTTGTTGACAGCACCAGCCCAAGTAGGCATCTCAGGTAAAGCATCATCATTAGCCGTCGCGACCGTAGCAGAGGGAGACTTGGGCGCATCAAAGCGCGCAGTCTGTTGCGCGCCACGGTACGAAGGCGGAGCAGGAGGAGCTTTATAGATTGGGTTCGCGTCTGGTGGGGGAGGCTGGTGGAATGGAGGGTCGTCGAACTGCTTTGGTTGCTTGGGCTGCTTGTTTCTGCGCCTGCCGGACGGACAGCAGCAGCTACAGCAGCACTTGCAGCATTGATAGCCACAGCATATGCAATTAATCACGCAAGCTAATACGGCGAGTAGGATCACGGATCCCACGATGATACCGGCGATAACGGGCCACCTGCGTCGGTTAATTAGTATCGTGTCAATTGATGCGCTTGCAGGACATTGGCTCCTCGCGATGTACTCACTTGCAGTAAGTCTTGGACATACATTTATCCCAGCTGGAGAATGTCGAGGGTACCGATTCGAGGTCACTAACGGTGTCTCGGGCCCATAGCGGGATATTTGCGGGACTCATCTTGGCGATAAGATGGCGGAAAGCACTAGGCTAGAAGAAATCATTCGATTGTCGAGAGCGCTTGGACAAGTTTATCCCACAATCTTCCTTTCTTTCCTTTGAGTTCCTCGAAGTGCCTATCGCAATGCACAGTCCAACAGTTCGAGTCAATGGTTTCGCGGAGATACAGTTGGCGCTCCGAGAGTAAGGAGAGGCGGGGCGCGCGAACCCGATTTTGGCGAAAGATGCAAAAGACAGAAATTGATATCAATGAGTGAAGAAAGGATTGTAAATAGCTGGTGGCCCAAGCCCTGGAGAGTCTTGTGGTGAACAGGCAGCAAAGTACGAAAATAGAAGCGGATAAAGAGTGACTGGGATGACAACCCAAGGAACAAGGCGCAGGTCTCGGAACGGGCAGTGCTTGTCTCAGACGACCACCTTAATCGCGAGACAGAAACACACAAGATACAAAGAGAGGATGAGAAAAGAAAACGCCGAAACGTCAAGGGGAGCCGCGTAAGGGTTGAGCCAAACCCCATAGTCTCCCCGCCTCCGCCTATCACATTCCCTCGGGAGAGTTGAAACGCCAATCTTCATTAATTGATACATCCACCGTTTGTCGATCTTATTCCACTGACTTTACTACTGCAATTACGAAGTTAAGAAGCTGAATTAAATGTTCTTTTCATTCTTCACAAAAGGAAATCAAACATTTGTAGCTGGAGTCTCCACTGATTACCCTTTCCAGACACATTAAATCTCACAAGGGGAAACTCCAGAGAGAATATCCCGTAATAAACAGGCGAATCCTCATATGTACAGCTGCAGAGCCGCTAATGCATATTACACCAATGTCCTCCTCTTGCCCCAAATGACACAGTTCAAGGGGGGAAATATTAGCAGAGGAAAATGCGTTGAAATACAAATGCTTCATGCAAGGACGTCGTAAAGCGTTCTACCGGATAAAGTACCGGAGTCGAACGAGATGCAAGTTGCCGCAGCGAGGAACGGGGGATGTTCCATGATAAAGTCGAATGGCTGTACAGAGAAGGCCCAAATGGTGGATTAAAGGACGTTATGGTGTCAAGAGAATGTGCGTTGAGAAAAGGAGATGCCAAAAGCAGGGCAAATGTTTCGATGTGAATTATCGTGGGGGTATTGATTTCGCTGAAAAGCCCCGTAGTAGTTCAAAAAATAAAAAGGGAATCTGGCGTTGATAGGCCGGTGTCTTCATGCGCAAGTTCGAAGTTGCGAGGTCGTAATGTGACATAGGAAAAGTGACACTCCGGTTCGAACAGTTCATGGGGTATCGATTGCCCGCAGTCGATCGTAGGCAATGGTCACAGAGAAAGGGCGACGTCGTGGTCGTCCATAAAAAGGAAATGATGAGGATAGACCGATGTTCGAAGAGGGTCATCCAAGGAGAGGACGATACCAATAGCTGATATCAAAGTGTTGGAGAAAGGGGTGGCAAGGCGGAGTATCCAGCGCCAATGCCGAAAGAGATGAGAGAGAAAGGTTGAGAAGAATTGAAAGAGAAAAAAAAGGCTGGAAAGAAAAAGCCACCGTAAAAGCATCAAACACCACGCTCCAATGACAAGACAAAATAATCAAATGCAGAGCGCCATCGAAAGACTAGCCTTTTGGTTAATATGAAAGCATTCGGCGGCCAGGTGTCCGTTGGGGCACAGGGCTTGCGGAGAAGGGGGAGGAGGAGCCAAGGAATCGCTCGCGCTGGCTGTCAAAGCGACACCGTCCAGTAGGGCTATCCTCCATTTGGGGTGACTGTTCACCAAAGGCGAAAGTCTGAGCACGGTTCAACTTGGAGCGCTGCTTGACCTTACCAAGGCCACGCTCACAAGCAAACTCGTGCTCCTTGTCGCTCATTTCCACATAGTTCTGCGGGAAGCAGAACGAGCGGTGCTCGGCGAAAAATGAGCTGTAACCACCATCCAGAATATACATATCAGGGTATGTCAGGTTGGGGTAAGTATCGACATTGATGGCACGATCCTGGTGACGAAGATATTTGGCCATGATAGGAGCTCTGTGGGCAGAGTACTCGCAGTGCAAGACCAGCGCTGTGCGGGCCTTGGGGGCACTGAAGAGCTCACCAGCGAGCTTATCCTTGTCGTTATAGTTCAAGGCGCCATTGATGTGGCCACCGTCATATTCGTATTCGAATCGGCAGTCGATAACCAGGATGTTATCAAAGTGTTCGTTGAACTTTCCATCCATGAGCTCCAGGAGAGTGCTCTTTTCGATACGAGGCAATGAGTCCGCGCGATCTTCAGGGATGAAGTGGGGCAGCTTCATGCTGGGCGGGCTCGAGATGTCACTGATTGACTGCAGGGGTGTATTTGTTGCTACCTTGGCCTCTTTATCGGCAATCACATCAGCTGGGTGCTCAAACATACTCAATGACCTCCGGCACTGCTTGCGAGGGCGCATCAAGGGGTGAGACGGTTTGCGAATAGAACTGGGAGCGGGGGAGCCGCTGCTACGGGCATGGGAAAACGGTGGACGCAGGCGAGGCGGTGCCAGGCTGGTCGACGAGTTGTTCCGGGAAAGAGGGCGCTCATGGGGAGGGGAGTCTCCGAACATATCCTCCAACGACGTCGATGTACTGAGCGACGTCTTGGCTCCTGTGCCAAATCGGAAGGGAGGAGCCTTGCTCTCGGGTGCTGGCCGGGACATTCCAAGTTGGAAAGACTGAGCCTTGCTCTTGGCAAGACTGGGACGCAAGAACGCGGGACGCTTCCGCTCTGGTTGGCATAGCGGAGACTCAATTGGAGACGCCTGCAGAGGACTAGGAGCCGCAGACATAATAGGTGAATCCATAGGAGTACAATCCGGGCTAGGCGAGTGTACTTCCAACTCTGCAGTAACAATGAAAGCTGGTTTGTGGGGGAGAGGAGACATTTCCATAACGTCCATAGCCGGGGCGGGTGACGAGTCAAGGGGAGGAGTGGTCATAACATCATCTATATAGCATCAGCGAATGCAGTTCCATGGTAGTGTAAATGTTCCTTACCATGACGATTGGCCTGACTGAGCATGTTGGCCGTGAACAAAGACCGGCGTGGTGTCGCTAATTGAGGACTAAATATACAGTTAGCATGCCTTTGTTCCTTTGATCTGAAACCAAGATGAGAACGGAGCACTCACCTCTGATCAATATGAAAGTTTTGCGACAGGTCAGCTGCCAAACTCGCCGTGGGGGAAGATCCCCGAACAGGCTTCATGTTGAAGTAGTCCGCGCTGGACCTCTTCATAGACAGATCCTTGAAGTTGAATGGATTCCCACCAAAGCCCGACATTGGACCAAGCGAATACGCATTTGGAGCTTCTGAACGAAAGCAATGACCAAACATGACTGAAGGAGGCTGCATCGCAGCCAGAGGAGAAGAGTGTTCCATGACGCAAACTGCAACGGGTACAGATCCGACGTTGTACAGTTGAAACAGTCCCAATTCTACCCGGCGCTGAGCCTACAACGAGGTCCCGGAAAAATTGTAGTGTTCCTGCACGCACGTCTCCACGTTTGCAATTTCTCGTTATGGGTCCCCACGATCGCCGTGACAACCGATCTCAAAAAAAATACCCTGAAGTCCCAGACCCTCCACCGAGAGTCTTGTATCGTGTCTGTTGGAGGAAGCTATAGGGCCATGGCCAGCGGACGAACAGAGGAGGGGTCGAAGATGCAGGAGGGGGATGTCGGAGAAGAGGTCGGAGGTAGAGGTCGCGAACCGTGAGATATGAAGGTAGATTCACCCCGGATGTCCACCAGAACCAGGAATGTGTCGACAAGAAGTATGGAGGAGAAAGAGAAGAAAAGTTGGCACAAAGCGGTTTGAAGAAAGAACTGAAGCTGAAGGGATGGGCTTGTTGCAATGGGCAACGCAGGTGGGGAGGAGGAGTATAGGTTTGGTAATACTGATGCGTACGGTAAGTGAGATTACTAGTATTGCGATTGGGAGGAGTATTCAGTATTACTGCTTAATCTGAAGTGTTTGATTGCTAGAGCAGGGGAACGTATCTGGTTGGGTATTGTAATTACACCAGGCTGCATATTCGACTATTTAGGTAATTCTTTAGATTTCCCGATATTCATTTTAGAATTAATTCACGATCTACTGCGGTATGCAATGGCCCCAGAGACAGTAAGTGATAGTCAGCTCTAGGGGCCAAATATTGCCGGTCTGGTTGCCCGGGCTCCCTTGCCGCAGCAACCCAGCGCCTATCAGAACTCCATTCTCAGTCTGTACTGTCTGTACTCTGTACAGTCGGTAGGGATTAGCCTTGGCACCCATGTGTCTCGGGCTATACTGCTAGCTGTCTCTGACCCTGGCCTATAATATGGGGAAAGCTCAAGGAGGCTGCAGATGTTTAATACGCATTACACTACGCAGTACGCAGGACACAGTACGGAGAAGAGTTTTTCTCTGGTTCTTGTGGGTTACTCCGGCGCTGTCGAAAATGGACTCTTCCGTGTATGTTCCATGGGTCTTCTCCACTGCGTATCAAAGAAAACATTTTCGGTTTCAAACATCCCGTGTGCGCAACCGCAGCTGAAAAAACCGGAGATCGGGTCTAAGAAGCGCTAAGCAAAATCCCCACTTAGTGCTCGGAAAAAATAGAGCCTTGATGCAAGTGATGTACGCAAGGGTTGAATAGTAACGCATAACGTTGGCTATTCGACGTCACCCATGAGATACCCCAGAGTACGACCCTATACAAGTATGGAGTCTTCCGTATGGAGTCGAAGTATGAGGATGTGGTATGAGGTTTGGAAGATAGTCGCTGATCCTTCTCAGCCAGCCAGGATCACATTCATCTCGGAAAAGTATACCGAGGTGCTGATTGGCCTCGCAATCTCCATCTCGTCATCTCCAACTACGAATCCCAGTTCCTGCGAATTGCTTCAATATCGGAAGGTAGTATCGAGTAAGGAATGGAAGGTTATCTTCATTCTTCTCGTCTCAATCGCCCTCAATCTTCCCATACCCGTGCCCTTACATGCGCACACCCGCATTTTTGCTGATCAAGGGTCCGCGAGGAGGACCAATGTCGCGCATCCCTTCCAAACCCCTTGTAGAGGTTTAAGGTATTAATTGCTTATCCAGGGTAGTCTATTGAAACCTTTCCTTCGTCTCATGACTGGAGTTGACTTCCTCATCTTTCCTTCCTTCGGTACCCATGGCAATGGCAATAATTCTGAATGAACTAGTTGAAAGTATCTGATATCACAACGAGAAAGTGGTCTTACAACGTCATTGGTCAACAACAGCAATGGTATACACGCCTGGTCTGGATCTCACGCGACAATCTCGTTCCTGGACGGTGTAAGATCCCTACCCATCTTGAGACTAACGAACAGGTTTGGATCTCTCCATCGGCACGAATTCGGGGTATCAAACGCAATGTTCGTGACAAAGCGGGCAAAAAACGAGCTCAATTTGCCACCTCGGCGGCTCTAATCTCTCACTAGTTCACTGGAGCGGCTACTGCACCCCACGTCTTTGTGTATCCCGGCACCTTTTGAAACACCGGGAGCTCAGTGATATCCACGTTTCCGAACAGTCCGAGGCGCATGGACTGCATAATGGCTGCATCTGCATCTGAAGGCCTTTGTTTACTGTCCACTTCGCGTCTAGCGGTGTGCACCTCCACGCCGATGCGATTGTTATATTGCGGGGCTACGTCATGTTCGAAGATATGATGCTAATTGTGCACCGTGCACTTCACAAACCTGATGGTGATACTCAATATGACGTTTGGGACTCAATCTACCCTAGGATCGCGCCTAGAGTCTTGTTATTGAGACAAGAGCGAGTCCGGAGCCAACCCCCCTCTATTTCAGGCTGCAGATTTAGGCTTGGTCTGACATGGTATCGGTCGCTCCGATCTGCGCCACACGAATTGAAGTGGGGGCCAATTCTGTACAGATGATGTGATCCGTCAGCTCTTCCACAGCGCCATGTGCAATCGGACCAGTCGTGTGTCGTCTCGAGCCGACTGCATTTCCCTGCGGGGTTTATCACATCTCCGACTCGTGTCGCTGCAAGATACCTGCTGCATACCCTGTTCTAGTCCTTCGATTCTAGGCCTTTCCCCTCTTTGTCTCAGGTTTGCCCAATGGTGATGTCAGTCACCTCCATTGTTGACGGGCGCGTGTTTGAGCTTGGAGGTAAACAAAGAACACGAAGCTAATGCGATATCCCGTGACCATGACATCAAGACTCGAACAAGATTCTGGCCGTCCTTCCCTAGCCCAACTTACGCTCTTACATGTACGGAGTATCTTCCCTCGGTATTGGTATTGTGAATACTCGAAATACCCATACCTTGTCTTCCAGATTTGTCAATTTCTCCCGGGGCCGATCTGCGACGCTATTGAATCCCCGGGGCTGCCACTATGCGACAGACCACGCCATGGCTTCGTGCCTCTCAGCCTCTTTACTAGCACCTCCAATCGTTGTGCTATCAATTCTTAGCGACGCCCTAATCCCTAATCTGGCAGCTGGTGACCCCCATCGCACAGCTCCGATCCCCCTCTCAGACACAGCACATTTAGCCGCTAGACTGGTACACTGCCCAGTCGCCTTATTGCATAGCCGAGGAATAAACAATATGATGACAGAAGCTCCTATTCGACTCTCCATCCCAGTACACTACAGGCCGATCCTCATAAATTGCCGCCAGTCAACGCAATCCCAAGCCCACCGTTGATGCTGTATCACCCCAATAGCTCCATCACTCCACCACGATAAGGTTATAGCAGCGTAAATAATTCATCCTATACACCAGTCAAATAAATCAGGTAACTTAAGCCCAACCCCTGAGCCGTACAGCAACTCGACCTGTATAGACCAAGTCCAACGGTTGCCCGGCCATCAACTCCACCCAAGCTTCGGAACTCCATATCTTATTCCTCCGACCCCATCAGCATACATATACCACCTGCGCATGCCCACGAAATGCATTCCCACATGCGACATGCGACATGTAAAGAACCATGTAAGTTAGTTATATAACTTATAACCCGCACGAAACTAAAAAGCCATGCAGATCCACAGCAGATCCCCCAACCATCCAAAAATCCACCTACACCCACACCCACACCCACACCCGCACGTACACATCAATTCTGACACAGAGCATACATCTAATTTTCTTTCCTTTTGCCATTGAATCCCAATGGTCATTCCATCCACCAAGCCTCCAAGCCTGGTAGCCTAATAGACTGATGCATACTCCCTACACCTGCTAAAAACTATACACATCGGCCACCTCGGAACGATGCATCCACCCGTGGGGCGCGCACAACCGCACCATTCACTTCTTAGCCCTGGATTCTCTGACATATAGTTCCGGCCTTGTCCCGGTTGCACTTGACAACAGGACGCACATTTTTTGCTAGTTTGTGCTCTGGACGGGCGCTTTTTTGATTGCGGGATGGAGTGGTCTCTTTTTTTGGATCCGTCTTACCCCTGAATCAGTCTGGACATTCTATGGGGCCTTTGTGTGGATTCTTACGAGTGTGTTTTTTTTGAGTTGACTTTGACAGCTTCGAATACGAGGTGCTAGATGGTGGTTTTGGAGGTTATTGAAATTGTAAGTATGCTTTTTCGCGTCCTTTTTGGGCTTTCGGATTTCCGTCTTTGATGCATGTTTGAGGGGGTTTATGGTAGGTTTTGGTTGCTATAGATATTGGGTCTTTTGTTTTTGTTTACCTTTTCTGGGGCTGATCTTGTGAGAATGAGAGATAGGTGTCGTTATGTTTAACTTGGTGGTGTGGTTGCCAAGTGAGGTGCTCGATATATCTCTGAATTGAAGTCGAAGGCACTGGATATATATACTTCCACCAAATATCTGCCACTCTGCGCCACCAGATTTAAATGCTTCAGAGAGAACAGACAGGAGGCAGCTTAGATATATATACATCCATATAGTCCAACAGAGGAGAAAAAACCACTCTCCTCAACATCGTCTCCAAATCCTTATCGGCTTATCGATCCACGCTAGTCCCAAATAGGTTACAGCCCGAATTTTTCTCGACTCCAACGGCCGCAAGGAGGAACAACGAACGTGCTCACATACTCAAATTCAAGGCCTGAGAGAGGGCAATCCGACAACTGGTCGTATACACTCATCTCTCTCAAAACTACAACCACCACAATGGCTCCCAAGCGCCGTCGCGAAGGCTACAATATCGACGTGAAGCTGGTGGAGCTCTACGAAGACCTCGCCAGCGAAAAGGACGAGATCAGACTCAAGGCCGCCCAAGGTCTCGTCTCAGAATTCACTCCGGACAAGAACCCCGCCGATGAGCAGATTCAAAAGGTCCTTCGAAGACTCTTCCGCGGTCTCTGCAGTAGCCGCAAAGCAGCGCGTATCGGCTTCTCAATCGCCTTGACAGAGATCCTGACCCAGGTCTTCTCTACACCAAGAGAGACATCCCGATTTGGGTTTTCGGACGCTCTGAGTCTCTGGGAGAACCAGTCCAACTCGACCGGCAGCGAGTCGGGTCAGGTTAGTGGCTACTAATACTCTTTCTATAATGTCGCATACTAATTGTAACCTCTTTCTCGACATAGGAACAACGCGACCACCATTTCGGACGTCTATTTGGCGCTGAAGCAATAATCAAATCTGGCGTCCTGTTCCAGTCCACCGTGCCCTTCGAGCAATGGACCCAAGTCCTCGACCTTATTTTCGAGCTCGCCCAGAAGAAGCCCTGGATCCGAGAAGAATGCGGATGGATCATCTACCAGTGTGTTTATGATTTGGCCTCGCGAAAGATGGATACCAAGTATATTGAGTCTGCACTGGAACGCTTGTGCTCGTATGAGATTGCCCGGTCGCCTGAAGGTATTGCTATCTGGTTGGCAGCGAAGGATCTGTTCCCCAAGGCTAGCTTCCCGAGCAAGGTCTGGAAGCACGATGACCCGCTGGACACCAAGGAGCGCAGCAGTCTGTCTAAGATTATGAAGGAGTCTGGAGCCGCGAACAGTGAGGGCGAGAACAAGAACTCCGCGAAGTCGTCTGGTGTCTGGAACTCCAAGCTTCACTTTGCTTGGGATGCTGTTCTTTCTCGGACCAGTCTTGAGAAGGAAGAGAAGTCGAAGAAGGCTCGTTTGAGCTTTGCTGACTTCTGGACAGAGGTTGTGGACAGTGAGTACCCCTTGCAGCATTGAGATGATCTACGAAGAATACAAACTGACAAGCTATCCACAGACGGACTCTTTGCTTCCGCGTCCTCGGAGGAGCGCAAGTACTGGGGTTTCCTGCTCTTCGTTCGGGTCATCAACGATGGTGGTCCCCAGCAGGCCTCTCACGTCTTTACCAAGAACCTCATGCGCTGCCTCACCAACCAAATGGCTGTAGAGGACCGATACCTGCACCGCATGGCAGTCAAGGCCGCCAAGGCTATTCAGGCCCGTGTCTCCAAAGAGCCCGAATTTGCGGCCGTCGCAATCCGCGGTTTGATGGGAACCAGTGGCACACTCAACTTCGACCAAGCGACCAAAACCAAGACCGTTGAGAAGATTGTGGCCGAAGCCAACCACGAGGCCCTCGAGGAGATCGTCCCCTTCTTCGAGCAACTCATTCAGAAGCCGGGAACCACCGACGAGAAGACTGCTGCTTCTAATCGCCAATTCGTCGCCGGTCTCCTCCTCTCCATCGTGCGCTCCAAGGCATCCGCCAACGAAGACGATGCAGAGGACCTCCAGACTAGCCTTGAGCAGCTATTGTCTATTTTCGTGCGCTTCGCGTACTTCATGGATACTGGCAAGGGATCTTCCGCCCCCGAGCCGCCTCTTTCACAGGCCACACAGGAGCTGCTGCGCAACCGCATTAACTCTTGCTTGAACAGCCTTATCTCCAACCAGAAGTTCGCTGCTACTCTCCCATACGTGGTTGTGAAGCAGATCCGCGATGCTGCCAAGTCTGGCGAGCACGGAAAGTTCATCATTGATATCGATGATAAGCTGCAGGACTCTGTGAAAGCTGCCTTCAAGTCTCTGAAGAAGCTGTCTGGCAAGGTAAGACAATTCCCGCGCTTATCAATATTTGCCGTATTCGTATACTGACCGACTAACAGGAGAAGAAGGAGAAGGGCATGGCTGCTTTCAAGCTGCTCTACTCTATGACCATCATGCAGGTCTACAATGGTGACGCCGACGCAGTGTCTATGCTTGATGAGTTGGAGTTCTGCTCCACCAAGTTCCTTGGCGACAAGGAAAGCAAGAAGCAAGACACCGGCGACGCCTCCGACGCGCTTGTTGAGATTTTGCTCAGTTTCGCTTCTAAGCAGTCACAGTTGTTCCGCCGTATGAGTGAGCAGGTGTTCAGTGCGTTTGCTAACCAGATCACCGAGAACGGATTAGAGTCTTTGATTTCGGTATGTGAAACACTCCTTCCTACACCGAAATATACATCGTCTAACTGAGTATAGATCCTGGAAGCCAAGGAGAGTCTGGCTGGACAGCAAGAGATGTTCGAAGAGCAAGATGAATCCGGCGAAGAAGAAGGCGAAGAAGGCTCCGACGCAGAGATGATGGACGTCGACGATCTCGACAGCGATGTCGAAGTCGTCGAAGCAGGGGAAGGCTCCGACTCGGACTCCGACTTGGAAGAAGAAGAGGACGCAAATGAAGACGACGCCCTAGAAGTCGCCGCCTTCGAAGCCAAGCTTGCGGCAGCCCTAGGCACACACCGAGCCGACGAAGACCTCAACGCTGCCGAATCCGACTCAGACGCTGACATGAACGACGACGAGATGGACGAACTAGACGACAAACTAGTCCAAGTATTCCGCGCCCGCCGCCAAGAAACCTCCCACCGCAAAGACAAGAAGGACGCCCGCGAAAACATGGTCAACTTCAAGAACCGCGTGCTGGACCTCCTCGAGATTTTCGTCAAGAAGAGCCACTCCCGCCTCCTCACCCTCGACCTTCTCCTCCCCCTTCTCCGCCTCTCCCGCCGCTCAACCGTCAAGCAAATCGCTACAAAGGCCAACAATGTCCTGCGCGAGTACACAAAGGTCTGCAAGGGCAACTCCCTCCCCAAGATCGAAGACGATGCCCAGACAGAGGCGTTGTGGGAACTTCTCCGCTCTGTGCACAAGGAGGCTGGACATAGTGGCCCTATGGGCCATGCTACGGCTTGTAGCCAGGCTTCTTTGCTCGTCGTTAAGATTCTCGTTGCGCAGGATAAGAGTGCTATCGAGGGTGTTGTGGATGTCTATGCCCAGACACGCAAGGATCAGCTTGTTAGCACCAAGTGTCATGTGCAGCCGTCTTTCTTCTCTGAGTGGAATAACTGGTGTGTTTCTGCTAGTAAGCAATTGAAGTGAGGTGGTATGTTTGAAATAGAAGGGGAAGGAAGGAGTTGTGTATAGATGAAGATGATTCGTGCGATGTTGATGTTCATATTGATGTCATTTTATATGTAAAAGCTGGATGAATTATCTTTTTATGTTTATCTTTTTTCTCCTTCTCTTTTCCGTCTGTTCTTATTGCTTTGCTTGATGCCGTTTTTAGTAGACTTACTAGTCATCCCTGTGAACTCGGTCGGTTCGTCCGCCCTTGCATTCCCGTCATTCCTAGACATGCACATACCTCTTTACACTATACCTATCAAACCTAAGCTTTTCTAGTGAGTTTAATACTTTTATGGGCTAGGAAAAGGAAAAAAATTAAAAAAAGCATTGGCTATTCTGGTAAATTGGTTGTGGTTTGGCGAGAATATGCTAGGAATATATATATTCGGAAAGTTCTGACAACGGCCAACAAACATGATACATAGATAATTGCACATACTCCATTTCCCTCTGTGTCAATAACCTTAGAATCGACGAAGACCAGGTCGAAAACAGGTTAGACGCATGTTGGCTATCACATGACTACCTAGCCCTAAATGTAAGTGTCTTCCTGGGCTCTGTAAAACGTCTTTTGACTCATGATGCTCGCAAAACACAAGGAAAGGAATTACTAGTGCTATATCAATCAAGTTGTTATTGATGAAAAGGTGTCTCAATGTGAAATCTGTCCGGCAACTACAAGAACACTTGCTTCCCGCGACAAAATGAAGATCTGAAATCAACTCAACAACGGCTGTCTGATGCCCCGGCCCGCCAATTATGTCGCAAAGACGAGCAGATCACAATCCTTTGGCCCAGAGCAAAAACTTCATTATGATTGTGTATATAGTATTTGTGTAGCCCTAGCAACACTGACCGAGTCGAAGAGTGAAGGAGCATATTTACTGGTATGCGTTGTCCGCCAGAGACGACCGACTATCAGTTGACTGACCGTGATTGAAATCTAATAGTATCGATTCCAACAGAGCTTGTTATATATCAAACCCCAGCACATCTAGGTAATTATACCCCGAAGACAGGCTGTCAGAGTACGACAATTCCAGGTCTTAGACGACTGTTTGCTCCTTACTACACGATGGTCAGTCCTTCCACACTCGCAAATTTGTCTGATCCGATAAATTCAGCTAGGCACTCAAAAATGGGCAAAGAAGGGATCAAAAGCAACAAAGAAGGAGAGGCCACGTAAGGTCGCAAACGCAAACGTGCCTCGAATGGTACACTCCCTTATAGGAATTCGGATGGAAATTATTTATACTTTGTACCATTGTGAATAGATTTACGAGCGTTGCTGTACTAGCGAATTTAAAGAGCAACTCTCTCTTTATTAGCCACGAGGACTCGAGTTAAAACCATCCGGACATGACGCAAAATAAAGTCAGATTACGCCTTAGCACGCAACGAAATCATCCGTAGATTTCGGTTATTCCCCGAGAGTTGAACTGAACACCTGAGGTACATGATGTCCGGAAAATAGGTATCTACAGCAAATGGCGTGAATATTACGCAAGATGCGCCGTGGCATCGCAATACGCCTAGACGGGCTAGATCAGTCCCGACTCAGCAGCCTATTTACTATGAAATTTCAGAAAATAGTGGGAGATCCAGAGGCTTGGTAAGTGATGCGATCGCCAGGATTGCTGAGCACATCTCACTCCAAGGTATAAGACAATTATCTCTAGCATAGAGATACAGGACAGTTATCTATTTCTAGTCTCCGCGCTAGCTCTATTATTGAGCATCCCAGAAACTAAAATGGGCAACGCCGGAAACAATGGCCAAGTGACTGTATCTCTGGTAAACCGAGACATCGAAAATGTTTCCGGTGGCTCTTCCGATGATAGCGCAGTGAAACCAACAAAGTCATGGAAAGGCTATTTGTGGGATACGTGGGACCTTCCCCCGGATCAGCGATGGCTTCTTTTCAAAGTCGATGCATTTGTTCTCACATTTGCCTCGATTGGGTATTTTCTAAAGAATATCGATCAAACGAATGTCAACAATGCTTTTCTTAGTGGCATGGAAGAGGATCTGCAAATGTTTGGCAATCAACTCGTTACTAGTCAGTTTTGTCACCATGCAATATCTCTGTTCTTGGAAGTGTACTAACCTGCGGTATCACTGCAGGTACATCTATCTGGACTGTCGGCTACGTTATTGGCCAGATCCCTTCCAATATACTTCTCACAAGAGTATCTCCCCGTTGGGTTATACCCTCACTTGAGATAGGATGGGGTATTGCGACCATATGTACATCGAGCGTGAAGTCATACCATGCTCTCTATGCTCTTCGCTTCCTAGTCGGTTTCTTCGAGTGAGTTCCCTCCTGGTCAATCCAAGGTAGAATGTTCTGACACTTCACAGATCCGGTTTTTATCCAGGCATTCATTACCTTCTAGGATCATGGTATACACCCCGAGAAATCGGAAAGCGGGCTATGGTCTTTTGGCTAGCTGGTTCTGTCGGCTCCTTGTTTAGTGGCTTTTTGCAAGCAGCTGCTTATAAACATCTCAACGGGACAAATGGTTATGCAGGTTGTACGTACACTCCTTTAATTTTGTATTCAACGGCGCGCACGAACTAACAAACACAAGGGCGCTGGCTCTTCATTATCGACGGAATTATCACGCTCCCTCTCGCAGTCGCAGGCTATTTTTTCTTTCCCAACCTTCCTCAAGGTGGGAAGAAGTCATGGTGGATAACCGAGAAAGAGCATACCCTTTCATTGGAGAGGATGCAACTCATTGGTCGCGCTGGAAAGCAGCCTTGGACGAAGGAAAAGGCGAAGAGAATTCTTCTAAGCTGGCATACCTACCTTCTTCGTAGGTTATCGCACCCCCGGATCCATAAGCCGCTTTGAATCTGACAGTGGAATAGCTGTGTTATACATCGTTTGGAATAATGGTATACCCCAGGCCGGTATGGGTTATTGGCTTAAGAGCTTCAATGGCAACCCTGCACCGGTTCCAGGAAGATCATTTTCTGTCCCGCAGATTAATAATTGTGACATTTGATTCCCTTCTTTCAAGCCTTGCTCGTAATAGCTAACCAAATATCAAGTACCACTTCCCACGACCGGAATCTTCATTGTCATGGCGTTGATCTGGGGCTGGCTCTCAGACGGGCCATTCCGAGGTGCTCGCTGGCCATTCATCTATGCTGGTGCTGTGATCACTGTAAGCGGGTTCCCATCCCTTGTGTGTGATAATTGCTGACGCATTCTATCAAAAAGCTTCTCATGAGTGTTCTGTTACTCAAAGTACCCCTATACTCGGACATCAAGGGCCGAATGGTTGTATATTGGTTGAGTAATATTGGAGTATGTCAGATCCCACCTATGGTATATGAAACGCTCTAACAAGCTACATAGAACGGTGCAGGTCCTCTAATTCTGAGTTGGATCAACGAGATCTGCTCCGATGACACGGAGAAGCGAGCGCTGCTTGTCGCAATGGCGAATGACCTTGCTTACGTCGTCCAGGCGGTTGTCAGTTTTCCAAAAATGGATTGAGAAGTTTTGCACTGACAGATACAATAGGCTCCTAATTTCGTGTGGAAGACTACTGCGTTCCCCAGGGCTGCAAAGGGATACACCTGGTCGATCGTGCTCCAGATCCTACTCAGTAAGTCGGCTATAGATCTATATTTCTGACACCTGCTAATCGAAAGCTAGTTGTTGTCACTGCTGCTATTCAGTTCCTACTATGGCGGGATAGGAAAAAGGCAGCCGAGGCAGATCGGACGATACCCGCCGTGGACCCCGGTGATCCCTTGTCAACAGAGGACGAGGAGAGTCCTGGAAAAGATACAAGACAATCCAGGATCAAATATGTCAGTCAAGCATAGCGTTACGAGCCTTGTCAGTGAATATTAGTTTTATAGTTAGTGTGTAAGCTCCACAATACAGTACACATCAGATCTTGCCACATGCTAAGCCTCCACAACATCATATCCAGATCCAATAGAATCTTGATAAAAATATATTAACATACACCTGTTTCTCCCAAACTTGACATCATATCAAAGGCAATCAGACAAAAGAGGCGAATATCGAACGTCGTGATCGCCGATCAACGCTATACCCGATTGGGACACTACGTCATCGATGCGCGGCTTATATACGGCAGCCTGGACGACTTTCTTCTTCATCTTTCTTTGATATTCACATTCACATACACTATTCATCATGCCTCTTGTTGTACCGGGAATCAATTCCACTATGGGCGATAAGTCCGAGTGGGTCAACAAACTGATGGGCAAGACGATCGGCGATTCTAGTAATGAGACGGTATGTGGGGATTGAACATGGGAATGGATGGAAATCTAACTATTTGCTAGTCCTTTGCTAAGAAGGATCTTCCTGAAACTCATCGTGTTTTGAAGCCTGGTGATATGAAGACTATGGATCATAACCCGGACAGGTAATTTTTCCCCTGGACAGAGTGATGACGGTTACTGATCATATCTTCATAGACTCAACATCCACGTTAACGAAGAAGGCACTGTTCACGATGTCAACTATGGCTAGAGCATCATACACCTGCTAAACTTTTATGGTCCGAAAGAAGACTGAATTTATGTATCAATTTCTTATCTAATAATCACTTGACATCTATAGAGAAAGTCTATCACCATATCCCAACCAAAGAAACCTACTCAGCCTTCCATCTGAGCAGAGTAAGCGAGTGCTTAGGGAAGACATAAGCACCCTTTCCAGTCCAAACAGTCTCCTCAACACTCACCTCCTCAGCACCATTCATATTACTAGCAGCGACATTGGCCCCAGTAACAGTAAACACAGTAACATCACCAGTAGCCCCCTCAACAACACTCTTCAAATCCTTCTCATCAGAAATATTCACAACAGCAACATTAACAAACCCATCCTCACCAAGCACAGCACTAACATCCAGCCAAGGCGTATCCTTCGCGCTCCGAATCCACTTGGGCAATGTCTCTCCCTCATAAGTTCCACAAGAAACATGACTAGCAATAGTCCAGCCACGCATGTACCGCGAGAACAAATAAAGCGGCCACCAAGTCGTCTGTTTCGTGATTCCCTCAGGGGTGGTCATCAAAGGCGAGATGACATTAACAGTCTGCGCAATACACGCCATACCGACATCCTTGCTCTTACGAATGAAGACGTTTAACCAGGCCGCGACGGCAAGAGCATCGGATAGATTATAGTTCTCCTCTGCGCCCTTGCTACCCTCTGCACGGATCGGGTCCCACACATTCCACTCGTCGAAGCAGATGGTCGGGCGAAGCTGTTCTGGTGGGACACCGTTCTCGGCGCGCGCGAGGTCGATTAGCGCGGATGTGATTTCGATTGCGCGCTCTGCTGCTAGGGGCGCTGTTACGTTTGGTAGGTGCTCTGATGAGGATGTGTAGAGGTGGATGCTGTGCATGTCGATTAGGGGGACTGCGCTAGTTGAGAGGGCTGAGTGGGCTGGCACGAGGCAGTGCTTTAGGGTGTAGTAGTCCCACGACGCGGTGCCATCTTGGCCACAGAGGATTAGGATGAGGCTTGGGTCCAGGAGTTTGAGGGCTGGAGAAATGTTAGGTTGGGTATTTGAGTGTGATGGTGGTGGCATTACCTTTGGCCCATTGGATGGCCTTGTGGGCATATGCCTCCTTGGTCATTTGCTCGACTTGCCAGGGACCCCATGTTTCGTTTCCGAGGGCCCAGTATTTGACCTGAGATTGTTAGCGCATTGAAATATAGAATGTCTCGTGAGTGCATACATTGTAAGGCTCCTCGCGGCCATTTTTCCGGCGCAAATTGGCATAATATGTATTGCCAGTTCCATTGCAATACTCAACCCATCCCAAAGCTGCATTGATTCCCGATTAGCACCAATTCAAACCAATGAATCGAGTAACAACATACCTTCATCCAAAGTACCAGTTCCAAAATTAAAGCAAAGATAAGGCTCAGTTCCCAAAGCTTCACACCACTGCATGAACTCATCGGTACCAAATTGATTGGTCTCAGTTCCAAGCCAAGCAAGCTCAGGTCTATGAATAGTCAGCTCACATGATCATAGTACTGAGAAGGCAAGCCAAGCATACCTAGATGGACGTTCTTCCTTGGGGCCAACACCATCAAGCCAGTGATAGGTCGCGCAGAAGTTACCACCGGGGTATCGAACGACAGGGATGTTGAGCCCCTTCAACGCCTCCAGGACATCCGTCCGGAATCCTTTCTCATCGGATAGCGGGTTCCCAGGGTCATAGATGCCGCCATAGATACAACGTCCCATATGCCTATGAAGATGTTAAGTCTGTGTCATGCAATGTTCGCTTGACAAACTCACTCAGTGAAACCGGCATAGATGTTCGGGTTGATCTTCGAGATGCGCCGAGAGGGATGGACAGAGATGACAGGCGTCTCATGATCTGCCAGTTTGGTCAAGGTAGTCATTTTGACGTTGTTTCTACGAATTTACAACAGTAGAGAGCAGCTTATAGATTCGAATTGCGACTCTCAAATAGATATGATAACTTCCACAGCATTCAAGAAATAAATAGCAGAAGAGAAGTGGCCTCTGTAAGCGGCAAAACTCCTGCGGGGAACATCGTGTTGTCAACCACACGATGCTCATTGTGGCTAGCAAGCCTTTGGCCAAAAGCTATCTAGGACGCGCCAAGCTGGAAAAACCTCGGCAGTTACCCAATAAACCGACAAGCGAGACTCCTCAACTCGAATCCCGAAATCGAGACAGTTCTTCCGTCAATCACCGCGCGACCTACATGGCGCCACATTTCTGAATCCCTGGCCCCGCAGAATTGAAATTCTTCCGATTCCAGCACGGCTGTTAGCATGGACGAAAATGTGCCTGATTTTTTGTTGCCGAGACGCCTGTCACATAGGGTTAATCTTTCCCGGGCTAGCTCGGTTAATTGAGCATGAAGCATACGATGGCCCTAGCTGGTGGCTTCGCCTAAGCTCTTTGTTCCGAGTCTGGCTCAGTTGTTAACTGATGGAGTATATCTAGGGATCATCGCCCCGGAGAACGCGGTGATATGTGGAGATCCCCAGATTTCTTCCCCATACTTTGATTTTCATCACCATGCGTCTTTCGCCAAAGTGGTACCAAGTAAGGATGATGTCTTCATCTATCTGCTTGTGGTCGTGCTGATAGCTCTATAGTTCCTGGTTGGCGTGTTCGCCTCGCTGGGTTCTTTCCTGTATGGATGTTAGTATCATCTCCCAAGTCTTGGAGGGTTTATTCTTACACGATTCTAGATGACTTGGGTGTTATCGCCGAGGTTATCATCTGTCAATCATTTACATCAAAGTTTACTCCTACCGATACCCAGAGGTATGTTCACATTCTACAAACTGGCTATCCCTTGCCAACATGTCTTCAGCGGTCTGGTAGTATCACTGTTCACAGCCGGTGCTTTCTTCGGTGCCGGTGCCGCTGGTCCCAGTGGTGATTACCTCGGCAGAAGGCGCACTATTTCGCTGGGATGCTTGGTCTTCTGTCTGGGAGGTGGCCTCCAAACCGGCGCCCAAACCATCGCCTATCTATACAGTGGACGTTTCCTTGCTGGATTCGGGTATGTCACTTACACTCCTGGAGAGCCCTCGGGAGATATGCCTGAGAAACAACCGGGCTAATTCATATCGCTAGTGTCGGCTTCCTCACCATGATGATTCCCCTGTACCAAGCCGAGATCTGTCACCCTAGTATCCGTGGCCGAGTAACAGCCCTGCAGCAGTTCATGCTGGGTGTTGGTGCTCTATGTGCTTCCTGGATCTCCTATGGAACATACATTGGATTTTCGCCTGACAATCACGCCCAATGGCAATTGCCTCTGGGTTTGCAGGTTGCTCCTGCTGTGTTCCTGGGTCTTTTGATCATGTTCTTCCCCGAGGTAAATTCCGCAAGCCCTTCTCCAGTCATGCACTATCTAACAGAGTTCAGTCCCCTCGCTGGCTCATTGACCACGGCAAGTCCGAAGAAGGTTTGAAGACCTTGGCCAAGCTCCACGCTCATGGTGATGAGAACGACGCCTGGGTTCAGGCAGAGTATGCCCAAATCCAGGAGAGTATCAACTTCGAGCATGAGAACGAGGCCAAGTCATACATGGAGCTCCTGACTCAGCGCTCCTCGTTCCGTCGGCTGTTCCTTTGCTGTGCCCTTCAAGCCTCTGTCCAGATGACCGGTGTATCTGCTATCCAGTAAGTTCTCTCAGCATCCATCGAAAGTAAAGCGCTAACACGAGACTAGATACTACTCTGTCACGATCTACGAGCAAATTGGAATCTCAGGCTCCGACACCCTCCGCTACCAAGCCATCAACTCAATCATCGCCTTGATCGCCCAATTCCTTTGCATGATGTTCATCGACCGCTTCGGTCGTCGCTGGACATTGATCTCAGGAAACCTAGGCAACATGGTAACATTCATTATCGCAACAGTTCTCCTCGCCCAGTTCCCTCCGACAACAACAAACACCGGCGCCCACTGGGGCTTCATCATCATGACCTGGCTCTACAACTTCTCCTTCTCAGCAACCTGTGGCCCCCTCTCATGGATCATCCCAGCAGAAGTATTCGACACGAAGACCCGTTCCAAGGGTGTTTCCATCGCGACAATGACCTCGTACGCATTCAACACTATGATTGGACAGGTGACGCCCATTGCCATGACAAACATCCAGTACCGGTTCTACTACATCTTCGTTGTTTGCAACTTTACCAATGCGCTCTTCTTCTACTTCCTCTTGCCTGAGACGAAGAAGGTGCCTCTTGAGGAGATGAATGCCATGTTCTCTAATGCGCCTTGGATTGTGCCTTTCAGCAAGAGAGAGGATTATATCAGCCATGATCTCGAGCGCAAGGTAGAGGAGCAGGAGACTAAGCAGAGTGCTATGCATTTCGAGGTTGAGGAGAAGTGATGATTGATGTTTTGGAAGTCTTATACTTGTATACTCTGATTGATGTACTGGTATCCGTGTATTTTTGAACTATGAGTTGCTAGCGCGTGTTCCTTCTGCCATGAAGGAATATAGTTGCCCGAAGAAATGATGTTGTCTATGTATTTGATCTCATCTGTCTTTACGTTGTAGTACTCTGTCCTTGTCGCCTTTTGTTCAGTAGAAATGAGCACGCCCCTGAGCGACCTGATCCATTCACTAAGTCTGAGCTGAGTCAAGGAGCTGAATAAGTTCAATAAAATGCATCTGGATCTCATCCTAGTAAACTGGATGCTACTTGACTACCTAATCAGCAAGTTTGTTGGCTCTCTCTTCAAATTAATGAATCTGAATAACCAATTATACTACGCGTGTGAGAATGCAAATGGAATAGAAGTGTATCTGTAGTCGGAGAGTTGAGTAATCGTTAATTCACTAGGCTTGAGAGTGGCTGTGGAGTATATCCACTATAAGTTGGAGTCGAAGATCATTTGGAAAAGCCATTAAGGCACACTCTCCGAGTCGACTCTACTTGCAAAGTAGAGCAACGTATACGTTTATGAGACTTAAGCTTTGCGAGTACCCCACAACCACTGACGACCTCTGACGTAAACCCCATAGTTCCACGTTGTATACACCACGTCCGAGCCGACATTGTGGGGTCGGGGGTAATTCTCCCGATCACTAGTCCAATGTCTAACCAGACCCGGGAAGCGGGTTTGAAATCACCGAATGTAATTAGAGAAGCTATTCATTCGGACTGCAAGGTTATCCCGGGTCTTAGTTACTAACCTTGAAGCTAATGCGTCCCCTAAACTACCTTCCTTACAAGTGCTCGACCCGAGGCCCTTTAGCTTCAGTGACTATGTCCAGCATCTATGTCAAAGACCCTAACACCCACCACGGCAGACGATATATGCCATGTATAGTGACCTGTGTATACTCCTGCATCTTTAAGAGGAGCCATGGAGACTAGAATAATTGATTGTGTTTCTCGAATGATTAGGTATTGCCTCGCATCGACATACAGGATGATCTCCTTGTTCTTCTTCACCATCATCATGAATAGATTTTATTACTTGATTGAACGAGATAGCTCTTGGATGGCATTTCATAGGAGCTGGAATCCAGAACGGGGCCCCTATCTTTAGCCCCGGTCCCCAGGCATCCATCTCCACAAGTGCATGACAATATGGCTGCCTTATCCCAATGTGAAGCCAATGGTAATTTATGTGCTCGTGTGCAACACCATATGGTCTCTTCCGATTGGCCCACAATGGAAGCTTGTCGGCGTCCCAAAAGAGGTTAGTAACCGGGGTACGGGTGCCGCCTGCATGTACGTATTCTCACTTGCATTGTTTCATCCTTCAGTCAACAGTGATAATCTATACAGCAAATATCCTAGTCTGCAGAACATAAACGAGACAACCTCCCACCCGTGGACTCGAAGAACCTTTACATCGATCCCAGCTTTAAGCCTAAAATGACAACTATCGAAGAAGCCTTCCAAGCAGCAATCGCTTCCAAAAAGATCAATGGCGCCGTTATATGCGCCAGAAGCAAAAACGGATCCTTCAGCTACAACAAAACCATGGGCGAACGCACCCTACTTTCCGGTGAAAAGAAACCGCAACAACTAGACGACATGATCTACCTAGCCAGCGCAACAAAGTTCATGACAACCATCGCCGCAATGCAATGCGTCGAAGACGGCCTATTGAGTCTAGATGCCGATGTCTCGCCCCTCTGCCCAGAACTAGGCTCCAAACAAGTTCTGACCGGATTCACAGAGGATGAATCCAAGTCCCCAATCCTGGAACCAGCGAATCGACCTATTACACTCCGCATGCTACTGAGCCACAGTTCAGGCGTGACATACCATTTCCTCGACCCGAAGATCGGAGCATGGCGCGAGAGATATGCACTCCCGGGCGAAGACGAGAAGAGAAATGTCGAAGAGACATTCTCCTACCCGCTCAGTTTCCAACCTGGCGAGGGGTGGATGTATGGAGCTGGTCATGACTGGGCTGGGCGCATTATCGAGCGTGTTACTGGCCAGACTTTGTGTGAACGGATGCAAGAGCGGATGTTTACGCCGTTGGGGATTACGGATGCGCAGTTTTACCCTGTTACCCGTGACGATCTGCGGGAACGACTTGTTGATCTTAATCCTGATGATGTTGAGGGTCTTGGGCGGGCGGTTCTTGGGGGTGGAGGCGATATTAATAAGCGGTCGAAGGGGGATTTCGGGGGACATGGATTATTCATGATGGGGCCTGATTTCGTGAGGATTTTGGGATCATTGTTGGATGGGGATGGGGTTTTATTGAAACAGACTACTATTGATGGGATGTTTGTGCAGCAGCTTGGAGAGCAGGCTGGTAAAGATCATTTGGAGAAATTGGATGGGCCTATTGGGCCATTCTTTCGGATTGGGGTTGAGCCTGAGGTTAAGGTTGGGTATGGGATTAGTGGGATTTTGACTCTTGAGGATGTTGATGGGTGGCAGGGGCAGGGGACTTTGAGTTGGGGTGGGGGGTTGACGTTGACTTGGTTTGTTGACCGGAAGAATGGGCTTTGTGGTGTTGGGGCTATTCAGTCTGCTTTGCCTGTTGATGTGGGCTTGGTTCTTGAGTTGAAGCAGGTTTTCCGGAAAGATGTTTATCGCAAGTTTGCTGAGTGGAAGTCACAGTCGTGATTTATATAGGTCGGTACAAATCTGTCTATGGAAGAGCTAGTAGGATAGCTTTGATGAAGAGGACCAACAAGATATACGTGTGCCTTCTTGTGCATAATAATACGTTGATATAATTTGAGAACAAGATTCCGATGAAAGGGACTAGTAGAGTAGATCATTCGCTAAATCTGATGTTGGAGTATACAGTTCAGGTTGGCCCAGTAGGATACCTGCTTGGAAATTATGTATGAAGGGGACCAATATGGCTTGGTCAACTAGAATGCATCACTCTGAATCAGAGCTATAACCTGCCAGGCCGAGTGAGACCGGGACTGGTTTCGCTGGCGGCTTTTGTGGTTGATTCTGCTTGGGTTTCGCAACGGCCTTGGGGGTCGTAGATGGGGTGGTTTCACTAGGCTTGGGATTCTGCTGCGTTGCCTGCTTGGGCTTTGATGCGCTGTCAGCTTCGGGCTTCTTTGACTCCTTTTCTTGAGGTTTGTTCTCGGTCAGTGAAGCCTTGCGCTTCTTCCCGGGAATCAAAAGATCCTTCTGCTTGTCGCGACGCCTCTTGCGCGCAGGTGCAGCCCATTCTTCTTCCTCCACAGGTGTAACATCCGACGACGTTGGTCCAAGTAGAGCCTTCTCGGCCTCTTCGCGCTGTCGACGGAAGGCCTCTAGCTGATCAGCTGTATCGCGCTTTACCGCAGCCTCCTGGGCTCTTGTGGATTCAAGGACGGAATCCAGAAATTCGACCTCGTCTTCATCCAACGAACGGAACTGGTTCTTGAGTCGGGCTTTCTCCTCAAAAGCTTCTTGTTTGGCCACTATATTATAACCGCGGGAAATTACCCTAACACGTCAGTCTGAGTTCCTGGGTCCGTTGGTCGCATTCTCTGCGATTGCAGGGTGCAGACAAGCCTCATCGCCAAGTTAGTCTCACTTTTGTTCCGCTCCAGGACCTCAAAGAGGCTTTTGCCGTCATCCTGTTTGCCTATCTCGGCCTTTCGCCTCCGCTCCTCCTCCAGCTCTTGTTGCGCTTTGAGCCATTCATCGTCCCGCTCGATCGGTTGCTCGTTGGTTCCGGCTGAAACGAATCCCGAAGACATGACGCCGATCGGGATAAAGTGGAAAGGCTACGGGATCCAAGACTCGGGTATAATGCAGGTGCACGGAACGTGTTAATTATCCGGGACCGGCAGAAAGGTGGGTGAATGGACCGAGCGAATGACGAAGTTGTGTCTCTTGCCGGGTGAAGGCGAACGAGAAAGTTCTGGAAAGGGAAGTTTCACGGCGCGCGAGTCCAAGGCGGAGCCAATTGGGGTAAATGTTGTACAGTCAGCAGTGGGCCTGGCTATTTAGCCGGAATGCAAAGTGATGACGGAGATGCAAATAGTGGGCTACAAGGACTATAGTACTCCGTGAGTTATGGATATCAGTCGGGTAATTACTGATAATAACACCTTTATTCTTTGGTTGGAGTAACAGCGTAGTAGTGTGTATTGTAAGCCTTCCCCACTACCCCTCTGAGATCATTGCTCTTGGACCTGCCCACTTTATGATGCCTCACATTATAAAAGACCCCTACCCCCCCCCTATACCTTGGATCCCCCATCAATCCAAATTCATACATCCAAAATGTCTAACCAGCACACCGAGTGAGTCCTAACTGAAGTCAATGCGCAGAGAGTATCATATATTAACCGCTCTCGCTCAATAGAAAGACCTACACCCTCAACACCGGTGACAAGATCCCTGCCATCGGTCTTGGAACATGGCAATCCAAGCCCAATGAGGTCCGCATCGCTGTCCGCGATGCCCTCCTCGCTGGATACCGCCACATTGACACTGCCCTGGCTTATGGCAACGAGGCCGAGGTCGGTGCCGGTATCAAGGATTCCGGCGTGCCCCGCGAGCAGATCTGGCTCACCACCAAATTGGACAACCCCTGGCACAAGCGCGTGAATGAGGGTATTGAGTCCTCTCTCAAGGACCTTGGGACCGACTACGTCGACCTCTACCTCATTCACTGGCCCAGCTCGACCGACCCCAACGACCTGTCCAAGCACTACCCTGACTGGGACTTCATCAAGACCTGGCAAGACATGCAGAAGCTCCCTGCCACTGGCAAGGTGCGCAACATTGGTGTTTCTAACTTCGGCATCAAGAACATGGAGAAGCTCCTCAGCGACCCCAGCTGCAAGATCGTCCCCGCCGTCAACCAGATCGAGCTGCACCCCAACAACCCCTCCCCCAAGCTCGTTGCCTACAACACCTCCAAGGGCATCCACTCTACCGGCTACTCCTGTCTGGGCTCCACCGACTCTCCTCTCTACAAGGACCCCACTCTTCTGAAGATCGCCGAGAACAAGGGCAAGACTCCCCAGCAGGTGCTCCTCGTCTGGGGTATCACCAAGGGCTGGAGTGTCATCCCCAAGTCTGTTAACAAGGCCCGTATTGAGGGTAACCTTGACATCAACGGCTGGGAGTTGACTGCTGAGGAGGTTAACCAGCTGGATAACCTAAAGGACCGCTTCAAGGTCTGCGGTGATGCCTGGTTGCCCGTCAAGGTCTTCTTCGGCGATGACGAGTAAATCTGTTATGATGATGTTTTATGAAGTACATAGGCTTTAGATACCAAAAGAACCATTTTGTTATACCAGATAGTACCCCGCCATGACCGTAGCGAACGAGACAAACAATGGAGTACTAAGCTAAATTGGGATGCAAAATCAGTGACTTGTCACGCGAGTGGCGTTGCACCGCCACTGTGGGTCACGCCTGAGGCGGAGAGATAAGGGTGTATACCCCAGCGTCATCAGGCATCTCTCCTCCTTCATCCGTCTCACCATCCTTACTAGGATATACATCTCTCAACTCTCAGCATGGCGCCTCCAAATGGGCACCTGCTGCTCCCCAAGATATGGAGAGCAGCTAGGTACGCATATCACTTCCTGTCGCCTCCTTATCGAGGAACAATGACAGTCATCAACTAATACCATCCTAGGTTTGCCTATGAAAAGGCTTCCAAGGCCATTCGGTCTAAGTTACCAGAACCACAATACAAACCATTGCGATATCAACCAGCCTATGCCCGCATCAACCGCCAGCCAATCAGTCGTGCCGCTGCCATCCGTCAAGCCCGCAGTCGCCACTTCTCGACTCGTGCCGCGGGTGCTTTCACCTCTGCGATTAGATCTACATTCGGTGCCGAAGGTACCGCACATGCCACTTCTCGCATTGCATCCAGCATTGGTCGACTGAGCAGCCGCGCACCCTTTGCTTCCACCCTCCGTCCCAATCTGACCGGTGGTACTCTCGGCCGCACTGCAGGAGGGTACGCTGTTGGAGCAGGTCGCTTTGGCGGAGCCAGATACTTTTCTCATGGTCCTGCAGCCCCGGCACAGGTTATTCAGAATGTGTCCCAGGGTGTCCGTGCCTTCTTCCTGTCTGGTCAGAAGGTTCGATTCGATGGGATTGATCCCAGCACCGGTGAGAAGCGGTACAAGGCTGTCACCGTTCTCCAGGACCAGGCAGAGCGCAAGATGAACTCCATCCCGCGCAACACCCCTGGCTCGTACCTTGACTTCCAGGTTTCTCCTACCGTCACTGCATTCGGTGCTTTGGGCGGTCTCGCTCAGACTTCGTCGGCCCCATGTGACACCCTAAACTCCGAGGGACTCATGGATCTCCTCTCTGCCGACTTTGCTCGTGCCCTGAAGGATTTCGCGGCTATCATGAATGATCTTAAGCGTTTGTCGTCGCTCGGTGATCTCCCGATCACCCTTCACGAACGATCAACCATACGGGTACGTTTCCCAGGCTGCGACGCAGACACAGTGGAGCGACTGTGTGATGAAGCCGGAGTTCAGCGGGGTCGCATCGTCCAGGATGAAGACTTTGATCTTCGCACTGGTGCCGATATGGCTTTATTGTTTCCCTTCGCACCCAGCGTTGCACCGTCCCCTGACACCGACTATTATTTCGAAAAGGCTCCCAAGATGAAGACCCAGTATCCCCAGGATTTGGACTGGCATGGAATGATGACACCCTCTTCGCCGGGTGTTAGCCGTGACTCTGGAAATGCTATCAGCTTCGAGGATAGTCAGCTCTATGGTGCCAATCCCTGGAGAACCTCGTCTCAAAGCTATTCCAGTATCAATGTCAGTGAGCTTGGCGATCAGCCTTTCTTCCCAGAACTCTCCAGCGCTGGTCTGCCAGAGAGTACGTCTGCTTACGAAGGCGTTGAGGGTATCTACAAGTTCCTGGCTGAATGTGATCGTGCCCAGCGTTCATGACCGACGGTTAGATATCGTTTTGGCTTTATACTTTCATTTTAATTTTCTTTTTATCTCGTTTTTCTCTTAATTGCGTTGGATATATCCTAGGCTGAAACCGGATCCACATGATGATACTGATACCACTCCACTCTTTACTGTTCCTTTACGTCAACATTTGCTCGATCGAATGAATATTTTGACTTGACATATACAAATGTTTCACAGGTTCCCTTATAAGGGTCAAAGAGTAGAACTGTAGGCGAGAGTGCATATGTCACTTCCGCGTTCGAGGAACGGCCCGAGTCCTTGATCTTTACGGTTAACTCAGTCATTTCAACACTAGTGCGTGCATTGGGTGAGCAGACACAAGTATGTTACTTGATATGAGCTACCCCTACACTCGTATTGATTTGATGAATTCAGGCTAAGAGACTACTGGAACGGGTAAGCCGTCCTTGGCATACCATTGACCAATCTATATACTTGAAACCCCTATATCCCTTAACCCGTCCACCGCTGGACCCTGCATTAAATTGTATAATGTGCGGGGTCTGAGGTCTGAAGAATGTGGCTGTCAAGAACCGAGCAATGACGTTTTCGCAGCATGTCATTCTGTAAACAGACGGTAAGCCCTGCAACACCGCTGGCAGGGCTATTGTTTCATGCCCAATCACTAATTGGAATCGATTTTTATTATCCTCTAGGCCTCGACAGGTAGATCAAATTCGTCATAGATATCTCTCGAAACGCTCCTACCAGTTCGCGTTATCAAGTAGCTATATATGAATAGCTTTCAGCTTTCTCCTCCGGCTTCCTACCCCTTGTACATACACATCGCATACAACCAAAGAGACCAAATATTAGGAATGTCGTCTGGATTCCCCTCTTATACCTCCCGCGCCCGGTTTGGAGAGGATCGACGAAAAATCCATCCCATTTGGGGACGGAGTATCGATTCCGCATAAGATACTAGGGTCTTCACGCTACCCCAGATTTCTATCCCTTGACCTTCTAGGTAAGTCATACCTGCTGCATGCAGCTTTGACTCCCATACGCCTCTCACAGGGCAGATGTCTATTTAGCCAAATTTTGACATCTCGCAACATGCAGAAATGACTCTTTTAGCAGAGACACTTCTGGTTTCATAGTCAAAAAGCCTGACTTGATGTAGCATGAATTTCGGATTTCGGCTTCTTGTTCCGAGATGGTGTAGATGGTTGATGCTTGGAATGAATATATAAAGGATGAGATATGACGCCTTTATACTCTTCAATAAGATCTAATACAACAAGATCAACAAGATCAACATCTGAGCCACACTTCACAACTGAACTATCACCATTATGCGATACCTCCCTTCAATCGTGCCACTCCTGGCTACAACTGCTGCGGCAGCCGTTATCCAGAATGTTCCACGAGCTACTATAACAGGAAACCCATTCTCAGGCTACCAACTTTACCCAAACAAATACTATGCATCAGAGGTCTCAGCATCAGCCCTACCATCCATGACAGGAGCTGCTGCTGCAGCTGCAAGCAAAGCAGCCCAAGTGCCATCTTTCTTCTGGCTGTATGTACTGCCCTCTCAAAACCAAAATCAAATTGATTCAACACCAATCCTGAAAAAGAATATTCTAACATTCCCTTCTCTTCTCATCTGCCAGGGATACGGCAGACAAAGTCCCAACCATGAGCACCTACCTGGCAGATATAAAAGCCAAAAACGACGCCGGCGCTAGTCCCCCCATCGCGGGCACATTCGTTGTCTACGATCTTCCTGATCGGGACTGTGCCGCTTTGGCTAGTAATGGGGAGTACTCCATTGCTAATGGTGGTGTTGCGAAGTATAAGGCCTATATTGATTCTATCCGGGCTGTTTTGCTTCAGTATTCCGACGTGAGGGCTATCCTAGTTGTCGGTAAGTGATCTAATACTTATTGCCTTTGTGTTTTTGATGTTGATTTTTGACAATTTGCTTTTTAGAGCCTGATAGCTTGGCCAATTTGGTTACCAATATGGCTGTTTCGAAGTGTGCTAATGCGCATGATGCTTATTTGGAATGTACCAATTATGCGGTTACGCAGCTGAATCTGGATAATGTTGCTATGTATCTTGATGCTGGTAAGTCTCATCATGGAGATCCTCCTTTGGGATATAATCAGGCATCGAAATGTATATTGTTGATCTTACTAACCACCACATAGGACACGCGGGATGGCTTGGCTGGGAAGCCAATCTGAGCCCAGCAGCGACACTCTATGCCCAAGTATATAAGACAGCCTCGAAGCCTGCATCTCTCCGAGGACTCGCTACAAACGTTGCTAATTATAATGGCTGGTCTCTGTCTACGTGCCCGTCATATACCTCGGGTGATTCCAACTGTGACGAGAAGAGATATGTGAATGCTCTTGCTCCACTGCTTAAGAATGCAGGCTGGGATGCTCACTTTATCACTGACACTGGTATGTATGTAAGAACACATTTCAAGCGTAAACATTAACATTTCTTCACAGGCCGAAATGGTGTCCAGCCTACCCAGCAAAATGCCTGGGGGGATTGGTGCAATGTTAAAGGCACTGGATTTGGTGTTCGTCCAACTACTAATACTGGTGATGCACTTGAGGATGCGTTTGTCTGGGTGAAGCCTGGCGGCGAGAGTGATGGCACTTCGGATAGTAGCTCTGCTCGCTACGATGCTCACTGCGGTTATAGCGATGCTCTGCAGCCTGCTCCTGAGGCTGGAACGTGGTTCCAGGTAAGTGAAACCTCAAATTGTTCAACGATCTGAACGCGTGCTGATGACTCTACTCAGGCGTACTTTGCTCAGCTTATCGCACACGCGAACCCCTCATTTTGAACGCTAACTCCCTCGGTGCTGTGATTGAGAAGTAGGGGCATAGTATTTTATCTCGTTGTCAATGGAACTCTTTGAAGATTGAAATTCTGTCATAAGTGTAGCAAATGAAGCTCATCCCCAGTTGTGTAATTGTAAAAGGCGGTCGATGCACCCGGCATTATATTGGCAAAATTCCAGACCGCCCACTAGGCGAGGCTATCTCTTGATAACGAGCGGGATACATTTACTCTCTTCAAGTTCAATCTCACAACCCCGCCATTTTTTCGATATAGCAAATTGCGATCCTGGAGACCATCCACGAGGAAATAGTCTCCTGATATACCAGCTGTGCAGGTCTGGGCTTCCCCAGCACCTTGGGCTCCGTGACCCCACCTGTGCTCCCCCCGAACCCGCGCAGAGTGCGAAATAATTCGAGCTACTCCGACTTCAACAACATAACGACATAATGGAGGACTTCAACAGTGAGACGGATAGTGACTACACCAGCTACTGGCGTGACTGGGTAAGTGAAACTTCTTTTTGTTATGGAACCGCGGCTGGGGGCAGACCGCATTGCCGGGTCAGCGCAACGAGCGCATGAGCACATCGTCGCCCTGTTGTGGTAAATGGCGTCCCAAACGGGAAGGCAGCGAGCGTGTGATTTTATGACTCGCCGGTCTCGTTGCGCTCCCCATCAGACGAAACCTTCGCCATTTTGACCGTCTTCGTGTCTTCGTCTCTGCGTCGTTCTCCTGCTCTCACCTCGCTTTCAAATGTGCCTCACCTTCGCCTGAAATAGCCATGGATGCATTGACTCCGACGCCTCCATCGCATCCAACTCCTCCCACCCTCAACCCTTTACTACTTCCTTGCCACCGCCTTTGAGGGATTTGCTCTCCGTCAGCAGCGCTTTGCGGTGGTGGCCTCGGGCAGGGGCCAGCAATGTGCTGCGTCGAGATCTTACATCGGAGTCTTCATGCTGCTATGCGCTGCCTCTGTCCTGGCCGGGATTAGCTGAATAATCAGTAAAGTTGAGGACCACGACGCCTATTGTGCCCGCAATGCCGGCCCTGATGCTCTGGCTTCCAATGGCCTGGACGGTCATGGAGTCGTGGAAATGGCCTGGCGTGGCATCATGAGCGAAAGTGCTTACGATGGCGATGTCGATTACTACCCCGACATCTATGAGAATCGCGACATATGGACGATGAAGATGCTAATGGCAATTGTTTCTGCTCAGTTTGTTTCCTCTCGCGGCAACGAGTATTTCTGTGAAATCGACGAGGACTATCTGACCGATCGTTTCAACCTCACTGGTCTGAACACTGAGGTTTCCTACTACCAATATGCTCTTGACCTTGTGACCGATGTTTTTGACCTCGATGCCGACGATGACCTCCGCGAGCAAATTGAAAAGTCCGCCCGCCACCTTTACGGCTTGGTCCATGCTCGGTACATTGTTACCACCCGCGGTCTTGCTAAAATGGTATGTTCAATTGCAGCCAGATTGAGTGATTATTTGCTAAAATCCACCAGCTTGAGAAGTATAAGAAGAGCGACTTCGGCAAGTGCCCTCGTGTGATGTGCGAGGGTCATGCTTTGCTGCCTGTGGGCCAGTCCGACATCCCCAACCAGAGCACCGTCAAATTGTACTGCCCCAAGTGTGAAGATATCTACAACCCCAAATCCTCCCGCCACGCATCCATCGACGGCGCTTACTTCGGTACCTCCTTCCACTCCATCCTGTTCCAGGTTTACCCCGCCCTCAACCCTGAGAAGAGCGCCCGCCGTTACGAGCCCCGCATTTATGGCTTCAGGGTGCACGCCGCAGCCGCGCTTGCGCGTTACCAGGACGGCAACCGCGAAGATCTGAAGTGGCGTCTTTCCGAGGCCGGCATCAATCACAAGTTTATTGAGGACAGTGACAGCGATGAGGATGCTTTCGAATACGACGAAGAAGTCGAAGCTGTCGAGCCAGCCAAGGCCGAGCGGGTCATCGGGGACGCCGCATCTGGTCGTATGGATATTGGAAACTGATCTGTTATTTCCTGAAGCTGCTACCAATCTTCCATGAGCAAGAGTACGGCGCAATGAGGAATTTCTGATGTCTTCTTTTGAGATGTGTTTACGACGGCGTTGTCAGGCTTGCATGGCCAATCTTCAATGGTTTTTCTTTTTTCTTCGACTTCGCTTGTATCTACATTATTTGTCTAGTCCTTGTCGTGAAGCAGGACTCAATACAACGAAACATCGTTCGATCTGACATGTATTCACGAAATGCGTAGATGCTGAACAGGGGTATTCGCAACTTCAGTGCTGGCTATTTACAATCACCCGGAATACTATAGTTAGTTTGGACCACCAGCCCGAGGAGCCAAGCCCATCGCCTGTAGTTCTTCAAATGCATAGATCACGGCACGAGCAAGCTGATCCCCCTTCTCCCACGCCTCATCATGCTCACCACTGATCGGCAACACTCGGACTCGGCGGTCCTTAGTAGACAACTCATGTACAGGGACTTGAGCCTCGACCTTCTCCCAACGTCCCAGCACCTCCTCCATAGCCTCAACCTGGGTTCCATCAACAAGCTCATCATCCTTGGACTGCGCCAGAACAGCCAGCCGCCCAGATCTCCAGCCACCCTCAACACCCCGCGACCCCGCCATCTGTGCGGGCGAAACTGCATCCCAGAGCAACTCATCGTTTCCAAATGCACCAGCAATGAACTCCAAGTACGCATCGATCCCAGGGTGCATATCGCGCAACCGCCTCAGATCATAGATACCAGCAACACCAACAATAGCAGTCGGCTGCACAGTCAAACGGGGCGGCAACGGACCAGGCGAAGTAGAAATAGGCCCGAGACTGATATCTGCATTATTTATGGCTCCCTTAAATGCCTGCTCACGGTGTCCCGCAACAGCTCCCATAACGGCCTGGAACGCAAGTGTCGCACCGCAACTATGCCCAACAAGAATATAGCGCGCGCCGAAACTAAACGTATTCTGAAGGAAGGCTAGCGCAGCCTCTACATCGCGGATGTGATCTGGGTGCTTCGCATCCCGGTATTCTTTCGGTCCGGTGCTGGTTGGGTCTTGAGGGTGGTTTGGATGTGCGCTTAAACGGTAGGAGATTGATGCGAATCCGGTGATGGGCAGGCCTGGTGTTTTGCGCAAAATCTCTTCCGTTGCTTTAAATGAGTCTGCCGTTACTGTTGGATCGCGCCAGGCGCCGCCGTGGATATAACTGCGCAGAGATTCTGATCAGTTTGCGCTTTTGATTGGGAGGCTCGGGGCCGTGTGTACATCACCCAGTAGCCATCGGTATTGTTCAATTGTGTTACAGAGATATGCTGCAGATCATGGACTCGACCGTAGGTCACAGTCCTTGTAGGTTGGTTCGGCATCTTGGGGGAGGTTTAGGAGATGATGTGCAATGGGGAAGTGGGACGAGATAACAGTTGGGTCGACAGGCTAATGTAACATCCATAATGGAAGAAAGACGAATATCTCTCTATCCAACTTATACAAAACATATTTTATTTACTTCATTCTTATACAAAAATAAACTCAATGCAAAAACGAGGAATGTTGAAATATACATGTATTGCCCCTCGTTCTGGCTGGGGTTCAGTGTATGGTAATACCCTCTCACAGTACTACGCTAAGCCCGAACAGGAATGAATGGCTCCTTTCACACAAACCGATCAAGTCAACCGTCTCAACACAACTGCCCATCTGTTGCAACTCTACACAATGGCCGAGTATGTGAATCATACAGGCACTTTACGATGAAGATACTGACCTGCTTGCAGAACTCCCGCTTCCCTCGCGGCCGTCCAGGTCGAGGCCTTGGTACAGTCCTCCGGCGAAAATCTCCAATCTGCTCCAGAATGCTGATGATACTCCAGGTGGTCATGAAAATCATCAAGCACTGCTCTCAGACCTTCCCTACCACTGCGACCGGCGCCCTTGTGGGTATGGATGTCGACGGTACCCTCGAAATCACGAATACTTTCCCTTTCCCCGTCGTTGAGGTCCCCGCCGAGTCGCACTTTGACAACGCCGCTCCCAACCCCGCCGCCGCCGCTCCCCGGGCTAAAGCTAACGCTGCCTACTCCGGCGAGATGATCCGCATGCTGCGCGAGGTCAACACTGACGCCAACAACGTCGGCTGGTACACCAGCGCCAACATGGGCAACTTTGTGAACATGAACGTGATCGAGAACCAATTCTACTACCAGAGCCAGTTGAACGAGCGCACAGTTGCCCTCGTTCACGACGTCAGCCGCAGTGCTCAGGGCAGCCTCAGCCTCCGCGCTTTCCGTCTGTCATCGAAGTTCATGGCTGGTTTCAAGGAGAACAAGTTCACCTCCGAGGAGTATGTACCACGTCCACGGAGAGGACAATGGAATACTGACAATCCCGCAGCCTGCAAAAATCTAGCATGCGCCACCAAGACATCTTTGACGAGCTCCCCGTCAAGATCCACAATTCGCACCTGATCACCTCTTTCATCCACCAGCTGCAGTGCCCTACCACATCGGCCTCCACTGAGCTTCCTCCTTCCCTGGCCGCCCTCGAGTCCAGCCCCTTCAACAAGACCTCCGCCCTCGCCCCCAACCTTGAAAACATGTCGCTCAGCATCGACCCCTTCCTGGAGAAGAACTGCGATCTCCTTCTGGACAGCATCGAGACCCACAACACCGAGGTCAACAACTACCAGTACTACCAGCGTGTGCTCGGCCGTGAGCAGCAGAAGATCAACAACTGGAAGACGAAGCGCGCCCAGGAGAACGCTACCCGCGCCACCCTCAACCAGCCCCTCCTCCCCGAGGACGAGTGGCAGCGTCTGTTCAAGCTCCCAGCCGAGCCCAGCCGTCTGGAGAGCATGCTCAACACCCGCCAGGTGGACCAGTACGCCCGCCAGGTCGACAGCTTCGTCTCGTCCAGCACGGGCAAGATGTTCGCCATCAAGGGCAACCTTTTGCCCAACGAGGTTTCGAAATAAATATGATGATTTGCAAGGGAAGACACGATGCTTCTGGGATTGCATGACCTTTTTACGGCGTAGGGAGGGAAAATGTTCTCTATTTGGGATGTTAATATGACTTCCTGTTTTTTTCTTCTATCTGTGATGAGCCGATCCGAGTCTCTCTGGATATGTGACTCTGGTGTGTGCATCGTTTTGTATTCAGTCATAGAAGGAAAAATATACTTTTTGATTCCAATATTCAGATATATGTTCTATGAAAAGATATCGACTATTTGATTTTGGGCAAGCTGCTCCGAGATAATAGACAATATCTCCAACCTTCGTGAGATAATGAAAAGAGACTCAACAATCTACTCTCATTCCCTTTCAGTTATACAGAGAAAGTTAAACAGTAAATCATTCACCAATCTATACCAAAAAAAAAAAAAAAAAAAAAAAAAACCTAACTACCACTCCCCACCAACTAAAGGAACACGCAAAAACCGAAACCCAGACTCCTCAACCCCAGGCAACCTCCCAGCCCGAATATTAACCTGCAAAGATTGATGCAACAATCGGGGGGCCTTAAGTCCACTATCCCTCTCCCTCCTCAAAGCAACAAACTCCTCCTCACAAATCCCCTCCTTAAGATGCTTGTTCAACCTCTTATGATCGCGCACACTGATCCAAGGTACAGGCTCATTCCGTCCTTCAGGCGGGTAATCATGTCCCGTCCAGATCTTATAGTGATCTGGTAAACTGAGCAGTTTGCGCCCTGATGCGTACAAATCTCGCGCCGAGCCGCCAGGGAAGTCGCAGCGGGCTGTTCCTATATCTGTGTGGAAGAGGCTGTCGCCGCAGAAGAGGTTTTCTGGGGAATTTGTTAGTATTTGTAAACCAATAACGGGTTTGCGGGGACTTTTATCTCCTACTTACCCCCAATCATATATCCCAAATGGTCAGGCGTATGACCAGGAAGATGAACAGCCTTCGCCTTCAACTCCCCAATGGAAAATACCTCGTCGTCATCGAAGAGTCTATCGAAAACGCGGACATATTCTTTTTCTGGGACGCCGTACCGCTTGGCAAATAGCGTCTGGACCTGCTCGATGCGTTTGCCGATACAAACGGGAGGTTTGAAACCTTGCTCTTTTGCAAGGCGGGCTTGGAGATAGGCTGCTGCACTGAGGTGATCTGCGTGGGCGTGTGTTTCGAGGATTTTGTCGATTTTATAGCCCTTGTCTTTGATTTTTGATAGGATATCGTCTGCTGTCGAGGTTGTTATGACTTGGGTTGCTGGGTCGTAGTTTAGGACTGGGTCGATTATTACTGCTTTGTCGGTTTTTGGGTCGGATACCAGGTATTGCCATGTTCCGGATGTTTCTTCGAATAGCTCGTGGATTGTTGGATTTGGTGGTGTTGCTGTTGTGGATGCAGCTCGAGTGTATGGGCTTGGTTGATTGTGTGACAAGGGCTGTTGGTTCAATTTTTGAATTGGGTTGGCTGTTGAATGTATGGCCCTCTGGGTAAAGAGTGTATCTCTTGGTGTTCTTGTTATCGAGGCTGCGGCTATGGCCTTTCGGTGAAGTAGACGCAGTGGTCTATAGCCGGATAGCCGCGAAGCCTGATGGGATGTACTGCATACCCTATGCATAATTGGTCTCATGTGTCCTGTCATGTTAGATGAATGTCAATAGGCATTCATGATTTGGCAAGTTTAAATATTGAAATAGTGAATGACATCAAAGTCCTGGGCTCTCTCATTCAAATCAAGATGTGTCATCAAAGGTCGCCGACTCGGTGAGCAAGGTCGGCGAACATTCGGCGATTGATATGAAAGTCACTTCAGATGATTTACAGTCCCCCGTGTGGCAATTCCCCGGAATTACGTTATTCTACAACTCCGTTGAACTCCGTTGATGTGTCGTTACTTTGGATGGACCGGAAACGGCCTGGTCTCGGGCCGCATTTCTCCGAACTATTCAGTTGCTGTTAGTACTTAAGGCATTAAAACTACATACTTAAGACCTCTTCTCGAAAAAATTCTGTGGTACCTTGAGGCAATGTATTTGGCGAGCTCACAACAATGTGCCCTATCATGCAGCCCATCCGTGCTTGTTCTATTTCCTTCACCCCCTTAATACCTGGTCCTGATCAATATAAAATAATGAGAGTACTATATGTATTCATATAGCATTTACTTTGCATATTTCTCAATCTCCGAAACTATAAACACAAAACAACCAAATCCTGACGAAATGAAAGGGTCAGCAAATTAGAGCACAGCCACAATTTTGTAGCTGTCAAGAGCCAAGATAAGATGCGGAAAAAGACCCATTTATATTGCAGCTGACCAATTGGATCTCATTTGTGACGCATCAAAGATCAAAACAAAATGAAAAGCAGCTGAGAAACTGACAAAAAGAGGAAAGTATACTTGACAAGGGGTATCACGTGGGGATGAACGGGCTTGACTGCGCAACTTCACTTCTCTTCTTTCCGCATTCTCTGCTCTTTCCTAGATACTTCCATTCCATCACGTTTCAAACACATCCATCGAAATGCCTGGTGTTCGTAAGTTTTTCTGTCGCCATATACAGAGGATCGACCCTGAACCTGGCATCCTACACCCGAAACGTGATACTGACATTCCCCAGCCCCTGACGCGCTTGAGCAGGTGAAGAAGGGATTCAAGCGATTCTTCAGTCGCAAGAAGAACAAGAAGCCCGCCAAAACATCTGAGCCTGCTGCAGCTGCCCCAGTAGCTGGTGAGGCGGCCGCTGCAAAGCCCACCGGCCCCACTGCCACCCCGGAAACTGCCCCTGGTATGATGACACTTCTTGTCCTAAACTTCTCCCACTTTGATCTTTTTTTGCACCAATCCTAACAGATTTACCGGTCAAGACACTGCTAAGCCAGCTGAGACAACCCCTGCCGCCCCCGCAGATACCACTGCTGCTAAGCCAGAGGCCGAGGCGCCTGCTGCCCAACCTGAAGCCCCTGCTGCTAAGCCCGAGGCTGCTGCTCAGCCTGAAGCTACCCCTGAAGCCCCTGCTGCACCTAATCCCGAGGCTGAGGTCCCTGCTGCTCTACCTAAAGCTACCCCCGAAGCTCCCGCTGCTCCAGCCGAAGTTCCTGCTGCTAAGGCAGAGGAACCTGCCAAGACTGGTAATCGAATCCCCCAGCGCCACGAAGCAAAGAGTAATACTAATGGTGATGTTAGATTCCCCCACTAAGTAAAGTTGTGCTTTGGAAATTGAAATTACTAGCACATAAATGCTCGGTCAGGAACAGCTCTGGCATTGATTCGATCTTGAGGACATACCACTTCAGGATGCTAACTTTACATAATTACCTTTGATACCTTGATATACCAATTTCATAATACTTTTGCGTTTACAAACATATTCAATTTACAAGCATCAGATATGTTAGAAAGCCATATTCACTGGTAGAACCACTCAAGCTACTAAAGCATTGGCCGCCAGCATCCAAGGGTCTGGGTTCTATTTTGATAGGCTTTCAGATTTGTGCCAGTCTTGATGCTAGTTGCTATCTGGGCCAGTATCTACAGTATCTACCGCAGTGGTTTCAGTCCCCGATGCCTTAGGAACTTGGACGATTTAGAACGCTTCTTTCTTACTTCCACGTGACACAAAGGGACCTTGATTGTATAATTATGAATAATATCCGCATGTGAGATTTCTCCAATCTACAGCCAGTCGGCGACAAGAAAACCAACCGCTTAAATTGCTCATTAGAAACACGGTGACTATGACGTGAGAAGTGGCATGTTGTAGAAAATGAAGCCCGAATGCGGTGGATCGGCGATCAACCGTGACCCCGATGTCGGACTGGGTTAATCCGAATTCCGGTGATCACGACATCAAGCTGTTCTTGATCTCAAACCTTTTTTTGTTGGATAGCTTCATCTGATCAATTCAAAATGTTTCAAAGTCGTGTTTCATTAGCAGCTCGCGCTGCCCAGCGCTCAATTGCTCCTCAGTCGAGGGGCCTTGCGACTGCATCCCCCGTCAGTTCCGCTGCCCGCAACCACAAGATTGTAGTGGTGGGCGGTGGTAGTGCTGGTATTTCTATCAGCCACCAGCTCCTCCACTCCGGTAAATTCGCACAAGATGACATCGCCGTCATTGATCCTGCCCAATGGCACCACTATCAGCCCGGTTGGACTCTTGTTGGCGGCGGTCTCAAGAACAAAGAGGACCTACGTCAGCCCATGAACAGCTTGGTCGACCCCAAGTTCAAGTTCTACAACCAATCCGTGGGCTCCTTCGCCCCTGCTGATAACGCTATTACCCTCGAGAACGGCGACAAGCTTAGTTACGAGCAACTTGTCGTCGTGCCCGGAATCAGCATCAACTACGGCGAAATCAAAGGTCTTCCCGAGGCGCTCGCCGACCGAAACTCGACCGTGTCCTCCATCTACAGCTATGACACCTGCGACAAGGTCTTCCGCACAGTCGAAACCCTCCAGGAGGGCAAGGCCATCTTCACCCAGCCCGCCGGCGTCATCAAGTGTGCCGGTGCTCCCCAGAAGGCCATGTGGCTCGCATTGGACCACTGGAAGCGTGCTGGTCTCTACAACCCCGCCAAGCCCGCTGAATCTCCCATCAAGATCAGCTATGCTACCGGTCTCCCCGTGATGTTCGGTGTGCCCAAGTACAACGCCATCCTCGAGCAGATGCGCAAGGACCGCGGCGTCGAGGGACTCTTCCAGCACGATCTAGTTGCCGTTGACGGCAAGTCTGCTGTTTTCGCCACTCCCAACGGAGAGGTCGTCAAGCCCTTCGACCTATTGCACGTTTCGCCTAAGATGGGCGCCCACGCCTTCGTTAAGAACAGCCCTCTGGCCAACGAGATGGGTATGGTCGATGTCCACGAAAACACCACCCAACACAAGAAGTTTGCCAACGTCTGGTCCGTTGGTGATGCCTCCAGTCTGCCCACATCCAAGACCGCTGCCGCTGTCACCTCCGAGGCTCCCGTCCTCGTCCGCAACCTCCTGCAGAGCATGGAGGGCAAGGAGCTTGATGCTTCTTATGACGGATACACCTCGTGCCCTCTCCTGACTGAGTACGGCAAGGTTCTTCTTGCTGAATTCAAGTACGGTGGTGAGCCTAAGGAGACCTTTGGCAATTGGTTCGGTATTGACCAGGGTAAGCCCCGTCGTGCCTTCTACCACTTGAAGAAGGACTTCTTCCCCTGGGTTTACCAGAACTACATGGTTAAGGGTCACTGGGGTGGTCCTAACGGATGGAAATGAATTATAGAGTAAAGATTGTGTAATATAGATTGAATTGGGATGTAGCGATACCCTGACTGTTAAGCATAAGGGGTTAGAACAATATTTAAAGAACACAAGAATGATAAATATGAACATACAATAGGATCCTAAATGTGTACATGGTGCTATGAAGCATGTACAGTTTCTATACGAAGGGCCTCGAAGCAACCTGTCGCCCGACTATAACCTCTTTATTCACACCTTTTTTTGTCCCTTAATATTGTCTCGTACTTATTGTATAACTTATATCAAGATTGAGGTACGAAAGTACCTATGACCCCCTGTAGTCTATCGTAGTGAGATAGAACATGTCGATGATATCATCGCTCATCATAACCCTACAAGCATGGACAATCTTGGCCAGTGACTTTTACACTTATTATATATGCGCCACCATTTCTTTATACGTGCTCTATAGACTTTCCCTTCACTCTTTAATCATGTACAACAGCCATACCGATATCTGGGTGGTAAGTGTCACCCCATCAATCCATATATCTAGTGAGCCTTACAGTTATATGTATACGGCCAACGCCAATTTTTGAAACCACATACGTCAAAGCCATCTAAAGCAGCTTACTGATGTTGTATAATAAACCAGGCAGGCGCATTTGCAGCAGTAGTCGTCGACTTCATCGTCTACCCCTTCGACACACTCAAAACCCGCATCCAATCACCAAACTACGAGAAAGTATTCAAAGATGCACGCACAGGAGCAATAAAACGCCAAATATTATTCAAAGGTCTTTACCAAGGAGTCTGGAGTGTTGTGTTCTCAACAATACCTGCCTGTATGTATTATTTTACCTCAAAAGAGACCACAGCGCTAACTCATTCCAGCCGGTGCATTTTTCACAACATACGAAACGGTAAAGAGCATTCTACACAATTCATCTAAATCAAACCAGAACAGAAATCTATCAGGGGCAGATGGGACTCTGAACAAATTCCATCTCCCATTCACTCATTCACTCCCAACACCTATAATGCACGGCATCGCATCTTCAACCGGCGAGATGGTATCATGTCTCATGCTCACGCCAGCAGAAGTCTTAAAGCAGAATGCACAGATGATCAACCAATCTCAATCACACAATAAAAACACAGGGGATAAATCAGCAATGCGTCAAGTCCTCTCAAAATTCAGACACCACCCCTGGCGTCTCTGGAGTGGATATACCGCACTAGTCAGTCGCAATTTACCAACAACAGCCATCCAGTTCCCAATATTTGAATTTGTTCGTTCGCGATTAATCGATCGGCGACGACGACGGAAAGCGGAATCTGCTCGCCGAACTGGGTCGCGTCGTGGTAATGATACGATAGAGGCGGGACAGTCAGATCAATTGATTGAAAGGGCTGGATTGACGGGTCTTGCGGCGGCTATTTCGGGGACTATTGCTTCGACTGTTACTACGCCTATTGATGTTGTTAAGACTAGGGTTATGCTTTCGGCTAGTGAGGGCCATTTGTCGGGATCTCAAAACGAGACTAGGGAGAAGAACAAAGCTGCGCGTGATAAAGGGCCTTTTGCTGTTGGGAGGGATATTCTACGCAATGAAGGTGCTCGCGGGTTGTTTAAGGGAGGGTTGATTCGGGCCGGGTGGACGGCTATTGCTTTAGGGCTTTACCTGAGTCTTTATGAGGGTGGAAGGTTTTGGCTTGAGAAGAGGCGAATGGAGAGGGATGGGATTGGGAGGGATGAGGGTGGGCAGGTGGTTTGATATAAGATGGTCTTTTCGCGTTGATTATATACGACCAAGAACAGATATATTGCTATTGATTACCAACTTGGAAGGCTACTGGTCTCTTTCAGAGCGAGAAACTATGGCTTTGCATAGAGATGAGGATTGTCTTTGTTTTCAAAGACCGTTGAGCCGTTTTAGTGGGACAATGAGGTTATGTTCATGCCGAAAAGGCATTGTGCCACATTGTCTTGAGAAGTCTTGGATAAAGGATACAAAGAGTAAAAGATTCAAAAACCACAGCAACCTATAATCGAAGATCTTGAGTACAAATACCATCGGTACTACCCTGAAGATAACTTCCGCTCAAGATATCATCTTCCAAACACTTAATCAAAAATACATACATCTCAAACAACATACAATATGTCCCCAACCAGATTCTCCCCAGCCAACCCACCATGGCGGAAGAACGACACGGACAGTGATGAAGGCTATGAAGCTGATGACGAGTCCGGAAAGTCACAAGCCACTGCCACTGCCTTCACAAACCCACCAGAAGAGATTCGAGGAGTATTCTACTTCAAAGTCCATCGGGAATGCAGCAAACTACCCAGTTCATCTGGAAAGGTAAGCCAATGGATAGACTCCTCCTACTTCATATGGAACATGTGCGCTACACTAGCAGACTCCAGTACCGATCCAGAATGGACAAAGGCATTCGAACTTTGGCGACCTACATGGGATCAGATCCAAGAGGAATTACAGGCATCTGAGGATACCGAATTTCCTGTTAAGATCCCCCTCGCGCCAGTTAAGCTGGCATCTGTTCAACCAGGTAATACAAGCCCGAGAGGCATTGAGGATGAGGACTGGGTCATTGAGATTGAACAGGACGGTGATGATGATGCTATGCTATATGATAACCAGGATATCTGGGCTCTTTGGCAACGTGTTATTGCGTCGCCTGTGGGCTCTACTCATGCTTTTCATGTTACTCTTCAGGATACTGCGAGGATTTGTCCTAGATCATGATTAGTGAGATAAGTCTCATGTTTTCTTTTCTTATGTTTTAGTTTGAGTAGACTAGAGACCTTGCTAATAAAAGTTGCTTCTCTCTCTCTCTTTCAAGGCATAGACACTGTGATACAGATCAGAATGTAGTAAGGATATGATACCGACCTTGAGATCTATAAACCACTCAGTCCAGTAGCGGAGCTCCACTTTCTTGTAAGTCTAGTTAGCTGACAGCAAAAAACGATTGAAATGACTATCAGTTACAAACATTCATTTATAAATTCCTAGCCAACTTCATAAGTTATAATTTCCCGAGCCTATCGCTATTATTGTCGTATTTGCCCTAATTTGCAAAGATTTGAGTCTGAAGACCCTGGTAGTCGAACAAATGGCTTCCTAGTAGTAAAAGACGACAAACTAAAGTGATAAGCTACACTTATATAGAAATTAAAGTCATTCCTACAAAATATTAAGCAAGGGAGGACCACGAGCCGAAAACAGTGGAGATATATCTTTTTTTTAGGCATTGAGCACGGTAGTTGATAAAATCAAAAATCAGAAATGACCGTATTATGGCCAGTGTGACCGAGTGGTTTAAGGTGCCAGATTTAAGATTCTCAAAGAATAAAACCCTGGTGGGGCAACCCGCGCGAGTTCGAACCTCGTCGCTGGCATTTTTTTTTAATCTTCAGACGTATTTTTTATATACTGAAGCCGATGGTACTTTTCTGGTTCTCATATAATATTCAATTATAGTCTTACTATATGACAGCTAGAAACAAGATAAATATGTCATATTACCTTAGTGACTAATTAGCTAAAACCTCATATGCTTGCTGTCTCGTAAATCTAAGAATTCGCATTTTATTGTTCAACATGTCAATACAAGTAACAGATCATCCACTAAATAGAGAAAAATAGAATAAAATTGTCCGTTTTCACGTACTGAGTCATAGTATCATATCATATCTGTCGTCACGTCCTGTCCATCTGCATATCCACAGATCTCGCATACAAACGAACCCAAACAAACGCTATAAGCAATATACAAAAGAACAAACATAACACAAAATTGCCACCAAACAGCAAAGCATCAAATACAAACAACCGCCAACTTTTTTTATAGGTTAAAAGGTCGTCAGTTTCCGGAACCAGCTCGACTTCCCTTTAGCAGCCGAACTAGGCGGAGCACCCTGCCGACTCCCAGGCTGCGATCTCATACCACGATCACGCTCATAATCACCACTGCCAGAGCTACTTTTCACACCCTCTCGACGGGAGTCCCGTCTCCGAGAACGGGCATCATCGACCTCTTCGTCGGGGTACTTTGCACGACGACGAGCTTTTCGGCGAGCAGCGCGACGAGCCTCCTCATCCGACGAGAGGGAATGGCCGTTTCCGTTTTCATTGGTCGCACCGGCAGGAGGCATGTCAATGACAGTAGGCATAATCGGCGGCGGCTCTGGTGGCTCGTCAGCTTGAGAATAGACCCACGAGGAGGTCTTGTTCTTGCCCGCGCCTGGTTTCATAGGAGTCGGCCGATGTGACTCCTCGGGCTCAGGTGCAGCCCTGGACTTGCGACGACGGGCTTTGGGGTCTTCGGGTACTCGCGAGCTACGACCTCCTCGACGATCTACGATCTCCCGTTCGTCTGGGAGGACTTCGTCGGGATATCGTTCTTCGACGCGGGAGCGACGGCGGCTGGCTTTTGCGGCTAGCATTTCTTCTTCGCGTAGTCGTCGTCGTTCGCGTCGCTCGGCTGCCTTCGCTTCGGCGGCGGCTTCGGCTTCTCGGGCTTCGGCTTCTCGGGCTGCCTGTTCTTCTCTTGCTGCTTGTTCTTCTCGGGCCCGACGTTCCTCGCGGGCTGCTCGTCGAGCTCGTTTCTCTTCTTGGCGGCGCTCTTCTTCCTCTTCTTCACGGGCACGCTGTTCACGTGCTCGTTCTTTTCTTCTTGCCCGTCGCTCTTCTGCTTCCCGGGCTTCGTTTTCACGCGCGATCTCTCGCGCATTCTCGCGTGCGCTTTCGCGTGCGTCCGAGGGTGCCTGTCGAGATGCTCGCTTTGCCTTACGTGCTGCCCTGCGAGCTTCAGCGTCTTCTGCTTCAGTACCTGCACCTCCAACTCCGCCAGCGGCATCCGTGACAAATCCTTCGGCATCGGTGTCTGGTCTGACAGAACCTCTGCGTCGATCATCGCGTCGTAATTTACGGGCTGTTTCACGCTCTGTTTCTGTAGCATATCTCCCGTCATCATCTCGATATGAGCGTGATTTCTTCCTTTCCGGCATTTCCGGCCTGGTACTCTTCCTGAAAGAGCCGATCAGTCCCATGATACCACCTGTCTCTGGTTTCTTAGGTGTCGTGTTGGAACGCTTAAGACGGCGTTCTCTTGGGGGTGCGTCGGCCATATCGTCAGCCCCTGATAAGACGTCTGGAGGTGGCTGTGCTTGTTCTGCGTCGACGATTACTCCGTCATCTTCCTCATCTGGCTTGGCGCGGGGCTGATTACTATCGTTAATACCAACTCGATAAGCTGAATGATTGTTCACGGACCTGTCTCTTTGACTTGCGTTTCGAGCGACTGGAGTCTTCTTTCGGTGAATGGCCCTCTGCGTCCTCTTTGTCAACCATTACAAGGTCGTCGTCCTCGATTGCGTATGGATCCCGAGCTGTTAAATACATTGTAAGCAAAACGACACAACTGGAGGCTGACACAAAAAGACAAACCTGATTTCCGCCTCTCAGTGCGTGGTCTCTCACGACGAGACTTGGAAGCGTTAACACCCATCAACTTGGCTGCCTTATCAGCAACGTCTGGCTTCTCATCAGGAGGTGGAGTGGGCATAGAAGCCTTGTCCTCTTCAACGGATGGACGCCTGGAGACCGGTTTGGAAGAAGATCCATGCTTCCGAGTCGATTTGCTTCGAGATTGGGGTGTCCCCAGAACCATGTTGGCCAAAGCCACGCTACGCTGATTCTTTGAAGAACGAGCCTCGCGCTCTCGGTGTTTCTCGCGGTCAGATGAGGATTTCTCGACTTCTGGGTCAGCTTCTTTTGGTCGAGATTTACTCGACTTGGTTCGCATCGCTGCGGAGGGAGACCGCTCTCGAGTTGACTCTTTCTTCCTTGGCTTTTCTGGTTCCTCTTGGACCTTTGGCTCCTTGAGTTCCTTTGGCTCCTTGGTCTCCTTCTTGCTGGATTTCTTGGGCGGCGGAGCGGCTCCCCAGAAGCCCCAAGATGAGGTGGTCGTGCGCTCCACGCGGGCTCGGTCCTTCTTGGACGCCTTTGGTGGCTCCTCCGGTGGAGGCGTGGGAGGGGCATCTTTGGCCTCTTCCACTGGCTCCTCAGGCTCTGGCTCTGGTTCAGCCTCTGGCGCTGGCTCGGCTTCGAGCTCAGGTTCAGGCTCCTGCTCTGGCTCAGCTTCAGGCACAGGTGGTTCCTCTGGCGGTGGCGGGGGAGTTGGGGGCTTAGCAGCAGCGGCTGCTGCTTGCAGTTTTTTGTACTTCTTGAGTTCCTTTTTTGACATCTTGGAAAGGTCAGGCTCCGGTGCTAGCTCGGGGACTGGTTCAGGTTCTGGCTCGGGCTTAGGCTCAGGTTCTGGCTCTGGTTCTGGCTCTGGTTCAGGTTCGGGTTCAGGTTCGGGATCATCACCAAAGTCTGGGAAGCTTCCTGGAACTGAATCCTTGGACTTTGACTTTGACTTGCTCTTCTTCGTTGGCTCCGGTTCTGGCTCCGGTTCAGGTTCAGGCTCTGGCTCAGGCTCGGGCTCAGGAGCTGGCTCGACCTTCTTCTCTTTACTTTTGCTTTTACCGGCCTTTTCCTCTTTAAGCTTGTCTTTCTTAGCTTGCTCCAAAGCCTTGATACGCTCAGCAACGCTGAGTTTCTTGGACTTGGAGCTCTTCTCCGGCGGAGGAGGTTCTTCCTTCATAGGTTCAGGTTTAACCTCGGGTTCAGGTTCAGGTTCAGGCTCAGGCTCTGGTTCTGGTTCTGGTTCTGGCTCCGGTTCAGGATCTGCTGGGGGGTCATCACCAACGTCGATCAGTAGATCTTCCTCAATGGGCTCAGGCTCCTTCTTTTCCTCCTTGGTCTTCTTCGTCGATTTCGATTTGCTCGTTGAAGTACCTGTTAAAGTTGACCAGAAACTCTTGGATGTCTTTTCTTCCTTGGGTGACTCGATAGCCTTAGTCTTCTTTGAGCTCTTGGTCTTCGGAGCCAGCTCTGCCCATATATCATCGCCATTATCACCCATAGCCTCAGGCTCAGGAGTCAAGCCCTGCGCAGGAGGGGTTGGTGCAGGTGGAGGAGGTTCTTCGATATCCTTGCCTTTCTTTTTCTTTTTCTTCTCTTTGGTGACGCCCCATCCCCAGCCGTCATCTTCAGCTGGTTTCTCAGGTTCCGGCTCCGGTGCTGGCTCCGGTTCAGGTTCAGGTTCAGGTTCAGGTTCAGGCTCCGGTTCAGGTTCAGGTTCAGGTTCAGGTTCAGGCTCAGGCTCTGGTTCGGGTTCGGGCTCAGGTTCCGGAGCTGGTGGTTCCTCGGGCTTATCAGATGGAAGTTCAAAGTCCTTGCCCGGTATGGGTAGACCCTTTCGTATCAATTGCTTTTCTCGCTTCTTACGTTCCTTGGAGGAAAGGTCCTTCCAACCTTCGTATAGAGGATCGTCATGAACTGGTTTCTCCGGCTCTGGCTCAGGTTCAGGTTCCGGCTCGGGTTCAGGTTCGGGCTCAGGCTCCGGTTCGGGTTCAGGTTCGGGTTCGGGTTCTGGCTCGACTTTGCCCTTCTTTTTCTTCTTGTCCTTCGTGGAAACGCCCCACGAGAAACCAACATCCGCAACAGGTTCTGGCTCGGGCTCAGGTTCTGGTTCCTTGGACTTCTTGTCTTTTTTCTTGACCGTTGTGCCCCATCCACCCATCCAGTCATCTGCCGGCGGAGGATCTGGAGCTGGCTCTGGGTCAGCTAAAAGGTCGATTTTCTTCTTGTCCTTCGACTTGGACCCAGAGAAGCTCCAGTCATTTTCTGGCTCAGGAGACTTCTCAGGCTCAGGGACCACTTCTTCAGCGGCTTGTGCTTCAACTTGTTCAGCTGCCAATTTTGCCATAGCTTCATCCTCATCTTTCCACTTCTTCTCCATCTCTTTCTTCGCCTTGCGTTGTTCCTTCTTGGACATGTTCAGGTACCATGCTTCCTGTGTGAAGTCGGGTCTGACCGGAGGAGCTGGAGGAGCTGGAGGAGCTGGAGGGGGTGGAGGAGGCACGGGCTCAGGTTCGGGCTCAGGTTCAACTTTGCCTTTCTTTTTCTTGTCTTTGGTCGAGACATCCCAGCCTCCTCCCCAATCGTCCTCTTGCTTCTCAGGGGGAGCGTCCAAGTCACCAAAATCGAACCCGCCAGCGGTTTTCGAAGACTTCTTTTTCGTGGCACCCCAAGGATTGTTATCTTCTTTGGGAGGCTCATCGAGATCAAGCTTACCGCCGGTATTCCAGTCTTTGCCCCAGCCCCCAAAACTGAATCCAGTTCCGCCAGTCTTGGGGGCCGCAGTTTCAAAGTTCAAGTCCAGCTGCGGTGCGCCGCCGTCCAAACTTACATCCTGAAAACCTCCAGGGGGTCCTTCATCCTGTTTTCCTATTTAGAGGAGAAGTCCAGCTTGACATGGAAGACCAGGAACTCTTACCTTGCTCTTCTTCTTCTTCCCCACGGTGTTGAACCCAGCCCAGGAGTCATCACCACCATCGTCCTCAGCCCAGCTGAGATCCTTGGCAGCAGACGCTTCGGCGGCTTTCCTTTCTTCCTCCTCCTTCGCGAGTTTCTCGGCCTCTTCCTCCTCCTGCTTCTTCTTCTTGTCCTTTTTGTTCCCGCTCACATTCCAATCATTCCAGTCATCACCCCCGTCACCGCCATCTCCGGCACCACCTGCATCACCAGCGCCACCACCGTCACCTTCTCCGTCACCCCCTCCATCCCCATTGGGCGGCTCGTCCGCTGGAGGATCGGAGCCAGCAGGCGGAGACGGAGGTGGAGCGGCTTTCTTCGCCGCAGGCTTTTTCTTCTTGTGTTCCCTTACACCAGTCAGTTCCTCAAAATCAATATGAACATCCAACATGCGATCTTTCAGCAATGCAAACGATGTCGTAGGCGATTTATCTCTCGCGGTCCGCGGCGCAGAAGAAATAACAGAACGTCTGCGCTGCGCGAGCGGGGGAAGCGCAGAGTATTCGGGAGGAAGATCATGAATCACATCGTCGTAGGCAGGCGGCTGGTCGTGCAATAGTGGCTCTGGGGCGCGCGAACTCAATTGGGCCCCTAGATCAAATTTCCGAGGACCAAAATTCACCCCCAGAACAAATGTAGCCCAGACATCATCAACAACTCTCTCCACCTCCTTTTGCAGGTCCGCAGTGTTGTATGCGACATCCTCCAGACTGTGAATCTTCCCCGCGCCTGCTTGATAAGACCCCTCTGTAATAATATCCATATCGAAATCACATGCGATTACACACCAATCACAGATCTGTCAACTTCGCGATATTGAGTGCGAACGCATCGGGGTTTGGTGTACTCGAGTCCCGGCGGGGGATGGACCCCAAATCGGCAAACAGGCGGGGCGAGGATAGTATCAGGTCGCGAAGTGGCACGATGCGCAAAGGGGTGTTCGATGTCCGGCTAGATTTGTCGACAGGTCGAAAGTTAAAGCGTCAGATCAAACAAAACAAAAAGAGCAAATAACCTCCCCTGCACGACCGGCGCGAGTTCAGGTGCTTGTTTCGGGCGTGGGATAAGACGTATATGCGAGCTGAGAAAAATTAGAGACAACACAGAGGTGTGAGTATTGTATGAGTATAGGAGTCAAGGTAAGAAAGGGAAAAGTTGAGGGATCAGCTGGAGGCAGGGATGAAAGTAGTTGGGGCGGTGGAGTGAAGATCATCTCATGCCTCGGGGGAGTTGTCGATTTCGATTCCCGATTTAATTGGGATATTGGGATCTTACCCTTCTATAACTTGCTATGAGAATAGCAGATACCATAGCAATAGTCAAACAAGGATTCCAACAGTCAAAAGACTTGACAATAGAGAGATGGCTGGGATGAACGGGATCACCGTTTAACTTTTTTCGGCTCCAATGCTTTGGCTTACATTCTGCATGGCATACTATAGGCGCAGACTGTGATATCCATGCAGTCTGACTGTCCTATCGATCGTCAGAGTCCCCCTCCATCAGCACTGCAGATGAACAAGTACATAAACATAACCAGCCACTTTAGTTCCAGCATCGCATCCAATTTCCACTACACCGCAACCATGGCGCGACCCTCTTCATCCATGGATCACTCGAGAATAGACTGTTTGGTTCCGTGGATGCCCAACCAGCGGGTTTACCCGTCTGCAAAGAAGAAACAAACATGCAGTATACAATGCAGGGTGCTGTAGTTGTTCGATTGTATGGACACACGGTACGATAGAGCAGCTGGATACATCACCTCTCGCCCTCGTTGCACGAGATCCATGCTTCTCCTCATCTTTCGGCCTAACCAATTCGTCACTGTATCTACACTAGATCGCTCTGGCGCTCTGCAAGTGCAGCACATCCGTTGCTCACCGCCACTTGTGCGCCGGAGCAAAATGACCCAGTGCGGGGGTGTGGAGAGTCTGCGGCAACAAAGTTGGATGTCTGTTATGAGTCAGACGATGTGATATCGCACAGATGGAATGATACTTGAATCGGAGAGTAGGCCTCGAAGATGTTTTCTTCTAACAATAATCATCTGCATAGCATCCACACCCAGAAACAGAAACTTATAGAAAACAGTGAGATGAAACTACAATACAGCGACAAAAAGGGAATTGAGCGACACGGAAGCTGAAACACACATGTGACATACACCAGACCGAGAGGATACCTTCCTGGGACAACCTCTCAATTCAGACACCACACCAGCCCGACATAGATCAAAGATCAAGTTAGGATGAGTCCTCAGTCTTGGATGGAACTGGGAATCCATAGACCTCCTGGTGCTCTTTCTGGTATCGCACATAATCTTCGGCTGCCAATTTGTGGTAGGGCTATTGCGATAATTAGTTTATGCAGTCAATCACTTGTCCATTGTATCCATACCTCTTTCTCTGTCTCAGACATTGCGTTCCACTCTTTACCAATGGCGGACATTCGTTCAGGAGCATCCGTGTAATGACCGGACTTCAAACGCTCAGAGCAGTAAATGTTGTAGCTGGTGGCAGGTCTCTTGACCAGGCGCTCATCTTGGATCGTCGGCCAGCGCTTGCTGCGGGGCTTGTCTTCAATACGTAGAAGGGACGCCCGGGCGGTGTTGGCTTGTCTGATCTGAAGAGGAGTGTAGGATTTCAGCCACTCTTCAAATGCGGCTTTGTTGGCGGCTCTGTTTTCCTCGGCCTGAGCTCGGTATTTCTATAATGGGAAATTAGTACATTGAAATCAGACAGGCGTTTTGAACCATACCGCTTCATTCGGGACGGGCTTGATCATCTGGGAAGCCATCTTCAGTGCTTCCGTGGCTTTGTACTCTCCCTTGATTTCATTGATTTTATCAACGAGAGCGAGGGTGTACCAGCTTTCATTCAAACGCTTGGGAAATTCCAAGGCAGCCTCTTTCAGCTGCTTGATGTGGTCCTTGTGCGCGCGGAGCTTCTTAGCTTCTTTTTGCTTCTCGGTCATCGGCTTCTTCTTGTTCGAGCTGCTCTTAGCGGTTTTTGCGCTGTCGCTCTTTGCCTTGGTCTTCACCTTGGTCTTGGCCTTGGGGGAGGCATCTGTCGCGAACGAATTCGATTGCAAGAGCGATTGAGTGGCGGGGATATTCTGGAGCTGGGGGCGCGCCTGGCGTCCGCTGGCCGCCAGAGAAAGGTGACGAAGCTGGTTCTGCACGCCGATCAGGGCATTAGGGCGAGTGGAAGCACCGAAGTGCAGGGGTCGGAGGAGGGCACCCCGAGCTGCGGACTGCCAAGCCATAATCAATTGTCGGAGTAAACTGAGACTTGAAGTAAAAAGATAAACACAGCTGTAAATTGGAGCTGCAAGATAGAAAGCACCACAAGAGCTTCTGACGCAAGCGGAGAGGAGGGTGGACGGCGCGCCCTTCATTTGGATCTATCCGCATCGGGTTAGCTCATCACACACTCACGTGACCAGTATTCTCCACGATTGCTTCACTTCTCGGGCCACGACGTTTGATACGTTTGTTCCCACGACGTAATTTTGCCGACCTGAGAGCTTATTTTCTGCAGAGAGGCGACGCTTACTCTTTCAACGCTCGGTGCCCCGAGACTTTTTGAGCTTCAGTAACACTCACTAATCAGCCTGCAACAATGGCTCGCCACGGGGATACTCGCTCACCATCACCTGTAGGCAGCACATACTCTTCATCCAGACGCAATCGCCGTGATGATGATCGCTATGACAGGAGTCGGCGAGATGATGGACGCGGTTCTCGCAGATCCCGCAGCCCAGAGGTATGTGTGGCGAATCGCAAGATATTATCGCGGCAGACTTCTGACCATGCATGTTTGATACAGAGACGCTATCGTGAGCGCGAGCGCGCTCGTGATCGAAATGGATACAGACGCCGTGACCGCTCGCTAGACCGTCGTGACGAAGACACCTACCGACCAGGCCGCAGAGACCGATCCCGAGACCGCAGGCGCTCTAGAGACCGAAATGAAGATGTTGATCGTCGGCGAAGTCGCGATAGAGAGTTTCGGGCCAGGCGAGATGATTCGCGCGAGCGGGACCGCAGGCGGATAGATGATTCTGCTGATTTGAAACCGAAATCTAGACGGGATTCCAGTCGTGATCGTGCAACGAACCGACAGTCAACGTCCAGAACTCGAGAGCCATCCAAGCAGTCCACACCAGCTCCGGCTGCACAGACCGACGAAGCGAAAAAAGCGGAAAGGCAAGCCAGGCTAGAGGCATGGAAGCAGAAGCAGGCGGCCGAGCGCGAGCGCAAGCAACGAGAGCAGGAAGCATCAGGCCCGAAGAATATCCTGGACCAGCTTGACCGTCAACAGGGAGTTTCTTCAGCTGTGGGCTCTCCCCAGACTCCTATGACACCCGCCGAGTCCCCAGCTTCCACTGCATATCCCGGAAAGTTCGATCCCAAGGCTATCGCGAAGCCATCGACAACAAACTCCGCAACACCCGCAGTTCTTGGCACTGATGTTGCGGTGCCAACATCCAAACTGTCCGCGACAGCTAATAAACCTGCTCCTGCGCCTGCCAAGCTTTCCGGTCCTTTGAAAGCTAAGGGTAATGTTAGCGGATTTGGTTTGGGTGCCAAGCAAACCTCTGACGCCGAAAAGCCCTCTGCGCCTATCACTCTGGGCTTTGGTGAAGAAGAATCCACCCGCAAAAAGCTGGAACGATTACCGACCCCGCCTCTTGATGATTCAAAAGATACCGAGCCAGCAGCCAATGCAGACGAAGATGATGATGTTGATATGCATGACGAAGAAACGGAAGAAACTGCTGCAGCGGTAGCACGTGCCGCTGCTGAGCGACGAGAAGAGCGTCTTCAGAATACCTCAAATGGAGATGTCCAAATGGAGGACTCGACAAATGGACACGCCGATTCTACCCCTATGGAGGTCGACGAAGCTGATGAAGTTGACCCTCTGGATGCTTTCATGTCAGAGCTCCAAGACACCGCGCCACCAAAGAAGACATCGGGTGCCAAATTCGGGAAGAAAAAGGAGTCACAGCAACCTGAGGCGATGTTCGGAGACGACGAGGATGTGGATGCCACCGCAGTCGGTGCTGATGATGCTGCCGATGACCTCCTCGCCATAGCAAAGAAGAGAAAGAAGCGGGAGCTCCCCACCATTGACCATTCCAAGCTTGAGTATGAGCCATTCCGCAAGAACTTTTACACTGAGCCTTCCGACCTTGCTGGTCTGAGCGAGGCGGAGGTTGCAAACTTGCGTCTGGAATTGGATGGCATCAAGATCCGTGGTTCTGATGTCCCAACGCCTGTTCAGAAGTGGTCTCAATGCGGACTGGGTGTGCAGACCTTGGACGTTGTCTCCAAGCTTGGCTACGAGAGCCTCACCTCCATCCAAGCCCAGGCAATCCCGGCAATCATGTCAGGTCGCAATACCATCGGTGTGGCCAAGACTGGCTCCGGAAAGACAGCTGCTTTCTTGATTCCAATGTTCCGACACATCAAAGACCAACGGCCCTTGGCTCCCATGGAAGGCCCCATCGGGTTAATCATGACTCCTACCCGTGAGTTAGCCGTTCAGATCCACAAGGACTGCAAGCCTTACTTGAAGGCCTTGAATCTTCGGGCAGTTTGTGCGTATGGTGGAGCTCCCATTAAGGACCAGATTTCCGACTTGAAGCGAGGAGCTGAAATTGTTGTTTGCACACCCGGTCGCGTCCTTGATCTGCTAGCTGCAAACTCAGGTCGCGTCCTCAACTTGACCCGGGTCACATATGTCGTCCTGGATGAGGCAGACCGCATGTTCGATATGGGTTTCGAACCACAGGTCATGAAGATTGTGAACCGCATCCGACCTGATCGCCAGACTGTGCTGTTCTCGGCTACCTTCCCCAGGAGCATGGAATCCTTGGCCAGAAAAGCGTTGCACAATCCTATCGAGATTACCGTTGGTGGTCGAAGTGTCGTAGCGTCCGAGATCACCCAAATCGTCGAGGTCCGCAATGAAGAGAAGAAGTTTGTCCGCTTGCTGGAGCTTCTGGGTAACTTGTACTCTGATGATGAAAACGAGGATGTCCGCTCTTTGATCTTCGTGGAACGTCAGGAGTCTGCCGATTCTTTGCTCCAAGAGCTGATGCGCAAGGGCTACCCGTGTATGTCGATCCACGGTGGAAAGGACCAGATTGATCGTGACTCCACCATTGAAGATTTCAAGGCGGGTATTTTCCCTGTCCTGATTGCCACGTCTGTCGCTGCTCGTGGTTTGGATGTCAAGCAACTGAAACTGGTCGTCAACTATGATGCTCCTAACCACATGGAGGACTATGTTCACCGTGTTGGTCGAACCGGTCGAGCTGGAAACACTGGAACTGCAGTGACCTTTATCACGGAAGAGCAGGACCGGTACGCAGTAGACATCGCAAAGGCTTTGAAACAAAGTGGACAAGAGGTGCCCGAGCCAGTCAAAAAGCTAGTTGACGGATTCCACGAGAAAGTCAGGGCTGGAAAGGAGCACAAAGCCGGAAACAACGCTGGCTTCGGTGGTAAGGGTCTGGACCGACTTGATGAAGAGCGTGAATCTGCCCGTATGCGCGAGCGGCGTACGTACAAGACCGGCGATAACGACGACGAAGAAGAAGAAGAGAGTGAGGAAGATGAAGAGAAGAAGGAGGACCGCTTCAACAAGGCCCTGTCTGCTGTCCAATCCGCCAACGCACCCGCCGCGCCGTCGGCGTCTCTACCGGGTGTTCCAAAGGGCATTGACCTGGACGGCAAGATTACAGTCCATAGGACCGAAAAGGATCCCGCCGGTGGACCCAAGAATGCGCTGGACAAGGTTGGCTCCGCTGTCGCAAGTATCAACGCACGTCTCAGCCGTGCCGGCGTGATGAGGTCAGGTGTCCCCATCGACAACCGTGGACCTGACGCCGGCGCCTTCCACGCGACAATGGAGATCAACGATTTCCCTCGTAAGCTCTCCCCCTCCTCCCCCTTCTGTCTCAATTACATTGAGAACAATGAGAATAATTCTAATCGTTTTATTTCACACAGAGAAAGCACGTTGGGCCGTTACCAACCGCACGAACGTCGCCAAGATCCTGGAATCCTCTGGTACATCTATCACAACAAAGGGCAACTTTTATGCAAATGGCAAGGAACCCGCTGCCGGCGAGCTTCCCAAGCTGTACATTCTTGTGGAGGGCGAGACCGAAATCTCCGTGACTAATGCTATGCGTGAGTTGATGCGCCTGCTGAAGGAGGGTACGATTGCGGCTGCGGACAGCGAGGCGCGCGCTCCTGTTGGTGGCCGTTACAATGTGCTTTAGTTCGTTTTCGTGGTGACATGGTGAGCGGATTTGTGTTTTCATATCTGGTTGTACAATACCCTCAGTCATCTAGCTCGCGTCAATTCCCGGGCTATTGAATTTATCATGTTGATGTGTTCATGATGATGGTCTTTTGTTTTACGTAGAAGTTACCGTAGATTGTATTTCGTATTACTAGGTCTGAGGCTCGGGGCGCATCAAAGGTGTACAAGGAGTAGAGGGTGTTTGAGATACGAAGTGGTAGCAAGAATAAATAAGATCTGTAGCAGTGTAGTAAGATGGCATTGAAGTGAAGAATGATCAACACTCAACCACCTGTGCAGGAAAGAGAGTCCGGGCCAGGGATGGCTTGGGATGACCAAGGGCGACGACGGAGGATGGCGCCAGCAGTGTACAGGGCGACAGCAAGATGGGGGACCAGGACACGGACTGACGGACACAATACGGGGTAAGATGTCCAGGGTTTCGCCAGGGTAGGTGAATCTTACAAGCAGTACAAGTACACCATAACTTCGAGAACCCTCAGACTAACTACGGTTTGATTACATTCTCTTCTCCAAGCTCGAGCCACTGGCCCTAAGGTTGATGAAAAGAAAATGGTTCCACGAATGGAGAGTGCCAAAGAATACGCCTGTCAATGACCCGAAAGCCATTGAACAGACTGTTCCGCCGCGCTGTGCAATGCAGGGACCAGACTGTGGTGAGCCGCCTTGATGATCGCAGCCACCCAAACAAGGTAAGTATGAAAGAGAAAGAAGAAAAGAGGAAGAGGAACGGGCAGAGCCAAGTATTTATAGCCGGCCAGCTGAGCAGCTGATCACATGATGTCACATGGACATAAGACAAACATCATTGCAAACATACCAACAGCTGCAGGATACACGCTTTAACGTACAAAATAAGAAATTATCACTTCAATCAAGGAGCTCAGATGCATCAGATCACCCCTTGCAGCCACCCCTTGATCTAAACTGTAGAGCCTATCACATCTCTTCAATCATTCCCACCTCCTAGCAGCCTCGGCTCCATCGGCATCGCGCGCTGCCCTCTCAGTCCGACTAACCTGATCCAATGTCTGCGCATGCGTCTGTGCCTTCTGTGCGGCTAATTTCGAGCCTAGTTTACCTTTACCGGTGCCGGTACTGTCGGCGCGTTTCTATATATCGGATGCACTAGTCAGCCAGCGGATCCGACTCCACATTGAAAGCATGCCCATTGGATAGCTTGCATGCGGGCTGGTTACATACCTGTGCAGCAATTGCTGCATTGGCACGTGCCTCATCACTTGGGGCTTCGCTACCACCAGCGTTGGTCTCGCCGAGGGTGCGGCCGGGTGTTGCTTTCCAATTTGTCTTGGCTGGAAGCGGGGCACGGGGTGATGGGTTCTGGTCTGCGGGGTTTGTGCCAACCGTGCGGCCTGGCTGGGTGAAGGGGTCATTGTCCTTGTTGGAGCTGCGGGAGCAGATGTTTCCCATTGTCGTTGTACAGTGGGTTGGAGAGAGGGGAGTGGAGAGGATGCGATCGGAGGATTTGAGATGTTGGTGTTGGCTTTGCCGTTGGTGCAAGCTTGGTGCAAGCTTGGTAGTATGCTTTGGGCTTAATTTGGACCATGAGATATGAATGCAAGAGCCAGTATAGTGCAATGCTATTGAATGGCAATGACTATGCTGTGAAGTGGGTTGGATGAAGGGAGCATTGCGATAAGATAGTCGATCCGGGGCAAAGGCGGTGAGCTCTGTTGATAGTGATGTCAGCAATTCAGTCTGAAGATTGCCCAGGTACCCTTAGTGATTCTGGGTGTATTGCTCAGCGACTTCCAACGAGACATTCCCATCACTGACTGTATATAATGTGCACTCAACTTAGGGTTCAGGACACCATGTGGAGGGGCGGGCAAAAGGGGCAGAATGAGTCAGCAGCGCTGAGTGGACCAGCCCTGAAGCCCTGGGATATGTCTCCCGCGGGGAAGAATTTTCATCGGAATGCTGGGGAGTACTACAGGTACTTACTCTGTCGATTTACGAGTCTTGACTCTGCCGTGCGACTACGCCATGTGTACATGAACACTCCGCTTGCCAACAGGGCTAACACGATTCGCCCGAAAATCATGACGCCTAACCCCCAAGGTCCCCATCCTCTCCATCGTCCCGAAGGTACTCACTGCACCGGGGGGCAGTATCAGGTTCCCCCCTAATCTCATCTTTTCGCCTTCACGCATCTCCCAAGGTCCTCTTCTTTCCTGCACGTCCGCGAAATCTCCGATTGAGTCGGTTAATCATAACCGGCAGCGCATCCAGACCCGAACGTCCAAGCACATGACACAACTGTGAGACCGTATTTTGTGTGAGGGGATCATCCGGCACTATTGAGACCTACTGTTGGGAGATTAGACACTGTGGACTTTCTGGGTGGCGTTTCGACTCTGCCGGTTGCGTGATTTTGCAGGTTGGATATTGTACCTGGACATTACCTGGTAGCCCACTTGCGGTCGCACCCCCCTCGGTTTTTCACTTGCTTTCCTTGATATCGTTCGCTGCAATTTGATATCGGCATACTGTCCCTGGCAACCCCTCTCAGTTTTGGCCCGACACCCTTCCTCTACCTAAAGTGAACCGTGCACCATGGCGTCTCAACCCCAAGGCGATTTTTGCCTTGAATGCAACTGGGAAGCTTTTCATCTTGATGGAAAGGAAACGGGAGATCCTTCGGTCAACCATTCCCAACATCATTGGAACTGCTCAAGTCATGGGCATCAGGCGGCGCTTCCTCATTGCGAAGTGGACGAGGCCTGTTGTGATGTAGATGACTGCGCGCTAGACTGTGGGTCAATGTGTGACGGCTTTGTGGCCTGCGGTCCTTCTACTGTCTGCTCAGTCACAAACTGCGAGGATGACAACTGTGATGACAACGACTGCGAAGACCATTGCGAAGATAATCACTGTGACGATAACCACTGCGAGGATCTCTGTGAAGCTGATCACTGTGAAGAAATCAACTGTGATACCACACACTGTGACAGCGTTGATCCTCTTTGCTTCGAGGATCACTGCTGCGACGGCACCGAGAATCAAGACTGTTCATTTGATACACTTTTTGGACTCAACACTCCGCTGTCGCTAGACACAGGGGTATTTCCACCGACAACCATGGGACACCATCTTGGCCATGGCGCTAAAGCCCTTGAGCATCCTCTCCCTGGAACCATCGATCCAAGCCAACAACATAACTTCCTACACTCCTACCAGACACACGCTAGCAACTGCGATCAGAATGTTCCCAACCACTTTGAGTGTCATGACTTCCAGAAGGACTTGCAGGGGATGTTCGTGGCGCCTCCTTTGCCGACGCAGACTGAGGTCAACCCGGCGGAGGTATTCCACATGCTTGGAATGTGTTCAGACTTTTCTATATGCCAGGACCAACACACTGCATCTCAGAATGAAGTGTCACCAGTGTTACCATTTGATAAACCTAAAACCGACCTGACGGATGCATTCAATTGCTTCCACCCCGAACACCATCATGTTCACGGCCACTTCAAGAACCCCAATGACCTCAACCTGATCACCTCAAAAGGACCTCGGCGAAGCCACCATCGCTGCCGAGCCCATCACCATGCTCACTCTCACCCATACTCACCATACTCACGGCAATCTCGTTCGAGTTTCAGCTCTCACCTCCTTTCTAGTCCAGGGGAGACTCCGCCACCGCTCGAGGGTGGTGCCTCATCTGTGCTGACTACTCCGGATTTCTCTGAGGAAAATGATTTGCATATTTGCAAATGGTCAACAAAGATCCATGGAATTAAAGCCGCATGTGGTGCTACCTTTGCCGATGCCGGTGCTCTTCAAGAGCATCTTGTCACCAGCCACATGAGCACTGTGAATGGCGCCAAGGGAAATGGATACTACTGTTGTTGGGAAGGGTGTCATCGCCCGGATGAGCCCTTCTCACAAAAGTCCAAGCTTCAGGGTCACTTTCTTACACATAGTAACTACAAGAACTTCTCCTGTTCAGTATGTGGAAAGGCATTTGCTCGACAAGCGACATTGGACCGACACGAGCGCAGCCACCGTGGTGATAAGCCGTATGTTTGCAAGCATTGTGGTAAATCGTTCACGGACAGCAGCGAGTTGAAAACCCACTCCCGCACCCACACTGGCGAAAAGCCATTCAAATGCACCTGGCCAGGATGTAACTTTACCACTGGCGACTCTTCAAATATGTCTAGTCACAGACTGACCCACGGAGAACGACGACACAAATGTCAATTCCCCGGATGCACGAAGAGCTTTACTCGACCTGGTAAGCCCACCATCCGTCCCATCTTTCTCCTATACCTCTGCTGACTGTATCCCCTAGACCAACTTAAGCGTCACCAGAGGACCACCCACAAAACAGAGTCCTGTTCTACCCTTCCTTCACCGAGTTCCGATCACTTCACCTTGACCCCCTTCACCCTCGTCTAATGAACCACACCTATCGAAGATCTTACTGTATACGACTGTCATGCTTTACGACCCAACGGATATGCCGCTACTAGCGGCCGGGCGTACTATGGCTGGAAAACACCCGAGTGTCTGGCGTTTTGACGTTTCGAAGACCACAAAAGAAAGTTGATACCACCTGTGCTGAATGAAGCCAGGATCGTTTGCGCTTAATTAAGAGGTTATACCGGTTGCCTGGTTTCGCACTGGTCAGCCGTCTAACGATATTTACTTCTGTTTTGATACATATTACAATGAGTCGCATCGGGTCTGGAACCCGTAATCGGGCAATTTTGTTCGACCTTACAATTGAATCTTCGTATCCTGCTATGATATCTACCAATTGCATATACCACATCTCAAGAAACAACCGTGATCATAAAATACACACTGTAAATCCTATGTAAAACACACCTTCCAAAATAGAGATCTATTCCTCATGAGCCCTCTCCTCCAACAGCTCAACAGCATTCTTCAACTCCCGAATCCGCTGCCCAACCCGTCTCCGCACCTCATCCTTAACACCGCGAGGCACCTCGGCAGGGTTATAATTAGTCTCAATAATAGTCCCATCGCCATCATCCTCCGCAGCGTCAGCTCCATTTCCATTGCCATTCTCACTCTCAACCTCCCCCGGGCGCGCAGTGTACAAATGGTAAACAGCAGACAACTGGTTCAGCGCATCACGCGCAGACTCCCGGTCCGAAGCTGCGTAGATTGTCCCGGTGTCTGTGCTCTCGGTTGCAATTTCGAATTCGTCTTTGGCTATTTCGTAGAGTTCTTGCAATTCTTCGATTAGAAGGTCTGCTTCGGCTTTGCCGGTTGAGCCTTTAAGGTCTGTGTAGCTTCGGATTATTGTTTGCGGGATAAGAGATGGGGCGGATGTTGCTTTAGTTGCTGGGCGGACTTTGGTGGTGGTACTTGTAAGGCTGTGAAGTGTGCGAGCTGCGAGCTGCGAGGGCCGGATGGCGTGGTGTGGTCGTAGGCTTTGGGTACCTAGACGGAGGAGGGGGGTGCCCCGCGTTGGGTGGATGTATGCCATGCCGGACATTTTGGAGTTTAGGGAGATGATGGAAATTTTAAAATGCAATTCGAAGTTGGAGGAGTATAGGGAGACTGGGGAGCTCCGGAGGTCGTATTGAGGCTCGGGAATGACGTAGCCAGATTATCGGCGTCACGTGTTGATAACCATGTTGGTGTGCTGAAGTATACAGTTGAAGATACCAAGACTTAGCTATAATCGCGTTTAATATAGACTATGTTGATCTTTAATGTACTATAATTGCAGCAAATACTACTGATTTGACTATAGCAAGTTGGCAATATTGTTTCAGTGCACGAGATCCAACATAACTGCTGTCGTCATCAAGGGGATTCAGATCAGCATATTTGTCTGAGATTGATATGCGAGGGAGAAGCGAAAGCTAAACCATATCTTCGGCTTCTATCCTTCAGGCCGTATTCAAATAAGTATAGTCATCCATGGCACGTTTCACAAAGATTGCCCAGATCTATACAGGGATCTCGATTGGTGGAAACAGAACTATATTTACATGGCGGCTAAATGCAGGTGCTGACGATGCGGGGAGAACATGGCTGCCTTTCCATTCTTGGAAGTTTCCCCTGAACTTGAAGAGATTCCCCTGTCACTGCGATCGGACCGCCGGGCCGGACATTCTGTACAATCCATGTAAACAGCAGAAGATTCAGAGGAATACATTCTTCACGTCGCTAGCATGATTGGTATAAATACCACTGATTCCTGCTGTAATAATAAGTAAACATATCCAATAATCTAAAATGACACGAATCTATCTTACCACGATATTGGCTCTTCTGCCACTGGTCAATTCACAACAAATTGGACTCCCTGACCTCCACCCAAAACTAGAGACATGGAAGTGCACAACTAAACACGGCTGCACCAAGCAACAAACATCAGTCGTCTTAGATGCACTTTCCCACCCACTCCACGAAGTAGGAAACCAAACTGTTTCCTGCGGAGACTGGTCAAATGGACTGAACACCGACCTCTGTGCAACAGAAGCGGAATGCGCCGAGAACTGCATTCTCGATGGAGTCAACTACGCAGCACATGGCGTAGCAACTAAAGGCGATTCCCTGAAACTCCATCAATATATGAAAGTGGACGGAACATACTCATCCGTTACTCCACGCGTCTATCTCCTCAACGAAGACGGAAAGAACTATGATATGCTCCAACTCCTCAACCAGGAAATCAGTTTCGATGTGGACGTCTCAACTCTCGTCTGCGGTATGAATGGTGCGTTGTATCTCGCCGAGATGTTAACAACCGGCGGACGAAACGAGCTCAATCCGGCTGGCGCGCAATACGGAACTGGGTACTGCGATGCGCAGTGTCCAGTTCTTCCATGGGTAAATGGCGTCGCAAATTTTGAGTCTACCGGCGCTTGTTGTAACGAGATGGATCTTTGGGAGGCGAATGCAGTTTCCACGGGGTATACACCCCACGCGTGCAATATCACGCAGGTGTATGAATGTTCTGGAGATCTCTGTGGGAGTGGTGGTGTTTGTGATAAGTCGGGCTGCGGGTTTAACCCTTATGCGCTGGGTGATCATGAATATTATGGGTATAAAGGAGTTGTTGATACGAAGAAGCCGTTCACTGTTGTGACGCAGTTTTTAACCGAGGATAATACCGCTCAGGGGGCGTTGAAGGAGATTCGTCGATTATATGTGCAAAAAGGCAAGGTGATTCAGAATGCTGTGACAGAAGTGTCTGGTAACAAGGTTGATTCTATCACCGAAGAGTACTGCTCACATTCTGCTAGCTACTTTGAGCAGATGGGAGGGTTGACGCAGATGGGCAAGGCGCTTGGTCGAGGAATGGTTTTGGTTTTCAGCATTTGGAATGACTCGGGTGCTTTCATGAACTGGCTTGATAGCGGTGATGCAGGGCCTTGCAATAGCACCGAGGGAAATCCGGAACTGATTCTTACGCAGCATCCTGAGACATCTGTTACTTTTTCCAATATCAAATGGGGAGACATAGGGTCTACTTTCAAGGGAAGGTAATATCCCAATAAATCAAGTGCTATTCTGCGTGTCAACCTCTAACTAGTATTCATCAATTTTCACTTCATCGTATCAAATTCAAAAGCCACAAAGACAAAGTCATTAATGAGTGTATGCAGTTCGTGTCATCATGCAATCATGCGTTACCAACAAATAAACAAATCTTCCTTTTCAATATCAATTTCCTCTTAAGAGACATCCAAGCTTCATATCCTTGAGGTAGATCTGTGCCAGAGAGCATTCACTCCTGCTGACCAGTGATGGCCTTGATGGCCTTGTCCTGGTTCTGGTCCTGGGGGTTGGCAGGGTAGTTCTGGTAGGAACCATAGTTCTTGTAGTTGCCATAGCTCTGGTAGCGGTTGTTCTGGGCGCTAGGTGTGATCTGGGCGCCGCCCACGGAATTCCAGTTGTTGGCAGCACTGGGAATGTCACGGGGGAAGATGGGGGTAGGAGTGAGCAAGTGGGAAGCGACGCGCGAGGCACGGTCCCAGTTCTCGCGGTACCAGTAGTCATCATCGCGGTTGTAGTCGTCGTTGCGATTGTAGTCGTTGTTGCGGTTGTAGTCATTATTGCGGTTGTAGTCGCCGTTGCGGTAGTGATAATCGTTGTTGTAGTCACCGTTGTTGTAGTTCTCACCATCCTGGCGCCAGCTGCGACGGTGTGGAGTATGAGTAGTCAAATCACCCATGGGGCTAACCTTGGTCTCAAGTCCAGGGTGGTTCAGACGGCCAGCCTCAGCGCCAAAGGGAGTAATCTGTCCGGGGATGATGTCGCGCTTCTGGTTTGCGTGCCACTGGCCGTTGGCGTCGGTCCAACCGCCCTGGTTGTTCTGGTTGTTGGCGTGCCATTGACCGTTGGAGTCTGTCCAACCATTTTGGTTTTGGTTGTTGTTTGCGTGCCAGTGACCATTGGCATCAGTCCAGCCACCCTGGTTGTTCTGGTTGTTGTCGCGCCACTGGCCATTGCGGTCAACGTAGCCGTTCTGGTTGACTTGACCGTTGTTGTTGTAGCGGTTATCGCCGTTGTTGGGGATGAACTGACCGCTCTGGTCATAGTGACCCTTGCGGTACTGTCCACTGGGATCCCACTGACCAGCTTGGTCGTTAGGGTCCACTGGGAGGGCGAGAGCTGCCAGAGGGGAGACAGCCAAAAGAAGAAGGCCGTGGATCATAGAGTAGCGCATTTTGGTGAATGGAGATTCCAATAAATTCTTGAAATATAGAGAGAAGCTTTGTTCTGAGAGATCTCTTGTTTCTTTGGGGTTCTCGAGGGTTGCTTGTTGGAATGATGATTGAAGACCGGCTGTTGGCCCTGTATTTATATTTGAGCAGGACCAGCTTCAAGCTCATGAATTACGTAGCTCAGAGCTACCGATAAATAGCTCACCGAGCTACTGGTGAAAATGTCTGAGCTTGGATCTCGTATTCCATCATTAAGTTTCGGTATTGTTGAGTGATGCTGCAAGGGACAGCTATGAACGTGTGGTCGAGAATCATGGCGCCTTGCGGGGGATAAGCGACCTAACGCGCGATGATCTCAGAGGGCGGTGAATTCATAATTACTTTAGGCAATAGAATTGTAAACAACGTTTGTTGTGATTGGTAGACTTTGGAAGAGTTGCATGATGAACCTCGCATGAAGCTGCAGGCAAGTTAGTGTAGATCCTGCCTGAAGGGGATTAATTGCATTCCTCGAAGATCACCCGATGTCAGCAGTTGCAGATTGTGTCTGACCAGATGGAAGACACGCTTACGACGGCTGTATGTATGTTGACAATTCTCCCTTGGGCGATTTCACACGTTGTCTGTGCGCCACGCTTCTGGGGTTCTCATGGGCTCACAAAACGTGTGAGACATGCAGGGGACACATTGCGTCAATTGTCTTCTTGTCCGACAAGTTGATGTCAGTAACGAGGCTGGATGAAGCGGGGGGCTGTCGAAGTTGCGGTCTGGGGTTGGAGTTGGCGACACTGCCCTAGGTCGAAGTTTAGGGGTACCGCTTGTTCCCTTTCACAATTGGGCTCTCTTCCGAGTAGGCTTTTCTCTTTTACCATACAATTTTAAATTGCCAAAATGCGAGCTATGTTCTGGGACAACTCTGTCAAGAAAGATTTCTCACGCGAGTCTGGCGAGCGTCTTCTAGCAGAAGAAGAGGGAACTCTTTGGAGCGGTGGTGATGAACCATCTTCGGATACTTGCAGAGCCTTGGCTATCATCTTACTCCAGATCTGTGTTCTTGGATTCCTCTTTCTTGTTGGATGCGTATTTGGTTTCTACTGGCGTGGAGACTTGAATAGCCTCTGCAGTCGACATGTATCCCAATACTGTGAGTACACACAAAGTATGCTTGTAAATCCAAATTCACTAAAATTTTCTAGCTACTGTGATGAGAGAAGTTGGAATTGAGTATAATCTGCAGGAATTCAATGGATCCCTCTTGAATGAGAATATCTTTAGACAGGATGCTGGCCCAGAGGTTGATGCTGCATGGGAGTCTCTAGGTGTCAACTGTATGTTCCAACGTCTGCTCTTTTCCACCTTCAGCTCACTGATAGTGTTATTATAGATCGAGGTGTCAGAGTGCCAGCAGAAGATGCCGAACAGTCTGGTCTTGCTTCTGACCAAGTCAAGATCAAGGAGAAGTATGGGGGAGGGTTCCCAGCAAACGTGGAAGGCTTGCATCACCTTCATTGCCTGGTATTATGACGATTATTCTCAAGAGCTTTTCTGTTCATGGCCAGCTAACGTTGAAAAGAATCTTCTTCGTCAATCCCTTTACTACAACTATGACTACTATCACGAAAAAGGCGAGGGACCGTTTATCAACAACGACTATATTGTCCGTCGTCACGTTTGTGAGTAATTGACTACATCCTTCCTAAGCAACAGACCCAGCTAACAAAACTTTCCCTCAAAGCCCATTGCCTTGACATCCTTCGCCAAGAACTTATGTGCACAGTTGACAGTGGAGTCCTGGGCCAGATATGGATTTACCCCGAGAACCCCGAGCCCTATGTCGGTTTCAACACCCAACACCGATGCAAAAACTTTGATGCGGTTCGTCACTGGGCCGAGGCAAATCAGTTGCCCGAAGACCCGCCATCGGATTTCCTTGAGCCACCAGCCGAAGGAGATCGAATCTATGCCAAGATGCCATGAGAAATGACCACGAACAATGCGATAGAATACTTCGAAATATAAATGCAATGTAACATCCCTTGTTTGTTTTTCGAAAAATAACATCCATCACCCGTAAAGCCCATAAACCCCTAAATCAGCACTCATCCCAACCAAAGCATAAACAACACTCTCCTTGCCCCCAAAAACACTCAAAGCCTTGACCCCCCTATCCTCAAGCCCAATCTTCTCCAAGACCCTACAGCTCCGTTTATTATGAGAAGCGCAAAACCCAAAAATAGCATCAACTCCAAGCTCCGCACGCGCATACTCGATCAACCCCTTCGCGGCCTCCGTAGCATACCCCTTCCCACTCTCCTCGGGTACGATAGCATACCCAATATCCGGCGCGAGATGATGAAGATCAGGTGCTGCACCTTTCATAAGGGAGACGGTTCCAATAGGAATTTTTGCATTGTCTTCGCTGACGCGCAAGACTAGGAACATGCCATAGCCATTGCGGGCGTAATCTGCCAGCACACGACGTTGAAGGAATGACGATGATTTTTCGGGTGTGTCGATTGAAGTTTTGCCGCAGGATTTGATGAAGTCTTCTGTGTCCCAAAGTTGGACTAGGAAATTACAGTGGGTTGCGTTGGTGGGGTCGAATGGGATTATTTGGAGGCGGACGGTTTTTATGCTGAAGTTTGGTGGAAAGGGTGTTTGTTCTTGAGTTTCCGACATTTTGAATTGAGATTTTGTCTTCTGTTAGTTTTTTTGAAACATATTAGAGGTAGCCCGGTGTTTTTAAAGTGACTGGTGTTCTAGTAACTCTTGGACGCTGTGTTGCGGCATCTTTGTGATAGTGCTGGCCCTATCTACGAGTGACTCACGACGCGGGGGCTGACACTGTAAGATTATAGCTATATTGGGCCTAGATTGCGGATTTCCGTCGGATGAAGCTCAAAATAGGTGTGCGTCAATCAGTTAGGCTTTAAGCTTCCAGATTGATGTTGGGGTCTTAGCACCTTTGGTCCATCGGAAACATATGTCATAAGGAGTAACCAAAAAAAAACCATCGTTTGCAGACTCGTAATCGAAACCTCCAAATTATTACCGAAAATCAAGGTAACATTGTGTGTGGATGAGCAAATAAAGTATAAACTAGTTTTTTTCTCCACTAAGTTATTTGCCATCTATCGGAAAGTTGATACCAAGGGGGAATTTCCAGCGCTGCTGAGTCCTCGCAGCAAATGGACTTTATATATTGAATTTCTGTACATTGACGGCCGTTAAATACCTAACCACCCAATCTTGATAGATTTGATCCGAAGTAGCGATCCCCGCTATAAAAAGCGGCCAAACAATCCGGACCACAAGACGGGGTCGACTGCGGTGTAGCTTTAGACCGAGCTCGAGAACTTGGGACACGGCAGTGCTGAGGGGAATGATGGTGTTGTAGTTTTGAATGCCCGACCAATCATTCACAAGATCTTGAAAGCACAGGTGGAAATATACAATTGTACCGTAGTATGTGATGGCTGACCAGAAGACCGTTTCCATGACGCGACGGTCGCCCGCGACGTCGCAGGTATTTGATCTTCTGGCTGAAGTGAGGAGTGTGTCGTATTCCTATTTTGGTTAATGAGACCGGGATTCAAAACGGAGAAGCAAAATGCATGGACACTTACAATAGACAGCGCGTTGATCTCTTTGATAATCCGTTGGTAGGGAGACCCCTCGCCGAAGCTGATATCCGACGTTGAGCTTTGTTTAAACATTTCCGTAATTTTGAATTGGATCACATGGCTGCGGTGATATAGTGTAAGACCTGAGAGGTTCTCCAGATCATCCAACTGAGATGACATGGGGTACTCCTCGCCCCAAAAGCGGGCAGGAGATTGCCTGCTCAGCCTGTACAGATGAGGAAGGCTTAGGGGTGTATTACCAGCCTCTGATCGTAAAAAGAATCTAAAAATATCCGTATCAAGACGAGCAGTTTCAGATCCAAAGAATAGAGCTGCAGGTGTGAAGAAGTATAGTGTCCATAGAAGGAACAGAGGTACACAGGTACCGCCAAGTCCATGAACAGGACCAGGAGCGGAAAGATTTGCACTATTTGCAGTATTTTCCAGGCCAGTGACTTCTAGCCGGGCCTGTGTCTCCTGCAAGGGATCTTGACCCTCTGTAGTGATGACGGGGAGACGAGTATGGCCCTGGAGCAAGGGCACGATGTGATTGTGTAGGAGGGTCTCGATGCCCCGAATATGGATATTAATAGCAGATGCACCACTTCCAAAGCGATTCTCATAATCTATCATCAACCAAAGGGTAATGAATATGGCTTCGATTTGCCGTGGCGTTTTCACGTCCTGTTTTAGTGCCTCTCTTAGACCCGACAGGGCGCGGCCGTAGTGTATTCTGCCATCCATGTCTGATTGTTCGTTGCTCATAATCTGGTCATAGGAGTTCTCTGTATCATAAAGTTTGGACCGATGAATCTCCCTCGCAGCACTAGCCAGCATCATGCTCATGACCATGGACTCTCTGGTGGCAACTTTATGGTATGCATAAGAGACTGTTGACCAAGGCCAGTGCTTGCCAAGAATCACGACTAATATTGAATCTTGCAGGTAGTCCAAGCACTGGCGGTCAAATACTGACAATGACAAGGAGTTGGAAGCTTGGATGCTACGAGCCTGCGCGCCACTTGCTGGGCTGCGAATTGACAGGGACCCAGAAGAAGCTGATGTAACTTGGAGATGTGATCGCTTCCTTGCAGGGTTGACCTGGCTCGCAGTGGGGGTTTCATCCCTTTCTGGAACTTCTCTTGAAGAGGATCTATCCGTCGAGGCTCGATTTGATCTCCGTGGTATCGGACCGCCCTTCCACTCACACAGAATGCGGGCTGCCAAGCATCGCCGACACTGTGGCTCCTCGTGCGCTTGAGATGGTAGTTTTTCTTCGTCGCACTTGACCTTGCGGATCCGGCAAGTGCGGCACCCTTCTAACTGTTAGCGAGTGCTGCAAGGGAGGGAAGAGGGTATGTGGATCCTTGCCTGTCCGGGAACGGGTCTTCCCCGGTTTATGCATTGTCGATAGGACCAGCCTTCGCCAAAATCCAGTCCATGTACTGTTCCATTCGTCTCGGCTGGCTGTGGCAGGGGTTCCCGAAGTACTATAAGGGGACACACAGTCTCACGCGACAGTATCAGATAGAACAGATATGGAGAGGGGAAGAGGAAGAGGGGACAAAGAGCAAGAATGTTATCGAGATCCGCTTGAGCCGAGTCCTCGATGCCGATTGGCTGCGTCGGCTGTTCCTTGGTGGATCCCGATGCCGAGAGCTTACTCAGATCCAGCCCTGTGATTGGCTCGACTATATGCTGTTGCATCGGCTATTCCCCGGTTCTGGCAACGACTTAAAACGGACGAGCTGGTTGAACTTCGTGTTCTCAACAATCTTGGTTAATTGAATCCCCAGCACAATGAATTTTCCAGAATCTCATGGCCGGATTTTGAAAAGCGTACAAGATGTGCTCCAGCGCTATGATTCACAACTCAATGACATCAACCACAAAGTAAGGCACGAATGATTCCAGCCTATAGGAGATATGCAGCTAATGAATCTCAGATATGGTCAAACCCAGAGCTTGCATATGCAGAATTTGATGCTCATGATCATATCTGCGCGCTCTTTGAAAGCCTCAAATCTGAAGGATATTCAGTCCGGAGGAAGGCGTATGAACTAGAGACAGCGCTCGAGGTTGAATATACCTATGGCAGCGGAGGCCGAGTTGTGGCCTTTAACGCCGAATATGATGCACTACCTGGGATTGGTCATGCCTGTGGCCACAACCTCATCGCGACAAGCTCGATCGCTGCATTCATTGCCACATGTGAGGCCATGAAGGCCCAAGCTGAGTTATCATCAGCATCGGGATTTACTGTGCGTCTGCTGGGTACTCCCGCCGAGGAATCGGGTGGTGGTAAGGTGCGCCTTATTAACAAGGGTGCATACAAGGGCATTGATGCCTGTCTTATGGTCCACCCAGTGCCAATGGTGCCCGGAAAACCAGAGCTGATGGGCATGGCAACTACGCTCGAAGGAGGATTCCTCGCTAACGATAAAGTCAAAGTAACTTTTACGGGGAAGCCTGCTCATGCCGCAGCGGCTCCATGGGAAGGAATAAATGCACTCGATGCTGTGGTAGCGGCATATGTGAACATCTCTCTTCTCCGACAACAGATTCTACCCACACAGAAAGTCCACGGAGTCATTGTGAATGGAGGAGAACGGCCCAACATTATTCCCATGTCCGCAAAGGTCGACTACTATATTCGCTCTCCCACCAAGAAGACACTCAAGCCATTGACCGAAAAGGTGCTGAAATGCTTTGAGGCAGCCGCCACCGCTACTGGGTGCAAGGTCGAATTTGAATGGTATGTTTACCCATATTTGTCTTCAAATACTATAAAATCTAATACATGGCTAGGGGTCCTTCTTACGACGATCTGAAGAGCAACTGGCCAATCTGCGAAAGCTATGTCTCGGCAATGCGAGCAATGGGGTACCATACATTGCTTGACAACTCGGGAGAAAAGAGCGCTCTTGCCGGAGCATCCACAGATATGGGTAATTTAATATCACATTTGACTTGGGATAGCCAGCTGACATTGTGTTAGGAAATGTTTCTTACGTCGTTCCTGGATTCCACGGACTTTTCACTATTCCTGTTGATGGTGTTAACCATACACCGGAGTTTACTAGCGGTGCTGGATCTCCCGAGGGATTCAAGCGTGCCATTGGCTGTGCGGCAGGTATGGCTATGGTCGCTTGTCAAGTTTTGGTTGACGATAAGTTTGCCGAGGACGTCAAGAAGAACTTCGAGGAAGATAGATAAAGTGTGGTCCACCTAGCAAATCAAATAATACAGCACGGCAATCGAGATAACTAGTTTAACTTTTGAGATGATCTATTATCTGTTGAAGATTTCTAGTCTAGGGCCTCGGTCCCTAGCTATTAGTTTCTTTTCCTGTCACCGAGCAATCCAGCTCGCCTTTAGCACTATAAAGACCCACAGGTCTTATCCGGGGAAAATAACCTAAAGTAAATGCCAGGCCAATCAGAGCTTCTCCACCATGGTTGAAGGCTGAATGTGTACTTTCTTGTATCTTTGCCACAACTCCTGTTCCGCCAAGTCCTTACTAGCCTTGCCGATACAGCCAATGAGTACATCGGCCAAGATAGCTCCCGGCCATCTGCTATCTAGGCTTCTCAAATTGCGGGGATAAGTCTATCTCTACATACAATAGATTCAAGATCAATGTCCCATATAAATAGGAAAGCCAATGTGACCTCTTTCCTGCTTGTTCTCACCCTTCCATTTTTCTTCAATACCCGCCCTCATAATGTCAAATCAAGCAAGTAAGAAAGAGGCAATGCAAGCTGACCACGAGATTGATCAACAGAGCGTTGATAATGGCGCACTTGAATCTTCGTTTCAATTTTCCGCTGCCGCAGAGAAAAAGTTGGTTCGAAAGATCGATTTGGTGTAAGTCTTCGCGAATAATGTCTTCAGATTAAAATCTAATCACTTTTTTTTCCTTCAGGGTTCTCCCAATCATGGTTTTTGCATACATGCTTGCCTTTCTTGACAAACAAGCCTTGGGCTACACAGCGCTCATGGGGATTCGGGAGGACCTGCATCTTGTAGGCAACCAATATAACTGGTCGTCAAGTATATTCTATTTTGGATACTTGTTCTTCTCGTGAGTGGTCTTCAGCTCGGTGCAGCCTTCCACTCTCCTCATCGTAAATCAGATATCCTGCCTCCCTTTTGATGGTTAAATTCCCATTGGGAAAGTATCTTGCGACCAGTTTGTACGTTACACGGTGCTACTGTTTCATCTACTTCCCTCTCTAATATGATTGAAGCATGCTTTGGGCTGTTGTTTTGGCTTGCCATGCTGCCTGCACAGATTTCAAGGGTATCATGATAGCCCGATTTTTCCTCGGATGCACAGAAGCCAGTCTCTCACCCGGTTTCACTCTGATCACATCGCTCTGGTACCGGACATCTGAGCAGCCACTTCGTCATGGTATTTGGTTTTGTGGAAACTCCATTTCGCTCATCTTCGGAAACTTGATTGCGGTCGGTATTCTACAGATTAAGGGATCCCTCGAGGCATGGCAGGTAAGACAATATTCCCAGCAGCCTGAGAACTTACTCTCACCTTTCTATTTAGTGGCTATTCATCATCTTCGGACTCGTAACATTCCTCTGGGGAATCTTGATGCTGTTCCGCCTTCCAGATTCTCCGACCACCGCTAGCTTCCTCTCCGAAGAAGAAAAGCTCATCGCAGTAGAGCGTCTGAAAGCCAACCAGACAGGCTACAAGACCTCGAATATCAATGGCGCTCAAATTTTGGAGGCCTTCATCGACCCAAAGACCTGGCTTCTTGGGGTCTTGATTTTAGCGTCCAATATTCCAAATGGTGGATTTACAACCGTGAGTCAACTATTCAAAATCTAAAATTCATATGCTAATAAATGACAGTTCAATGGATTGGTATTGCAAGGCTTTGGATTTTCGACTTTCAACACCCTCCTGCTTGGCATTCCCGGCGGCTTTATCGTGTTTGTCTTTGTGCTTTCATCGTAGGCTTCTATCTCTTGGAAACCACCAAAAAAGGATGCTAATCAGTTCTTGCAGGGGAATCATATCATCCAGGATCACTAAGACCCGTTGCCTTGTAATGGTTGCATGCAATGTGATCAGGTAAACTCATTTGTTCACAATTGTTGATTTTCCATTTCGCCAGGATATACTAACGTTTTTTGCAGTATTATCGGTAGCGCTCTCGTCTACGCGACAGCGTCAGTTGGCTCTCGATATGCAGGTCTCCTACTCATGGGAATATACTCTGCAGCAATGCCTGTCTCAATGGCAATGATCAGTTCCAATGTTGCAGGATTCACCAAGAAAGCGACCGTCAGTGCTGTCTATTTTATCTTGTACTGCACCGGCAACATCATTGGCCCGCAGCTTTTCTTTGAGAGAGAGGCACCGAAATATCAGGTATGGTTCCAAGACTTTGGCGTGCTTCTTTTAGTCTAACACAAATCCAGAGTGGATTCCTTGCGATCATCATTTGCTTGGTGATCTGCGTGCTCGATTGCATTCTTCTCTTGCTATATCTCAGATGGACAAATAGCCAACGTGATAAGAAGGCTGTGGAGGAAGTGGGATCCCAAGAGCAAGAGAAAGACGCGTACCTGCGACCTGGAGCTCCCTTGCTGGATATGACGGACTTGAAGAACCTGAGCTTCCGTTACGTTTATTAGGGAAAATACTACTATGAAAGGAGACTTATCAAACTTCAGAAACGCTGTCATAAATAATATCCATCCTGGCTATATAACCACTAATTTGTCTCTCCACAACCTACTTATGCCTCTCCAGTTCCAAATTTGCCTTCGCACTGAGCCTGCTCAACATGAAGAACACAGATACCTTTTGAGCGAATGATCGACATTTCAGATCTAGTGGGAATCCAAAGTATGCAGTCAAGGTGCTGACGTCGCCGGTGTCCTCGTTCTTTATAATCAATGCATCTGTGTGAAAGATCAATGTCACTCCATACATTCAGTATTTCTTACTAGGCCCAAGAGACTTTCACAGGGTAGAATTCTCAATACTGAGAATGCTAACATACTTGCGATAACGTATTTGACCTCACTGCAATCTGCCTCCCAGCCTGGAGTAGGTTCGTCCAAATCCTGGACGTGCCATACGCCGGCGACAATAAGGTGTTTTGCTGATTTGCTACAGCTCGAAAGAAGTGACCTCGTGCTCTAATCATCTATCATATCAAGGGAAGCACTTACGATGATCCAACGAGATCCGTGAAAATGTCGGCACCTTCTTGGGTTTTTGGGACGATAGCATCCACACTATTGATCACCACAATTCTAGGAGACATTTGAAGCAATTCCTCTTTAAGAAAAGAAAAGAGCTTTGGCTGATTTCCGAAGCAGTAAAGTAGTATGGTTCACAGTTGAGGTGGGGAATTCAATTCGAGGCGCTCAACACCACAATTTTATACACACTCACGAGTACATGATGAATTGATTTAGAAGTAAGTAGAAACCTATCTAGGTATCCTACTTGACAGAGTTATCGCGATGATTGAAAGTCTATGATAGATAGAATCGGCACCGGAGGTCGCGGATACCGACACACAAAGCCCTAAGACGCCTCGACCTCATGATCGCGCTTTCCGAATCTCGCAAAGTCTGCGCCAGTGCAACCGGCCGCAATTGTGGTCCTATCAGGCGGTCAAAAGCCCACGGCATAATCGCGCTATCCGAAATGCTTGGAGTTGAGGAAGCGGTGCGGCTACAGAAAGGAATGTTCTTGTCGCTCATAGCAATGACCTACTCGCTCTTATATATCACTAGGCTATTGGAAAGGTCCGTAATTCGACTAGTATATATATTAAAGATTGAAAATTATGGACCTTGAATTCACGAGGATCAAAATGTGAAATGTGGCATTCAATCAATATATTCCAAATTAAGATTGCTTTTACCGCTTTCAGTAGAGACAGACGCAAACATAAAGGGATTCCGGTCCTTGTCACAGATAAAAGCTCTATCGCTCTCTTAAAGCGACGAGTTACCTGCCGGTTTTCCGGCTTGTGGGTAGAATCGACTGCTGCCAGCCACGTCCTCACGGCGACGGGCATCGGAATCCGAGTCTACCCTCTGGTCAGGCTTGTCTGCCTTGGGGTCATGGATTCCAGCAGGTTTCCCAGCTTGAGGCATATAAGCAGTACTTGAAGACACGGTCTGGCGATCCTGATCTGAATCTAATCTGGAATCAACCTTATTGACGATATGGCTATTGTGTGGACCGGCGGTACCCCCGCAAGTGCCGCCATTTCCATGATCTTGTACAGATCCCGGATGGGAGCCTGCGTTGCCCCCGGTATCTAAATATGGGATTAGACCTGATCGTATACATTGATTGAAGAAGTGGTAGAGTGGAATGTACCTTTGTTGCTGTCAGACATAATAAACTATGATGGCTAATAGTGTGATTTGATCTATCATCACACTCAGAACACGTTATATATATTCACGGATTGCGTATTAGTGACGTCGGCAAGTTTCAAGAATAATCCCAGAGAGGTTTAGTCGATTTATCAGGTTTTGGGACTCGTGGCGACCTTGGAACTGCTGCCGTTCATCCTAAATCGACAGTTACCGTGGCAGTCTTTCCACTTCTCAAATGTGAATATTAATGACTTGCTTCCAATCTTCAACGCTGTTCCAAGTCCACAAATAAGAGTATTTTCGAGAAGCTGTATGTAGATCTTCAGCTGGCCGAGTATTGATAGCAGTGAAAGGTGCCCAATAGGCTTTGCAGCTCCAGAGAAACACTGCCTATTAATGGACATATATACACTATAAGTAGTCCTCATTGTCCTGGGTCAACTGGCGATGAGATGAATGACCTTATTATGACGCAACATACCATCAATCAAGCAAGGCCTACATTTATCTGCGAGATGTCGAGCTACAGATTCTGAGCATTCATTAATAATTTTTCGAAACAATATTATCCGTTCTTTGTTTTAATATCCTCACGCTTTGTTTTTTGAAATGGCTTTGAGTCCACACGCCTTCAATTGACTCTCGCCACCGTCGGCTTCAACCCGACAATGAAGAACACAATAACTTCGCAGACGTTGAAAATTGAGAAATTAGGGTCATTTTACATATTCACTAATAGGATCAAATTGAATATATTCTAACTTGAGAAAACATATCAGTACCCGGTACCTGCTCAATCTATGCATATGTTCTCTGCGTAGATATTGCCTCAGAATCAATCATAACCAACGCCACCAATTGGCTACGTCTAGCAGCGCAAACACCCTAATAACCCCAGCGACAAAATATCCAGCGACAAAGGATATTTTGATTCGCGATCTTCGAAAAGCAGTCGTGACAGCTTCCTGCTCTTTTTTTTAGGGGGTGATATGAAACATCTCTAAAATGCGAGTAAATGCCTCTGCGGACGCCCATTGATCGAGCGGAACGCCAACATGACATCGAAACAGTTTCGGAACACTCGAAACTTGGCCATAAAGTGCATCAGCTTTCATAATCAACATTGAAAACATATTGTACGGACAGGATTTAAGGTGGCCATATGGATTCGGCTCCAACTGGTATGACTGGGCCGAAATCCCGAAAAACGTTAAAGCCGAAATCCAAGCATCAACAACATTACCTCCAAGCCCCACAAACCGACGTTATGAGTTCTTGCGTTACTATTTCGCTGACAGAACCACTGGCGGATTTAACGGGGATTGAACATCGCTTGCAATATATAAGATCCAATACGGGATGACCTTTCTTCACCAAACAAACAATTCGTGGAATATTCTTTTCCTGTCTCATTACAATCGAAATCATGGCCACCAGGTACGAAGCTGTACACCAGACCCTCAACGGCCCCGGTGATGCCAGGCCGACCGCTCTTCAAATCATTCGTGACGAACAACTCAGTGGCAAGTGGTCCGACAAGACCGTGCTGATTACCGGATGCTCCTCCGGAATTGGGATCGAGACTGCGAAAGCACTTCATGAAACCGGCGCCACTATCTATGCCACTGCACGGGACCTGAACAAAGCCAAGTCAGCTCTCAGCTCGATCATTGACAGTGACCGTGTCTATCTACTGGAACTCGATCTCGAGTCCCTGGCGAGTGTTCGCAATTGCGCCGAAACCTTCCTCGCCAAGTCTGACCGTCTCGACGTCCTGATCACAAATGCCGGTGTTATGGCCACCCCCGAAGGCCGAACTGCTGACGGGTTCGAAACCCAATTCGGTACCAACCACCTTGCACACTTCCTTCTGATCCAGCTGCTTCTCCCTATTCTCGAGAAGTCGTCCAAACCGAACTCCCAGTCCCGCGTTGTTGTCCTCTCCTCCGTCGCCCACCGGAATGGCGAGGTCAACTTCCCCAACCTCAACTTCGATGGCGAGTACGACGCATGGAAGGCTTACGCCCAGAGCAAGACGGCCAATCTGTGGGCCTCCAACGAAGTCGAGCGTCGATTCGGCCCAAAGGGTGTCCACTCACTAAGCGTGCATCCTGGTGGTATCATGACTGGCTTAATGCAGCACTTTTCCGACGAGCACAAGCAAGCTCTGGGGACTAATCCCGGTGTTTTGGCGTTGCTCAAGAGTCCCGAGCAGGGTGCGGCTACAACTGTCTGGGCCGCTACCGCAAAGGTCCACGAAGGTCAAGGAGGAAAGTATCTGGAGGATTGCCAGATCGCGAAGCCTCCCAAGGATGGCGCTGCTCAATTCGATCCTGGATATTCGGCCTGGGCATATGATGAAAAGAAAGCTATCCTGCTTTGGGAGCGATCTTTGGAACTTGTGAAGCCATTCCTGGGTTGAACAAGGCCACGAGAAGCTCCAGTTCAGATTTTGGTCTTTTATTGTTTGATCAAAGTTGATAGATTTGCTGATTTCCTGGGCCCATTTGTTGTCAGACAAACTAGAGTCATAATATAATGTCACAATCCTTCAGTCTTGTAACTTTTGACCGCAACATAATACAGAGCTGAGATAAAATAATACTCTCTTGTGCGTGTCACAACAAAAGTGGTTGTTGCAAATCTGACCGCAAAATAATGAATTTGTTGATAGCATTCAGCTCGCGTGCAAGTTGAAAGGCCTGGCTGGTGTTGCATAGGACAAATTCAGATTCACCGGACGGTGAAATAGGCTCCCTATCACGCCGGGAGACTTGCGCAGAATGGATGCTATTCAGATATAGCCTCTGGAAATAGTTGGCTCAGGTATAGTTTGAATTGAATCTATTTGCTCGCATCCACAAAACATCCATAATGTATTTCACGAGTTTCACCTTCAGGCCGATCGGCCTCCAACAAGTGTGCAATTTGTTTCCTGCCAACATGATTATCTCACGGTGACTACCAAAGCTTGACCCGACTTAAGAAGGAGTTTACCCGGCGCGCAGATCTTGTAGAAAAACAGCTTTCAAAATTTTCAAAAGCATTTGAGATTGACCTAGTGCGCTTCGGCCGAAATTCCGGTTCAGAAATTTCGGCGGAGACAGGCCCGAATGTTTCACCCGAGGACGAGCGATCGGATTTTACCGCTGTCATTTGTGGCCAAATGGTTCAAGTAAATGCAATTTGCTAACATAGTACCACTTATTGATCCAATTCTCCAAGTGGACGCCTCGGTGCTCAATCAAACGAAAGGGTTTCCCACATCCCGTTGGGGTCTTGTTCAAATAGTAGAGATGGCTGAATCTGATTCAGTTGTTCCAGCCAGTATCCCGAATCAAAGCTATCTTGCAATCCATAGAACGGAGGCGTGGGAAGCCCAAGGTTGGGGGTCTGGGTCGATTGATCAGGATCAAGCAGCGAGCCCATCGATGGCTCGAGGCTGTGATCCTGCAGATCCCTCATCAGACTTTGTAATCGAGTGGTAGAAGAGCCATGCAGAGCTGGGTGTGGCCCAGAAGCGTCATTAGCCCTTCTCAATTGAAATGCTTCTTTGAGTTTTTTGTAACAGCGTTGGACAACATCAAAGCCTGCTTTAGCAATTGGATTATGGATTTTTAGAGCTGCGAGACTATCAAGTGACCGACTGAGACTGGTTTCGATATTTTGTCTGGCGTCGGAATTCTCCGGTGGATAGAGAATACTGATGATCGATAGAAGGAAAGATGCATCAACCAAATAGAACGCAAGGCCGAATAAGCGGTATTGATGTGGATTCGTTTGCGTAAAGGAGCGCAGCTGTGAATCAAGTGTAGTAATTGCAGCTTGTAAAGCGGCTTTTCGGCTTTCGGTGCTAGCGATAATATGTGGACGATGCAGGTTGACAATGAAAAGGTTCGCCATGACTTTCAACTCCTCGCGCAGCTGAGGAAGGTAAGGGAGCTCCAAGTCCCATGATGTGTCCGGACAGTCGGGACGAATTGCAGGTAGCAGGCCTTCCATCATTGAGTCGACATCTTCATGAATCTTTTGGACAGTAGAATAAGTTTTAGGATGGGGACGATCGACTTTGATGGCGCGCATGTCATGAACTTTACATGCGATTGCATATTGGAAAAGAGAGGCTGATACTGGTATGATGCCCGGACTTTCGTCGGAGCGCACCGCCATCGGTATTGCCACGGAAGGGTTCTTGGGTATACTGCATTCCATAGGGGGCTTTGCATCACAATCATCTCTGTGGATCATCCGTGGTCGACCAAGGATCATAGCCATCAAACTAGTACTGTTAGAAAGCAGATGTATCAGGGATTTCTCGTTGTACATTACCTATCCCACACGAACAAGTTGGTCCATAGTCGTTTCTTGTTTTCATCATACCAGAACTCACATAAAGTCTTATCAATACTGGCTTCCTCACGCTGACGAATTTCCCGATGACGGTGTAGTCCAAGTTCCTGGGCTTGCCTGCGAAGAGCGAATTAATTCATTGAACAGATGCAAAGAAATAGAGAGAAGTTGAGAGAGTGTGCGAACCTGATGGCATTGCCTAAAGCGTGCCAGGCTTCAGTGCCTCTACCCGCATTTTTCAAGCACGAGGCCCTTAGGAACTCTGCCTGGACCCCACTCAGAGCAGCCCCTGGCCGGCCCAAATTTGATAATAGCTGATCGCCTATGTCGCTGTAGGATTGTGAATTAGCTAGATCATTGGCAGATACCCGAGCAGTCTCTATTTGCTCCGATGGTAGAAATTGCAATGTCAAGCAGGTAACCTGGAAAAGTACAGCCGGAAAGTAACATAACTCTCGTGAGAGTTCATCGAGGCTGAGATAGCCCACGGGTTCCAGTTCTTCGCTTATGGGCCAACGAGAAAACAAGTCATCGAAATAAAATCTGTCGAGGATGAAATAATGCCAATTTACCTCAGTAAAAAATAAGTCAATAAGCGTCTGAAGGACTGGCCTCGGTGGCAATTTTGAAAGGAGGACCTGGTTAGTATGTCGCGAGACACTGGGGTTCGAAGCAGGAGTTTGAGACGAATTAATCCTATCGAATTCGGCATTACCGAGGATCTGGTTTGAGTTAGCCTGATGGTTGCCGTAATGCCGTGATAATGTCCGACCTGTTGCAAGCCCACAAAGGCATTGCTACCGGGGGCGGATGAGTATCCTAGGGCATTTGAGCCCAGATGAGGGCTAACCCGGTCATCCTGTAACGGTGATGGCTCCTGACCCCATTGATTTGTTGTCATACTGGAATGCCGAATGCCTTCGGGCGGCGGCACCCTAGGGATAATTGTTAGAGCCGCAAGGAGGGATTTGGTGAACAAGGAAAGAGTCATAGGAAGACACTTACTTTGAGGCATTGAAAGTACATTTGGCTGGCACATTTCTGGCTGAGCAATTATTGCATGGGTGTTTGCGATCGCACTGAAGGACGTCAGATGATCAAGACCAAGTTACGAGGATTGAACTTATGGTACCTTCTGCTTCCTGCGGTAGCACTCCGAGCAGGATTCTACGACCCGCTTGCGCTTCAGTGATGGGCTCCCAGCAGCCGGCATGTTTGATAAATGTTGGATGCTGGGTGGTAATTCACAGCTGCCATCGGCCGAAAAATGACGCCAAGAACGGATGACGTTACATAAGCATACATTTCTTTTCGGCCCTGGGGCACTGTAACACTGTTTAGAAAGTTACGAGGATCTCTGATTCTCTGGAATTGAGCTATGGATCTGTTAAGTCCTGGAAACCGTCACTCCTCACTCATGTGCCTCCCTTGCAAGCTCAATCACCCGCAGGCCATCACTTGATTCGATCGCCTTCACTGATAATTCGGCTTTGCCATGAACGGCATTCGCAAGGTTCTCATAGAGGCTCAGCCATCGCCCTGTAGTCATCGGATACTCTTCAGCAAACGTCTGCGCTCCTAGGTCCAATTTTTGCACTGTGCTGTCAAACTCTTTGTATGTGGTAAGTAACCCATGGAGGCGTTCCGGCTCTACTCCGAACATAGGACTGAGAGGTGTCTTGCAGCGTGACAAGTAATTCTTCCTTGAAACTTTATGAAGGATCACCTTGTGCCTCGCACTAGGAGCACTAGGAAGCTTAGTTGTGGTGCCATTGAAGTTGTCACCGATGTTTTAACGGTGACGAGTAGATATTTATGTGTGCCGGCATAGTGTAAGATGATGGTGAAAGAGTCCTCAACTTCGCTACCCAGGCTGTGGATTCCTATGGAATTGCTGCCTTGAAACTTTTTTTTCGCAAAAGAACTCGGTACATCACCTAAGGCAAATGCCATTCCAGAACCTGGCGTATACTCTTCTTCTGTCATCGATGCTACCCAGAGATGCGGTCTGGGAAGCTCCTATCCTCTTTCGTTCTCGATGGATCTCGAGTCGATGTTACGACAATTGTTGACCCAGACCAAGATGTTGTCGTAATAATAGTGGAATCAGACCGTTTGTCTGAGAGAAAGCTGGGCATTTTCTTCGACTTTCCTTATCTTGACTTGAACAAGTTTGACGCACCTTTCGTTGGAGTCTGGAATAAAATCTAAGTCTGATTCCAGAAAAGGTGCAACTATCCGACAGAAACTTGACGGTAACATTCACTATCTGCAAGCCAAGTGGGATGAGCCTTGCAAGATTTCAGGGCCTTTGACAAAGGCCAACAGATACATTTTTTATGTTCTGCCCAGCTCGACGACCCTTCCTCTCAGAACCGTGTTCATAACCGAGGAGGTTACACGCAATGTGAAAAGTACTGTCGAGGTCAAAAAGCCGGCTGCAAACTGGTGGAACCTTTACTGGACTTTGGGGCATTTGTGGATATTTCAGCCACGAGTGAGTCAAATGAGATTGAGCTGCAGCGTCGAAGAATATTGTCTCAGTATCTTTTGAACTCTGAATTTGATTATCAAAGTTGTTCCTATAGTATACTTGTACATGACAAAGATCACGCCTTCTAAACGTCGACCACTATATTCAATCCTTCTCACAACCACCGTCGCCTGGCTCTTAGTTCTGGTCAACATCGGGTCCAGCGTTGCACTCAACGATGGAAGTCTCTGGTGTGTATCTATCATATCTAACCATGAGCTCCCTACTCCTCTACCGCAGATGTAAAGGAGATACTCACAAGTGCAACGATAGCGACGGTGAAGTCAACGTTCCAGGGCAAAGTTGGTCTGGGGCCCTTTCCACTTCCAGGCATCCTTGGTGGGCTTAATAACATATATGCGGTCATCTATATTATCATTGTTGTCTTCTTCAGTTTTTGGCCGACGGAGATGGAGCCTACCGTTACGACTATGAATTATAGAATTTTTGGGACGTTTGGGTCTGTTATTTTGGGGCTGTGTACTAGGTTTTGCGAGCTTGCAAGGTTTACAGTGAACCTATAGTAGATGTTTCTCTGTGAGGTTTGGGGTTACTTTTGTTTCGTGAGTCTTGGCTTCACGTCAAGTTGTCCCTGGAAATGGGGAGCAAGATGCCCGCAATAATTGATGACTGCTGTAGGAATATGTATTTAATGCGCCTGACGTACGCCTGACCAAAGCTTCTACAGAGCAACCATAGGGTATTCAAACGAAGGGCACTCAGTAGCCATGTTTTATACGATGATAGTCCAATCTTATATGGCTAGAAACTATAAAATGGCATGTTGACTGACATCGAATCAAGCCGAGGATCCGGATATGCAGAATGAGGTAATTTGTGGGGCAATGAGGGGCAGCTACAGCTACCTCCAAGATCAGAACTGAATTCCAGACATGTACAAATCCAAACCTCCCTAAAGATATAAACATGCCTCAACCAACTACGCGCGAGGAAGTCCTTTCTCGACTTCGCAAGACGGTCGACGATGGTGCGATCATCGTTGGAGCTGGTGCAGGTAGGTCTCCACCACGTAACTGATTACGAGAGGTCTAGCTAACCAAACCCACAGGCATCGGCCTGTCAGCCAAAGCCGTTGAACAAGGCGGTGCTGATCTGATCCTGATCTACAACTCGGGACGATTCCGCATGGCAGGACGCGGCTCTTTAGCCGGCTTGATGCCGTACTCCGACGCGAACAAAGTCGTAGTTGAGATGGTATGTCGCAACCAATACAGCCCCCACCCCCGTATATACTCTACAGCTTACAATAAATCCCAGGCCAGCGAAGTCCTCCCTGTAGTAGAGCACACACCCGTCCTCGCCGGCGTCTGCGGCACCGACCCCTTCCGCTCAATGCCCCAATTCCTCACCGAACTACAGCGCATCGGCTTCGTCGGCGTACAGAACTTCCCGACAGTGGGCCTAATCGATGGCCAATTCCGATTGAATCTGGAAGAGACAGGAATGGGCTATGACAAGGAGGTAGAGATGATCGCGACCGCGCACCAACTAGGCCTCGTCACTACGCCATACGTTTTTACCGCGGAGGACGCAGTCAAGATGGCGCGAGCGGGTGCAGACGTGGTCGTTGCCCATGCTGGACTGACTACATCTGGTGCCATCGGTGCGCTGAGTGGACGCTCACTGGAGGACTGTGTGGGGTTTGTGCAGGAGATTCGCGATGCGGCGGTTGGGATTAACCCCGATATTCTGGTGTTGTGTCATGGGGGACCCATTGCGCGCCCGACAGATGCGGAGTTTGTGTTGTCGCGGACCAAAGGCGTGCATGGGTTCTTTGGGGCGAGTAGTATGGAGAGATTGCCGGTGGAGGTTGCCATTAAGGAGAACGCGGAGGAGTTCAAGAAGTTGAAAGTGAAGGTCGGGCCGAAGTAATTAGCCGTTGCGCCGGTCTGTCCCAATCGGGAAATTTTCCTCCGCAGTTTCCCCATATCTTCGCCTCTCGGCTAAATGCAGACAATACAAGAGAGACCGTTTCCTTCGTTTCCAAGCCCAATTATTCTGTTTTTCCTTTTCTCTACCCTCAATCCATCTCTTGTTTAGTATCAAAATGGCCCGCGTCTTGGAAGGCAAATTCGGCATCGTCACCGGCGGCTCGCGGGGTGAGCCCCTCCCCCGCAGAAGTAAAGAGTAAACAGATACTAACACCGTGGCAGGAATCGGCGAAGCAATTGCGCGCAACCTGGCCGCAAAAGGCTGTTCTCTCCTCCTCAACTTCACTTCAGAGTCCTCGCGCGCCCCCACAGAAGCACTCTGCTCCTCCCTCGCCTCAACCCACAACATCAAGTGCGAGAGCGTCCAAGCAGACCTCAGCAAGCCCGAGGAAGCAGTGACACCCATCATTGCCGCCGCTAAGCAACACTTCAGTAAGGATGGCAAGCTCCAGATCGATATCCTAGTCAACAACGCGGGTGTCTCAGCAGACCGCAACCTGAACGACTCCACCAGGGGCCCCATCGAGGCCGAACACTTCAATTGGCAATACGCCATTAACGTGTTGGCCCCACTTCTCCTCACACAGGCCTGCAGCCCCTACCTCCCCACCGACCGCAGCGGCCGCATCGTCAACATCTCCAGTGTGTCTTCATCGCTTGGATTCATTGGCCAGTCTATCTATGGTGGTACCAAGGCTGCGCTTGAGGCTATGACTCGTACCTGGGCACGTGAGCTTGCGGACCGTGCTACCGTTAACGCTGTCAACCCTGGTCCTGTTATTGGTGATATGTACTTTGCTACTGGGGACCAGTTCTGGAAGGATATCCAGGGTTATCAGGATAACACGCCGCTTAGCAAGTTGGATGTTAACAATGAGGATACCATGAGTCGTTTGACGGATGAGCAGAAGCGTCTTGTTCAGGAGAAGATGGGTGGGCGGAGACCTGCTTTTACGAGCGAGGTTGCTGGTGTTGTTGGCATGCTATGCACGCCTGATGGGCTTTGGTGTACGGGCAGTGTTGTTTGTGCTAATGGTGGTATGAAGATGGGACAGTAAGCTAGAAATATAAAAGAGCACATTTATCCTACGTCCCGATACTATTCTTCCGTGAAATTAACAAACAGATCGCTCTGGCTAAATTCAATCAAGCAACGAGAAGATAAGCAACACAAGGGTAAGCCAAAAAAAAAAGGCCGAGCAGTAGACAGACAAGAGATATATGAACAAAAGCCAGATAAAAATACATCATCTGATCTCAATACCAGTCGGGCCAGTAACTCTTCTGATGTCGTCGAATAGGTCATGAATATCGGTAAAATACACTTTCCTACCAATTTAGTTGCACCCAAGTCACATACCAATAACAGCTTATGTTACAGAAGGACCATGAATGCAATGTAAACAATATTGTATATAGTGACGCCACTTACCCCACACCGTAATGTACGCCCCTCATCAGCTTCAACTAACTTCGTTTTCCCCAACTTCACTCCTCTGCTCTGTCTTTCAGCTTGCACAAATCCAATTACTCCACCAAAACCCTCCACGAAACTATCACAATGGCCTCCACACCCTCAACAATCCTCCTCCTAGGAACATGCGACACCAAACTCCCAGAACTTCTCTACACAAAAGCAGCCATAGAATCCCAAACCGATCCCAACACTAACAAAAGACTACAAGTCCACTTAATGGATATCGGCCACACCCAAACAACCCACGACTCCATAACAACAACCCAGCAAGACCTCCTCACACCTTCCAACAACACCAACACTAGAATTCCCGATCTATCAACCCTTTCACGAGCAGAATACATAAAGGCCCTAACACCCCACGCCATATCCCTAACCTCAAACCTCTACAAATCTCACCAAATCCACGGAATCCTAGCGATAGGCGGATCCTGCGGCACAGCCCTAGCAAGCGCCGTAATGCGCGACGCCCTACCAGTAGGATTCCCAAAGCTAATGGTCTCAACAATGGCATCCGGAGATGTTGCGCCGTATATCGGCGAAACAGATATCTGCATGATGTATAGTGTTGTTGACATTGCGGGTACGAATCGGGTTCTTGGGACTGTTCTTGAGAATGCGGCTATGGCTATTGGGGGGATGGGGGTTGGGTATTTACGACGATCTCTGGCTGAACAGGAACAGAGGGAGAAAGATGGGGATGCGGGTGGGAAGAGGTCTGTTCAAATCGCCATTTCGATGTTTGGTGTTACAACACCTGCCGTTACGCACGCACGTCACCATCTCGAATCTATCCTGCCGGATTGTGAAGTGTATGCCTTCCACGCGACTGGATCTGGAGGACGAGCCATGGAACGGTTAATCCGGGAAGGGCGGATCGATGCTGTGCTTGATTTGACCACGACGGAGATTGCAGATGAAGTTGTTGGTGGTGTTTTGAGTGCCGGACCTGAAAGACTTTGCGCAGCGACGAAACGTGAAATTCCTCGAGTTGTTAGTGTTGGTGCGTGTGATATGGTTAATTTTGGGTGCTCTGATAGTATTCCTGTTTCGTTCCGAGAGCAGAAGATGGAGGGTGGTGAGGGGAGGGTTTTTCATGAGCATAACGAGACTGTTACTCTTATGAGGACTACCAAGGAGGAGTGTGTTCAGATTGGGAGGGTTATTGCGAGGAATTTGAAGAGGGATAAGAGTGGGAAGACAAGGGTTGTTTTGCCAGTTGGCGGAATAAGTATGCTTGATGTTCCTGGGGGCCCGTTTTGGGATCCTAAGGTTGACGAGGTTTTATTCTCGACTTTGGAGGATGAGCTGACAGGGAGTGGTATTAAGGTCATGAGGGATTCTCGGGCGATTAATGATCCTGAGTTTGCGGTTGTTGTTGCTGATGAACTGATTAACTTGATTCAGGGGGAGGGAGTACATTTATAGCCGATGCATGGATAGCCAACGAATAGTCCTTTGTCGACAATATTACTGAAATGTACAGTCTACCAGGAATTTATTGACGCATAGCTTCGATTGTTGAAGGTCTACACAGTCACAATCGGCCCATGGAGGCCCACACAGAATAAGGTATCAAGAGTCAAATCCCATCCGTACGCAGTGTTGAATGCAAGACCATCCCAGGTCATCCCACGCCAAAACAAAATATTAGAAAACACACCATCGGTGCAGGCCACTTTTTATGCCGTTGAAGGACAACCACTTTTGAGTTCTAAGTTGATAGAGAACCCGAATGCCAATCATAACATCGTCGAATCATGTTGAAAGTCTATATCCCAAGAAACTCATTGAATATCGAACGCAATTGGAGAAAAAGAGAGAGGGATTAAAAGCTTAGTAGCGGTAGATCTCGCTCTTGAAGGGACCCTCAACGTCGAGGGAGAGGTATTCGGCCTGGACGGGGGTGAGCTTGGTGAGCTTGGCGTTGACGTGGTCCAAGTGGCAGCGAGCGACCTGCTCGTCGAGCTGCTTGGGCAGAACGTAGACGCCAATGGGCTTGCGGCCACCAGCACCGAACTCGATGTACTTGTTGCCGAACTTGGCATCCTCAGCCTTGAACAGAGCAATCTGGGCCAAGACCTGGTTGGAGAACGAGCAGGACATGACGAAGGAAGAGTGGCCGGTGGCACAGCCGAGGTTGACAAGACGACCCTCAGCGAGGAGGATGATGTTCTTGCCGTTGAGCTGGTAGCGGTCAACCTGGGGCTTGATGTTCTGGACGGACTGAGCGTTGGCCTTGAGCCAGGCAACGTCGATCTCAATGTCGAAGTGACCAATGTTGCAGACAATGGCGTCGTTGCGCATGGCCTCGAAGTGAGAGCCGACAAGGATGTCACGGCAGCCAGTGGTGGTGACGAAGATCTGACCAATGGGGGCAGCAGCCTCCATTGTGTTAACCTCGAAGCCCTGGACGGCAGCCTGGAGGGCGTTGATGGGGTCGACCTCGGTGACAATGACACGGGCACCCATGGAGTGGAGAGCCTGGGCGCAACCCTTACCGACATCACCGTATCCGGCGACGACAGCGATCTTACCAGCGATCATGACATCGGTGGCACGCTTGATACCGTCAATGAGGGACTCACGGCAACCGTAAAGGTTGTCGAACTTGGACTTAGTGACACAGTCGTTAACGTTGATGGCAGGAACCTTGAGCTTGTTCTCCTTGAGCATCTTGTAGAGGTGGTGGACACCGGTGGTGGTCTCCTCGGAGACACCGAAGCAGTCATCGAGCATCTCGGGGTACTTGGTGTGGACGAGGGAGGTAAGGTCACCACCGTCATCGAGGATGAGGTTCAGCTTCTTGCCATCCTTGAAGGCCTGGAGCTGCTGGTCGAGACACCACTGGTACTCCTCCTCGGTCTCGCCCTTCCAGGCGAAGCTATAATCAAAGAGCGGTCAGCGGGGTTCACAAAAGTAAAACTGGCACCATTGAACTTACACAGGGACACCGGCGGCAGCAATGGCGGCAGCGGCGTGGTCCTGGGTGGAGAAGATGTTGCAGGAAGTCCAGGTGACCTCAGCACCGAGGTGAGTGAGGGTCTCGATGAGGACAGCGGTCTGGATGGCTGGAAACCCGTTAGTGAAAAGCTCAATGTTTTGTGACAGATCACGTACTCATGTGAAGACAACCAGCGATACGGGCACCGGCGAGGGGCTGGTCGGCACCGTACTTCTCACGGATGGCCATGAGACCGGGCATCTCAACCTCGGAGAGCTCGATCTCGCGGCGACCGAAGGCGGCGAGGGACTGTAAAGAGGTCAATGTTTGAAAATGTGGATATTGGATCGAGAGGACGTACGAGGTCAGCGACCTTGAACTTCTGTGCGGGGGCAGCCATTATGAAGGTATGTAAAGAACTGAAGAATGTTAGTGAAAGCAAGCAGCTTTATATAGCGAGAGACAAACCAAGAAAAGGGTATGGAGAGAATTGGTGGAGGAAAGAGGAAGAGAGAGGAAGAAAAGGAGGGAGGGGAAAACTCTCCGCTAGTGAAGGATCGCCAAGGCAAGTACTGGTACAGGTTCTGTGGTACAATTAAAGTAGCACGTGCAGGTACCGGTACCTCTCAGGATCCGTGGTGGGCTGACTGATAGCGGGGTCCCCTGCTGAGTCATCTTGTTATCGGCACCTGCTGAGTTCAATCACCTGCCGGTCTACACAGTACTGTACAACTACCACTACATATTACATTGCATGAGGTGCGCATATTCAATAGTTCAATGGCAGGTCCCAACGGAAAGGGTTGAATTGTAGGTGTCAAGTGGAGACCCTGATCGTCACAAACGCTGAATTGACCCATCAGATTAATCTGGCCCTTGGAAACATGAAGAACACGAAGATTAAAATCAAATAAAGGCATGGTCTCATAATTCATGAAGGGAAAATCATAGAAAACGAAGGAACAACAAATGGCACTAGAGAAAAGTCAATCTAGTAAGAAATCTGCGGAGCCTCCGTCACCCCATAAGGATTGCCATCATGATAAACAGGTGTTCGGTCGTGGAGGTCGGCTGTTGAAGGTGCATATTCAATCTCATCAGGCCAGCGGTTCTTTCGACGAGAACCACCACCCTGGCTGCGGGCACGGCGCATCTCACGCTTGACGGCACGGTGGGCACACTCCTCCTGGAAATGATTATTCTCCTTGCGCTTCTCGTTGACTTCCTTCCATTCACCATAAGCGCCCTTGATACCGAGGGCAGCAAGACCAATGCTCACAGCGTCCAGGGAGTTAGCTTTGATGCGGCGTTTGCGAGCCTCCTCTGGTGTGATCTCTCCCTCCTTCAACTGTTGCATTCGTTTCTTCCGCTTCTCCATACTACCGTATAGACCGTGCGCAGCGTGGATGGTAGCCACACTGGCCAAGCCCGAGGTCAGAAGCACATCCCGCTTCAGCTTCTTGCGTTGTTTCTTCTCATCAGAACTGTCGCCTAGGTCAGAATCACTCTCGGAGTTTGAGTGGTGGCCGCAATCCTTGGATCGGGCTCCATTCTCGCCGCGCGGTGCGCTGAGGGGTGCATAAGGGGGATTCTTTCCGTCCAAAGAACGGTGTCGACCTACATCTCTCGAGCCTCTGCCCCGTCTCGAGTCCCGGCTGTAATAATCGCTGTCTGCATCTGAATCGGAATAGTCATCGTGTCGGTCGCGGCGATGACGCCGGTCTCTGCTATCTCTGTGGTCCCGGTGTCTGTCTCTGCTCCGTTCTTGTTCTCCAAGTCCAAGGGCGGCCATGCCCTTGCTGATGTAGTCAGAGACACTCTTGCTGCGCTTGTGGGAGCCAGAGCCACGCTCATCATCACTGCGGGAGTCAGCACGACCGCGAGGTCGAGACCGAGATCGGGAGAATCGATCATAGACTTCCTTTCCAGCAGCAGCAATGGCTCCAGTTGCAGCGAGATTCTTAAGACCACTGCTCGAGCCACCGCGACTGTTTCGACCGCGGGAGCGTGAGCGTGATCCGCCGCCAACGAAATGACTAGCAGCAAGACCAGCAAGGGTAGATTCGACCACATGGCGAGTGCCGTGCTTCTTGGGATCCTTATCAACAAGACCATCAGTACCACCTGCAGCGACGGCAGCAGTAAGGATACGCTTTCCCTTCGCACCAGCCCAGTCACCGGGCTCTTTGCGTTGCTTGAAGGCTTCAATGGCACCAGCAGTCAGAGCAGCACGAGCAGCCTGAGCAATACGCTGCTCACTGCGCTCACGGCCACTGCGACCACTACCACGATGGCGACTGCGGCTGCGTGAATCAGATGGCGATCGAGAATAGGATCTGTTGCGATGGCGAGACTTGGAACGTCCACGACTACCAGAAGCAGCAGCGCCGCCGAGACCAAGCGCACCGAGGGCTTGCTCGCTGAAAGACTTGCGACGGCCATGGCGCGGTGGAGAGCGACTTGGTGAAGAATCAGAATCATACTTGGAGCGACGAGAGCCTGGTGTAATAGTAAGCATATATCCTCCGATAAAAGTCAGCGTGGAGAGTAACATACGCTTGTCCTCGTAATGTCTAGAGCGACGAGGACGAGACGAGCGAGAGTACGCAGCATCGTAGTGAGGATCGTAACCGCTGACCGAGGACGCCCGTCGCACATTTTCATAGACGGGACGTGAAGTCCTGGGCCGACGGGAAGTGCGCTCGTAGACGTAATCTGAGTCTGGAGGGTAGTCGCGCTGCACTTCCTCGATGGAGTCATCGCTGACTCGACGGCCGTAGTCGCGATCGTGCCTTGCATAATGACCCCTCGGATCATCGTACGGATCAGCATAAGTGGCTGGGCGGCTGTAGCGGTCGCGCGGTGCGTATCGGCGATCCTCGTAGTACGCCATGGGTGCGGCGGGGGTGGTGAAGGGGGGACGACAAAATGGAGTAAAAAGTTTGGCGGTTGTGTGAGCTGCTACTGTTCACTAGGAATATGGTGAAGAGGGAGACTGGAGTAGGGCGTAGGGCTAAGAGATATTGGCGGGGCAGGTGGCGTGACGTCGATTCAGATGGTCGATTTTTGGGGCTGGGGGACTTGGCAGTGGCTGAGAGTTGTAGTTTTCGTACGAATTTTGGGGAAATGGGAGAAAGTACGAACTACAAAGATGAAAGTAACTTATTGTTCTTAGATTATATATTTCGGAAGACCCTATATGACGTCTGTGTGTTGTTGTCAGGAGTGGTGGAATGTTCGAAGGAAATGCTTGTCCCATCGAATGAGCATCGCGAGTGTGTTTCACATATTGCGCTCGACGTCATCTCGCATTCGGTAAGGATCAGGGAATATGACAGCCCTACACGTAGATTGCGACTGACCGCTGCTCTGTTGGATTTCTAGAAAGAAGGATGAGTTGTTCGATTTAAGATTTGAATGTTATACTGGGAAGTAAACATTGGTTCCACGGGTCAGGTGGTGTTCTCAGGCAGTCAGGCACCCACTTTCATCATCGAACCATCTCCACTATTGATTTCATAGTTAAGCTTATACTAAAAATACTCTGAGCCTAGACCATAGCTATCAACAAACAATGAGTAAATCAAGCTACGGTAGTCTGTCTCCTTCTACACGCTTATCTAGGTCAAGGGCTTCCGTAGCACACATTCCCCACGACCCCGGTGGCTTACAATCTGATCAACACAAGACTAAGGATTTCATATAGTGCAGCCGGAACATGTTACACACATATCATTTGATTCATGCGAGTCCTAGTAAGGATAGTACAAATGATACTGGAACATATAGCCTAGGGAGGCAAATTTCAACACATCACACATAACAGGAATCAGAACATGGTACAGGAGGGATATAAAACAGATAGACAATGTGCCAAAAAAAAAAAAAAAAAAAAAGAAAAGAAAAGAAAACAATAACAACAACATAAAAATGGTAAATGGTAAAAGAAACACAAAAATAGAAAGATAGAAGAAACATAGAATTCAAAACATGTGTTGTAACCCGAGACGTTTCGTCGGATATTTTGAAACGTCCGGTGGTGGGTCATGCAGATGATCGCTGATGCTGAAAATGCATGTTCGAGAGCCCTGAAACAAAAATCACTACCAAGTGTAGTGATACAGGAAGTTCCCTATACACTGCACTGCAGTCAGGTATAAGGAACCGTGTGGAAAAATGGTCGTATAGTAGGTATAATGAGGAGTGGAATGTCGGAAGTATAGATATAGCCTATGAAGGCGCATGCGAAGAGGGGCCAGGAGAAGGCCTCGTGACAGCTTCCATAGATTGACTGAGATTTTGCTGGTGTGAGGCCGAACCATATGTAGAATCAGGACGAGGCATAGTCCAGCGAGCATCATTCTCAGGTTCAGAGGTAGAGCGCATTTCATCCGAGTGCGTGCGATGGGTGCGAATGTGCTGCTTCATATTGTCTTTTCGGGTAAAGGCCTTGTTACAGATCGGGCAGTGGACGCTCTTTTCGCCGGTATGCTTCTTGCCATGGCGGGCAGCATGGCCGGAGGTGGTGAAAGTTGCAGCGCAGCCGTGGCTGGCGGCGTAGGGGCATGGATACTTGTTCTTTCGGCCTGTGCCTCGACCCGCTCCGGGTTGGGAAGAAGTCGTTTCTGAAACGCTGGAGCGCGTTTCGGGCGGCGTCCGGGGAGCAGCTGGTCCGCGGGCTGGGAAGCGGTACGGTTCCCGTCGCGGATCCTGCCGGGCATACGGGTGGTAAGCTGAGGGTTGACTGGTGATGTAGTCGTAGGCAGAGCCGTCAGATGAGCCTGGCGAGACAGGCTGGACAGCTTCGGTCACCGGGGCTAAAGGGTGCCTGGTGCTTCGTGGTGAGGCTGCTGGTGATTCGGATGCCGCATGGGGACGGGCGTGCTGGTCGCTGACGGGCGGAGGTCGCTGCTCTGGATAGTATGATGGCGAGGTCTGAGTCCGACTGAGTCGGGGTGCGGAGCGGACCGCAAAAGATGGGTTATCATCATTGTTGAGGATGGACACAATACTTGTCCGGCAGCTGGACATCTCCTCTGGGCCCAGATATGCGGTCACCGGGGCTGGAAAGCTATACTAAAGGGCACAATGGGTTAGTTTGAATGTTTGGCAACCGGCTCCGCCGGGCTCTGGATACTCGACAGAACCCGAGAGATCACAGATCTGAGACAGAGAAGAGGGAGAAGAGAAAGGATATCTCCCTTTCCCAACAGCAAACGCACCAGTGGCTCTCGAAAGATGTTTGTCCTCTCCGTCGTGTAACACGTCGACAACATTAGACTCTAAACCGGCACTCGCCTGCAGACCTAAACAGAAGCCCGATGACACGAAATAGTCCTGATTTCCGAGTTGCGAATGGCGAAGTATAGGTGGTTGATAGAGTAGTCGGAGCGATCTGGCAAATGGCCGATCTCGAATTTTCCGGTGAAAGTCTCTTTGCTCTTCTTATAATTTTGCAATTGGTGTGGGGAACACAATCCTCAACAGCAGTTGCGAACTGGGCTGGGGATGTTGCAGAAGATGTCCGGTTGTCAAACGTAGAAAGCAATAGGGAAGCTGAAGGCGCACTGCGCCTATAGAAGAGAAATGTCGGAGATGTAAGGAGGGGAAGGTGAAAAAGTAGGGTTTAAGGGAAGAGAAGAATTACAGGAATGAGAAATAAGAAATAAGAAATGGTTATCAGAACTAATTATACTAGAAGCGAAAGAAGCCAAGCTCCAGGGTCTGGCGAGGCTCCATAGTGGAGAAAACACATATTATAGGCAGACATATAATACGGGACCCCTAGGGAAATCCACCCTGTGCAGACCCGTTTTGTTACTCCGTTTGTTCCGGCCCGCGACCCTGGCGGAGTCGATCTTTTTTTCTTTTTTTTTAAGTTGTTCCGGAACTGAGCGTTAACTCCGACTTCAACTAGGGCTTCGGTTGGTGGAAGCGAAACAAAAGGTCCACCATCGGCAGAACTACGGGCTCATTATCTCGGGACGGACAAGCTTTTAGCCCCATCTGTTTTGAACACACTGTACAGTACAAGGGGTAGAATAGAATAGAATAAATTCACACAATAAAATAAGAAATAGCACAAAGTAACTAAATACTTTAAATCTACGTAAGTGATGATGTTAGTCTCCAAGTTGGGAATTCACCTCCGGCTCGGACATTCCAGGGCGGGGACGTAACGTATTGTCACCAATTTAGCTGTAATTAGTGCCCTATGGCGATCTCGCCCTACAACTCGGTGAAGAGCCTGTCTTTTCTTTCTCTCTGGAAAGGGTACTCTCAGCCGAGTAGGTTGAAATTTTCACTAACCTGCGGACCTGAATCATATACATGACTTCTGTGCACCGCTGCATCTTGGGCACAGAACATGACATATGACATCTACATAACCTAATCTCCAAGATCGTCAGTCAACGTTATAGCAAGACATTGGCTCGTGCTACACTTCGTACTCGTACGCGTCCAGCGCCCGCCCCGCCCCGAAAATCATTCGCACGGGGACTCTCCGCTGAGCGTACGTAAGTTGGCGACGTTAGTATAGTACGACTATAGAGGGAAGGGATTCGTAAACAGGGCTAGTTAAGTAGTGAGATTGTGCTAGTCAAATTGGGAACTAGATCCAAATCCCAATGGGCACTGGGTGTAATCTATTAGGAGATTAAAACCATTGCTTTTCGTATGTGTGTATTGGGCGTATTTGAATGATTCATGGAGATCAGGCCAAGCTTCAAACCTCCGATCTGGAACACGCCCGAGAAAGAAGTGGTTCGTGGCAGAACGCGGACCGTTTTGGGGCTTCCTGAGCCGATGATTAGTCTACGCTCGATCTTAGACGGGGCATACGTATGCAGCCTACGTATATCCGTAGTTTGGTGCTTTCTAGTCCTTCTCCAGCAAATACACTTCCGTACTTGAGTAAGCTAGTGTTTTAGCGCTCGAATCAGCCCTTCTCTTTCGACCTCCCAGCTTACGCCACAAGCTTGACTCGTCAGGGCCCTGTACCCGGCTTACGTTCCTGCAAGGACCCTTGACCCTTTTTGTGCTATTTTTCCTTTTTCCTTTTTTTTTTCCCTTCTGTATTGCTTGCCCTCTCGAGACGCAGGGACTCGTGGCCACCTCCCCCCTCCGCTTACTAGGACGGGACTAGCTGGGCGTCAGCTACTTGTATAGCTTCGCCCTAATCACCGTTCCCGCTTAGCGTCATGGAGACCCTAATTTACTACTGCACCCGCCACTTTCTTGCCCACGCGGCCTTTTTACCTGCGTGGCTTGAACCCGGATTTTTTGGCGCATCCATCTCGGCGATTTATTTGCAAATTGTGTTTTTTCGGTTTCTTAATCAAATATAGCAATCCAATAGTTTCGGCCCTACCGTCCAAGTCTGGAGTACAATTCCATATCTTGACAGGTCCACCTATTACAAGGAATAACACGCTAGCACAATCATACTGCATATGTTATTTCCGGATCATCCGATAACAAGGAAGAAAAGACTTTGATCCCCACCCAGTCCCCGCACACCACCATCTCTCAGTAAACACACAGCCACAACCCCAGCCGACAAACTGCTGCCTGATTTCCAGAAATCGACGCTGTCAATGCTCACACATTTCGGCACTTATGCAAGCTCATAGAGACGATCCGGCAGATATCCTTCCGACAATTTATTCATCTCGTGGGGCCCTCGCTTCGCCCAATACGAGAATCCAGATCTTAGGCCCCATCCATCCCACTAAGACCCCTGTGGCTAATGTCTGACTTTCGCACTATTGATCTATTTTAAAACCGAGAATTTTGCTCTTTTTAACCAGCGTAGATATGATAACTAACAGTAAAGTCTGTAATTGTAAGAAAAATGCCCATCCCAAAACGCCGAGAAACTAAAAAAATAAACCTTGGAACGGGGTGCGGTGACTAAGCGGCCAAAGTGACGCCGAGCTGAGTCATCCCACGTGGATCGGTCCCTGAACGCCGTTCTTTCGTATAAATCAGCGAGTTCCATGGATAGCCGATCCCGGTCTTAGATATGCGTTGGAGCTCCATGATCAGTCTAAGCATCTCTACTTTACCCTCGAGGTTTCCCACACGGACCCGAGAACAAAGTAATGACGAATCCTCGCAAATAGCCACACGTCAAGCAGAAGCCAACAAGCAAACAGTGCATACTCCAGCCCTGTTTTTCCAGCACGTAATAAAGCCACACATCAAACCTCGGACCCAGAAAAAAAATAAACCAAAACCCCAGTTATCAAAGTTTCCCGTCTGCAGTTATACTCAAGTTAGTTCGTTATCGCTTCCATAGTGGAGCGGAGTTATTTACTGTATTTTATCTTTCCCTTTTTCTCTCTTTTTCTTGTTTATTTTTTATTATCTTGCAATCCTTTCCGGGTCTTTTTGCACACAATCAGTCACTAGTAAATCTTAAAAAAACGTTCCTGACCCGACTCTCTCTCTCGCTCCCCCACCGAACTATCGACTATTGACTATCGATACCAGGGAAGTCTTTCTACCTATAGGAATGTATCAGGCCACGCGCGGATATACGCATGGTCCCCATTCTTTTTGTGCTTGTCTTGGAGGGGCCTTTTTGACCTACTCGATTCGGTAAAGGGTGCCTCGGGAAGCGAGTGACCTATTAAAAGTGGCGAAGGATCCCGGGGAATGGAGCGGAGTGGAGGGGTATTTCGTACCCTTTCATGTAGGGCACAATGTAGGGATAGGGCTTGGGTTATTTTGATCCTGTGGCTGTGATGACTGAGGCGTGGAGGAGGACGTACTTGCGCACGTAGCTGTAACCTTAGACTCAGCCGTCTGCGGGTAGATTTAGATTTAGGGCAGATGAGGTATCAATGGATCTCCCGTTAGTCCAGGGCTGGGGCGTGGGCTTGGGTTTGAGCTACGATCCCGCCCCTGTCATGTAGGGTGTACATGATGTGGCGGTAGCTGTGTACGCATTGAGCTGGAACGTGGTCAATACATACGTCAACTAAAATGGCATTCAATAGCCCGGCCACACGGAGATCTTACTGCACCGCTCCTACTGATCCGACCCAGTCCCCTCCAGTCACTAGAGTAGCGTACTTAGTATACGTAGACCCCCGTTTTAGCTCCCCATCCATTGACAAGAATAACCACAGATCCGTTTCAGTTTCCCCCTTCCGCTTCTTTTCAATAGATCGGTATCGATACAGGCTCGGTTCGCCAGGTTCCGGTGTAATGTCTCTGTTTTGGAGGAAACGTATGCACGCATGCACCATGCACCCTGGTGTTGCTTAGCGTCCCCGGCTTTCGAGAGGCTGCGTAAGCGGAAACGTCATGTTGGTGGGTGGGCGTGTCGATGCCCCATACTGATTGTGTGTGCTTGTTCGCTTGCCAAGAGGGTTGGGGATTGTTTTGTTCGACTGATAGGTTAGCCCCTGCATTTGGTGTGGAGAGGGGGTGCGAGTTTTGGGGTCTGAGGGGTTTCTTTGACGCGAATGCGAGGCCCTGGATGTAGGGTCGGGGTTTTGGATCGTTGTCAGGTCCTGGAGGGTGGGAAAATGGTGGGTGATTGATTATGTTGGCTTTTTGGGGTTGGAAGGCTGTGATTAGTGGAGGATCTTGAGCGAGGCAAGGCGAGCAAGTATCTTGCCATGAAGAGGGCCATCTGGGCATTCTCTGTTCTTTGATGGACTCGAGCTTGCCTAATGCCAGTCACAAACTTTTCATCCCCCGCTGTTTGATGATCAAGCATGAATCTTCTTGGCGATGACTTGGCCACAATGCCAACTAACAGACCAGGGCTGACCGTTGGCCTGGCGAGAACCGATAGCATCATCTTGCGTGCTTCACAAGTTTCTCTCATGAGAATAAAGCCCAAACTTTCTTCAGACCCTGTGATTTGGTCCTCGTAATCCGATCTCGCCACTTTCACTACTGAGCCCAGAAGCTGCCCATACAAAGGTGAGAGCGTGGACGGTGGAAGCGCCGATGATCCTGATGCAGTCCGCCAATGGATCGCCAGAGAGGTGGCAAGGAGTCACAGGAGGTTGCTTGAATACAATCATTGCAGAGGGGCTTTGATGGGCATTACCTCCAGTGCTTTCTGGGATGATGCAGTCAAGTCCTCAACAGTGAATTGGTTAGCAACCCTCTACTACTCCCTCGGTATGTCCATTTCTCCGTATCTCATCTTTGGGTCTATGACTGTGAGCGACACGCAACTGACAAAGGATATGACAGACCTTGCCTTCTATCCCCATCAACAGCTTCCCAGCAGCACCCTTTCAGACCCTGAGCCGACACGAAATCCATGAATGATCTTGTCTAACTTCCAAACTTGCTCGCTCACAAGATCTCATGCCTTTCGTCCCTTGCCTCTTAATTTGTCGTCGTTGGAAACATGTTTCTGTGCGTACCATCACGTCTCCATCGCAGCTACGTGGACCGAGAAAGGGTAAGAGCTCACTCTCTTTATGCAGCAACACGGTGCACACTGGTTTGGAAGCCGATATCCCGGAGACATTCCATACTGAACCAAACACGAGATATGCAGGAGTGGGTGGTAAGGTAGGTTAAATTGTCCAGTGGATGGCAGGGTTTCCAGCAGAAAGTATGGAGTGAGTTTCGCCCGTTCTCTGTGACGAAGACAGAGGGCAAGTATCTTACTCTGTTCTGATTATAGCTCATGGACAAATATCACGATTCTCACTTTCAATCCACTGTCCAGCAGTGTCGACCCCTTGCACTGACTGAAAGCGCCAGGCCGCCGTCTTCCGTTGATGTACAGATAGTCTCCTGTCACCTCCCCGACGCAAGGGAATCTGAGGCTTGTTCTGGCTTCCCGACATTTGATGTGAGACACATACTGAAACCTGGTTAGAGCCACTTTCTCTGGGTTGAGGAATTCTACACTTGACAGTTCAAGGCTCTGTCGTATCACGGCATTCAGGTATTCAACCCGGGATGATTTAGCCCATTGAATGGGGAGATTTCCTTGTGTGGGTACCAGTCCTGGACAGCGTTTGCAAAACCTGGGGCCAATCAATCATTCTCGGTTTTGGCATTGGTGGAAGCGGATAGACCCATGTATCTCTGTCGTTGATGAGAGCCTTCCACGGCAATACACAGATATACCGTCCACCGATTCTAGTTACTTTGGAGGGCTGGGATACGCGGTGACTGAAATATTCTGAGAGTACCCACAGATTTCATAAAAGAGGGCTGGTCCACACATCTCTTTTGGTGTAACAGACAAATTACCAGTATAAACCATCCATGGTTCCCAGGCAGATGCTGCGTTTGACTGCTCGCTTAAGACATATGTCATGGCAGTATTGACGGCAGTTTTTTCTTGCAAGGGATTTGATATAGGTAAAGGTATCTGGATGAAGATTGGGTAGTCAGTCGAACAATGCCGGCCATGGAGAGATCCAAGCTGATCACAGAAATATTAGGGAACAAGATTCAATCGTGATATGCCGTAAAGATTATCTAGAAATAAGAATAAGTAAACATTCATTGTTCAAAAATATATCTTAGAGTGGTACGACCAAAAATGCTGCGATACGTCTGAGATTAGGCAGACAAGGCGCGGTGAGATTGGCCCCTCGCGCCCTGAAATGGCCCCCAAATACCCAGATCTTCCACCACAACAACTCGAAATATAGAGTAGCGATGTCATCTTACGATCCAGAAGAAGGCTCAGTAGCTGGTGCAAGGCGACAGCGCTCTGGTCCAGCGTGTGATGAGTGCCGACGACGGAAGCTGCGCTGCGATGGGCAACAACCACAATGCGGGATTTGTCGAGAGACAGGCATTCCCTGTGAGGCCACTCATCGTGGAGCTCGAGGTCCTAAAAAAGGTCATTTGAAGGCGTTGAAAAACCGCGTGGTGCACCTAGAGGCAATGTTGGAGAGTCGTTTGCCAGATCAACAGCTTCAACGGGATCTCCAGGGGTCTCGAGACAGCCGCAACCTGATAACTCCTATTTCACTCGGTCCTTTGGTAGACTCTATGGCTCATGTCACCGGTGAATGGCCCCAGGAAAATACAGATATCTCTCAATCAGGGCGCACGGCATCGTTTGATGGAATCACCGCAGATTTGGCTTTTTCCTCTTTTGAATGGTCATTCCCGCCAGCTTCAACAGTGACAAGTACTCAGTTCCCGCCCACTGATTTCTTGCACGACGAATTGTAACCGCCACTCAAGATCCATTGCAGCTTCTTCTACGGAAGGAGGCAGAATACAAAGCTAACATCGCCGCTCCAGAGACCAACTATATTTGGATCGTGTGCATCAGTCAATACCAATCATCCACCAGCGGCGATATCTATCATGGTCCAAATCAAACTCGAAAGCGCCATCGCAGAAATGCTTACAAAACGCGATGTGGACGTTGGCCTCGCTGCTTTCCGCTCCATTCCGCGATATGGTAGAGCCACTCTACCAGAGGACCAAGCAAGCTCTCGAATCAATCAGTATCGAAGGCAAAAATGACAACGTCAACACCGAGCTTGCTCAAGCATGGGTTCTCGTTGTTATATTAGAGTCCATGCGGACTCACCATCGGCAGGCGTGGATGAGTGCCGGTCGGGCATTCCGCTTGGTGCAGGCTATGCGATATCATGAAATTGACAGACCTACTGACAAAGGTGGTCCATCCGCTCCTCAAAATGGTGACTTTATTCAAGTTGAGGAAAGGCGCCGCGTATTTTGGATGGCTTATTTCCTTGATCATGTCATTAGCATGCGCGATGACTGGCCTATCACGTTGAATGAACATGTGGTAAGGATGACAGTGCTTCGTATGAAGTGAGAAGGAGCTAGTGAGGATCTTTTACTAACGAATGCCCATTCCGTGATTTTAGATCTGCACACGGCTACCAGCTCTAGATGCTGACTTCCAAAGCGGCAACCATGAACTAGGACCCTTTTTGTCTGAAGCCATGACCCAGCCTACTCTGAAAGTGGGTTCATCCTTCAACGAGTGCCTCATCCTTGCCACGATATGTGGACGCACTCTACTTCAAATCCAACAATATCAAATCTCCAAAGCATACGGGGATACATTATTGGACTCGACTGAACAGCGACGCTGGCTGGATAATCTCCTTACAACAAGACTCCAAGCTCTGTCACAGTATTATCCATCACCTACCAAAGCATACGATCCATTGCTTCTCTTTGCCATTATTTTAGGTCAAGTTACCGTTATCTATTTCTGCAAAGCCACGATGGAGCCAATGCCGGCATCTATTAGCCCATTGCAAGGTGATACCGAATTCTCCAATTACCAAAATCGGGCATTGGAGGCATCGGAGACTGTTATCCATCTGGCCACAACGCTGTGTGAAGTACCGGTTGCCAAGGTAGGTGAAATAGGCCAGTGAGTGTGCTAAACACTAACCATCCCCTATTAGATCCACCCCTTGATGCCCATACCTCTCTTTTCCTGCGCGGAATTCCTTTACGACAATATGCATGCTAGTGAATCATTCCAACTCCGAATTCAAGAGTTGTTCTATATATTCCGTCGGCTGAAGAACGTTAATAACCATGAGAAAAGCTACCTTGATTTGTTGCCGAAGTCTTGCATTTCGAAAACCACTGAGATGTTCAATAGTGGCGTGCAGGGGAGTACTCCGGATCAGTCGATAGGATTATAGTATTTCAATATGTTTGAGTCTGGCAATATTTGAGCACCTTACCTTGGACTCACAACGTATATTTCGGGTAACTTGCATCTCCCCACTCATAGATACATCCAAAGCACCATAGCCACTGCCCCTATGGTATATTTCCCAATAATAGAAACACTATCTAATAGTCTATAGTAACTTCATTCTTTCCAAAATCCTTCAAACCCCGAAGGAAGATGTCCAGCAGACACTGTGGTTATGTCTGAAATCCGTTGACGCTCGGAGAAATAGATTCGGGAAAAAGTTTCGAGGCTCAGCCAATCCCGCCGCTGCACCACAATTAACTATTCGCCGAGCCCCTTGCAGATCATCAATCAGCTTTATTCTACTGTTGTGATCGTTGGTATTTGATTATTCATCTATATTTGTCCCTAGTTTATGGCAAAGATAAAGATTCTTTGCAAACAACTTTGTCCCGAGGAGCTCCACCTTTCGTGGCCGGCTCCAATGGGTCAGCAGATGTGCGCAACCAGTCGTCTATCAAGAGTATCCTATTGATCGGGAAAGGACATTCGGCTTCTGCAATCCCGGTGCTTGAGTCAAGGTATCTAGTGCTCAGATGGGAGCTGCGTGTTGGGCTCGTTCTTATAAGGGGCGTCCTCCTTTCATGATTCTACGTCCAAGCAATCCACCTTTTTCTTTTTTGACATCTCTAATTAGCCTGTCAAAATCAAGGGCGTCAGCTTTCTATTGAACCCGACACAATGAGTCTCATCGCTCGAGCAAACGATGTTTTCCAAGTCAACCCAGTTATAGGTGTTGACGATGCACTCTCTGTACATGGATCTGACTGGCTCTGGGCTGTGACAGCCATATATATAATTTCTTTCGTAAGTGGCCTTTTTCTAAGCCTCAAAGTTCACTCTAATTCCCCCTCAATATCCCCACTGACGCATGAAATCTCCAGATCGGACTCCTAGTCCTCTCCTTCGCAGCAAAAGAAAGCGAAAGAGTCTTCCACTACCTCTTCACCTGCGCATTAATGGTCGGCGCAATGACATACTACGCTCAAGCATCCAACCTAGGCTGGACCGCTGTCGAGCAAGTCAACAACGTCGGCACCGGAGTAATCCGCCAAATCTTCTATGCGAAATACATCAACTGGGTGGTGGCTTTCCCATCCCTAGCTCTAGCAATGGGTCTCATATCAGGCGTCTCTTGGACCACTATTGTTTGCAACATCGCCATATCCTGGATCTGGGTTATCAGTTACCTCGTCGCGGCATTTACACCTTCGAGCTACAAGTGGGGATTCTTCGCCTTTGGTACATTCTCCTGGCTAATTCTTGCTATGAGTACCATCAATGAGAGTCGTGAGGCTGCTGCTCTCTTGGAAATTCAGGGTGATTATTTGGTACTTTCAGGATGGTTGAATCTCTTGTGGTTGCTGTATCCTATTGCGTTTGGGTTGACGGATGGTGGGAACCAGATCGGGGTTACAGGTGCTTTTATTTTCTTTGGTATTCTCGATATTCTCAGTGTTCCGTTGTTGAGTTTTGCTGTTTTGTTCTTTGCCAGGAAGTGGAATTATCGCAAGTTGAGCCTTGCTTTTAGTGATGCTCGTCCCAGCCGGGATAGTGAGAGTGAGATCAAGGAAGCGCCTCGGGTATCCTCCGATGTTTCAGCTACTGCCTAACTATTTGTCGGGGGTTTGTGTGGATTCTGGTAGACTTCGTCTTTTGTGGAAGGAGTCTGCGAATGTTATCAGTGGGGTGCGCTATCTTGGCGTCAATCCCCGCATAACAATGGAAAGAGTCTGCGAGAAGTTGATTTTGATTGATCCAGTTAATTTACAAATGGAATGGTCTGATGGTATAGCTTGAGGGTTATGAGTGGTTATAAAGATCAGAGTTTTTCCTGATAACTTTTGTGTTTTTTCTTATACTTCTTCTTATACTTCACACTTCGCAGTCACAGATCAATCTGAAGAATGCGCTTAATTACTTCCACTTTATACTCTTCGCTTCTTTATGGAGCTTTTGCTCTCAATGTGGGCCCAGGATACAATCATGCTATAGAAGGTCGGTTCCGAAAACACTATGAGAGCATTTGAAACTAAACATCAACAGATCTCGACGTCGATCTTCCCTTCTCTCAACCTGTCACATTTGCGCACCTAGAATGGCAACGATGCCTCGCAGCCTCGCATGACAAGGTACTTTGAGCCAATCGCGTGGATGAAACAAATACTAATTAGGTCATAGCCTCTCGATATCGCGCTGCTAGGTTTCCCCTACGATACTTCAACCTCATATCGCCCCGGAGCCCGATTCGGTCCACGAGGCATTCGAGCAGGATCCGCCCGAGAGAAAAAAGGTCGCAGCTACAATACTGTTTATGGCGTAGATCCATACGACGAGGGTTTAGAGATCGTAAGAATGAATTCTCAATCTCGAATGCATAATTTCGGTCATACTAATTGCTACCCAGATCGACTGCGGCGATATCCCAATCACGCCTTTCGATGCTGCACATGCTTTCAAGCAAATGGAACAGGGATACAGACAGGTACTATATCATCCTACTTCTGATGGGAACTCATGGGAGCACCCTCGCATTGTCAGTTTGGGAGGTGATCACTCGATTGTTTTGCCGATTTTGCGATCATTGAAAACTGTCTACGGACCAATTTCTGTTATTCATCTAGATTCGCATCTTGATACGTGAGTTACAACTTGTCCTCTTTGATAAATAAGTTTCTGATGTTTTGTGATGTAGATGGGATCCTTATGAGGGCTATACTGGCATTGCGTCCAACCAGTCGGCGATCACTCATGGAACATTCTTCTGGCATGCCAGTCGAGAGGGTTGTATCAGCAAGGGGACTAGTGTTCATGGTGGATTGAGAACGAAACTTTTCGTAAGTCCACTTACTGTCCTTGTTTGATATTAACTGATATTAATGTTCAATACTTCCAGGGCTCTAAGGATTATGAGATTGATCAAAGTGTCGGATTCACAATCATCGAAGCGCACGAGATCGATGACATTGGCATATCTGGAATTATTGAGAAAATTCGCAATACTGTGAAAGACACACCCACTTATCTTTCCATTGATATTGATGGTGAGATTCAATTGACCCTTCGTCTATAATGGAACGGTGCTCACACACCACATCAGTTCTCGATCCGAGCATCGCCCCTGCTACCGGAACACCAGAATCAGGTGGCTGGACCACTCGTGAATTGAAAAGATTAATCAAGGGTCTCGAGGGTGTGAATCTGGTTGGTGCGGATGTTGTCGAAGTCAGTCCGCCGTATGACACCGTCGCCGAAACGACGTCCGTTGCTGCAGCAGATTTGATTGTTGATATTCTTGCATCGATGGTCAAGGTGAAGGAAGGACCCAAGATGAAGACAACAAAGGATGAGCTTTGAATAACGCCGAAGTATCCAATTATGGGCCCTAGGAGCATTGACTGATCGGGAACAGCACATACAATTCAAAATAACATATCCTCATATTGGCAAAACCATCTTCCCGGACTGTTTCAACGCATCTCTCCAACTATACACATTCGGGTCTGCATCCATAATTGCCCAAATCTCTAGTATAACTTTCCGCTGTCTTTTGTAGTTGCCCATCGAGTACCCCTGTACTCGCTCCCACCATTCCACCCAACGAACTCGATCAGTCGCTTCACATGCAGCGATGAAAGCTGGCCAAGACATGGGCGCAGCTCGCTTTTCGCCATCCATATATTCATCTTTTAGATTCTCGGCAAGGGTAAGATTCTCCCAAACCACCTTGACACATTCTTGCATGCTAGCTGAACTATAATTTTCGATTGTTCGGTAATAAAATATCACGACAGCACTGTGAAAAGCACGAGCCTGACATCGTACTATCTCGAACATCGTCCGATCCTCTGATCTGAGGAGGTAGAACGACTCTGATTCAATGTCCCACAGAGAAATTTGGTCTTTTAGTGCAATGCATGCATCTTGTAGTAGGGAAGGCACGTGCTTTCCCTGGTAGAAGGCCAGACACTCAGCGACTTGGCAGACTTTCTGTAGAAGATTTCCCAATGTTGGGGTAATACCATACATATACTCGACGCTTCTATCATTTCTATCGAAACAGCAGGTTTCGAACAGTTGGCTATCGATTGGCCAGGGTCTGGGCTCGATCTCGTGTACTGTTGTTCGAGATAATAGACTTAGAAAATTGCAAATAGTGTTGACCTGGTGATTTGAGTCTCGAGATGTCCCTGGATTTGATTTTGGGATTTGCAGTTGATGGCAACCCTTCAGATGGATTGGGAAATCGGAATCTTCGCCAGTCATTGTCTGCTCAGTTTTGTTAGAAATAATAATATGAGCTTTGGTAGAAGGTTACTCACATCAATGGTCACCAAAGACAACATCGCTGTTAGATAAACAGTGTTTTGTTGGGAGTCCCTTGGGATAGTTAGAGCGGCATGAAGCGCCTGGAGAGATTTGGTCCTGTGTTGAAGTCCGAGTGTGTGATAGTATGCGGAACCACCCTGTAGATTGCGAAGATGAAACGCAGCAGATGAAAGTAGACTATGGAAAAGCGAAATGGAAACTGCAGAGGCTGGCCCATCGTTTTGAACAAGAAATAGATCTGGGCATCCTTCGAGTGCGTATGGAAGATATGTCGTTCGCCAAGGATTCTGTGGATGAAAGATGGGCTGTAACAGGTCCGCAACATGGTTCTTGTAGTGGTACATTAGCATGGATATCTTGCGACTTTTGAAAAATGGCATCGAAATTTCAAGGTGTGGCGAAGGAAATATCGAGAAAGCATTTTGACACAGGCTTGACTTTGAACCTAATGGATTCCATTGTGGGACGTCATTTGTTTCAAGACTGGTCGAACTCAAGACAAAGCTATCGTCTTGGGGTATTGCATACTCAGGATTGGTAGAGTCGTCTTGTTCCGGGGGTTCACGATCGCGAACAGTGATGCCTTGAGGTGACCTTGGGGCAACCGGCCCATAGCAAGACTGTTCGCCCTTGGAAAAGACTGCAAATGGACCTACTCTCACCGTTCTCGCTGCAGTGAAGATAGTGTCAACCTTGGATAACATGCGGTTGATCTCATCTTCCGGGATGCTCGGTGAACAGGGCTGATCTGTAGAAGCTATGAGCTGAGCTTTCATTTCAATGGGGTTACGCTTACCTAGTCCAATCTGCCTGCGTCTGAAACCTTGAAATTTTTGTATCTTTCCAGTCACCCAGCACAGGTTAACACCATAGCCCGCACACTCCAAGCCTGACTTCTCACAAACTCCACACCCGTTCTTTTGGCGCTCGTCGCATTTGACCTTCCGGGATCTGCATGTCCAACATCTGAGTGGGTCAGTTTATTGCTCACTATCTAGTTTTACCCATCTTACCCAGTGAATGTCACCGTCTTGGGCTTTTTCTGTGGTCGCGCAGGGGATTGCCGTGCCACTTGCACCGGGCTGTTTGTAGTTGGGCTCATTATAGCACAGCCCTCCAGTCAACGTTTTGATCATACAGCACCTTATCTTGACGGTAGTCGACTACTAGATCATGGATCAGTGCTAGTCGGCGTATACGATACGATGGAGAAAAGGGGCTTAGCGCAACAGTTCAAAGTGCGAAAGTGCGGGGCTAGTTGAGACCTGGCCAAGACCAAAACGCGAAGGGAATGATCTATTCCAGACGTCCGTCGCGATAAATAGAATCAACTAATTGAGATTAATGCTGGGCTGTCTTGTCCTGCTACTACCGCATTGTTTTCAAGGGTCAAGATGAATCTCTCGCAACGACGTTCTTCTCCAGGCAACTGCAGAACCAACACTATGCCCAGGCCACCATAGCTCCGATCAAGACCCAGCCAAACGCTTTCTAGCACTCAGAACCTAAAACGAATTCAATACTTCTGTGAGATAGGGCTTCAAAGAAGAAAAAGACAACCGGTTCATTAATAATGGCTTATCGTATCGTATCGTATCTTAGGAAAGAGCCAGCGAGTGTCGACGTCAGGATACAGCGAAGGAACATTGTGGCTGGTCTACTGCTGGTACTTTGAGCGCCAAAAAGGCAATGGCTACTATAGCGTTGAATACGGTCGCACGGAAATTAGACAGGCAGAACCTTCTATCTAGACTTGTATTTGGTCCTTATCATCGCCCACATTCTGGCATTATCGGTCGATCGTATATAAGGCGCAGAGAAGTACTGGGTCGGTGGTCTGGATCTGTAACAAAGAGCACTTCTGATAGATCATTTTTCATCATGCATCTTGCAATTCCTCCTCCCCCCATTCGCAATCCCGAAAAGGGATTTAAATACCCGAACGCAAACTTATCATACAATCACACATCCAGCAAAGTTACGCCATCTGAAATAAATGCTAAACCCTCGGATTCATCACTCGTCTCTTCCACGGGCCTATTGAAGGTGTCATTCCGAAGGTCTTTGCTTAATGGTCGGTTGAAACTGGGATTTACATTCATTGTCAAAGTATTAACCGGTTTCCAGCTTTTGGTTCTCGGGGTAAGGTTTCGAATTGAAGTTTGGATGTCGTACCCGAGATGAATTCCCGGCGTTATAGCTGGTCGAGTTCATAATTTATATGTTCTTCAAGCTCATAATGGTGAATTCTCAGAATATACAATTTTTTTGGCTTATATTCGCATCATCCAGACGCTTATGTCTGAACTTAAAGGGTGGACAGTTAGCACTTTTCATTGTTCCTGTGGTCTAGCTGCGTTTAATTAAATTTGCAGACTATAGGAACCACCCACGCGGAAGTCGAATGCTCGGCCATCCGATTTTCTCTCTTTGCATTCTTTACACGCACCTGTATAGAAATGAATCAGACGAAAGGAACCAGTTGATTGCATCTTGTATAGACCTCCCCAACAGAACTGGGGTTGTGTTCATCTATTTCACTATCTTCCCATTTTATAGAAACTACGAGTAACTAAAGCAAACAACAATGAGTCTGCTTAGCTTTCTTTTGACATATGGGACATAGTGTTGACTTGATTAGCAATTCAGAGCCTTTGAACTTGATCAATCTATATTGAGGCAGGATAAGTCCAATGTCTGCCCAAGTAATAGCTGCTATTATCATAGTTCTGCCGCCCCGAGTAGATACAGGCAGCTAGGTTCGTGCCGTCCACCCGTGTAGAAGTGATTTCAACACCATTAATCTTGTTCCTTCCATAGTTTATACGTGCCACCTGCTTTGGAGTGAATACTACAAGCTTCCCGCCCAGAATACCGGTGACTACCATGATATCACAAGTAAATTCATATCCTTCACATTTCGTACGAACCACCCGCTATGAAGTAAGCAACATACGCACACTCCACGGGTTGTATGTACCACTCACTATTAATTATTCTGCGTAAAATCTTCATACTTTTCATAGGCTATAAGCTATGAAGGGAGTATGATACGTAAGCAGCTCATAATTTATGAAAGACAGAAGTGATCGCTGGACGTATACTTCACATTTTATATGGCTCACCCGCAATTGGATTAATTTTCTAAATATCAATGCTGCACCCTTAACATTTTGTATAGACTACTGTTGGAGGGAGGTCCTGTAACCCCTCTCTCACTCAATAGAACTACCTCTGTTAGATAGCTCTCTCTTCTCTTCCTTTCTTGGCATCCGCGTCGTTCATCTACCTCATTCATTTCATCCTCTCTCTCTCGCTGTATGCCATCAACCACCCACGAAGCAGTGAGGGCCAAGATAGGCCATTCGCTATTAAGTGGAATTCTAACTATCAATGCATGGTCTCTTACGCTCTGTATGTGCCACCCGCTATTAAGTGTGATTACCATCCGTCAAGATTGCTCTTTTCTCCATTTTGTATGGTGCGCCCGCGTTTCAGTGAATCTTCAGCTATCGATGTATCATGCGCGTTGTTCACATATTATGTGGTCCACTTGCGTTAAAGTGAATTCCAACATCCAATGCATGCAGTCTTCGCATTTTGTATACGCCATCCGCCATTAAATGAATTTCCAACCATCGAAGCACGCTCTCTTCGTATTTTGTATGTATTACACCTGGTTGTCCGACAGTTTTCTTCATTTCTTCCCGGGGGCCGAAGAGATCAGCCTGAACACCGATACTTATCGTTGATGTGGATTTTCCAGGCCAAACGAGAAATGTGGACTTTTGTTTTTATTCTTTGATTTCAATCTTTCTTTGCTATAAATGAGGATGACGAACAGCAGGGGTTATTATTGTGATATCCCTGTACACCAGAGCAAAAAGTCAAAACAGGAACTGCAAGTTCTCACAGTCCAATGAACCATTGAACCAATGCTGATCACTACTTATTCATAATTTCTTTCGGCATTTGAAATTTAACTGTTGACACGGCAGATCCCACGAAAATATCGGGAAGTGGACTCGGAATGTCTTCCATTCCCTTGCTTAGCCCCCCCACCTTCCATGTGGTTCTTGATGAAATTTCCGAGTAATTCTTTAATGAGGCTTTCTATACTACTGCAAATAATTTAATGCCTCTTATGGATCGGTGAGTTAGTGGGAGCAATGTATGCCGTCTTGGGGCCTCGGATAACCCGGGATAATCCTATTTCCGTACGAATGAAACAAGAGCAGGTATGGTACTTGATCCCCCGCAGAATGCACGACCCAAGATTGCGGGGATATTGTGGGGTGTGAAGTACTTCCCGAGGCTGTGGCTTGAGGTTTCTATCACTGATAACTGCATCCGTGGATATCCCGGAGTCTCGGCTTTTGGATGTGTATCGCATTCTTGTTGCTTGGATAGAGACTCAAGCTTGACGAGTGATATTATTAGTGGTATAGTAATTCGCTGAAATGCATGTTTTGTCTGAACTCACGTGGTGACGGAAGAACTGCGGTGGTTTCTCTCAATCCCTTGCTTTAGTATCATAATTACGAGTAATAATTAAGGGATATGAAAGCTGTTATGCATTCAAATGCCGACCTTATGAATAGCCGTCGCTGTAGATGGATATAAATATCATGCACAGGTCAGATTGAAAGGATGAAAACTTCCTTTAATATTCACAATGCTCAAAGTCGCAACGCTTCTCGCCACGGCCATGTTGCTGTGCCCTGGTGAATGCAATTTTCATGCTACCGGGATTCCATCTATTCCAAAGGACAGTAGTCCCATCCCCAACGATTTGCAATCAATTTCGATCGAATTCGCCTATTTTCCCGACTACGCTGGAAACAAGTCACAGCCCAATACTTTCTCAAAGAATCTACTGCATAACCTCAAAGCTATCACTGGCATCGCGCCTAAAGTGAGGGTTGGAGGCACTTCGCAGTATGTTTTTAAACGTGCTACTTATTCGTTTGAACAAATATTCACTGTCTTCGCAATAACAGGGATCATGCGACATACTTCCCCAATCAGGAAGACAATATTCATCTCATCTATGAAAATCCTACTGATGATCAACCAATCCAGATCAATTATGGTCCAACTTATTTCGAATCATATGACACCCTGGGAGATATCAAGTATCTGCATGGCTTGAATATGAATCAAAATTCATCATCCCAGCAGCTCAAAGACGCTGCCACAGAAGCTTGCACTTCTATCGGTGACAAATTGCACCTGTTTGAGCTGGGCAATGAATTTAATTTTGCGCCAGGGAAATATCGCGCTGCCAACTATTCGCTACTTGATTATGTTCACGAGTGGGACATGAAGTCAGCTACTGTGAAGAAGGCCGTGGAGAAAGCTTGTCCTGAGTCTTTCCCTGGCTTCATGGCTCCTAGTTTTGTATTGATTGACAAGATTGTCACTACTACATGGACGGCAGAAGAGCTCTTTGATCTGGGATATGATGCTAAAAATCTCACCAAAGAGCTCTCTTTCCACAAGTAAATACCCCTTCATCATTGCCTCTATTCTCATAACCTGCTAACATACGTTCCAACAGTTACATGGGTGTCAATGCGCCCCCACTGCCCCCTGCCGCATTTGACCTCCAGCGTATGACAACCCTGTCCTCCACTCTCAAGCAAGGCTGATAGAAATAGGCACTCTGATGAACCACACAAACATCATTCAGAATTTAGCACCCCAAATCCAGCGTGCCAAGAATCTCGCCTACCTCGGTCATCCATACACATTGGGAGAACTGAACTCGATCGCGAACCAGGGCCGCAACGGCGAGACAAACGTACTCGGCGACGCCCTCTGGTTAGTCGACTTCTCTCTTTGGGCAGCAGAGCATGTATGACTCTGCCTTCTTCACATGGCATTTCGCAATGATACTAATGTCGAGCAGGGTATGAGGCGTCTGCACTTCCATCAGGGCCTAAACTACCGATACGCCTCGTGGCAACCGATGGAAAGTAAAGGAGTTGCCCCAACCACCAGGCCCCCATACTACGGACAAATAATGGTTGCGAATGCCATTGGAAAGTCTAAAAATACCCGCATTGTGAATATCCCCCTGGCGGAAGATACCGAGTCGGCGTATGCTATTTACCATGGGAAGCGATTGTCTAAGCTGGTCGTGACAAACCTGCGGGCTTTTAATCAGACGACTTCGGGGACTCGTCCTCATAGAGCTTATAGCTTCCATGTGCCTGCACGTCATTGCAGCGCTAAGGTGGAGCGTTTGATTGGTCCGGGCAGTGACGCGCTTGTTAATATCACCTTCGGGGGTATTTCCTATGATTATGCATTGCGTCGGGGGAAGCCCGCTCTTGTACATGGCCCGGAGGAAGTGGCTAGGGTGAGAGATGGTGTGCTGGCTGTGGAGGTTCCCGATTCGTCTGCGGTTCTTCTTACTTTGGATTAGGGTTGGTGAGCACACTTGAGGCTGAAATGTTGATCGAACATCAATCCTTCCAATAAGTATACATTGTCTCCAATATCTTTAAAGTTGTATTTAAATATTCATGTTATGGAACATGAATTCTTATAAACAAATTAGGCTTGATCCTAGAACAGGGCATATAGGGCTGAAAACTGAAGGAACCAAGGTAATAAACCTTCGACCTCTGAGGTACAGGTTCAGAAACTCACAGCTTAACGCGGGTAGGGTCAAATAATATTGGACAAACAGAAAGGCCCAGCCCTGACGGAAATGCACCACATATAAGAACCCTGAGGGTTCATATGTATGCCGCCCCCAAATCACCAATCAGCACCGACACTAATTTCCACCGACAGGGTAAAGACGCAGCTAACATCCACACTGCCCATTTGGCCCCCAACGAATACGACTCAGCCGCAGGAAAGCTAAGAGACGACCCCGTCCCATATTTAACGCTCCGAGCCGCGATACTTATAGCTTTCCAGGAGGTTCCAGGCTTCTGGTTCTCGATTCTGCTCTCCTACCTGTGTCCCGTTGACCTCAATGGCCGAGTCGAGAGAATCACAGCATTCGCTGCTTTCAGCGGACTCGCTGGATAATCCACCACAGCGGTCTTGGGGTCCGCTCGGTCGCTTATCTTTCGAACAGGACTATGTCTACCACGCTACCGAGCGTCAGTCCGAGGATGTGGTCCGCGATATTGGATTGGGGATTTCCAATCGTTCTGGTGACACTATTCCTCGTTATGATCGCGCATCAATAGACAGCTCTGCGACAACAACACCGCATTCTATTCCCAAGACCCCGCTGTCTCCGCATTCTCCCACGAAATGTCCGAATCGAACGACAGTGCTGCAAAAACGGCTTTCGTGGATCCCGTTGACTATCTTTGTGTTGGCTCTGTATGCTACTATCTTTTCGGGCATTTATCTCGCCATTGCATTGCGCAAGCCTCGATGGAGTAATATCTCCAGTGGTGGACCCATGGTGCCGTCTACTGCTAACTTGTTGAGCGCGTTCTTTGCAAAGACTATTGAGTTGGCATATGTCACTGTTTGTGTGGCATTTCTGGGCCAGGTGCTTAGCCGGCGTGCTTTGATGACCGATTCTCGAGGAATTAGCATTTCAGATATGAATATGAGAGCATGGATCATGCAGCCTGGCTCCATGATTGTGCATTGGGAAACTCTGCGATACTCTGCGCTTACTTTTCTTGGTGCGATCGCGCTTGTTGCAACATTCGTGGCGATGCTATACACCACCGCCGCGCAGGCGTTAGGTATCATTCTTCTCCCATAGAGAGAACCCATGGAATACTAACCTATGAAAGTTGCACCCAAACTCACCCCCGGTCCCGTCGAGCCAAAGGTCTTTCACGGCCAAGTATTCGCTAGCTTTGGCAACCCATTTTATCTTGCCTCAAACTGCAAAACCCCAGTCACAAACCAAATGGACCCAGACAACCGCAACACCACATGTCTTCAGATCGAACACGTCGGCCACGCCTATCATAACTATCAGCAATGGATAACGAAATGGAGCTCCGCGGTTGCGAACAACAACGCAACTTCGACAAATCTGCATAACCGCCCACAGCCAACAGGCTCCCTTTGGGATAATACCACAGTCACAGGGAGCTGGATCCAGATTCAGAACATAACAACCCTCTCGAAGAAACACAAAAGAATGGTCAACAACATAACAATGGCAATGCCGCATGGCGGAATCACAGCAGCAGCAATGGACCCCCTGAACAAAATTGAACAACCTAAATCAGCATCAGCATCCGGCGAAGGAAAATACACCCTAGATGCCTCCGTCCCTTCTCCAGCCATAAACGTTCTTTGCGCAGGAATGACCGAAAAAGAACTCGAACCCCTAGTTTACTCCTCCTGGCCCGGGGGCCAAAAGTTCGACCCAACATCTTGGAGCGTCCAACCGCCCGACGACGTCCCGCGGACCCCGTCCTGGCTCAACAGAACAGTCGTCGACGACCTCTTCGAATTCGGCCCGAAACACGGCCAGCGCCCACCGATCTTCGGCAAATACCCAAAACCCTACAACACAATCCTCAACACAACAGGTCTCTGGCCCGCAAACTCGATCTATCTCCTCGGCGCCTCAAACACAACAAACCCAGCATACGTGCTCTGCTCTCTTCGCGCAAAACAAACAGGCGTCTGCTCAACTCGGTACAGCGCCGCATCAAGTGGTGCATTCCTCAGCTCGATATGCGAGCATCCCACTAATGAAGTACAATATAATCGCCGATATGCAAGACGCGAGTTTGAGGAAGGTGCCTGGGAACCCGATTACAAGAATGTTGTGTCAGTGTGGGCGAATGCGTTGAGTCTGGGTGCAGGTGTTTCAGATGGCGAGGCTAGTAATGCCCGACTGCTTATGCAGATGATGCCAAAGTATGACAACGTGACCGATAGTTTCTCGCTTGATCCGCGGATGCCTTCTATCGGAGAGGGTTTGGCGGTCATGGCTGGGAGTACTTTGATTCTCAGTTCGCAGGATGCGCCGTTTGTACAGGGGTGGAATTATAGTCTTGCCGAGCATAATGTGTTGAGTGAGGGTGTTTATCAGTATTTTGATGGGGAGCTTCAGGCTGTTGGCTATGCTTCTGGGTGGACGGAGCGGTGGCAGGGGGTTTTCTATGTTATTCTGGTGTTTGCGTTTTTGACAAGTGCTGTTTGTTTGGGATTTGTGATCTTCGAGGCGAGGGGACGGCAGATTACTGACTTTACCGAGCCGCAGAATTTGTTTGCTTTGGCTGTCAACAGTCCGCAGACGGAGCAGTTGAAGGGGGCTTGTGGGTGTGGGCCTTGGGGGAAACAACTGAAAGAGAGATGGTTTATTGGGATGGAGGAGGAGGATGAGCATTATTATATTCGGAGTAAGATGGAGGGGAATACCCCGTATCTTGGGGCTGCGGCGAGGATGGAACAGATGGAGGTTGAGGACGGGGCAAAGGGGTTGAGTCCTGCTGTTGATGAATTCCGGAAGGTGTCGAAGAGGAATTCGTATTTGGCGAGGTTTTATTAAGAGATGACATAATGAGACGACTGTACTACGAGATGATTAATAGTTAATGTCTTACAAATGAACATATGTGAATACACTGCATGGCTGATTGGATGGCATCATCAATACGATCACGGAGAGAGAACGCTGCGTCGGGAGAGCATCCAACTTCTGGTTTGGACTGGACAGAATCAGAGCTAGGGTAATGGCCAAAGTTAACGACCAACAATGACTTTATGTCGGGTGTTTGACAGGTATAGTGCGCCCTTGAAGGTGTTCAACTCCGTTCCGAATCTTCCTTTCCTTTTTGAATCTCTTCCTCCCTAACCTTCTCTCCAATTTGAATCTCCTTGTCACCTTCCTCCTTAAATTCAACCCGCTGATTCATCCGAGACCCAAGAGACCTCCCAGCACCAAAATCCGAACACCCAAGCGGCTCCCTCCACTTAGATGTATCACTAGCCCAGGAATCTCGTCCGGAGACTTGATCGTGTTCGTATTTCGACCAACAGTCAAAAATAGCTTGTTAGTAATGGCAGCTCCAATTCTCATCATAGCAAATGAGTCCAGTCGCGCAGTCCAACGAGGCATCCAGATAGCATAGGGGGCAAGCGGAACAAGCGCAGACAAGAAGAATAAAAACAAAACCAAGCAACCACTGGAAATAACAGGGATCTGACTATCAACACACAAATCATCCATCATAGGGGCTTACCTCCAGTTGGGCATGTATTCCATGCACAACGTTAGGGTTCAAGGGAAGGAAGGGTCCGAAGCTTACATTGATGGAGCGGGCCATGCCCGAGGCGTCATCCGCCACCCAAGAACGAGGTCGATGCTCTACACCTTAATTCAGAGGTCTGCATGTAATGAGTGGTTTTTTTTAGATACTAAAGAGTATTGAATTTATACTCAGCGAGTTCGGGCAGTCATTCATTGTAGGTTATTTGTTAGATCAGGGTCGGCTCAACGACCGAAGTCAACGTCTACATGTGTCACATCAAATAGCGGCAAATGGAAAGGTAAAAGCATGTAAGTATCTGTTGTCTTTATATACAAATAGCACGGAGACACACTCAGCTGACTGAGTAGCTTCGAGCATTCATCCAACCAATGTACGAGCCAGATTCTACTCAAGGAGCAAATCCAAAGCTTACTACACTGAGGTAACAATGATCAAAAACAAGAATGGGAAAGTAAAAGCCATCAGGCCTAAAATCCGACGTATATGTACAAAACAATACAAAGCCCATGAGCTAGGAGAGCTGGACACTAGACAGGAGAATCACTACAATCACAACAGACCAAAGAGGATAAACAGGAACAGAGGAACTGTGGCACAACGCTAATGAATCGCTCATACACACAGAGACAAAAACGGAATGCTAGATGCGACGAAAATGCAGCAGTTCAAATGCAACGGGAAGATGATACTATACTTTTGCAAGGACACCGATAGCCAGGGAGACGCCATCAAAAGAAGGGAAGAGGTAGGAGATATGAGATGTTATGCACAGAGGGATCTGGCGTGGTGGGGTATTGAGATGAGGGAATGTATGTGAGAGGTGGAGAGGTTGTTTGTCTCCGAATGACTGTGGAATGGATTGGAGGAGGCATCAACGATCAGCGTGGATATTGAGCCAGCTCATATCTGAATTGACGTTGTTGCTCCGCCCTTGCATCGGCAGCTCGTCGATATCCTCTGGGATTATCGCGCTGGATCTCCGTACGTTTGAATTCCTTGCCTTGTCGACGAGGCCTGTGTATGATGAAGTACCCGGTACATCGCGGGTGCTCGCGTTGTAGAAGCTGTTGCTGTAGTTGCTGCTGCTGGGTCGGCCCAGCCAGCTGGAGTGGCCGGCACCTTGCCAGTTCTCGTCTCGGTCGCTTTCCGATGCCATGCTGATGGAACTTGCTGTGGAGATTCGTGCCGATTGGCTCTCTGGGATGACAAGGCTTCGGCCGCCCATTTCGGAGGTGTTCTCTGTGGTTGGGCTGGCGCTATGGACACGGCCCAAGGGCTTGGGTTGATCAAGGAATCCCAAGTTCAATGGCGTCAGGTTTGACATTGGCCAGGCGCTTCCGCGGTAGTCCGACTTGGTGTAGACGGAACTCATGGTCGAGCGATCCGACGCCATTCCGGCAAGATGTGTGGTGTTGTTGTCTTCAAAGTACTTGCCCCATCCCTCATCTGTGCTGCGATCGCCAGCCTGGTTGCTACGGCTGGAGTCTGGACCTCCCTCCGTTTCATCGGTGTAGACGCTTGACGCGCCCATGGCACCGCTGGAGGGAATTGTGGAGAGCGGGCTGCTCTGACGGGGAGCAGACAGACCGTAGCCCGTTGCAGTAGGTGGCTTGAGAGATTTCTCTCCGTTGTACTTTCCGGTCACGATAGCCAGCGAGTCTCTCGAAGCAGTGGCAACTGGGACGGGAGACCTTGCCATGGGGTAGGCGCCTTCGGTCAGGGGTTCTATGCCCTGATCTTGGAAGCTGAATCGGTCCTTACTATCGCCACCACCTTTGCCAGATTGCTGCTGTTTCTTTTGCTTTTCGCGTCGGATCAGGAAAAGAAGGAGTAGCAAGATCAAGCCGAATCCGAGAACACTTCCCAGGGTTGCACCTAGGATAGTTTTGGCGTGGTCACTCAAACCACCACCTCCAGCTGCGGTAGATGTGGATGTGGGAGTGGCTGTCGCGGAGGTCGAGGTCGAAGCTGAAGTAGTGGAAGTGGCTGTTGGGGTAGACGTGATTGATGAGGTGGTTGAGGGCTTGAGGACATTTTGATCTCCTTTTCCATAGAACAACTCCGTCGTGTTTGCCCAGCTATTGGAGGTCTGGTTGAAGATCGCTAATGATTGATCACCACCACCATTGGAGAGAACAACCATATCATCGCCCTGTGCGAGGGCAAAGTTTGTCCAGCTGTTGGAGGGAGCTAATGTATCATTGTAAGAATCCATCAGACTTCTCTTGCCAATTGCGGTGGCAGGGCTCTGCAGCTTCCCCTTGGAGCTGAGTAGGTAGCTAGAAACACTGTTGGGCGAAGTGTTCATAGTAAACTCTTCGAGTACGATGTTCTTGTCAGAGTCGGAAACAATGGTACAGCGAGAGTTGGTGGGGATTGCAGATGGTAGAGTGGCCTCCGAGAGAGACCAGCCTTTTTTGTCTTTGGCATCATAGATATGAACAGCCGTATTGGTGGCGGAGCCTCCAACCATGGCAATTTCAGAATCACTCCAGGGCATAAGAATAGGCTCATACAAAGCTGGAGCACCTTGGTCAACACCAGAGGTGACATCGTATGGGGCCGTTGTCGAAATGAGATAGGTTGATTGAGAGCTGCCAGTACTGCCATCTGTCATACCAGCATAGACAAGGATCTGGGATGACGAAGAAATGTACCCAACACCGTGGCCAGTTCGGTTAACCATCGAGGGCGAGGTCAAGTTTTGCCATTTCTGGGTCTTGAACGTAAATTCTTGCAGGCCATTGTAGCCAGCAGGGCCGGTCCCGCCGACCACATAGAACGCGTCGTCACTCTTTACACAAGCGGCGCCAGTGACCGATGTTCCTTTTGGCTGTTCGGTCCAATTTCCGTTCTCACGGAGCGGTATTGATAGGAGGTCGCCGCGGGAGAAGACGTAGAGCGTGTTGCTGTAGATGGTAGAGCAATCGCCCTCGAGGGTGACTTGGGGTTTGGGGACAATCATTTTGAATCACCACTAGCTGTAGATACCAGACAGAAACGAGAGCGGGTGGCCAGCCAACGATTCAAAGACTGTAGAAGGAATGTGCCGCCAGAGCACTATCTCATCTCGACCGGGATAGAGTAGACGATGTCAATGGTCGAAGTACAATGGCAGCAAACTGTCGCGGTGCGGCAATCTTGGTGTCTTTCTATTCTCCGGGGTGTAATGTGGTTCCGAGGTATCGGTGGATCGCGTATCGGATGACTCGGCGACTCGTATGACACCACCAGAGCAGTTGCTTCAGGAGAATAACAATGGGGGATTGCAGCAGCGACGCGTCGGGGGAAAAATATGATCAAAGGTAATTTCCCGATAAATTCGAAGGGTCTGATGTCGGGCGAACCAGTCGAGGCGAAAAAACCGATAGAGCGGGCGGGAAAAAGGGTACAAACGAAGGTTGGAGCGAACGAAAGAATGGCTGTGAGACCGGCACTGTCAAACGAGTGCACAGCACACGAGGAGTCGAGACAGGAAATGAGAGGCCCTGGAGAGAAGGGAGAGAGAAGTCAACCCCCTAACGGAGGAGGATAGCGGGACGCCATCCCTTAAGGGGAAAGATTTCGTCACCTCAATTTCAGTTGGACTTGCTTGTGGTCTGTGTCTACGCCTCATATTCGAGTTTATAGTATTTTCTGTTATTGCTATTGTTATTCGTGCTATTGGTACTATCCGCGCACAGTCTACCCCTATAGTCCAATTGAAGCTATCCGACCTAACTGTTTCGAAGCCACAAAAAAAGGGTGGGACCAGGGACTTTAGCCCCCTGTCCGATTTCATACATCTGAGACAAACAGGCTTGAAGCAAGGAACAAGCGACCCTAACAGTTAATCAGTAAAGGGGCTCGGACACAAATAAACAACTGCGCCCAAGGTTCCTATTCTCGCGACCGTGGTTGAGTTTGCTGGTGCCATGGGTCCTCGCCGGCACACCTGGCTCGTGCTTTCCTTTCTCGTCCACTGCTCATTACGTAGATACACGCACTCTGTATAGTCAAGAATTATTCACATAGATCTATATAACAAATAATCTCCGGCGTTTACAAATATCTAGATAACATGCAAATCCCGTACCTGGTTCGTCAAGGTCCAACTCTCGAACCTCGTGGAACCGAACATCGCAGTCCCCAACGTAACCGTAACTGCTTCTATACCATGATCGACAGGGACTAGCTAGATGTGATGGGAGAATGCCAACTAACGAAGCTAATTGGCCATGACATCAGTTAAGCTAAGGCGATTTGGGGCAGAATATAGTATACCACACCTAGAAATATATATCTCGGCGCAGAAAGTACTTGCAGAACCAGATCGATCTGAGCAGGCCAGCTCTGTGGCTGCAGCCCATCTCGCATATTGGTATACTTGACAGGACAGAAATATACCGTTGCATTCACTGGCCAGGGGTTCAATTCGACTGATGCAAGTACCATCTACTTTTGTGCCACCATTCGGCGATACAGTCAGCCTGCTGAGCGATGATCGACGGTGGGATGTGCAGGTTCTGTTGCACGACGGATCTACATGGGAAATTGGATTAGTGCTACTCCATATATATAGCATACTGGAAGATCTATTGGGTTGGTCTGTTTCTAGAGCACAGCATATTACACCGAGCTGAGCAGGAGTGAACCGACATACTGTACAGTATGCAGTAGACTATGCGGCTGGTGGGAGAAATAGGAGCCATGAACTGTCTGTTTGATGACATGCAGATGGTAATGGTATTTGGTCTGATTACTATAACACATGGAAGAAAAATCCGTCCCCATGACCGTAGACTTGCAGAAAAATTCCCATGAACATTGGAATCCCCAAAAGCAACAGAAAATCTATCACACAATTTACGACTGTGCTTGCTTCCATTGGTGTGCCTTTTGGAGCAGGCGGGAAAGGTTGGCAGCGGATTGGTCGTCTGCGGGGAATACATAGTCCATGTACTCCTCGTATCGGTCGTCCTCCAGCTTGCGGCGCTTCTTGACACGCCGGGGCATCTGTTTTTCGATCTTCTCGATATCCTCGGGGGATCCATGTGTGTTTTCGAATGAACGCCATGCATTGAGAAGTTCCACACGCTGGAATGAGTTAGTATCGGTGATGATGAGTGGGTGGAAATGACGTACCTCTTCCTTAAGCTCCTTGTCCTTGAACACCTTGTGTGCCCGGGTGAAGACTGCACGAGCCCGTGTCTTTGCTTCTTCGCTGATCGGCTTTTCCTCCTCTTCGTCCTCTTCCTCTTCGTCTTCCGGCACGTTGACCTCGAACCGGGCGTAGTTGATCCATACCTTGACGTGATCGGTCTTCTGGAGAAGACGCTCGTACAAGTGACGGACTCGGTCATACTCGCCTTCGTATTCTTCAAAGTCGATGTAGGCCTTCCACACAAGCTCGGGCATATCGAGGGTAGGCTGATCGATACCTAGCTCGTAGATAGCCCTTGCTCGCTCCAAATCATCCAGACCTCGTTCCAGTTCTGCGAACTGCATCCAGGACTGACTGTTGGAGGCGTTCCATTCAATTTGCTTCTCGTACAAGGTGCGGCATCGCACGAACTCGAACAACTGACGTTCAAGGTTGATATAGCCACGGAAGAGCTTGTCCTTCGGACACATACCAATGGCCTGTCCTAGTGTTTTCCGCGCAGCTTGGAGCTCCATCTGTCGGATCTCAAACTGCGCCTTCATGAGCCAAATCTTGGCGAATGTGAACTTCTTGTGTGGAATCAACCGGAGACATTCCTGATAAATTTGTCGGGCGCGGTCCACTTCCTTCGCCTCCATTTCTTCCCAAACAGCGTAGAAGATCCAGAGGTAGATATAACGGCGCCAATGCCTCTTCTCTTGTGATGGAGGAATCTGTGCAATGGCCCGTTCGTAGATGTCCCGCACCCGCTCCGGGTCGCCCGATGCCTCCTCCAGGCGCGCAAAGTCAAACCAGATATCATAGTTGCGAGGGTTCTCCTTGAGCTGCTCCTCATATTGCACCCTGCGCTTGGATAGAATAACATCTTCCACACCCTCACGATCACCATATTGCTTCTCAAATGTTGTGTAGGCCTTGTGAAGAGCCATGGACTTGGATCGGGGAAGTCGGTCTAGAGCGTACTTGTAGATAGCGCGTGCACGCTCATACTCCTTCAGCTTGGCCTCGAACTTGGCGTATGCGGTAAAGAGCTTCTCGTCCATGAAGTCCTCGCCGAGCGTCTCGATCGCCAAGCCATAGACCTCACGAACCAAATCACTGGTTCCGTACTCCTCCTCAAAACGGGCCCATTTAATCCAGTTTCGCGGTTCGGGGTGTACAACAGTAAAGCGCTGGAAAACGCCGCGCGCGCGTTCGAATTCACTGTAACGCTTTTCCAGCTTGATGTATGCGCTCCAGGCGCCCTCCTCCGGCTCCCACGACATCCACCGCTCGAAGACCTGGCGGGTACCGGGAATGTTACCCAGCGTCTCCTCCATGTAGACATACTTGTACCACAGCTTGTCGATACGGGGCAGGATGGTCACGGCACGGTCGAGCAGGTTTCGGGCATGGTTGATGTTTCGGGTCTTCATCTCGGCTTCGATGTAGCGAATCCATAGCACCACCGAGGTCGAATCAACATCTAGCGCACGCTCGAAGATTGAGCGAGCCCGGCGGAATTCCTTCTGTTCGAGTTCCCAGGCGGCATAACGCATCCAGTTGTTCATGTTAATGCGGTTACGCCGCACATAGTCCTCAAAGTCCTTTCTCTTCCGCCCTTGGTACTCGTGTAGTTCTTCGAGGTCGGCAAAGCGCTGTGTCGGTGCCTCCAGGCCTGGCTCCTGCCGGTCCACGGCCTCGCGAAGCAACTGCTCCGCAGAGATCTGGATCGGCGCGGCGGCCTTGTTCTTGACCCGGGGAGGGCCACGAGATGCCTCCATTGTGACGGTTCGGTATCAGTCGGTGCTGATATCAGGGAATTGATTTGCGGTCAAGGCGTGGAGTGAACGTCACAGTCTATAAATTTGTGACAAGTGCGTGATGCGAGAGAAAATCGAAAGATGAAAATAGCTTCACCGGAATTGTGCGACCAGTAACCCCACAGCTAATTCATGAAGTGTCTCACGCCCAAGTCACTGGTGAGAGTAGCTTGTCTGTAACTCTGAGCGGCGATGAAATCGCAGAACTGCGGGTCAGGTCGTTGTCGCCACCCGCGCAGCTCCCCCTGACTAAGCACTTTTCCATTCTTCCATTATGGAACATTGCCCTCTGCAGCTTGGTCAAGGTCTTGGGGCCATCTACACAGAATTCTTTTCGGCGAACTCACTCAGATAGTAAGGATATTCAGAATCGTCTGGTTTGCCACCATGTCGACTGCCGAAGAACTGTTGCGCGACTTCGAGTCCGATGAGGAGTTCGATGCGGGCGAGGAAAACGACCTACAGGCCGAGCAGGAAGAAGAGACCCAAGAAGCCCCCGGCGTGACCAACGACTTCGACCGCTCCATCTCCACCGCCGATGAACTGAACCGCCTACACAAAGTTCTGCGCGATCACTACTCTATCCGATTCCCCGAGCTCGAAACTCTGGTCACAACACCCATCAAGTACGCCAAAACCGTTGCTATCCTCCAAAATGGCCCTCTTAACGACATCAAGGCACTTTCGAACACATCGAACAATATGGTTGGCGCACCGCTCAAGTCAGTCCTTGACGGACCGTCGTTGATGGTGGTTGCAGTAGAGGGAACCACCACCCGAGGCCGAGAGATGACAGCCTCGGAACTCCAGCAGGTTCTTGACACATGCGAGAGAATTTTGAAGCTCGACAGCGAGCGCCTCGCACTCACAGAAAGCATTGAATCTCGCATGAACCAGATTGCGCCTAACCTGGCAGCACTCATCGGACCCGAAACCGCTGCCCAGTTCCTCAACCAGACCGGAGGCCTTCTCGAGCTGGCGAAGATTCCAGCATGCAACCTGGGTGCACAAGGATCGCGCCGACAGGAAGGACTAGGCCTTGCGACAAACCATGGTGTTCGGTCCCAAGGATTCCTCTACGACTCTGAGCTTCTCCAGGAAGTACCCAACGACCTCAAGAAACAAGGAATCCGGATTGTGTCGGCCAAGATGGTTCTCGCTACCCGCGCCGATGTCTCCAACTATGCCAAGGACGGATCCCTCGGCGAAGACTTGAAACAACAATGCTATAACCGGCTGGAGAAGCTGACCGAGGCTGCACCAAACTCCGGTACAAAGGCTCTCCCCGCACCCGACGACAAGCCTTCCAGAAAACGTGGTGGTTGGCGTGCCCGTAAGGCCAAGGAGGCCGTCGCCATGACCGAGCTCCGTAAGGCGCAGAACCGCGTTGCATTCGGCAAAGAAGAATCAGAGGTGGGATACGGCACGGGCTCTGGTACCGTTGGTCTGGGCATGCTTGGCCAACAGAACGATGGCCGTATTCGCGCGACACAGATCGACCAGCGAACCCGTGCCAAGCTTAGCAAGAACAACAAGGGCTGGGGCACATCCACCCCCGCCAGCGGAACCGCTTCATCATTGCGTGGCTTCGGTCAAGGCGCAAGTGGCACAGCTAGTGTTTTGCAAGCCCGTGGTCTCCGCACGTCAGGTGTCGGATCGTCTACAGCAGGTACATCCAGTACTATTGCATTCACACCTGTTCAGGGCTTGGAGCTTGTGGATCCCAAGGTGCAAGCAGAGCTGAAGCGCAAGCGCGAGGCCGAGGAAAACCGCTGGTTCAAGTCTGGAACTTTCACCCAGGCCCCGAACCAGGGCAATGGCAATGCGCCGGGTGGGGAAAATGGTGGCTTCAAGGTACCGGCACTTCCTCCCAAGAAGAAGGTCAACACTGGCGAGGGCAAGATGGGTCCGCCTCCCAAGCGGTAGACCATTACTATCGTATCCTTGCATTTGACGGCGTTCAGGAGGGAAGATCAGGAGGCCTGAGCTTCTATGAATTACGTGATACCAACTCGTTTGTACATTAGACAGCCCAATTTTAAAATCAATAAACTTGCTATGACTTCAACTCATCCTTCGAGAGTAACATTGGGAGGACCTAGCGTGGGATTAAGAATCGTACCTTACTTCTCGAGGCGGTCCTATCCACGACCCAACGGTTTTAGGGCTCAGCGACAACACGTGCCTGTTTTGGAATATTTGATGAATGGCGGGGGTTTGCCTCAAGTTCTCGAATTGTGAGTAACTCAATTCCGAAATTGCCTTTAAGTGGTCCAAATGGCGTGCTTAAGTTGCGGCAAGTGAACGATCTCGCAATATCCGTGGAATGTGGCACAAGACAAATGTGAAGAGATATATTTCAGCTTATTCAACGGATTTCTATTTGATACATCGCACATTTCTGGACATTAATTTGTCCAAATTACTTGCAATTGAGTGTTCTACCTACCTCGAAAGAAATATACATAAGCACCCCTTCAAACATTATACCCGACGTCGCCATCAACGAACTAAAGCATGACATTGAAAACCGCCTCAACAACCACCAACACAACCATCACAATAACCGAAACCAACCCCAAAGAATCAGTTCCTCCCAGAACCTCGCCTTTAACCCAAATCCTCCACCACAGCCATGTAACAACAGACTTCGACCCGCACCGCTTCCAAGCAGCCGCAGCCCAACAATTACAACCCCGACGAAAATCCCAAGAAACAGATACTCGCCTCATCACCTCACCCTACAACAGCGCCACCCACCTACTGGATATATCGAAATTGGAACAACAAGACCGCCTCCTCGCATTGGCATTGACATATCTGAAGCCCACGCGGGCCGACTATGCCACGGCGCCATATACAGAGTCCTTCAATTGGACGGAAGTATTCGAGTTGTTGAAGGCATTCTCCGAGTCGGAGGACCTTACGTGGAAGAGACGTTCCTATTATGTTGTTATTTTCCGGTCTACACTGTTGCCGGATGTTGATTCGGATTATTTGTATGCGCTTGATGCGCATTCACATCGGGAGGCTATGGCTAGTGGAGGTTTGTTAAAGTATTGGTTTGGGGCTAAGGATGAGCTCGGGAGGAATTTGGCCACTTGTGAGTATGGTCTCTTTGTTCCTTTTTCATACTTTGTTGGTGATAGCTCCGGCTTATACTTGTTTCAGGTATTTGGCGGAATCAGGATGATGCTAGACTTGGTGGTCGGGGGCCGTGGCATGCTCGTGCGAGAGCTGCTGCGTCAGTTGTTTATGAACAGATCTTGTTCACGACGCTGTGGTTAAGTATTGGGGATGGGGTTGGATCGTGGGATCTGAGTGATTGGAAAGAGAATGCAGCTTGAGGGACTAAGTAATATGATCGGATAATGTCCGATATATACGTACACAGGTATAATAAAACCGAGATGTGGGATGTCCGGATCTACAAATATCCAATATAAGAGCGGAGGATGCAAATAAACCGAGTAGTTGAGCAGAAACAGAAATATTTCCCGCACTGGATCCGCAGTAGTTTCTCCACATGGCGTCAATTGGATCCAGCAAGGCAATCTGTACTGTACATTATTGCGGAAAATGTTACTCTTTGTTGCTGTGTCTCCATCCCTCCTGATCTATGCAGTCAGTCATTCAAACAAGTCATGCAGTTCAACTTACACAGAAATGCGGGGCACCGTGGTCAGCGTTTAACTTATTTGCTGTTTGGTTGGCCACTCTCCCAGATGATATACATACCCCTCCGTGGAACTGGAACATAGCCAGGCTATAAAGAGGTGACATTGTCCGGACAAAATTATCTTCTGAACGTGAACCTCAAAAGAAAAGTTCAATTATCACACCCGCAATGGTCGGCCTTCAAGCAGACAACATCGCCGTGAACGACGGTCCCTTGACCTCCGAGAATGCAGCTTTCCTCCGCCCCTCAGAGCCATCCCTCCCCCTAGAAGAACTCCGCAAAAGATACGAGAAAGACGGCTATCTCTTCCTAAAGCAAGTCCTCCCCCGCCAGGATGTCCTCGACGCCCGCAATTCATACTTCTCTTCCTTGCAATCAACAGGCGTCCTGAAGCCCGACACAGAACCAGTAGAGGGCATCTTCGACCCAGCCAAGAGTCACCTCGACTATCCAGGCATTGGTGCCGGTCATATCGGTGGGAATGGCAAGCCCGGTGGTGACCGGGCAGCCGCGTTCGTTGATCTGGCCCTCGATGCACATTACCAGGACTGGTACGCCGAGAAGTTCTGCAACCACCCGGCGCTATATAAATTTGTCGCGAAGTTTTCGGATTGGGGGAAGGATACGCTGAATCTACGCCGTACTTTGCTGCGGAATAATATACCTGGATCGAAGCCTATTGGCGTGCACTATGATCAGATCTTCTTGAGATATGGTGATCCGACAAGTGTTACTGCTTGGGTTCCTATGGGTGATATTAAGATTAATGGTGGTGGTCTGATCTACCTGGAAGACGGCATGTCTACTTGTTAACTATATTGTTCTTATTTTACTCGCATCATGGGTACTAATTGAGTTTATGCAACAGGCGACAAAGTCGGACTCAAGTTGGAACAGGCCTTCTATACCAAGGCGAAGGCAGCTGGCATGACCGACGAGGAGGCCAACTCCGCTTTTAACACAAACATGATGACAACTGGTTTGCTCTCCGAGTTCCCGAGTGAATTCGCCCGGGAGAATGGCCGTCGCTGGTTGGTGTCGGCATACGAGGCTGGAGATGTGGTGCTACACAAGCCTCATATGGTGAATACTCCGTCCTTTTCTTCATGATCAGTGCTGGGCGCTAATAAATGGGCTGCAGATTCATGCTTCGACTATTAACAATGATTCCGACAATGTCATCCGCCTTGCTACCGATCTACGGTTCTGCGACTCGTCCAAGCCTTATGATAAGGTGAGTTTTCTTATTGCTATAACTAAAATGAATAACTAAGAAGTAATTGCAGAGATGGATGAACTTTTACAAGTTCGGCGATGGTGTTTAAGATGGATGTGGTGCTCCAGCATATATCTGGGTTTAGCGTGGTTATTTACCAAGACTGTGTGGTGTATGATGAAGCAGCCTATGATGACTTGCGTCGAAATCCAATTTGGTTCTAATTATGGTAACATTTTCAGTCAACTGCATGGCTTGGCTTGGTTGAAGTTGCATGGGAGATATCTTGGGAGTGAACCATGCGAGCATGAGACAGTATCGCTTTCTCATTCCAGTAAACCCCTTAAAAAAGTTAGACCCAGGAATATCGCCTTGATGTTATCATTATGATTAAACCAGGGTAAATCTGATTCGCAGGAGAACAATGCTTGGAATGCTATGTGTCATTTTTGGTGATCAACATGGGCACAGGCTTATCCCTAGATCTATGAATGGCCCTACGGAGTACTGCCAAAAAAAGCCACTTTCCATGGAATATTACTACAACGATAATGACCCAGAACTATTCTGATCACACAAATCCGAGTCCAATTTGATCTGATAGTGCAATAGAGGGACACTAATTTGGTAAAAACTAAACATTGGCATTTGGGTTCTACGGAACCTCATTCCAAAGTACGGCAGGTGGTATTTCGCTAATTTCACACAAACAAAGCACTGTATATGAAGTACCTATGGGTCACTGATCGCCCACTGATCGCCCACTGGTTGTGATTGTTGTGACGCTCGTGGATAGACCTCTTTGCTCTTATTAGAGGTATCCTGTTCCCAAAGCTATACCAATCTATAACAAACCACACATCAATTCAAGTACAACATGTCGCAAATGATCTCAAGGCCATCATGGCTCACTGTTGCTGTGCTAGCACTGCTAGCAGTATCAGCTGTCAATGCTGCCCCAGTTCGTGCATCAACGCAAGAAATGGAGGCAGAGCAGCCGACTAAAGTTGAATCTCGCTCTCCTGTGAGTGAATGAGCTAAAACCCATGTTTATCTTGGAAATTGACTAATCGAAGTACAGCGACTGATCCCCGACACTGAAGGGTACATCCTTGACCTCTTGCAAGGGCTAGGCCTAGACGAGCCAGAGAAAACACGAACCGGTACACCAACCACAGCAGTCATGAAAACCGAACAAGGCCAGCCGGAGAATGAAACAGCCACACCAACTACACATATTACCTACTCCAGCTCCGTGAGCTACACGCCTACCTACGGGAGCAACGGTGCGGGCTACACGCACACAGTCAAGCACGAGGAAAGCAGCAACAAGCCCATTGAGAACGTTCAGATCCTACCTGGATGGGGTAGCAACAAGAAGATCACTTCTGAAGACTTTCCACGTCTCTTTGAGGCTATGTACAAGGAAGTAAAGCACCGGATTGGCAATGTTATTGATAGCTCTGATGAGATTGGCTTGGATGGGTTTATCCGAGGTGGATGAGATGGTTGTTATGGATATGGAGGGTCTGATGAAGTATTATTGATTTATGGAACTTTTCAAGGGAAAATTATTTGCTTGAGTTTGTTTCTTTACGATGTACTACTACTTTTGATATGCAATTTTCTACATTTCTCGTTCTAGCTTTGAACTTTACGATAGACAATTCATTTTGTACTTTTGCCAGAGTATCGAAATTGACATTCTGGTTTTGATTTCTGGGGTTCGCGTAATGATCAAATTTTGTTCATTCGTAAGAGGCGGTTGGAAGTTGGGTTCTTGGGTTGGAAATGATAGTGAAGATGATAGTGAAGAAATCTGAACACGAGACGACCAGGTAGGTCCTTTGAAAATAATTCGAGATAGTGCAATGTTTGGCTACAACCATTCAACTACAAAGACCTTTCAGTTTCAGCTCCAAGAACTCATTGAGATCGAAAACCTCCAAATAACAAGAAAGAACGAAACCAAGAATTGATAGTCGGGCTTGAAGTGGAGCTTGTATTTGCAGTTATCTCCCTTAACTCCGATCCTCGATTTCCGCCAACATCTCCGGACGCAAATAGGCGAAAGATGCCCGGAGACCGAACAAAACAGAAGATGCTGGAATGAAAGTCTATTACTGCCACAATGCTACGAGTCTTGTGGATGTTGAACATCTGTTGATCGTCTTCGATTGAACTCGGCGGGGCAAATGCAAAAACCATAAGAGAACCGGAACCGCTTCACCTTTTTGCTTCTCTCTCACCATTCACCTATTCTATACTCAAGCCTCTCTATAAATTTTATACTCACCCCAGTCTGACCTAAGATGCCTTCTCTTGTTGGTAAAGAAGTCGGCCCTACCGGGTACGGCACCATGAGTGTGTTTCCCTTCCAAAGACAGCAGAGCAGTCGATGAACAGATACTGACCAAGTCACTAGGAATGACATGGAACCCTCAGCCTCCATCCCAGGAGACATGCTTTGAGACCCTGAACACGGCTCTCGAGCTGGGTGCCAACTTCTGGAACGGTGGCGAGCTCTACGGCACCCCGGAGTTCAACTCTCTCCACCTGCTGAACCAGTACTTCACCAAGTACCCCGAGAATGCCGAGAAGGTCGTTCTCAGCATCAAGGGTGGCTTGAAACCGGGACAACTCATTCCCGATGGCTCCGAGGAGAACATCCGTCGTAGCGTGGATGAGTGTCTCCGTGTCCTTGACGGCAAGAAAAAGCTTGACATCTTCGAATGTGCCCGTCAGGATGCGAAATCCCCTGTTGAGAATACTGTGAAGGTCCTCGCGGATTATGTTAAGGAGGGCAAGATTGGAGGCATTGGTCTGAGTGAGGTTGATGCGGAGACAATTCGTCGAGCGTACGTCCAATCTTCATGATATCAATCTAATTAGAAACCGTGCTAATTACTTCTACAGTCACAAAATACACCCCATCGCCGCTGTCGAGGTTGAGATGTCACTCTGGTCTACTGATATCCTAGAGAACGGCATCGCCAAGACCTGTGCTGAGCTCCAGATCCCGGTCATTGCTTACTCGCCACTGGGTCGGGGTGTGCTCACAGGAGCTGTCACCTCCCTCGCAGACATTCCCGAAGGTGACTTCCGACGACACATGTCCCGCTTCCAAGAAGAGAACTTCCAGGAAAACCTGAAGCTCATCAAGGCTGTCAGTGACCTGGCCACTCGCAAGAGCGTCGCCCCGGCTCAAATTGCCCTGGCCTGGATTCGCAGCCAGAGCGGCAGGCCAGGTATGCCCACTATTATCCCCATTCCTGGCGGTACTACGAAGGACAAGGTGGTTCAGAACATGGGTGGTGTGCAGACGTTGACAGATGCTGAGCTCGCTGAGATCGATACCATTCTGAAGGCGCACGTTGTTGCTGGGCCTCGGTACTAGATAATATGCTTTGAGCTTGTTAGCTATGCAATGGGATATATAAAGTCACAATTTAAAGCCATTGAGTGTTTTCACATGTCAGATCAAGTGTAGAATAAGTCAACATGCAACCTCACAATGCATTGAATACACGGAGGTTGTCGGAATTGCAGAATTCTTTCGAATAATCATCATTAAAACAAGGCGGGGAAGAGAAAAACAAGCGAAATCTTACCGTTGAGTTAGTAGGCTGGTATGAAGATATGTATTACTTTAGTAAAGTACAAAACAACATCATGTAGTGCAGCCTCAAAGTAGTTGCAGTGAGTGAACAACGAAAGAGACGAGCGCGGTGACGCCTTTGTGTGTACTCATCACGTGCGTCCAAGTGGTCAATCGCGGTCATGTGACCGTGTATGCCTCCTCGCATCGCGATGCCGTCGCGACAGCTTCCAAATCCAATCTCGTTTGCCACTTTTCTCCCATTGTGCAAGTACTTTCATATCACAATGGCTTCAAGAGAATCTCCTGGCTCTCCTCTTTCATCGGTCGGGTCCCTCGAGACCTCGGATCATGAATCAATGAAACAAGACAGCCGCGCGCATTCGCCCTCGATGTCGAATATGCCACCCTCGAAGCGACGTCGCACTGGCGTTGCATCATGGGACCGTCAAACTCCCCTCTCCACAGCCCAGGATGACAATCAACCACCTCCCTCCCCGACAGACTCGATCTCCTCAGATAGCTCCGGCGACATCCCGAACTCCCCTAGCATACTCGGCATCCTGGGTACCAACCAGGAAGATGACTATAGCGGCCAGAGTACCGATCAAGTCACCATCTGTCGATGGGATGGATGTACCGCCGGTGACCTCGGAAACATGGATGGGTTGGTGCAGCACCTTCACAATGAGCACATCGGCAGCCGACAGAAACGGTACTCGTGCGAGTGGACCGACTGCACCCGTAAAGGTCAAACACATGCCAGCGCTTATGCTCTGCGCGCACATATGAGAAGTCACACCCGCGAAAAACCCTTCTACTGCACGCTACCTGGTTTGTTACCCTCAGAATTAGCCGTTGCCCTCGATAGCCAACGTCAGCATACTGATCATACCCAACAGAATGTGACCGCAACTTCACTCGATCAGACGCCCTGACCAAGCACATGCGCTCCGTGCACGAGACAGACACGATGCGCCCCATCGACTCTCTTTCCAAGGTCCACGCTGCCCCTGGCAGCACGGCCGGCACCCCAGCCTCGAAGGTCCAACGCATCCGCCTGAAGCTCTCTCAGCCCAAGGAGCCGGGCACCGAGTCCGAGCCCCACACTGAAACTGCCATCCCATCCAACCCCATCATCAACACGAATGAATTACCAGATCTCGACGAGACCACGATGCCGGAGTTCGGACCCGAGCTCAACTTCGACCAGCATGAGCTGTCCTTGCCTCCGCGTGACCTATACCGTCTGCTCCGTCGACAGATTGCATGGGCAGGGAAAGAAACTGCGCAGCTGCAAGCTGAGTGGGAGGAGATCCGGCCGAGGCGCGAGCATGCATGGCGCGAGAAAGAAGTCATCTTTGATGATCTTATTGATGCTGAGCTAGGTCTCTTCAGTGCCATTGTGGGGTCTGTGCCTCCAGCAAACCTCACCACCAGCCTGGAGAAGCTGCAGCAGCAACAGCAGCAGTTCCAGAATCAGCAGGAGCAGCTACAGGAGAAGTCTATTGAGCTGCCGCACCCGCACCCGCACCCCCATGTTGAGGGCAGTGCTTAGCCGGATGCTCTCTTTTTCTCTCAATTCCTCCGCTTCTTTTTTATTTTTGTACTATGGCGTGCATGGCGTTTGGCCCTGCAATTCTTTTTCCTTGCATTCCCCTTTGCCCGGGGAAAGGACGTAATTTCGATGGGATGTATGAATAGCTTTCGGCCCTTGCCCAACAATGGCTCACTACCATGGGTGATGCCTAAAATGATACTGTCGATAATGATTTTTGAGGTCTCCTTGAACCTCCTATCTAAAACGACGCTTCTGATGTCAGATGTGTTGATGAACACATTGGCTCTTATATACTCACTAGTTGTCAGCGAACCGTACGGAAGTTGTCCTGGCCATAATTTCTGCGGTCTTCCCGCCACCACTGTGATACTTGACAGAGGGTAAGAGGGATGCAAGATCTACAGCCAAGAAACCATATATGTTAGTGCGAGGGTTTCATACGCAGCGTTGTGTCATAGCTGCAGTTGCACTGTCTCGATCACAGTAGCTAACGGTAGCTAAGAAACTCTTCAAACCCCCAATGGTCGTGATTCCCCCAAAACCCTCAATTTGGCGCCAACTTGACTTGACATTCGATTGAGCAGGTCACTAAGCATGTCCACAACAGGAGGGTCCGACTATGCAGATCCTCCCCGGTCAACTCCAGTATCCGCTCCCGACTGTTCAGGGTCATGGACCTATCCTTCCCCGAAAAAATCCTGATATTGAAGGGCTTGGTGTATGTACAATTTCTTGACGGAAAGGTAATGGGGTTGACCTGGCTCATTCCAGGTCGTCATCGGGTTTCTCGCAACGTCTTGGGTAACGCTGCTATGTCTCACGCTACATTATATTTCAATACGATACAATGCCGAAGACTCCTCCAAGCACCAACCGGACCTGATAGACCGGTCTATCAGGCAAACAATACAGCGAACACTGAAGTGGACACCATCTTCTCGCTGGCGACAGCCTTTAGAAACAGTAAGTGAGACGGAACCTCCGAGCTCTCATCACCTGCAAACATTCCTTCAAAACTAAAATGCCTCTTAGCTAGTATTGTGCATGAGTGATCAACAGCTAGTAACCGGCCTTGCCATCCTAATCAGCAGCTATACTCAAATCCCAAACGATCTCTCACTCTATCACTGGGAGATAATCACAAGCCTAGCATGGTTCTCTTCGGCTACCCACATTGCAAGTCTACCATATCTAACATTGTACTTTAAACGGAAACCCGGGCTTTGGTACTGTCGAGTCTTTCTGATGAGTGGGTTGGCAATAATGTTAGCCATAGGCTTGATCCCTTCCGCGCGCGTTATACCTGATGCCGAAACCAAGGCGAGGCCAGTTATTTCTGGACCCAGATGTGCTTTCTTTATCTCTTGCGCTGTTGGACAAGTGGCGCAAATTGTCATTTCCGAATTCCTTATAGTGGGTGGACTTGTGGCCCGTCTTCTGCAGATGTCTGCGACGGCTCAACATTTCACGAGAGCTGTGTCGAAATTCACTGAAGATTTGTGGATAAATAGCTTGGGGTGGACATGTCGAAGGTTGGATCGAGCTCGCAAATCTGTGCAAGTGATATGCTTGCCTTGGGTCATGCTTTTAATGACTATCTTTGTGTTTGGCCGATGTCTGGTGGACTTCCTGAGCTCTACTTTCTCTGGCGTAAGTCACCCTCTCATCGCCGTACGGAGTATTGTGGTTCTGAATAGGTCAAGTTACTCTGGTTGCTCTTTTCCTTGATGTGGGGAACCGTCCGCAAGTCTTCGTAGTAGGACTACTTTCTCTTCATTGGATGTAAACTCTTGGGATTTCGGCCAATTAGTGCCCGTCTTATCACTTCTTGTCCCAGCCCTCTTGATGGCAGAAGTCTATTCAGGTGACTCAAGCTACAGCTAATCTATGAAGCCATCAAAACTTACTGACTAGAATAGATGCCATCCGGGGTGAGGATGAGAGCATTGCACAAATAGATCAGCTACCCACCCACCCTGAGGCTAGCAACGCCAGCATCTGCCATATGATGAAACAGTGGACGACTCTTGAGTCTCTCCCCACAGATTCCCAAATTATACAAGCCCCACCAGTCTCCGTCTGCACGCGACTTGTTTTGACTTGCAAGCGCGACTTCCAGTCTGAACCCTGTTATCTTCATTGCCAACATCTACTGATATATGCCTGAATGGGAGTCGGCTCTGGGACACTGATTTTCATGTTGGGCAATGAGCTTCTACCCTCAGGGCTAAGCGGGAAGACATTCTGGAACCTGAACATGACGTTTCCTCTAATAGGCATCATCCCCAGTGTTCTGGGCCTACTTTCGATTCCATGGTGCTGGATCATTACAAGAATCGACCCTGTTCCTCTGGATCAGCGCCAGTCTCTGTCTATTATGAGGATCGCAATTGACATGGGCAAGGTCTATAGAACAGCACGGCTTGGGCTTTTGATGGTTTTCCCTGTGATATTTTCTATCTTTGCTGCTCTATTTTTCAGATATAGGGCGCTCATCCCGGTAACGGTATGTATGGGTGTCTGGTGTGCTGTTTCTTGTCTTTGTACATGATCTGCACTCTTGATGGGCTTTCATTCTGTTTGTCGGGGTATATTCTAGTAAAATGCTATCTGATAACATTGTCACATGTATAAAAAGCGTATTACGGGCCTTGATAATAGACTTCACTCTTATTGATGCACGCAAGGTGGCAGTTTCATGTCACAGATACATACCTCGCTTCTTTCGGCAAGCATCTTCAGTAACACCCACACCAACTCTAGACGAGTGCTAAACGAAGTATAAGCTATATAGTGTATACTGAGCTTGATCACCATCCATTCGGTACCGTAGAAGCATAAAGGCTGGCATCCAGTGACATTGCTGTGGATTCATCTAGGTTGGTTGCACTTTTCTTTTACTCTACCTAACATAAGGAAATTTTTCACGTCTAGACCTGACGGTCTTGGTCGATAATCCTGGCATTGGGTCTACTCCACAGAAAAGGAAAAAAAATGACACAGATAACGCGCGCCTCGCCGAGTGATCGATCTCATGAAGATACAAAGAAAATCAATCAACGCCGTGACAGCCACTCCATAAGATACATATGCCGAGAAGAAAAGCAAAATCAAAATCAACATGGCCTTGGCTCGTTAAGGCATACCGTGGGATCATCCATGGCGGTATGCCTCAGCGAGCATGAAAGCCGACAGCAAATTATAGCAACAGAGGGACAACTTCCTAGATCTACCAACCCAAATTCAAACATGGGATGGGCGTCTAGTGTAGCTGTTCCCCGCAGGACAAAGATGAAGAAAGAGAAGGGAAAACACGCCATGCAGTGATGATCCAAAAGTGAAGTGAAGTGGTGCTCATTTTGAACTGGAACTGTCCTTTCTGTGCTTTTGGGTTTCACGCAAATCATTCGACGCCTTTCGCAATGCCATACGAGTTGGAGTTGTATCCATATGTACCTTCAATCAGAGCAAAGGAAAAAAAAAGACAGACTGTCTCCCTTCGCCTTAGCATGAGAGATGCCCCGGGAAGAGTAACAATAACAGCAATTCAAAAAAGTCCAAATGCTGAAGTTCAGGGTCCAATGTAAGAATGCAGAATGAACGGAGTACAAAATTGTGCAAAATCAAGAAATTTGCAGGAAATAATGAAGAAACCAATAAGGAAAAAAAGGGGATATGTTGCAAGTGTCTACCGTGAGAAAGGATAGATATCTGTGACAAAGAAACGCTGAACATGCATGTCATCAAACCGTGCTAATGTGAGAATAATCTGAAACCAAGAACACCTATGTCCGTTGTATGAACAGGAACCAAAGAAGGCTTACGCTGATGTACCGTTAGAGGGCTTGGATGCTTTGCTTGCTTCCATGACCTTGTTGAACATCTGTTGTAACTTGGCTCCACTGGCCTCCTTGTTTGGCCAGTAGTTCAGCGAAACGTAATCCCAAAGGCGGACTTCCAAGGAGGGCATCGATTGAGAGCCCTCCAAGGTATTGCGAATGAATTCACCAATTTTGACAAGAGTGAGACGGAGTTTCTGAGCCCTCTCGTTCTTGCTGGGATAATTCTTGGCTGTAATCATTGCCACTTGCTTCAGGTTGGCCACAATGGGCCTGAAGAACATGGAAGCCATATCCTCCTTGCTGGAACTTCCATTTTCATGTCCTTTGCGTCGACGAAGTTCGTCGTTGGACGCGTCAGACAAACGATGGCGAGGACGGTCAATATCCATACCAGATCGAGGGCGAGAGTCGCGATTGGGAGTGTGATGCCGATCATCCCGGCCGCCATGTGTGTGGGAGCGTGGGCGTGGACGATCGGACTCACGGTGGCCCTTGCGGGAACCCGAGGGAGCCGGAGAGGCAGAAACGCTACCGCTTCCAGAAACCCGTGAATTCCGCTTGTTGTTCCGGTGATGGTTGTCCACTGCTCTTCTTGCGGTGGCATTGTTGTTATACTTGTTCCTCAAAACAGACATGAGATATTCAGCTCGTCGAACAAGGTGTACAGCACCGGGAGACTTCGTGGCTTTCTCCTCGGTCTGCAGACGCTGTGTCTTTCGTTCCACTCGATGTTCCTCGAGGAAGAATTTGTCACCAAGACCAAGGTCGGAATCATCACGAATCTGAGTCCATGCACCAAATCCATGGCGCGCGATACCAACAAGAAGCATTCCATCCTCACGTGCGCCCCATACGCAGCTGTAGTCCGCCGTCTTAGTAGCCTCAGGAAGACGGAATGTCCTGAAGTCAGGCAGCGAATTTGTGATGCTTCGGATGAGACGCATGTCAGGCGGACGCTCAACAATCGTCCAGGCATTGAGGCGTTTCACGCCGTGGTGATCAAATAGAACTGCCTTCTGCTCCTTCTTTGTGGGATTTCTTCCTGATTGCTTCATTGCTTCCAATTGTTCAAGGCTTTCTTGAACAAGCGAGTTGGCCTTGTCAGTAATTTCACGAAGAGCTGCACGAATAGTGCCTCGATCGCGGGTTTGCAATCGGGCGTCCTCGAGTATCAGCTCTTCAGAGTCATCCATATCACCGTAGCGGAGGAAGGCTCGAGAGAGAGCACGGTACTCTTTCTCTCCAAGAGGACGTTTGGGATCCAATGAGGCACTGTCATCCTCACCATCATCGATGTGGACTTGAGCTCGCGCTAGACGCTTTGCCTTACGTTCCTCTCGTGAGTCCTTAGTGTCTGTGGGAGCGTGACGTTTGCGGGGTCGGTTTTGTTCAATCACTTCAGCAAGATAAACCTCATCATCCTTGCGCTTTTCCTCGGCCTTGATTTCATCGAGTTGGTCCTTGGGAATGATGTCGTCCCAGGTGAGATCATCCACCTTGATGTCGACGAAATCGAAAGCCTTCAAGAATTCCTCGCCACCATCAGCCTGGATCTGCTCTGCCTCCTCGGTTTGGTGCAGTTCTGCATTCGCAAGAACAGAGTCGATATCGAGTTGTTCTAACTTCTTCTGATTGTCGGTTTGCTCGAACATCTTCTGGCCACGGCGTTTGAGAATACGAGAGATATCATCAGTGGAATTGGGCTCGCTGACAACACGAGCCATCTTGTTTTGCATCTCAGACGCTTCCTTGTCTGTGACACCACGCTGGATAGTAATGAACTCAAGCAGGAGCTTGTTGCGAGCTCTCTCAATGACCTCCTCTTCAATTGTATCCTTTGAGACAAGACGGTAAACGCTGACAGGTCTTGTTTGGCCAATTCGATGAGCTCGAGCCATGGCCTGCAAATCAGCCTGGGGGTTCCAATCCGAATCAAACAGGACAACAGTATCTGCAGTCATCAGGTTAATACCGAGACCACCAGCACGGGTGGAGAGAAGGAATGCGAAATCGGTGCTACCCGGTGCATTGTAGTGCTCAATGGCCAGACGACGCGAGGCAGATGGGATGGTACCATCGAGACGTTGGTATTTATAGCCACGGTACTCCATGTATTCACTCAGGATGTTAAGCATGCCAACCATCTGACAGAAAATCAGAACACGATGGCCATCACCTCGCAGCTTGCGGAGGAGCTGGTCGAGAAGCATCATCTTTCCACTACTGGTAATCATAGCACGAAGAATATCTTCGCGGCGAGAGCTACCTTCCAAAATCTTGGCTTCCGCGTTGGGGAACATGAAAGGATGGTTGCTAGCTTTTTTCAACTCCATCATGATATTCAAAAGAGATTGCTTCATTCCCCTATTTCCGTCATTCAACGCGGCGTAGTTCTTCGTCAAAATATTCTTGTAGTATTCCAGTTGAACATCAGACAGTTCAACTCGAATGATCTTTTCGGTTTTGGGGGGAAGGTCAGACTCAACCTTGGACTTGGTACGACGCAACATGAAGGGTTGAATAGCGTCTGTTAATTCTGCCAACTTTTGCGATGCAGCTTCAGCATTCAGATCCATATCCACATCGACTTCAATCAGGCCTGGGTTGAGGAAGTCCATCAAAGCTGAAAGTTCAGCGAGGTTGTTTTGGATTGGGGTGCCAGTGATCAGAAGACGAGCCTGACACTTCCATTCAAACAGTTTGATATAAAGTTGAGAGTCACGGTTCTTGAGACGGTGGGCTTCATCGACAGCCATGAACTGCCACTTGAATTGCCCAAGGAAGGGGGAATCGTTCATTGCGTACTCGTAGGTGGTTAACAAGACATGAAATTTGGGACGCTTGGGATTCCCATCTACCATCATCTCGTAATCGCGAAGAACGGAGCGAGCTTTTTCGCTACCGTTGTAGACCACATAATTGAGGTCTGGGGTCCAATTGTCGAATGTGTCAGCCCAAGCTGGCATTGTGGAGAGGGGGACGATGACAATAAATGGACCTTGCTGCCGTCTGACATGCCGCATCCAGTTGATGAACGAGACGGTTTGCACAGTCTTTCCAAGACCCATCTCATCTGCCAGGACCACATTGCGACCTCTGACCCAGTTGAAAGCCAAGAAATTCAGTCCCTTGATCTGGAAATCCTTCAGCTCTCCGTTTTGTAAGAAGCTGGGGGTACCGTGGATGGGCTCAAACGACTTGCGTGTAGCCAGGGTGGTTTCGTTCTTATCGGAGACAGGTTGACGAGCAGTGCGATCCAAGAAACGATCAATTTCGCGCTGTGCAATCTCACTGATCAAGTCTTCGGGTTCCCATGTACATGAGTCGTAGAACAGGCGTTTCCATTTGACGAGGTATTCGGTGGTGCCATCTTCACTATCACGTACACCGATAACTCGTTCAACCATTTTGTAATCTTCGATTGCCTCGACATCACGTTCGCGATCAAGGTTCCACTTTTCCCTGTCTTCAGGGGGAACGTCGCCACCATACTGTAAGCGGATATCCTCGTTGAGCACCTTTCGAACGTAGTTGTCAACACGTCGCGTGCTGCGGAAGTTTGCCATGGACTCGTTGCTTTCCCATGTGGCATGATAGTGAGATTTGTCTTGCCACTTGATGCAAAACTCAAAGTCATTACGGTCGATATCCTGGGTCTGGGGGTCAACACCCTGCTTGAGGCGATGATTGAGAACAACATCGACAGCAGGCCGGTTGTCTTCAACATAGGTTTCCGCCCAGTAGTTCGGTGCAAGATCCTCCGGGTCTTCTTCAAACATGGCTTCATCCTCATCATCCTCTTCATTATAATTAGACACCTTATTAGCGGTTCGCGTTGAGAAGCGAACCTCATTCAAGGAAGGTTCATAGCTGGTGGTTTGTTGGAGACGGCGCCTTCGTGCCTTGCTTGCACGAGCACTCTTTCCCCCATACTCATCGCTGTCTGACTCCGATAGTGACGACACAGTGGCGGACCGTGAGGCTTTGGAGGGCTGTTGGGATGTTTCGGTACGCCGACGTTTCGAACGGGGCGCGACAATATCTGACTCCGAGTCAGACGAGTCGGCGAGATGGCGTGTTGTGCGAGCGCGTCCACTTCGACGAAGTCCATACAAATCGGGATTTTGTCTTATTAACTCGGTTTCGGAGACCGGCGACGATCCGCGCCTCCCACCGGGAGCAGAGGCAGGGGATGAAGAGTTTTCACGACTATATGTATTGGCCTCGTCATCATAGTTATCCTCCGCAGCATCATCATCATCCTCAGCATCTGAATCTGCAGACGCGCCATCATATGAGTCGTCCGCGGCATCGGGTTCGGGGGAGGACTCGGAGACGGGATGTGAATCGATAGGTTCGGACGGGCTGCGTTCTGGTGGCGCTACCATACTGCCTTCGCCATGGCTATCATCGGCGACTGGCAAAGCAGGGTATACGTTAGACATCGTTGAGGTGGAAGGAGGTTCTTGAGCAGATGGGATCACCATGCCAGAGGCTATAACCGAGGGGCAGTCAGCATTGAAGCTCAATTCGGGCTGGGACAGGCATGAAAGAGGCAGATATGGGTAAAACGAGGTCACGCGATCCAGATTGCCGTCAAATGGAGCTATAAACCCAGCAGAATAGGCCAGGAAATTGGGTTTGATGGAAGGGCATGTTTTTTGATGACGGGTGGGATGGACGCGGCCGGACGTGAAGAGAAAGCAATGGCCAGGTTGGCACACGCAATCAGACTCGAAGAATGCAGCGACACCTTGCTCGCAGGACCGCAGTCCATCAATGTAGAGATCGGAGTAGAAACGAGGTATTCAAGGATTCATGCAGTGGGTCGAAGAGCGCGGAGATGTACCGCGGCGAACGATTCGGGCGACAACTCTGAGCTCGATGAAAAGATAAAATCACTTACACTCCATAGCGTGGTGACCCCGAAAGCGGGGAATCGGGAGATCAATGTGGAAAAGAAAATGGTGGGTGGGGGAGAAGCGTTGGCTGGTATGGGGGAAGAGGAGACGAGACTTGGAAGAACAAGAGGATTGGGGACTGAGGGTTTGCTTAGTTTGACACCCGATCTCTGAGGCATAAAGAGAAGTCCCGATGTGGACTAGCGCGTTCGCTTGCCGCCGGCATCTGGCCGGATCACGTGGCAGCGGAACAACAGTTGCTCCGCTGTTGACCAACAGCCAATCACCGCTTTGATAAATAAGTGACGCAGTTTCGGCCTGAGGCATTCTAGCCCACAATACGAAAGAGAATGCATTCATTTCTGCCGCCCCTCGTTCACTTGATAGTGTGTTCTGTCCTCTTTACAAAGTCGAGTCTGCGCGGACATTTGGTGCTTCTCTGCGCCCTTACATACCTGCGACAGCACTTTTCGGCCATATCCATCGCAACCCCTCCGTCCACTGTCGGCTCATTCTTTTTTATCTTCTTCATACCCGATCTAGGTTCTTTGAACCACATCCACCACCATGTCTGACAAGCTTACGCGGTATGTTTCGAGAGCTTTCAAGTCCTACATTCTCTGCTAACGTGACTTTTCCTCTATAGTATTGCGATTGTCAACACTGACAAGGTTCGTCGAGAAATACCCCACTAATACCGTTTTCTCTCCGGTTCGCGACAGCGTAGCTCACATCATATCTTTTCAACTCTACAGTGCAAACCTAAGGTATGCGACTTTTGAAAATGTTCTCATGGTGGTATCTGGGGCTGATCGATTACAGAAATGTCGTCAAGAGTGCAAGAAGGCGTGTCCCGTGGTCCGCACAGGAAAGCTTTGCATTGAGGTCGACCCTACCTCCAAGATCGCCTTCATCTCCGAACGTCTGTGTATTGGTTGTGGTATCTGTCCCAAGAAGTGCCCCTTCGGTGCCATTCACATTATCAACTTGCCCACCAACCTCGAGACCCAAGTCACCCACCGTTACTCGGCCAACAGTTTCAAGCTTCACCGTCTTCCCATGCCCCGCCCCGGTCAGGTTCTCGGTCTGGTTGGAACCAACGGTATCGGAAAGAGTACCGCTTTGAAGATTCTAAGTGGAAAGCTCAAGCCCAACCTGGGTCGTTACGACAACCCTCCCGACTGGGAAGAGATCCTGAAGTACTTCCGTGGTTCCGAACTGCAAAGTAAGCACCAGCCAGGTACAATTGGGGGATATGAAGGAAGCTGACTTGAGTAGACTACTTCACCAAGGTTCTTGAGGACAACCTGAAGGCTGTTGTTAAGCCTCAGTATGTCGACCAGATTCCCCGCGCCGTGAAGGGCCCTATCCAGCAGGTCGCCCAGCTCATCGAGACTCGTTCCCAACTTGGCAACAAGGAGGAAATCATGGATGTTCTCGGTACGTCTTATTCCCTGCTTTCATGGTAGAACTTCGTTAATATTTGCCCAGAACTGCGCCAGGTTGCCGAGCGTGATATTGGTCACCTTTCTGGTGGTGAGCTTCAGCGTTTTGCCATCGGTTTGGTTTGTGTGCAGAAGGCCGACGTGTGGGTTTTCCCCTGCATAATGTCCAATTCTATTACTAATTCTGGTTCAGGTACATGTTCGACGAGCCTTCCTCATATCTTGATGTTAAGCAGCGTCTGGCTGCTGCCCGTACCATCCGTGGCCTCCTCCGTCCCGACGACTATGTCATTGTTGTTGAGCACGATCTGTCTGTGCTTGACTACCTCTCCGACTTCATTTGCGTGCTTTACGGTCGCCCAGCTGTTTATGGTGTTGTGACTCTGCCTTCTTCCGTCCGTGAGGGTATCAACATCTTCTTGGATGGTCACATCCCCACCGAGAACTTGCGTTTCCGTGACGAGTCCCTTACTTTCCGTCTTGCTGAGGCTGGTGAGGACTTCATTGTCGACAAGGACCGCGCCTTCTCTTACCCCGCCATGGAGAAGACCCTCGGTGGCTTCCACCTGAAGGTCGAGCCCGGAAAATTCACCGACTCTGAGATCGTTGTCATGATGGGTGAGAACGGAACCGGAAAGACTACCTTCTGTAGAATGCTTGCTGGTGCCGAGAAGCCCGACGGCCTTATCTCCGTCCCCAAGATGAACATCAGTATGAAGCCTCAGAAGATTACTCCCAAGTTCCAGGGTACCGTCCGCCAGCTGTTCTTCAAGCGTATCAAGGCCGCTTTCCTGTCCCCCCAGTTCCAGACTGATGTCTACAAGCCCCTCAAGATGGACGACTTTATCGACCAGGAAGTCCAGAACTTGTCCGGTGGAGAATTGCAGCGTGTCGCCATTGTCCTGGCCCTGGGTATGCCCGCTGATATCTACCTGATTGATGAGCCCAGTGCCTACCTTGACTCTGAACAGCGTATTGTCGCTGCCCGTGTTATCAAGCGTTTCATCATGCACACCAAGAAGACCGCCTTCATCGTCGAGCACGATTTCATCATGGCCACCTACCTTGCTGACCGTGTCATTGTCTTCGACGGAAAGCCTTCCGTGGACGCTCGTGCCAACACCCCCGAGTCCCTCGTCACTGGTTGCAACCGCTTCTTGAAGAGCTTGGACGTCACCTTCCGTCGTGACCCCAATTCCTACCGCCCGCGTATCAACAAGTTCAACAGTCAGATGGACCAGGAGCAGAAGTTGGCGGGTAACTTCTACTTCTTGGAGGAAGAGGCCTGAAAAGGGCGTCTTCAATGAGCACCGTCGCCGCTGTCACAAAATGGATGGCCGCGACTCTGAGCAGCGGTGCATCACGCGCCGCGGCAATAGGAAGATCATGTGGTTAATGGCGTTCCCAGGCGTTTGCAGAGCCTCGGCAGTTCAAGGCAAGGGACTGCATTGCTGCGCCGGGTCCTTTCCCGGCGACGGCGATAGTCCCTCGGACGAGGATGGCGATGACGATTCAAATGGCAGCAATGACTACGGCTAACGAAGGGGGGTGGCCCTATTCGGTTCACCCCAACCATTTCCCGGTCTAGTACGCTCATTTATTTTGGCAACCTGCTGCCATACGTCAATCCATCACCCAATGCCTATGTTGTTCTTCGCCTTGCAACTACCTTCCCTGGATTTGTTTGTTCAACATATCCAGGGTAATTGGCCACCGAACGGGAACACTGTCTGCAAATCTTTCACACCTTTTCAATTTTTTGATTGTGAATAGGGATCGGCATGGTTTGTTCCAAAGGAGTTATTATACATTAGGTTGGAGGGTTTGGGTTTTCAAAAGTTCTTCAGACTTTTAGCATCGGTTTCAAGATGGATTTTTTTTCGAATTGGATTGGTCCTTTCCAGACCGGGGATGGCATGGGCTGAACTGCTGGGTTTCTTACCTCTAGTTTAGTTAGTTGGTTTGACCTGCTTGCAGATGCTGAGACAATGCTATCTTCTTTTTCATTTAACTCGAATTATGTGTCCCATATAATTGTAATACTTCCTGTGAATGTATTGTCAGCTGGCCCTAAATCGGCGTAAATATATATTTTCGACCAAAATCTAAAAATTTGCGAGAGCCAATGAAAGAAAATATGAACAGACAAGCCATGAAGAGAAACCCAAAGCCCAAGCTCCAAAATGGATACTGCGTATCTCGTATCTTCTATATCTGAACTATAGAAATGTGGTAGGAATGCGGAGGCAGACCCACGTCAGCACCAACCTCGCAGTGTCACCCGAGTCTTTTTCAACTTCAAACTTGGTGAATCTCCCATTCTTTGACAGCACGCGACAATGTGACCCCCTCAGACTGGCGACGAGCTAGCTAAGCTAGCGCCTACAGCGGAAGAGATAAAAACCGCCCTCGTATACCTGAAATTTTTGAGGCAGAACCCACTGGACAAGCCACACGACGACTATTTCAAAGCATTGCGAGGAGACAAAGACTAGTGGAAATGGGAGTGGAAGATGAGACACTGCTCCGGAGACAGGGGATATACTAGTTTTACCTAAGATAGAAGGGAGATGGAACTACATGGAGCTCAGACGTTGGAGATGCATCGCAACGTCATTTCTCTACAAAAATATCAGCAACCGAGCCCGGAGTCGGATTTCGATCACCGGTGACCCAGTTTTCATGTGGGAGCATTTGTCAGACTGGTGTACACGCCACTACATTGGGCCGCGCGCGACGGGCACATCGCAATTGAAGACCTAAGGGTCAGCGACTACTCCTCTATTCAAGACTGGATCTATGACCTCGCTGATGTTTGGTATGTGAAGTGCGACGGGATGATGGATATTGAAACCGGACGGCTGCAACCTGAGTGCAACACGCTCAAAGGAATGACGTTTTTATGGACTTGCCTGGATACTCCCTGTTGGACTGAGTGGAAGTTTCGTATGGGGGTTACAGAAAGGGTTCCAGGTAGAACGCTATGATCTCTTTAAATCTCCTCGCACGCGAGTGAATACGAGATGATGACGAGGTATCTTGATGAGAGAGAAGCAAGAATCAGAAATGATAATGCCGATACGGACCCGGAAACCGGTGCAAATGTCAAAGTCAAACAAGATGAAGAAAGGCAGCAAGAAAAAGAAGGCAGCACAGGTGCCAATGTCGATACGAACCCAGCAGCCAGCACAGGCGTGAAAGCTAACGTGGATGCCGATGCCAATGCGAGTCCCAATGCTAGCCAAAAGGTGAACGAGGACACAGGGTTGGACGGCAAGAGGAAGTTGAAAGCTCTCAAAAGTTCAAACCCCATCGCAAAGGCACCAGCCAGCACAGACTCGAAAGTCAACGCAGATGCCAATACAGATGTCGATGCGAATCTAACAGCCGATACAACTCCCAACCCTGCATCCGATGCCGACTAAACCACCAATGGACAAATCAAGACTGTTGAGACGAAGTGTGTCAGCGCTAGCACTAGCTGCCCCTACTGTAACAAGCACGGTCATTATGAAGAATCGTGTTGGAAAAAGACCCGAGTCAAGCGCCTTTTTGGTTCAAGCCTAGAGCGAAGAACAATGTAGTCATCGGTGATCGGTGAATACTATTTGCCTTCACTGGTACTATGATTGTCGTCTCTGTACATAGAAATAGCCCTATTCCTAGTTTATGTGCGCAGGTAGACAGTTAGAAAATACGTTGTGCATTGAACATAGAACTTTGGCTGTGTATTCAGCTTGTATTTTATCCCTAGGAAGAAAATAGAACAGAAGAGAGCCCAGGACTCTATCCCGCAATATCTACTTCATTTCTCGAATGAATTGCATTCTCACCCTGCTTTGTATCTTGCTTGGCAAGAGTAAACAGTCTGAAAGAAAACATGAGTTAACTTAGAGCGTTCTTATGTAAAGCCATCTTGTTCGGTATCTTACTCTGAAACGAAATAGAAAAAAAAATCAAGCAATTTATTCCTCCTCAATTTCGCCTTCCTCACTGCCAGAGTGAATAGCCTTCTCATCCTGCTTGGCATCTTGCTTTGTATCTTCTCCCTCTTCAGGAATAGCAGACTGCTCACGACGCGGAGCTCGGGAGCCCCTGCTGCGGTCCCGCTCACGGCTATCACGACGATAACGCTTCGCAGACCGGCTAACAACGCTCTCAGAATCACTGTCGCGCCGGCGTCGACGGTCTCCACTGGCTACACTGCGAGTATCGCCGCCACCGCCGTAGTCCAGCTCATCACGGCCACCACGGGGATCACCACGGGTACGGTAAAGACGTTCGCGCTGGTCCTCGCGTGGATCCGCATCACGGGCAGAACGCGAGCCACGATCGAAGTCGCGGTCTCGAGAACGGTAACGGTCACGGTCACTGCGCTCATCACGGCGTTCACGGGATGGGGAGATCCCACTGACTTTGCGGTAGGTTCGTTCACGATCTGCCTGAGCCTTGCGGCGGTCTGCTTCGTATGCATCGAGTTCTGGGGTTCGGCTGACTCGTCCGCTGGGTCCGCGTCTTTCTCCTCGCCCACTGCGATAGTCACGATCGCGGTCGTAATCGCGACGGCTTCCACGGCTTTGGGCGTACTCACGGTCCTTCTCGGTGTCTTCGTCTCTTTCTTTCATGCGGCGGATTGTCTTGTCAAAGGCAGCTTCGCGAAGTTCATCTGATTCGACAGCCTTGTATTCTTCGTATTTCTCCAGGCGAGGCTGGACTTCGCTCCAGGTGTCGGTTACCCGGACAGGTGGCTCCAGACGCTTAATGCGAGAACGCAGAGCATCCGCGGCACGGCGTTGGTGACGGTCTGCGGCATGCTTCTCTTCTTCGTTGCGGCGAGCTGCCTTATCCTTAATACGCTGGAAAATAAGATTCAGGATATCGGAGTCGATTTTAGAGGTGCGGCGGTCTGCGGTCATGATGGCATTAAATTCATCGAAAGATGTCTCGGTGGTGACTTCGTATCGTTTGTCCTGAAGTTGTTAGCTTGACCAATTCAATTGCGTTAAAGGATTTGGAACTTACATCGAGAACATCTAGCACATCGTTTCGAGGACCGCGCAGCGAGCGTTCCTCTTCTTCAACCATATCCCAGAAAAGATCAAGAGGGGTCGATCCTGATTGACCAAGAATCCCGTGATATCTGGGGTCATCTTGAACCAGTGGGCAAATGTTCATCCACTTGCTGCCTGCCTTGATTTTTCCCTGAGATCTGAGCTCTTTAAGCAACTCCAAGAACTGCTCTCGGGCCTTGCGCTCCTTTCGGGCTCTCGCAGCCTTGTGCTGCTGGCGGGCATCGTTGAATGCGCGTTCCAAGGACTTAATGTGATTCTCGAAGGCGGTCAGAATATCAGACTTGCTCAGGGTCTTAAACTTATCATCACCCTGGAACTTGTCATCAGATTGAATGATAGCATGTGCCTCGGACCACCGTGTGTAGGGCTCCAAGTCCAGCGAGCCGAGGATGTTAACCAGCTCATCCATAGCAGCTTTGCGCGTGATAGCCTCTTGTTCAACATGTGTCTTCTTGAGTTGAAGGATGTACTCCTCAAAGAGCTGGCGTCTCTCGCTTTCATCGTCGGTAGCGCGGAAAGTGGTCTCGCCCTCAATGATAGGACGAATAGTCTTCCAGCGACTGTAGTGCTTGATCTCAGGATGCCGCTTCAGCATGGTGTTGAAATCGGTGCGGAGTTTAGCGAATCTTTCCTTCGCCCGGTCCTTTTCCTGCATGCGAACATCGACCGCGTATTTCTCAAATGCGGCCTTGCGGTCCCGCGGGTCTTTGAGGGCGCGATATTGGGGGTCCTTGATGGTGGCGCGCATCGTCTCCTCCCAAGTCCAATCGGGCTGCACATTGTGGCGCTTGAGCAGCTTCATGAATGCGCTCTCGGCTTCCTCGAGTGAATTGTAGTCAGGATCAGTCTGCGCCTTGAATTCTGGTGCGGCGACTGTGCTGCTGTTGTTATTGTTATCATAAGAACCATATCCAATGCGCCGGTCGCCATATCCCCGATCGCCTCTGTCGCCTCGGTCGCCTCGGTCGTAGTCGTCGCGGTCACGGTCACGGTGTTGAGACTGGGGAGCGTAGCTTGAGCCACCTGCAACATAGGATGAACCGCTGAAGTATGGTTAGTATGGATGCTAGTAGGCAGGAGGGGTTTCTTACGCGACTGGGGCTGCTGGAGGAGCCGGCGCTTGTGCAAGTGCATCCTGGTATTCCTCGGGCATGTCCCATCTGCTGGCCTTGGTTTCCGTGTGGTACCAGTACTTGCGCCCGTCTGCTGCAGTGTGTTCTCTCCAAGGCTGACTTTCTAACGCACGCTAAAGAAGAGTTAGTCCAGTTCAGAACAATGGGTTTGGCACGTACCTCGACCGCGGTCATCAATTCTTGCGGCTTTGTCCATTGGGTCGCCTTGGTTTGCACATTGTAATAGTAGACGCGTCCATCGGTATTCCGCGCCTCCTGCCACAAGGCAGCTGAAGGGCCGTTGGGATTCATGGCGGATGCGTGAGGGAGAAAGAAGTGAAAACGGAGGATCGATGTAGCTCCGCGCGTTTGCACTGTTTGCACCAACACTTATCGTTTATCTCCTGAGACTCGACACGCTTTCAACTTACATGCGACGTAGCTATGCCTGGCTTGGAGATCCCAGGTGAATTTCTACGCCATGCGGTTCTCGACACAGTGGTCCCTCATGCGCCAGCACTCGACATCGAGGGGGCCCTGAGCTCGGCCCTAGAGGACGGAGCTGATGACCTCCCCTCTGTTTTGTCTTCAATTCCACAGCGATGTCTCTTGTTTTTTGGTATGATAGTCACCAATCCTCTGCGCTTTGTCTTACTTATCAAAATGTTATAGATGAGTTTGTTCCCGTCCGCATCGTTCTGCGACTGTCCGATTGTTCAGAGACCATCCTGAAACACTATCTACCTCGGCTCGAAGTTAAGCTCGACGTGTTTGCAGTCGACCCGGCCGAGTCAGTTGCTGAAAACCCCACGCCAACCAGGGATATCATATTCTCAGGCATAGTGCGCGGCGAAGAGGACCCACTCGTTGTGTTCAACGAATTTGAGGGCGAGGAAGGCAGTGGTAACCATGTTTACTTGGTCTGGAACATTGATGCCACGCTGAGTGAGTTTGAGATTATCACCCCAATGAGCAGTGGCTAATGAATGTACGCAGAGCGACCTCGTATTCGCATCCAACAACCATCACTTCTATTCATTGCTTCAGCTAGCCTAAATCCATCAGATGGCTGTCGCCAAGAGGACTCAGAGGATGACTATCTTCCGTCGCTCGTTGCAGCATCGTCAAACATGCTCCAGCCTTTGTCTGGCGACAAATCAATCAGTCACAAAGAGCCTTTTCTTCCTGCATCCAGGCTATTGAGGGTGGTACCAACTACATACAACGAAGATCCAATATATAACATTCAGCAACAACATGGCCAACCTTTCCGTGTTGTCCCTGCAGCAAGTGCAAGAATACGATATTCTCGACTTAATTCATACACTGGACTTCCAACAACCATTGCCAGTCTCGACTTTGAAGTCACGCCGTTCCTGAGCAGCCAAGTCTCATTTGACAAAGCAGAGCTTCACCTATCTGAAGGAACAATCGAGTCATTGTCTGACATACCAGGTCTTACTCTCCCATTAAGATGCTACCCACGAGATGATGTGACCCTCATGTATAAACTCACGCCAGAGTATGGCCCGGAGACCAATCCCTCGTCGACTGCCATGTTCAGTATGCTAGATATCTCACTTGGGGCAACTATTCTTGTGGATGATGACTGCAAACCGCGCATTTCTATGCAGTGGAGGACCAATGTCGACTTCTCAGTTGCCCTAAACCCTACCTATGGAGGCCCGAGTCCGGCGTTACAAAGAAACAACAGACCTACTAGTCTGTCGATGTCAACTCAAGTTGGTGTACCGCCTGCCAACCGCAGCTCCCTGCGGGAACGGGCATACTCGGTCACCGATGTGGGTGTAACTATCTCTTTCTCAGGACCTAACCGTGTGCAAGTGGGAACTGTTTTCTCCTGGGGTGTGTTCATTGTGAACCGATCAAACGTTCCCCGCAAGTTCGCGTTGATTGCAGTGCCAAGGAGGAAACGCGTGGATCCGCGCGGGCATGTTGCACGACCTTCCTCGTCATCTATCAACAGTCGAAAAGAGGATCATATGGCCGAGGCAGTGACCGACGACAATATCGTTCATGCCAGACAAAAGAGTGTAGCCGGCCAAGAAGTCGAGTTGATCAGCTTGAGCACGGATATCCGCGTGGGGTAAGCGCTCTATTCCGACCTCCTTCTAATATTCTGCTAACATCTCCCAGTCCTCTCATGCCGGGAACCTGCCACTCGACCGAACTCAAACTCCTGCCACTGGCTACTGGACCCCTTCACTTGGAGGCTGTCCGGCTTGTAGATGTGAACACGAACGAAACGACCGATATCCGGGACCTTCCGGACATCTTGGCGGATGATCAGCTTCGCTCTAGTTGAAACATCGCTACATTGTATATAATATCCACAAAATAAGCTACTCCATGGGCCATACGAACATAGGATCTCTCAATTCTTTCTCATGAGACGATGAGGTGTTGACCCGTAGGCTGCGTGTCGACCAATTTGTAGTGAGTTGTAGCCACTATATATTTCCATCGCTAAGAGACCCAAACTAAATTCAACCTACACGGTCGATTATCTACAGCACATCTCTCTAACAGTGCCAATGTTCATCGAGCTGTTCGGCAAGGACAAGGTGGTTGAATAGACTTACACCCAACCAGCTGAGAATTCCACGATTACGCACCGATAGTTTTCCACTGACCATACCAGCAAGCAACTAAAGCTCCGACCACTATACCAAGGGATCACAGTCGAAAAGCCTCTCACTTTGTCGCCATTTCTTGCTCACTACGATTACTTGTATGTGGTATCCTACCCTTTCCATGTATTGTGGAAGAAAACAGAAGTTTGGTCTTGATTATGAAGCCATGGGCTGCTCTCAAGATCTTAGTTTAATATTAGAATATCACGACTATGCATCAATGGATACTCTATGAGAAGTGAATAGATAACTTACAACTACAGTATGTGTCCCAAGATGCCCCCCAACCACAAGGGAACGAGATGTCGTGAGGTATTTATACATCACATAATGCTTTCCCCACTATTGTAGTATGATATGGCCCCAGTATAGTGCACACAATCACCAAATGCTGTATTTGATGTTACATCGTAATCAAATATTATATAGTTCAGAATGGTCTCTGATTGGCTGACTAAGATGACGGGGTAGTTAAGTTAATCGACGACCAGGTGACTTTTTGTTAGTCAGGCGGAGACGCGGAGATGAGATATCTGCGTGGCTTCACCTTGTCTACATCATTCTTGACATCCCTCTATCAAATACAATAACCCCGGATTTCCGGGGCTCGTATAACGCACTTCTCCGAATTTCATTGAATTTGCGTCATACTGGCGCAGCCTCGCCCTCATCCGAACCCAGCCAGTCACTGTCCTCCAGTCATCATCCTCCATCATGATCTCCTCCGCGAAGCGAAAAGTCCTCGATGGATTGAATAAGAGATACATCTACGGTCGCGTGGTACGTGAAACGCCCAGCCTGACATATTGCTGTCGCTCCTCCGGCCTGTTTGAAAGTGGCTAACCCTGTCGCCTGATGTCATTATTTTACAGCCTCTATTGCACACGATCATCTTTATCATAGAGATGGCCGTAGCGGCTCGGCTTGCTGCCAAATTCAACAGCTACTATGCTGAAAAGCCAGGTATGCGTCTACCCGCCGCATCCCGCTGTCACACACTGACACGTTGCCTCTGATAGTGCTTACGACGATGGTTACCAACGCTGTAAGCTGCCCCAGAGCCCTCATACTCGATCGACCCGATACAAATGGATAACTGACTGTGCTTGGATATAGGTGCTTGGTGGCGTCGCCGATACTGTTGCGCAGCTGATTACAGCCTTCAGAACCCGCAGGGCCCAGATATCTGGGAACAGCGAAGACTTCCTCTCGATCGAGTTTCATGACCTGGACAAGGAGAAGCCTCCAGCTGTCGGGGAATTGGGCTTTTCCCGTCGTTCACCACCGCCTTTTGACTTTGAACGTCTCACCCGTTTCATGGCCTATGGATTTTTCATGGCTCCGATCCAGTTCCAGTGGTTTGGCTTCTTGTCCAGGGCATTCCCGCTCACCAAAACGAACCCGACTGCTCCGGCTTTCAAGCGCGTTGCGTTTGATCAGTTCATCTTTGCGCCGTTTGGTATGTCCCCCCTTTTTCGTTTGTTTGAATGGAGCTGACTTGATAGGTCTGGCGTGTTTCTTCACCTATATGACCATTGCCGAAGGTGGTGGCCGGCGGGCATTGTCTCAAAAGTTCCGTGATGTCTACCTGCCTACCTTGAAGGCCAATTTTGTGCTCTGGCCAGCGGTGCAGATCCTCAACTTCCGCGTCGTGCCTATTCAGTTCCAGATTGTAAGTTCTGCAGCCTGGGATTAAAGACCTCTACTGACCCCTTCAGCCATTTGTTTCAACCATTGGTATCGCGTGGACCGCGTACCTTTCTCTTACCAACTCCTCAGAGGAGTCCTAATTGCACGCTTCAAGCGAGTATCACGTTAACGACCGAGAGATAAACCGAAATCTTTTTGCTTTGCTTTGTTGGGCGCTTTGGCGAACGTCTTTCATGTAAATTGTTACTGGGTTTTGCATTCCAAAAGGTCGGATATTGCACATTTGGGTAGGATTTGCTTAGGGAATGGATTTGCTTTCAACGTCACATGTTTCAGCGGCTATGGCCATTTCCATCAGTAGACGATTACCCCAGGAACACCCGACTCCGAGGCTACGAGGACCCTCATGGCCCGGCCCTCTCCGTATCGACGGTAGCTCTGACACCTTAAGCTACAGGAGGCTATCCTGATAGAATGGTGACAGCGGCTACATGGGATAACAATCAGTATATAGCACTAGAGGTTGTCATAGTAGCCATTACTACATTATAGAGCTGCAGAACAAAGTAGTAGCTGTATAGTTACAGTCGCATACATCACCGGCAAAGAAATATGGCAGCTCTGACATCAGTCCCGTATCAGCCCGATCAGCTCTCCGGGGAGTGGGGTACCCAAAAGAAAGGTACAGATATTGCTAATATACTTATAAAACAACGCTTTAATTGACTGATCAGGAAGTACCGCTTGCGGACGAATACATCACCGGTAAGTATTTGGGTTGATGCGACACCTCTTCACCGGACCCCACCAAACCCCTCCACTCGTTACTGATCGCGACTCACCGTGGCCTGATTAGTTCTTCTTTTCTTCCCCCTCCTCCTTTCTCACCATTGTTGACTATCACACTCATCACAATGTCTCTCTCTAACAAGCTCCCCATCACTGACGTCGACCTTAAGGACAAGCGTGTCTTGATCCGGGTGCGTACCCCCTGCTCAAATACCAATTACCAATGTCCAGCTGCTAATTGGAACAGGTTGACTTCAACGTTCCCCTCGACGAGAACAAGAATGTTACCAACCCCCAGCGTATCGTCGGTGCTTTGCCCACCATCAAGTATGCCATTGACAACGGCGCCAAGGCCGTTGTGCTCATGTCCCACCTTGGCCGTCCCGATGGCAAGGTCAACCCCAAGTACAGCTTGAAGCCCGTTGTCCCCGTGCTCGAGGGTCTCATTGGTAAGAGCGTCATCTTCACCGAGGACTGCGTCGGTGCCAAGACTGAGGAGATTGTCAACAAGGCCACCGGTGGTCAGGTTGTCCTCCTCGAGAACTTGCGTTTCCACGCTGAGGAGGAGGGTAGCTCCAAGGATGCCGAGGGCAAGAAGGTCAAGGCCGACAAGGCCGCCGTCGACGAGTTCCGCAAGGGCCTCACTGCCCTCGGTGATGTCTACGTCAGTATGTACCACCCCACCCCCTCCGAGCTTGCTCCAAGCTAACAAACCGCAGACGACGCCTTCGGTACCGCCCACCGTGCCCATAGCTCCATGGTCGGAGTTGACCTCCCCCAGAAGGCCGCCGGTTTCCTCGTGAAGAAGGAACTTGAGTACTTCGCCAAGGCCCTCGAGAACCCAGCCCGTCCCTTCCTCGCCATCCTCGGAGGCGCCAAGGTCTCGGACAAGATCCAGCTGATCGACAACCTCCTGCCCAAGGTTAACAGCCTGATCATCACTGGCGCCATGGCCTTCACCTTCAAGAAGACCCTTGAGAACGTCAAGATCGGCAACTCCCTCTTCGACGAAGCCGGCAGCAAGATCGTCGGCGAGATCGTCGAGAAGGCGAAGAAGTACAACGTCGAGATTGTCCTCCCCGTTGACTACGTCACCGCCGACAAGTTCTCCGCCGACGCCCAGGTCGGCTCCGCCACCGATGCCACCGGCATCCCCGACGGCTACATGGGTCTGGACGTCGGCCCCGAGTCCGTCAAGTCCTACCAGAAGACTATCGCCGAGGCCAAGACCATCCTCTGGAACGGTCCCCCCGGTGTCTTCGAGCTGAAGCCCTTCGCTAACGCCACCGAGAAGACTCTCGATGCTGCCGTCAAGGCCGCCCAGTCTGGCTCCATTGTTATCATCGGTGGTGGTGACACTGCTACCGTCGCCGCCAAGTACAAGGTCGAGGACAAGCTCTCCCACGTTTCCACTGGTGGTGGTGCCTCCCTCGAGCTGCTTGAGGGTAAGGATCTGCCCGGTGTTGCTGCTCTGTCCAGTAAGTAAATGATCAAAAATAAACGGGTGGCGGGGGTTTTGCTAGCTTCTGTCGCTTCGAGCATGTTTATGAAACTGTAATGTACACAGCCAATGAATTTTTCTTTTAATTATACCATAAGAAGTTCCTTTGTTGTTAGATGGATGGCTAAGTTTGGTTTTGGCTAGGTACGATGCCCAAGCTTTGAGTGGGATCCTCGGTGGAGGATTTGCACATACTACATGGAATTGTAAATACAGGTCAATATACGGAGTACTCCACAAAGTCTTACGGTCAATCCCTGGAAGATGTTCCTAAATATACATGTACCACTCTTCTCCCATCTTGTAGGGAAGCTAGTACCCCAAACCCAGTGTCCTACCTAAAGAAACAGAATGATAATCCTCAAAGCCCAAGAAGCAAAGCCCATTCATATTGACGCAATAAAAAAGAGTTCATAAATTAAACAAAACATTTCTCATTCCCGACAAGCACACGTCCACCCATCGTCACTGACAGACGCGACCACTCTCATCTCCTCTCCTTCCTTTCATTCCAGTCCGTTAGTCCATTCTCATCCAGCGACAGAGGGTATAGGAAGCGCGCAATACGAGAGATGGAATGGAATGGCCGACCGATGTCGCAAGCAACGTCGAAAGCGATGCGGGGTTCGGTTCGTTCTGTAGATAGGATTGCGTGACTTGTCTTGGTTTTGTGCTTGGTGTTTTGTTTAGGATGACGCTTCGACTTTCTTTAATTCTTCTCTGTTGGAGGCGAGGATTGTTAGTTGTGGTCTTGATGGTTGTTTGGGGAGTGTGAGGTCATGTCATAGCTGGGGATGGGATTGGGATCGTGATTTGAGGGGGATGAATGGGATATTGGGCGTAGCCGAATAATGCATAGATGCGCGGCGCTACGGGGAAAGGGATAGCGAAGACATCACCGGCTATGGTGTCGATGCCCATCGGGAAATGAATACGCACTGGAGCTGCTTGGAGAAATCCTCCGCGGCATCATCATCATCCCAGCTCTCCTCCCAGAGATGCTCGCTTCCACCATTTGCCGTTGAGCCAGCGGTAGGCTCGGCTTCTTCCTGGGGCCAGTCTGTGTATTACTGTGTTAGTGTCTGGTGTCGTGGGAGGGTGAGGCGTTGCGGTATGGTACCTTCAACAGGGAAGTCCTCGAATTCGTCGTCTTCTTCCAGCACTTGGGGCTTCTGCTGCTGGGGCTGCTCCGAGAGCTCGGACTTTTGGGTGGACATTGTGGTATGTGATGTGTGTTGTTGAGAGAGATGAGGTGTTGGAGTTAGAGCTGTCAGAGCTGGGAGCGGTGACTAAGGCGATAGGCGATAAGCTGGAGGCAGAATATAAGAGAGTAACGTGAATAGTAGTTAATAGACAATACTTAAAAGCTAATAGCTAATAATTGTTATTTAATAGGTTAAAGTGTTCTGTTCGATGAACGGAATGTCCAAATAAGGAATTATACATCAAGATCCAGATCCAGATTTCGATCTCGCTAACTGCTTCGCCCCTCGGAGCTGCCGGCACGCCTAAGTCTTAAGTCCATGGGCTACTGTACATTATCTTGCCCCTCCCCGTCAGATTTGTTTCTTTCTTTGTCTCTTTACTCCTTCAATTTTTAATTCCAGGCAGATGTTCCCGGAAATCGTGCTCGGATTCGGCTTCACGTGGGACAGTCGACATTCTTCCCAATCCGGTGTTTTCTCACGCTTCGGTCTTTAACCATAATTGTGTTCCACTTTCCAAGTTAATCTTCCCCAACTCTGGGTTTGCACCATGTTGCGAGTCGGTTCATGGCTGTACGGCAAGAAGCCGACACAGTCGGTGGACTCCGCCGTTGAAACAAAAGACTGTAAGTGGCGCTGTGGTTTATCCCGGTTGACTCGTGCTGACGGTATTTGCGACAGTGGTGGAGGCGATGCAAGGTGTGCACCCATTGAACGTACAATGGAGAAACCAGCACTGACTCCAGTCCCAACTAGCGGCGACGCTCATCCTCAATGACGATGTCGACGGTGCAGAAGCCAATCTCGCTACAGGGTCCTCGACTTTCCACCTGGTGCGTGATCGTCACTATATCAGATGACGTAATATTGCTGACTGCGATACAGCTGGGCAAAGGCGTGGTCGCATTCGTACGAGCGACGTTAGGATTCGAGCAGGAGATTATGCGACAAGGTGGAGATATTTTCCGGATTTTAACACAATCATTCTGACTCGTGCAGCCTCCGAACGACTCGGCGAAGCGGAAACTAGCGCGGGCAACGACCAAACTCGCGCGCAGCAGAACGCCAATGCCCCCACTGCCTTCCACTCTGATATCTATGCTTCCGGCTCGGAATATGCGCTTTGCCAAGCTATTGCCCAGTTGATGAGTGCCGTTGTGGGGGTACTGAACGAAAGCCTGACGGAAAGTATCAAGGCTTTCTACAGACTGAGAAAGGCTTATATTACGCTAGACGCCATTATGAAGATGGAAGAAAAGTTTGTGGAATCACAAAATCTAAAAAAGGTGCTACTGCCCAGCACCAGCGACCTCTCGAAGTCGAGTGCCGAATGTCCGCACAACAAGTTAGACTTGTCGAGTCAGACCTCGAAAAGAGATGGCAAAGTGGCTACAGCTGAAAGTGCTGAGCTCAACCGATCATTAACCGGCTTGACCATAGCCCCAGAGGTAGCGTCTCCGGGTGCCTCGACAGGCATTTCAACGCCCTCTGCAAAGCACATTCATCACGACCCTGATTCGGAGATTTTCAAGAACGAAATCGACGTTTTCGTGCATTCCGGCTCTAACTTCTGCTTCGGCATTCTTCTTCTACTAATCTCCATGGTCCCGCCAGCGTTCAGCAAGTTACTTTCCATCATTGGCTTCCACGGCGACAAGCAACGGGGACTGAGGATGCTCTGGCAGGCCAGCAAGTTCCACAACTTGATCGGCGGCATGGCTGCCTTGGCATTGCTTGGCTATTACAATGGCTTCGTTCGCTACTGTGATATCATGCCTGACCCGACTCCTGGTGAGACCGATGTCGAAGGGTACCCCCAGGAGAGACTCGCTGCTTTACTGGCCGAGATGCGGTCCCGATTCCCTAAAAGTCAGCTCTGGCTGCTAGAAGAATCGCGCATGAAAGGTGCGAATAAAGATTTGGAAGGTGCTCTTCAGCTGTTGAGCACGAATACCAAGAGCCCGCTCAAGCAGGTTGAGGCATTGTGTGTTTTTGAGAAGAGTTTGAATGCATTATTCCTTCACGAATATGATGTCTGCGCTGAGGCATTCATTGAGGTAAAATTGTTATCCCTAATTCAAGAGACATTCCGCTAATTTTGCAGTGCGTGGATCTCAACTCCTGGTCCCGGTCACTCTATTACTACATCGCCGGATCATGTCACGTAGCCCTATACCGACGAAACATTTCCGACCCCAAGCTGGCCGAAGAACACGCCAAGAAAGCCGCTTTGTACATCCGCGAAGCACCCGCCCACGCCGGTAAAAAGCGTTTCATGGCCCGCCAACTCCCATTCGACGTCTTTGTCACCCGCAAAATCGCCAAGTGGGAAGCACGTGCCAAAGAGTGGAACGTGCCCCTGGTGGATGCCATCGGCGTGGACCCCATCGAAGAGATGATCTTCTTCTGGAACGGCCACAGCCGCATGACCGAAGCACAGCTCGAAGAATCCCTCACACGACTAGCCTGGTGTGAAAGCAACGCGAACAAGACCTGGTCCCGGGAAGGCACAGAAGAAAAAGCCATCCTGGAACTTCTCCGAGCGGCTGTCCTGCGCTCATTGTGCAAATACGACGAGGCGAAGAAGATCCTACAGACTCGCGTGTTGAATCATGATAAGTCCCTGTTCAAGGGCCATCTGAAAGACGACTGGGTACACCCAGTTGCGCACTTTGAGATGGCGGCTAACTCCTGGATGGAGCGTTCTACTTACCAGGCGCTTCATGGGTTGTCGGCAACCACTCCGGCAGTTGAATCTGACATGACATCCACCCACTCTGGGAGCAGTACCCAGATAGAAACCGAGAGGAAGCAGGTGCGCCATTGCAAGGAGTACCTCGACCACGCTGCTCGATGGGAAAGCTACGAATTGGATGCCCGCATCGGTCTCAAGGTCACAGCTGCCATGGAGGCAGTCCACAAGTGGGAGAGTATGCATCCATCCACTTAGGTCGGCTCATATAGGGTTCTACAGTCTAGAGGCGCTGTTCATATGGATACCTGTATCATACCATAGATATACATGTTTAGATGTCAAGATTCTCTTCTGTTGTATGCTGTGCACGTGACGTGACCAACGTCGCCAACCCTTACTGGCCAATCCTTCTCCACACACGGCCCGTCGGAGTTATTGCAGCCAATACTCTTTACAGCGACCCTCGAAATATGAGGTCTATATATTTGAAGCTGCAAGTACATGTACTTGTCCTGTCGAATACCTTGGTCTGAGTTGCATTCGGACAGATTCATATCAACACCCCGAAGTACAGGGTCCCCAATGGTCAACACGCCACCGAAGGAACCGGATAACACGGCTTCGCCGTCATCGGAGGTCCGAAAAGCGAGATCCGAAAAGCTTGAATAAAGCAATGAGGGTCCCCGACTCCAACGTGAACTCCAGTTGACTCCAGTTGACTCCAGTTGACCAGTACAAGCCTCAGCCCTGTCTTTGTGACTGCCCGCAATACCCACTTCCTCCGCTAAATCCGAGGGCAATATCTTTTTCCATCGGAGATTTTTTTTGGTCTCCGATTTTCAAGTTCAATTCCCCTCAAGCGGTCAGCTCTTCTCCAAGCTGCACTCATTATCAATGTCAACATCATATACATAATCCATAATCACCAAAATGACAGAACGTACACCCCACTCAAATCGCACCAGCATATCAACTGATAACATTGATATCGAGTCCCACCACAGTGACAGTCACAGCCGCAGCCACAGCAATGAAAGCGCCGTCACAGCACCACTAGAAAAACAAAGCACAACCGCATCAGGGTTATCCGTCTTCGAGCAGCGCGCACAATCGGTCATATCGCGCATTCGGAGTCGCGAGCCTGGGCAGACTGCTAAATTTACGCATCCGCTGTCGCATACGAAGACTACTGAGGATGCGATTGTTGATTTTGAGGGACCCGATGATCCTTATCGGCCGCTTAATTGGGGATTTAGGAAGAAGGCTGTTACTACTGTTTTGTATGGATTGACTACTATGGGTAGGTGATCTTTGGTTTTATCGTTAGTATTGATGTGGATGGGCTGATCTGTTTGATTTTGATTCTAGGGTCTACTTGGGCGAGTTCTGTGTAAGTTTTTAATTACTTTGAACTGTTTTGTGGATTGGGACTAATGTTACTTGTTGATAGGTATTCGACTGGCCAGGCTCAGATTAGTGAGGAGTTCGGTGTTTCCAACGAGGTTTCTACACTGGGTACATCATTGCTTTTGTTCGGATTGGGACTGGGACCGTTAATCTGGGCGCCTCTTTCGGAAGTGTTTGGGCGCAAGCCTGCTGTGCTAGCGCCGTACTTCCTCGCGGCTATCTTCTCGTTTGGAACGGCTACTGCGAAAGACCTGCAAACTATTATGATTACTCGGTTCTTCACGGGCTTCTTCGGTTCGGCTCCTGTGACGAATACTGGCGGTGTCCTGGGTGACATCTGGACCCCCGAACAGCGTGGAGCTGCCATTGTTGGTTATGCTATGGCAGTGGTTGGCGGGCCTGTCCTCGGTCCCATTGTTGGTGGTGCCATTTGCCAAAGCTATCTCGGCTGGCGATGGACTGAATACGTGAGCATCTTCCCTGGCTCCCCGTACCAATGTTCCCCACTGACAGATTTCAGATCACCGGAATAATGATGATGTTCTTCCTAATAATGGACCTCCTTTTCGTGGACGAGAGCTACCCACCAGTCCTACTAGTCTACAAAGCCCGCCGCCTCAGATTCGAAACAGGAAACTGGGCCCTCCACGCTCGCCACGAGGAATGGGACGTAACCTTCAAAGAACTGGGTAACAAATACCTAGTCCGACCCTTCCAACTCCTCTCAACCCCAATTTGCTTCCTAGTCGCCCTCTACGCCTCCTTCGTCTACGGCATCCTTTACCTATCCCTAGCAGCTTTCCCAATCGTCTTCCAAGAAGGGCGTGGCTGGAACCAAGTCGTCGGCGCCCTTCCTTTCCTCGCATACCTAGTCGGCATCTTAATTGGCGGCGTCATCAATCTCGCAAACCAAAGCTTCTATCTTAAGCGCTTCAAGGCAAATGGTAACCGCGCAATTCCAGAAGCTAGACTTCCACCGATGATGATTGGATCTGTCCTTTTCGCCTCTGGATTGTTCGTCTTCGGCTGGACGAGCCCGAAAAACATTCATTGGATTGCTCCCTTGATCGGTGCTGTCATGATGGGCTTCGGCTTCTTTACTATCTTCCAGGCTGCGCTAAATTATCTTATTGATACGTTCCAGAAATACGCTGCTAGTGCTATTGCCGCGAACACGTTCTTGCGGTCTATCTTTGCGGGTTGTTTCCCGCTTTTCACTACGGCCATGTTCCATAACCTTGGTGTGCCGTGGGCTGCCAGTGTACTCGGCTTCATTTCTATCGCGCTTATTCCTATTCCGTATTTGTTCTATACATACGGAAAGAGGATTCGGGCCCGTGGGTTCTGGTCGCGTGAGTCTGTTTGAGTTCTGATATGAGCATGAGACATAATTTGGTGGTGCTATGCTATACCTTGTACATATCTGTGGCTGCCCCCCCCCCCCCCACTTGCATTGGAGATACCCTTGAATTTCAACTATCTTTCTTACCTTGCCATCGTGACTGACATGATGGGATTGAATCTACGAGCGAAATACATTTCATCCTACCCTAAGGTTCAATGCTTTTACTTTGTTAGATTACGAATTACGAATTGGGGACTGTTCAATAGAGACGTTTCAATGTATTAGAGTATGACAGAAAGCAAACAAAGCACGATAAATCAGAATAGATAGGATAGGAAATAGTAACGAGAGAAAGGTAGTAAGTATAGACCGTGTATCCGATCCGATAATCGAGGTCATAAAGACGTAACCGGAACACAAACACAAACACATATAGCGTAAACATGGATACAAAGGAAATAGAAACAACGGGAAATAATAGTGATAGAGAGGATCATTTTCCACCTTTTCCAAATCAACATCAAGTTTGGTAACCTTTGTTTTCTTTCTTTCTTGTTTTTTTTTTTTTTTTTTTTGTTGCTTTTGCTTTTCCGTTGCAGTCAGTCATCTCCAAGCTGATACTATGATCAAGCCCGTCCCGCGACCAACGTATTGTTACGTCGTGTGAGCTTGCGCGCCAGCGTCTTGGCCTTTAACCAGGTTTTCTTCTTCTCAACGCGAGCCATGGGCTCAGGGGAGTCAAGAACTGCCCCGGTAGCAAGGTGCTCAGTGGAAACATCATCAACATGCTTGGTATTGTGCAGAGCAAGGACAGCCATCTGGCCGAGGAATGAAGGATGTTCGATGAGATCCTCGAGGCGGACCTTGAGGCCTTCCTGCTCAAGTAGCCAAGTAAGCTGGGCCAGGTTGAAGATATCACCTCCAAGGTCAAAGAAGGATGAGTCGAGCTGGAAGGTCGATTGGTGACTTGGCTTCTCGTCGGTGTCCGAGCCGATTGGCGCGGTTGGCGTGCGGCTAGGTAGGACCTGGTGCCAGGAGCGGGAGAGAATGTCAGAGTGCACGAGGAGCTCGGCGATGGAGCGGGACTTGAGGTGTGCGCTGAGGAAGTGCTCATCTGAGGGACGGGGTAGGTCGTCAATTGTCTGGGCTGGAAGGGAGCGGAGCATGCTTGCTGATGGCAGTGATGCGCTTGGGTTTGCGACTAGAGACTGTGCAATCTCGCAGGCCATGTCGAGGACCTTTGATGCAAACGAGGGCATGATTGGGCCCTTCTCAGAGTAGCCTAGGGTGACATCGAGGCCGCGTTCGCCTGAGGGGCGCGAGACCATGGTGAGGTCGGCAAGGTTGTCATTGACGCCAACGCCACCCATGCGGTACTTGGTGGTGTCCAGCTCGAGGGTGCCTTCGTAATCGACGTTCTGGTGAAAGACTGAAGTGGTAAAGTAGGTCCAGGCCGGCCAGTCAGTGCATTGCTTGATGATCTCGCGGAAGCCGAGAGACTCGAAAGGCATGTTGGAGACCTGCTGGTCTTGGATGTAACGGAAGAGGTCGAGGCCTGTCCAGTTCTCGCTTAGATTGACACGAACTGGGATGACGTTCACACATGGACCAACGGTGTTTTCAATACCAGGCACTGTGGCGTTGCGGCCGCTGATTGTGAGACCGAAGACAACGTCAGACTGGGCGGACAGTTTGGCGAGGGTGAGAGCCCAGGCAGCCTGCATGACAGTCGCGATAGTGACATTACCAAGGGCGGTTGGTGAGATCTCAATGCGCTTGTGAATCTCAGTGAATGCTCCAACGTTTTGGAACATGCTGGTACCCTTGCGGCGCACAACTTGGGTCATTTGAGATCCCTTGAGGAGATCAGCCCAGTGACGGTAGTGGTCGGGGCCAATTGTACCCGGCAGCTGTCGAAGGTAACTTGCATAGGGAGTGACTGGTGGCAGGGGGCTCCCCTCGTATCCATGCTTCATGGCAGCCATGATCTTGGACAGGCAAACTCCATCATACTGAGTGTGAGACAGACGGATCAAGATACGGTGCTGGTCGCTACCCTTCTTCTTGACAACGTAGAACTGGATGTACTGCTCTCCTTCGCGGGGACCGTATTCACGGTCACGCTGCTGTAGGGTCATGGTGAACTCGTCGAGAGCACGATCAGTCTCATAGACAAAGATGCTAGGACGGATCTTGCGCAACACGACCTGGAAGAACTGGTCGTGGAAGCAGACAAAGACAGTCCGCAGAATGTCGAAAGCATCAACGACCTTCAGGCAACTCTCGCGAAGGCGTCGCAGATCGAGGGGACCATTACCCTCCAGGTAGAAATAGTTAAGCATCCACCGGGACTTGAAGAGAGTTGCTGTCAGGGACATTGCCTGGAAGTCAGTGACAGGGAGAACATCTGCGATGCCACCCTTAAAAACACCAATCTTGGGGCAGATTCCACGCTGAACATCGGCCTCATCAACACACGAGGGCTTGAGCATCTCAATACTCTCGGAGGATGGGGTAGGTCCTAACATTGTTGGGCCAAGCATGGTTGGAGTGCTGTCAGCATACTCTTCTTCTTTGGTTATGGCAGATTGAGGTTGGAGATCCTGGTTCAACATCTGCTGGGTGACGTTGGCCGCGCGAACAGTGGCAACCATATCCGCGAAGACAGGGTTGTTGAAGACATCCGCGACGGTGAGAACGAGGCCTTCTTCACGAGCAGCGCTGACCATCTTCATGGCGGTGATACTGTCACCACCCAATTTGAAGAAACTATCCTGATGTCTTACCACGTTGGGCGAGAGACCAAGAGCTGTACTCCAAAGGTTCCATAATTTCCTTTCCACATTGGCTGACATCCCCTCTTCGCTGGAGCGAGATGTTGCCGAACAAACACCCGAATCATCGGCACCTTGAATACCCATCTGGTATGGCGAGTCCGTAGTGACACCCGGACGGACGTAGTCAGACAAGCCAGTAGTTTGAATAGAGGGCACCTGCAATTTCCCATCTCTTAACATCTTCGCAATTATCTCATGAACACGATCGTCAATGATCTTTTGAATGGCACTGCTGTCCATTGCTTCTCCAGTGGATTTGGCCTTGTCAGCCAGAGTGGTCTGAGAGCGATCCCAATCCACCGACTCCGACGAAGCGTCGGCACCAAACTTGGCCTGAGATAGGGTGGTAGTCGAGGATTCAATGAATCCGGTGAAGACTCTTGCAATGGTATCAGCCAGAGCCTGTGCCTGTTCGTCAGACACAACATCGTTCCAATATCTCAAAAGAATACCCTCTTGACCACGGGCAATCTCGACGTTCACAGTAACCGCATACTAGATTTCGTTAGCACTTGAAGGACTGATGATCAAAATGCACTTACTTCGCTGGGGTCATGTGCATGCTGAAGATCAAACGACAGACCCTTGTCCTTAAAGCCACCCGCGACCGAGTGGTTCTGAATGGACAGTGTGGTATTAAAGAGAGACTGTCCTTGAATACCAAGCTCATGTTGGATACTGGCCAACGAGCAGCTCTGGTGAGGAATGCACCTGAAGTAATCATCCTGTACACTCTTGGACAAGCTGGCGAGGGTCTGCTGACCAGAGAATTGCACTCTGCAGCAGAGCATGTTGATAAAGATACCAACCATGTCCTGGATGCCATTGACAGGGGCGTCGCGACCAGCAGATAGATATCCGAAACATACGTCATCGGATTGGGTGAATTGGCGCAATACAATAGCCCAGGCGGACAGAGTCAGATTGGCGAGAGTTACAGAGCTCTGTTCGCAGAAGGTGAGCAACTCAGGGAAGCGCTGGAAATTCATCATCACTCCCTTCAGCTCACGTTTGAAGCCAAAATCAGCGGTGTGGGCAACATGGCAGGGACGGACTCCCCCGAGGTACTGCTTCCAGTGACCAAGAGCCTCGCTCTGGCTTTGGGTGCGGATGAACTTGATGTAGTCACTGAAGGCAGGACCGGGGCCCTCGAGAAGTTTGCGCTCGTAGGCTAGAGGTAGATCACGAAGAAGGACATCGACCGACCCACCGTCAATGATGGCGTGGTTGATCTCCAGCTTGAGGATGACCCGTCCACTGTTTGTCTTACAGACAGTCATCTGGTGTGAAAGTTTCAATTGCCGCATGGCATTCGAGTCACGGAGGGAGATTGTGGCGAGTTTCTCCTCGACGTGGGAGTCGTGACATTCCACACGGAGGATGCTGCTGGTGACGTTCTTGAGCACGAGCTGGTCAAATGATCCACCCGTGTAGCTGCTGTCCACAAAGATAGTTCGAAGCACAGGGTGACGAGCGACAATTGCTTGCCAGGCTTGAGCAAGTCTCTCTGCATCGACCTTGCCACCCTTTGCGTCCTTGATTTCAAACACAGTGTGGAACATGTAGGCATCGGGGTCGCGTAGCTGGCTGAGCAAGAGACCCTCCTGCATGGGCGAGCAGGGGTAGATATCCTCAACATCATCAGTGCTGCGGATACCAGCCTTGCGGAAGGTGCTTGTGGTAAGCATCTGGAGGCCATGATAGGTGATGGGGAGAAGAGGGTAGTCGCTGAGGGTAGGCTCGGGGGCGATTGACTTCAGAGCCATAAGGTCCTTCTCTAAAGTCTGCTTGCACTGCAGGATCCATCGCCGGACCTGAGGCTGATACTGCGTCTTTCGGTTATAGCTGAAGGCAACATTGAGACGCTCTTTGATAACGATAGCAGAAAGCTCGAAGAGAGCAAATCGATGGGTTTGAGGGCCCATGTCACCGGCGACAGCAAAGTCCGAGTTGTCGAAGACACTGCCGTGATGGTGGAAGAGAGAGTCGGCGCGCTCCAGCTGCTGGAGTCGGCCGAGATAGTTAAAGAGAATCTCCAACGGAATAGGGAAGCTAGAAGAAGCCGCATCATTCTGGAGAAGACTCTTAGCAAAGTAGGGTCTTCCGTTGTAAGTGATCTTGCGGCGAGTATCCTTGACGCGCTTGATAATGTCGGTTATACCGGCTGTTTCAATTAGCATGCAATCAGATAGTTGAATTGAGTATGAGTTTAACTTACTAGCACCTCCATCAATAAGAAGTGGTGCCATGGTGGTGAACCAGCCAACGGTCCTGGAAAGATCGATGCTGGCATCCCACGGCTCTCTGCCATGCCCTTCGTTGTAGATTGTGGGAACCTTGCGATCAGTAAACACGCGACCGAAGGAGTGAATAATCGCAGAGAGTAGAATATCAACGGTGTCAGTGCGGAAGACATCGTGACAGCCATCGAGAATAAACTTGGTGGTCTCCTCACTCAAGCAGAACGATTCCATCTTGAGATCACCGTAGACATTGGGCGAGTCCTGCATACCCCAGTAGCTCAGGTTCGGCTTCTCAGGGGTGAAAGGCAGGGCGATATTTGCGTCATGGGTCTTCAATCTCTCAGTCTGCATAGCGCACCAACTCTGGAAGGAAAGTGCTTTGTCCATCGACAGGGATCCAGAAACAACCAACTCTTCGAGGTCCTGCAGGACAATGCGCCAAGAGACCATGTCGATGCACAAATGATGAGCAACAAGGAAGAGAATCTGTCCACCAGCACGAAGATTGAACAGATCAGCAGCAAGGATAGGTCCGTTCTGGGGATCTAGAGACCGCTGGCTATCGGCAATCTTGGGAACCATTGCGCGAGTATCACTGACAGAGTGAACATTAAACCGGAAAGACTCGTCAACCTCCGCAGCAGTCTTTTGCTGCCAGACGCCGTTCTTTGAACTGAAACGTGCGCGGAACATTGCGTGTTGACTAATGACGGCTTTGATGCTACGTCGGAGCACCTCTCCCTCAACGCGGCGGGAGATACGGACAGTAATGCTCTGATTGAAACGAGCATCGCCCTTGAAGGAGTGCGAGGTCTGCACGTACAGCTTCTGAACAGGCGAAAGCGCAAAGCCTTCGCCAGACTTTTCCTCGCGCTGGGTAACAATGACCTTTGCACTGGCGCTCTGGGCAAGTTCCTTGACAGACCGACTCTGCAAGATATCGTGTAGCGTAACGACCAGGCCTTGCTTGCGGGCTCGGGAGATGACAGCCATACCAGTGATACTGTCTCCGCCTGTGAAGATAAATAAGTATGCTAGATGTACCCAAGAATCATAGAACACTCACCTAGACTAACGAAAGATCGGTCAACATTGACCTTTTGCAGTGAAATGTTGAGAACCTGTGAGAAAATTTCCTGTATAATTTTGAGAGAGCCAATCTTGTCTTGCTCTCGCGGCTTCTCCTCGGTCTTACCACGCTTGATGCGATCATAATCAGCCATGATGCGCTCGTATGATTCGTCATCAATGTCCTCAAGCCAAGCTGTAATCTTCTTCCTGTCCAGCTTGCCGGAGACGAGCATGGGAAGCTTCTTGACCAAGGCCCAGGTCTGGGGCACCATGTAGATAGGTAACTGGGTCTCAAGGCTCTTCTGAACATCAACAAGTTCACTGTAAGCGTGACGCTCCAGTTCATGCTCATCAGCAAGCTCGCAGGGCTTGTCAGAGATCAACTTGGTGTCAGCAGCGACACTGTTGAGAGACATAACAGTAACGAGGCGCTGCTTGAGCGGGCCATTCTTTGGCAGAATGACGACGGCGTGGCGAACACGAGGGTCTTCGTACAGGCGGTGCTCGATTTCACCCAGCTCCATGCGCTGACCGTGAAGCTTGACCTGGTGGTCCTTCCGGCTTATATACTCAATGGAGCCATCAGGGTTGTAATAGCACAAATCGCCGGTCTTGTAAATACGACGGGGCCCATCAAGCTTGGAATCGAAGTCCTTGATCCAAGCTGGGTCAGTAACGAATGCCTCCGCATTCTTCTCCGGGTTCTTAAGATACTCTCTTGCAAGCGCTGCGCCCTCGAGGGCCAGTTCACCAACCGCACCAAGAGGAGTGAGGCGGTCATGGTTGTCAGGATCAACGATCCAAGTCAAAGTACTGGGTATACCGTAGCCAATACGGGCAGGATCACGGCTGGCCGCCACTGCATTGTCGATTACCGCAAAGACACAGGTTTCAGTAGGTCCGTACCCGTTCATCAAATGAACGGTGTTAGCCCACTTGGTGATAACCTCCTTGGACATCTTTTCACCACCGCAGACCAGGTGCTTCAGGGATGGAACCGACGCTGGCTCAATGATGCTGGCAATGGATGGGGTGAGGAAGGTCCAAGTAACATTTAGTCGACGGATTGCGCCGGAGACATCGTTGAGACGATCATCCTCACTGGGGACACAGATGGTGCCGCCCAACATGAGGATTGCAAGTGTCTCCATGATAGCGGCGTCGAATGTCAGGGATGCGAATTGGAAAACGCGGGACGTGGCGTCCATGCTGACCATGGGGGCGAAGGCCATGATACTGCTGACCACGTTGCGATGCTCTACGATGATCCCCTTGGCACGTCCGGTACTGCCGGATGTGAATAGGGCATAAGCCATGTTGGAGGGTTGGACAGGTGTGCGGCCCCGGTTGGATGCCTTGAGCGAGCCGTAAGCCTTGATGGTCTCCTTGCTGATGGGGATAACGGTCTTCACCACACGGCTGTACCGGTTGGTGTAGTTTGGAGTGCAAAGTATCATGTTGGCACCAACATCGGCGAGAATCTCCTCGTGGCGGGAGGTAGGGTGAGAGGGATCAAGGGGCACGTAACCACCACCGGCGATGAGGATACTGATGAGTGTCACCATGGCCCAAGCCGACTTGTCAAGACAGACTGGGACAAAGACCTCTGGTCCGACTCCGCGAGAGATGAGGTAGTTGGCAAAGCCAGATGCGAGGTCCCAGAAATCTCGGTAGGTGAGATCACCATCCCAAGCGCAGACGGCAGGAGCATCAGGAGTCTCGGCGGACTTCTCGCGGATAAAGTCTTGGACGCATCGCTCGACCACAAGAGGTGCTCGACCGTTCCATTTACTAATCTCAGCCTTGTCCTCCGGGCTGACCATATCCAGGTCACCAATCTTAGTGGCGCTGTTCTTTGGCAGTGCAATCAGCTGCCCGAGAACATGGCCGAATTGTTCTGTGATGCGCTTTGTCTGCCAACCATTGATCACAAGTTCATCGTGGTGCACAGTGAATGAGATGCTGGTTTTGGATATGCCACATTCGACAACAAGGGGATGAGTGAAGAAATCCTCGCTAGTCTCGCGCTTCTCGTCAATCCAGATCTTGTTGTCCAGATCACCATCGTTGGACTGGATCACGAGCAAGTTCTTGAAGTCGCAACCGGTGGCGGTGTCCTTGTTGATCTGACGAATGCGCTGTAGACCGGAGTGCAAGTGGGGAATCATTTTAGTTGTTGACTGGTGAATCTTCTGGAGGTACTCGAGGGTCGACATGGCGTTGTCAACTTGGACACGAGTAGGGACGGTGCTCAGCACAGGGCCAGCAATCTGGGCAACACCAGGAAGATCAATATTTCTGCCAGACAAGGTCTCGCCGAAGCAAACATCACTAGATGAAGTGTGGATGGCAACAACAATAGCCCAAGCAGCCCGCATGAGAACAGGGATGGTGAAGTCGACGCTGCCCGGAGTTCGGGAAACCTTCAGAGTGTGGTACTGGGTATTTCCAGCGCGGATGGCATCGGGCACTGCGTTTTTGTTCTGGGGGAAGGGAGTGCGGGAAAGACCTTCCAAGTAAGACTTCCAGAACGCATCTGACTCTGCCATGTCTTTGTTGACTAGGTAGTCAATGAAGAGGCTGTAAGGTGTTCCAACGCGCTTCGTCTGTGCAGCAAGGTAGTTCTCCTCAACCTTGCGGAAGACTAGTGGGATACTCCATCCGTCGTAAAGCGCGTGGTGAACAGACCAAACGAAGTAGTTGGTAGATGATCCATACGGCTGAACCATGGCATAGCTGGTCAGAGGTGCACCATTTTGCTTTGGCAGGTGCATTATGTCAAGGGGAAGAGAGTCAAACGACTCGGCGTGCACCCAGGAAATGGGAGCGTCCTTCAAGACAACCTGGGCGAAGTTCATGGCTTCAGTGTGAACAATGCGGGTGCGCAGGATTTCAAGGTCGGCGACAGTCTGCTGCCAAGCATCCTTAAATCGGTTGACATCAATACCATTCGCAAGGCGGAACGCAGGCTGAGCGACATAAGAGCCGCTGTGCTTGATGGAAAGAGTGAGAAGACCCTCTTGAACAGCGCTGCATGGGTAGACATCGCTGATGAGGTCCTTGGACACCTCGCAGTTGTCGGTGACTTCATCAAGTAGACCCTCCTTGTCAACATTATAAGGCAGGAGACAGAAGGGCTTCACAGCGGCGGGCTGGGCGTCAACAGTCTCAGCTGTGGTGGCGCAGCTCTTAGCCATGTCAATCAGAATTGGGGTGTTGAAGATGCTTGATACAGTGAGGGAGATTCCTTCTGCTTGAGCCGCGCCAACAAGGTTCATGGCGGACAGAGAGTCTCCACCCAGGGCGAAGAAACTATCATCAGGAGTGACAGAACCTGCCTCGAGTTCCAGGGTGTGCTCAACGAGGGCCACGATCTTGGCCTCCATGCCATCAGCGGAGGCTTCTTCTTTCTTGTCGGATGCATTGAAGGTAATGTAAGACTTGAGGGTCTCCTTGGACAAAGATTGAACCATTGCCTTCAGTCTTCGGCGATCAATCTTGGCCGAAGAAGTAAATGGAAGGTTGCGAATGGGGAAGAATAGTCTCGGCATCATGCTCTGTGGAAGTAGATCAGGCAAAGATGCCTTCATCTTCTGGATGGCATCCATGTTGGACACGGAGATGGGCAGCAGCAGAGAATCGGCTCCAGGAATGGTTGGGGCGAATTGATCGCTGCTTCCACCATTGGAGGCAGGGTTGTGCACAGTGAAGAATGCAGCGAGTCCCTTTGCGATGGTCCGCTCCTCGGGAACAACAACATCGACCGCGACCTGGGAATCTTCAGGAAGGCATCGGAGACACTGGTGTTCGATCTCCTCCAGCTCAATTCGTTGGCCATTGAACTTAATCTGGGTGTCCTTTCGGGAGATGAATGCAAGAGTGCCGTCGCTGTTGTAGCGCACCAGATCACCAGTGCGGTACATACGGTCCTGACGCTTGAAGAGACCCTGAAGGCCAGCGTGCTGGTTCCAAGCGGGTTTCTCGAAAAACGCAGCCTTGGTTTTTGCTTCGTTGGCTAGATAGCCACGGGCAATGTTGCTTCCTTCCAAGATCAGCTCACCAACAGCTCCAACGGGAAGAAGTCGGTTATAATTGTTGGGGTCCACAATCCAGACTCGGCAGTTAGCAGCACGACCAATGGAGGTAGGATCATCGTTCACACGGTTTCCATCCCAATCAATCTTGACGCCAACGGTAGCGACAACAGTGGCCTCGGAGGGACCGTAGGCGTTGATGACGAATCGGTCGGCCCAGCGGTCAATGTGGTTAGAAGGCATCTTCTCGCCACCGGTGATGATGGTCTTGAGGGTGGGGACTGTCTTGGGCTCTAATGTGTTGACAATTGCAGGAGGAGCTGACATGTAATTGGCCTCCATGCGGCGAATCGCTCCGCCGAGGTTGTTCATACGCTCTTCCTCGCTGGGAACACAGACACAACCACCAGTCATAAGCGTCATCATGATCTCCAGAACACTAACATCGAAGGTGTAGTTCGAGAATTGAAGCGCACGGGTCCCGGAATTCATGTGCAACGCATCTTTCATGGCAAAGGCGGTGGTACTCAAAGCCGTGTGCTCCACGACCGTGGCCTTGGGCTTTCCGGTGGTACCGGAGGTAAAAATAGCGTAGGCGGCATTACTAGGACCAGGTCGAATACAAGGCATAGCCAGAGGCGAGTCAGGGATTTGCGAGATGGAAGTTTGGCAAACGGCGAACGACTTCTCACACAGCTTGGAGACCTTTGCGTGGACCGAAGAAGAGCAGAGGACAAGCCCAGTTCCAATTTCATCAATCAGCATCTTCAGACGGGAATCTGGATGCGAGGGATCAATAGAGACGAAAGCTCCACCGGCCTTGAGAACAGCCAACTGGGCAACAACAGCCCAGGCGGACTTCTCGAAACACAGGACGACGAAGACTTCCGGCTTGATATCTAATCCAGAGAGGTGGCGGGCAAGGCGGCTGGAAACAATCTCGAGCTGGCCATAGGTGAAGTTCTTATCCCATGAGCAGACAGCCTCAGCGCGGGGGTGCAGGAGCGCCTGCTGCTGGATGAGCTCGTCGGCACACTTCTCAACTCTGGGAGGCGAGACGGCGTTCCAATCGCGAATTTGGCGAATTGAACGCTCGGGGATAAGATTGAGGTCCCCTACAGTGTCATCGTGCAGGTTGAGAGTGATGATGTTATCCAAAACCTGGTCGAACATGTCGATCACATGGTTGATCTGAGAAGGGGAAAGGGTTTCGGAGGAGTAATTGAAGTGGATCTCGGCAAAGGAGGACGAGACTTCAGCTTCAACCAGGATGCTGTATGTGTTAGAGGTGCTGGACTCTGGGATACTTCCCTTGGCCAGGGATGAGGCTTTGCGGTAGGTTAGAGAGGTATTAAAGAGGGTAGTATCCTCGAGTCCGAGCTGGCGCTTGACTGAATCCGAAGAAGTGATGTTCAGAGCGCCCTTCTCGGTATCGGCCTTGGCCTGCTGGAAAATATCCAGCAGCTTGCGCTCATTGTGCACAAGGAAGCGACAAGCGGCGATGGACCGGGGGTCCAGCCTCTTGTCCTCCGAGGGCGAGGTGGAATATCCGAAGCAAACATCGTCTGATCCAGTGAACCACCTTAGGACAACAGCCCAGGCAAACTGGAAGAAAGTCTCGACCGAGATGCCAAACAAGTTACCAAAGGCATGAGTCGTGGCAGTCTGCTTGTTCAGTGTACGCGTGCAGCGACCTTCATTACCTGGCTCGTGTGATAGCGCAGGGAAGACGCAAGGCTCAACCTCGGCGAGATACTCCTTCCAGAAAGCAGCATCGCCCTCGGAGAGACTGGCGTTTCGGGAAGTTCTGTTGCCAGCCTTGGTACCAGTCCAGTTCTTGATCTCGAAAGATGCCAAGACACTGCTTGAAAGCTGCTGTGTCTCCGATTTGAGGGCCTGGTGGTTTAGCTTGCCAGAGGAGGTCAATGGCAGAGATGAGATGGGGATGTAAATACTAGGAACCTTGCTGTTGGATAAGCTAGTGCTAAGATGGTTGTGGAGACTGATGACAGTGGACTTCAGATCGGCGGTGGGGGATTGAATAACGCGTTCGCCGAACGTTGCTGAAGGAATATCTGCACAGACCAGGAAGGCGACGAGGGCGTCAACACTAGCGGCGTCCCGTTTGAATGAGATGGTTTCCACAAGGCACTTCTTGTTAGCCCCCAAGAAGTTGTCAATTTGTTGGTGAGTATGCGCCAAGTCAACAGCCAAAATAGTCGCTTTCTTATCGCTCTTGCTTCTAACGAGAACAAGAGATCCATCGGAGTTGTAGCGGACGAGGTCTCCGGTCTTGTGAATACGGTGCTTACCGTCACCGTGTAGACCGGAGAACCATGATGGGTTCTCGAAGAAGTCGTTGGACTCGAACATGTTGTCGAGGTAGCCACGAGCCACAACGGGGCCCTCAAGAGCGAGTTCTCCAACACTGCCAATTGGAACAAGTGTGTTGGAGTTCTCGGTGTCAACAACCCAAGCGAGACAGGAGGTGCTCTTTCCGATCAAAGTGGCCTCCTCCTGATCAAGAGAACAGAACTGGTGGAAGCAAGCAGAGGAGCTTTCGGTTGTTCCATAAAGGACCTGAAGATGAAGATCATCGGTCTTCCAGGTTTCTAAAACACTCTGTGGGACAACCTCTCCGCTCAGCGCGAGGGATCGCAGACCCGGCACATCTTTGGGAGAGAAGAAGCTTGCAGCGGTAGGAGTGATGCTGGCGACGTTGGCGTGGAGACCATTGATAGATGTAGCCAACTTGAGAGGGTCAATGTCAGCTGGAATGCAGACGCAGCCACCCCACATGAAAGTACCGAACGCCTCGAGGAGGAACGCATCGGAGGTGTGAGGAGCGAACTGCAACGTGCGCGACACATCAGCGATTGCCATGGTTGTAGCAAATGCCTCAGCGCGACTCATGACGGTCGAGTGCTCTAGAACTACACTCTTTGCAGGGCTGGATGTGCCACTGGTCATGGCAACATATGCGACATCGGATGGGTTAGTCATGGGCTTCAGGACCTCGTCAGCGAGGTATTCGAGCAGGGACTCGCTGACAGGAATGACATAGGGAACAATGTCCTCGAGAGTTTGAGCCTTCTCGGGTGAAGCCAGAGCGACCTGTAGAACGTTGTCGGCAATCCGCTTCTCAACCATAGGCGAGTTTTGGATGTTTTCCAGCGGCATGCAGCCACCGCCGGCCTTCATGACAGCCAGGACGGAGACCATGTTCCAGATGGACTTCTCAAAGCAGACAGGGACTAGGGTTCCAGGAGCTACGCCAAAGTTGGCTAGGTAGGTGGCGAGGCGCGAGGAGTATTGATCAAGTTTGGAGTAGGTAAGGTTTCCATCCCAAGCAATGACGGCGAGAGCATCGGGGCGCTTCTTGGCCATTTCTTGCACAACGTGGTGCGCACATTTCTCAAAAGGCTTGGGAGTCTTGCTGTTCCAAATCATGATCTGGGCTTTGTTGTCCTCACTGAGGCTGTCGAGCTGGCTGACCTTGCCGTCAATGTTGGAAACAATGTTTTCGAGGCACTTGACGTAAGTGTTGGCAACGTTCATAGCTTGGGCATCCGACAGGTTGCTGGTCCAGTAGTTGAGATCGATACGGGCTTTGTTATCCATGGCCTCGACATTGATAAAAACTGGGAATTCAGCTGGGTCATGGATTGATCCGACCTCGATGCACTCGATGTCACTTTGGACAGCATCCTTGGAACTCGGGAGGCGCCGGTAAGAAATACCCGAGTTGAAGAGATTGGTATCAGACAATTTCAAAGCATGTTGTATATCAATGAGGGAGGTATGGCGGAAGGTTATGCTCTCCATGTAGTCATTCTGAACTTGTTGTAGGACGTCGTTGAGGTTGGAGTCACCAGAGACCCGCATCCGGCAAACCAGAAGGTTAATCACGGGGCCGACGACCCACTGAACTTGATCAACGGAGACATCGCGCAGTGAAGCCATGTAACTGAAGGAGACATCATCAGATCCACAGAAGGCACGGAGAGTCAGACCCCAAGCAGCGTTGAACACATTGGCCATCGTAATGCCGCGCTTCTCGCAAACGCTCGATAGTTCAGAGAGCGCACTGAATTGGACAGGAATAGACCGGAGGCTCTTCGCGGACTTCTCACCATCCACCAGGGTGGGGAAGTGGCAAGGGTTAGCATCAGCCAGATAAGAGCGCCAGTAGTTCATGCTGGCTTCCTTGGGGGCATCCTGCAGGTATTGCATGTAGTCCTTGAACAAGGGCTGCGGGCTCTCCTCGAGTCTTCCGGCGTATGCCAACTGCAAGTCACGCAGAATGATCGAGATGGAGTTACCATCCATGGCGGCGTGACTGAGTTCAATGCGGGCAAAGAGGCGACCAGTGGGCGTCTGGCAGATGGAGAAGCGATACGCCGGAGCCAGGTCGCTATAATCTTTTGCATCTTGCTTGTCGAAGATAGCGAGAACGTCGCTATCACTGGAAGATTGCAGGAAGACTGGAGTGGCATCGTAATTCTTGAGCACAACCTGGCAGAAGGGATCCCGAGGAGTAAGATTTTCTGCGAAGATAGTGCGGAACATGGCATGATGGGCCACGACTTGCTGCCAGGCATTAACGAGTCGATCCAAGTTGGGCTGACCAGCTCCAGTGCCGCGGATCTCAAATGTGTCGTGGACGGCGTAGTAGGAGCTGTCGCGGGTACGTCCAAGCAGAATACCCTGCTGCATACGAGAGCAAGGATAAATATCTTCCACAAGATTCGGGGATTCAATACCCATTGCTGGCAGCTTCTCGGTGAGCATCTTCTCCAATGTCTGGTAGGTCAATGAGAGCATCGGGAATGAGCTGAGAGTCACACGAGGCGACACATATGGAAGCTGCTCAGAAAGGGAAACGAGCAACTGCTGGCAGTCGGAAACCCACCGGTGGATGCGGTTCTGGTGCTGCATGATTTTGTTGAACGAGAAATTGAAACGAACCTTGCCAGCAACCACCATAGCAGAAATCTCGAACAAACCAAAGCGAGGGGTGTCACGTCCAAAGTCAGCGGCACCACCTCCTTGGCCAGCCTCACCGGCCATGTGATCGACAAGCTGGAAGAGTCCATCCTTGCGCTGAAGGTCACGGTGCTGACCGACATAATTGAAGGACATCTCGAACGGATGGGGGTGCTCGGATCCGGTCCTGCCGTCGGTGGGCATCACTCGGCTAGTAAAGTCTGCACGACCGTTGTCCGAAACACGGCGACGGAGATCCTTCACCTGCATGAGCGTATCAATTGGGTTGTCAGACTTGTATGAGGAGACAAAGATCGGTTGCAGAATCGTGAACCAGCCGACAGTGTGGGATATATCGATCGATGAGTCCCAAGCTTCACGTCCATGACCTTCATTGTAGATCGTCGGTAGAGCACGGTCAGGGAAGGACCGCCCAAATGAGTGAATCATTGCTGCAAGGAAAAGATCTATCAGCTCTGTTCCGAGGGCGTTGTGGCAGTCGAAGAGGATTGCGTTCGTGTGAGCCGAGTCAATCTCAAAAGAAGCACAATCGACATCACCGTAGGTTGTTTCGGTGTTCCGCAGACCCCAATAGCCAAAGTCAGGAGTTGTCAGGGCATCAGTGGCGACCTTATGCTCAATCCGAAGGTTGTCGCAGTGTTCATTCTGGAGGCGACACCAGGTCTGGAAGGGCAGAGAGTCGTTGCTGACACTCTTTTCGGGGTTTACGATGAAGTCCTCCAAGTCTTCAAGGATAATCTTCCAAGAAACGATGTCGACAACCAAGTGGTGGGCAGTCATAGACAGTACGTGTAATTGGCCGTCAACTGCAAAGTAGTCAACTGCCAAGAGAGGCCCGGAGAAGCAGTTGATGGATGACTGGCTTTCAGCGATATACGGCTTAATGGCATCCATGTTGGCAACGACGTGAGTGCTCCATCGGTAAGATCCCTTGATATCACGGGTAACGTACTGACTCGACGCCGTTGCACGCCCCGCGTCAGTGAAACGTGCGCGTAGCATAGAGTGCCGGGAGACCAAGCTCTCGATAGCCTTCCGTAGTGTCGGTTCGTCAAGTGGCCGGCTCATGCGGACTAAAACACCCTGGTTGAAGTGACCTCGGCCTTCCTTGCGAACACCAAAGTGGAGAATCTGAATGGGTGAAAGGTCGAATGGCTGATTGACCGTCTCCTCGTAAGTCGTCACGTTGCTAATCGTCTTCGCTCTGGTGGCTAGATCCCGAATCGATTTGCTTCGAAGGATTTCCTGTACTGAAAGAGCGAGCCCACTCTTCTTGCACAAACCAATACATGACATCGCTGCGATCGAGTCACCTCCAAGCGCTAAGAAACTCTCATTAAGGTTCAATTGGTTCTGAGGGATGTTAAGGACGCGGCTATACACAGCGGCCAGAGCTTCTTCCCGCTCGTTGGCCGGCTGTGATGTCTCTACGTCGAATACCGCGACAGAGACATTGTTCTGAAGATCCGGATCACTTTCCATACCCGCAACCCAAGTAGCGATACCCTTGCGATCGAGTTTCCCAGAGGGCAAGAGAGGCAAAGCTTCAACGCAAAGCCAAACCGCAGGGACCATGTAAGTTGGAAGCCGTGCGGAGAGACGCTCACGGATTCCGCGAATAAGTTCAGCCTTTTTCGAGGCTGAGACTAGCCGCAGAGGCTCCAAATCGGACTCTGACTGTTCAGCGAGCAGCCCTGCAGAAGAGACAACGGCGGCCAGGCGAGCCTTGGAGAAACCGGACTTAGGGAAAAAGACAGAGCAGTGAGTGACGTGCGAGTCGGTACTGAGCTGGTTCTCGATTTCACCAAGCTCGATGCGCTGTCCGTGGACCTTAACCTGGGTATCCTTCCGACCAACGTAGTTGAGGGCGCCAGAGTCAGCGTTGTACCTCACAAGATCACCAGTCTTGTAAAATCTACGGTTAGAAGCACTATCCGCCTCCAATTTCGTGAAAGCAGGATCGTAGACGAAAGATTCGTTGGTCTTTTGGGGATTATTCACATAGCACCGGGCCAGGGATGGGCCTTCCAAAAGTAGTTCGCCGGGGCATCCCACAGGGACCAGTTCGTTATGGTTATCAGGGTTCACAAGCCAAGCCCTGACACCGATGGGCAACCCGATATTTTTGCAATCGGTGCCTGGTGTAACACACGAGTTAAGCACGGAGGCGACACTGGCCTCAGTCGGTCCATACCCATTGACCAGTTTGATTCTGGACCAGGTAGCCAGCTGCGACTGCGACATTGCCTCGCCGGCCAGAACCAGACTTTCCAATCCTGGGACGCTCTCGATATCAATGAATCCGATGAATGACGGGGTAAAGCATGCGTGATTTACACGCATTTCATTTATAGTGCTGACGATGTCGTTGAGCCGAGCCTCCTCGCTTGGGATGCACACGCAGGCACCATGTATGAGCGGCGTCAACGACTCGGCCAAACTGGCATCAAACGTGTGAGCTGCGAACTGAAGACAACGCGAGTCGCGGAAGATGCGCAGACCTGGCCCATGCACGATGGCACTTGAGAGGAATGCGCGATGCTCCAGCAAGGTTCCCTGCAGAAGTGTCCAAAGTCAGCGGGTTAATCCCTGCGAGCAGGGGCAATCGCCTCTCACCTTTGGCTCTCCGGTAGACCCGGAGGTAAATAGAACATAAGCCGCATTTTGACTAGTAACACCCGACGTGAGATCCACACTGTCTGCGTCGGACAAGCGATCCAAAGTCTCCGTGTTAAGGGGTATTAGAGTCTTTACAATAGGGCGAAGCTTTTCGGCACGCGTGTCGGAGCATAGCACAACTGCAGCCTGGACGGATGTGAGGAGGTTCTGCAGACGTGAAGTTGGGTGCGTGGGATCGAGTGGGACGAAAGCTCCCCCGGCTTTCATCACGCCAAGCATTGCAACGATATTCCATTTCTGCGCTTGTCAGCCACTTCTCTTCAACACAACTTCGACAAACTCGAGTAACTCACCGATTTGTCGAAACACAATCCCACGCGAACTTCTGGGCCAACGCCCTGCATCCGCAGGTGGCATGCGAGCTTCGACGCCTGGTGGTCCAGCTCCCCGAAGGTCAAGCTACCATCCCAGGCGCATACAGCCTCGCGATCTGGTCCACTAAGTGCTTGATCGCGAATAGCCTCGTGGATGCAGCGATCATGAAGTTCAGGAATAGTGGAATTCCACTTGCGGATGCGTTGCCAGTCATTCTCCGAGAACAAATTAAGCTGGCTAATAGCGGTATTCTCGGCAGCCAAAACTTTGGCAAGCAACTGCTCAAAAATGTTGGCGACACTCTTCATCTGGTCTGCGGACATGTCACCCTTGCGCCACTCAAGGAACATGCCGATGTCCCCACGCATGACCTTGACATGAAGACGGACTTGACACTGCGCATTGTTAGCACACTTGATATTCGCATGCTCAAGATCCAAGAGATTACTTACTTCGTCCGGAAGAGCTGCTGCCAAAATTGGTTTTGAAGGTGATGCCGGCGGATCATATGTGCGCAGCATCAAGATGGTGTTGAAAGGAAGGTATCCCTCGGATTCGTCGCCCGAGCTTCCACCATTGTGCTGTGTGTTCAGGCCGGTGGTGTGCACCTTATCTATAATTGCCGTGAGAGAGTCATTGTCGTTGATTGATAGCCGAATGGTCGAAATGTTGGCGCCATTGGCACGCTGTGCAGGTGATTTAGGAGAACGCGAGTCTCCCTCGAGGTGTTGGTACCCGAAGCAAATATCCTCGGAGCGGATATAGTAGTGGAGTACGAGAGCCCAGGTCGCTCGCAACAACGAGTCGAGGCGGCCTTCGTTGCATGCGGTTAATAACTGCGCATGCTGGGCGGCGGTTGGTCTTGTCTTCATCGAGACTGGCCGTTTGGGCCCGTCGACCGCCGAAGCGAACCGAGGGAGATAGCACTGGGTGGATTGAGCCATGTCTAATTACTGGGTATCGTTCGTCTTTCCGGTTCGTGCTATTCGTTTCCTGCGGTTGAAGCGAGTGGAGAGGACCGCAATGGATGATGAATGACTGTATTAATCCAAGAGAGGTTGACAATTGGCAGCGCTCGCGAAATCGGATGGATCCGGTTGTTTTAAACAGCTACAGATTTTTTTTTGTTATTTATTTATAATCCAAGCCGTAATACCCAAGCCGGCATCGCCATGCCGGGGCCAAAGCCTGGAGCAATGGCAAAATGCGCTATCTTCCTTGCATGGGTTCGGATCTAGATGAATGAGAGCGAGAGAAAGATACGTACTGTGGATCAGGTGGTTAGCCCCTGTGGAACCAAGTCAGACACTTTTTTTATGATTTTGTGTTAATTTCGCTGCGAGTTAACCCTTTCGCAACCTAACCCGCTGTGGCTGCTAACACCGAACATGCAGGGGCAGAGTAATGGGCTCTTCTTCCCCAAGCGAAAGCCTGCAGTTTTCCCGACTCGCCCTTGCGGTCTCGAACGTGGCTCCCAGCAAGGTATAGACGCCTTCTACTGGATACGCCACCTACAAATGATGGCGTTATTTGCGTGATCAGATTTGTGTTTCTTTACTTGGCCTACTCGTAGTGCTGACTTGATGACGGGGATGACAGTGTCTAAGGACAGAGGAGAAGGCGAAATCGCGCTTGGTCCCTATGCCCTCATTTCCTGTACAGATACGAATGTACGATGTAGCTCTCTTCTGCAATCAGATGGCGCCAACGCAGGTATACGAGCTTCTCACGAGGTGAGCCGCTTATCCTTTACACCGACTTGTGCACATGGCACTGTCCTCGTCCCAAGTGCATGGGAGCTTTCAGTCCGCATGCTGCAAAAGCGAGCTTCAAGCTTGCCGTAAGGTTAAAAGACGGTGTCGATCGAGGATGATTTACCGCGCAGTCCTGTCACCCCAATCTGTGAGGGCATGGAGATGCCGATCTGTCTGATCGCGATCGGAAAGTTAATGTACCCTCGATGTTGTCTTGGATCAAACTTCGGGGAACTTCCAAGTAATGTCAGTGTATCAGTGGGGTATCCCCGGAGTATGGTGTGCCCCTTCATACGGAGGAAGCTGGACGTTGGATCTTCAATTCTGACAGATTTATTAGGAAAAGATAGACATTTCGGAGGAAAAATCTGCCTGAGTGGATAGCCCTAACAACGGCATCAGTAAAAGCGCGAGAACTACAAAAGCCGGAAATTCTTGCGATTCTCTTTCCCAATTTGGGGGCCACAGACGTAATGAAGTGATGTGTAAGTCGTTCGCAAGATTGTTGCAATGGCGTAAGCCACTAGCAGTGGCTTCTGCAAGGGTCCTCAAGGGGCGGGTTTATCCGCGACCTGTCTATTTGCCAACGGACATGAATAGTAACATCTATGCTTTATAGCCCCTATTCCTAAGGTTACATTGTTGTAGGACTCAAAGTAATATCAGAGAAGCAAAAGCATTAAAAATACCTCCTGAATCTTGCGATCGGGGCTAGTATTTGCTTCTTGCATCGCGCCTTTCACTGTTCCTATCTCCATGTGGTCTTGAATTGCTTTTTTGCTTTATCTCGCTTGCAGAGTTTTTTTAGTATCATTTTACTTGCTTTTTCGTCTTCGCTTTCGTATAAGCACAAACAGTTGAGGACCTGGAACGTACATTTGCGCGTTTCTCCACTCGTCCGTTCGGATTTTAACCTCAAGATCGATTTTGATAGGCGTCCGTTCCCCTGTCCGGGTCGAGCCGTCTGGCTCTTAGGCGTTTTCCGTGTTGCCTGTCAGCGGGAATCGGCTGAGATCCACCAATAGTCCAAGTTTTCCAAGTTTAGTGGTAAATCGCGAAGATCCTTGGCTTGGGCTCCCGGACTAACCTGTTTGTGGCCTGTCGGGAGTCTTGGTTGGCGAGCACTAGGCGGAGCTAGCTCAGGTCTAGTGTGAAAGGGCTAAGGATAGCTCCCGGCCTGGCGCCGATGTCGAACTGCACTAGACTATATTGGACAAAGAGATCTGACAGGTTAATACCATTGTTATGATCCACCCGGCGTCTGCATCACAGGTCACTCTTGGAATTATCTGCAATCGCTTGAGCCCCAAGAATAAATTGAATCGGCAAATTGTACATATTGTACCTTTCCTAAGCATAAATCTTACTAAAGATGCTGTCGCATGTCTCTCCACATTGTTGGGGGGAATTTGGAATCGCCTGCATATGTTTTATGCACATGTTTTGCCACCCATCAACCACGCTTCGCAAAAAAAAAAAAAAAAAAAAAAAAAACCGGGCTCACCCCGGTCGGCATCCACTATGCCAGCCTGTCCAATGCCTCTGCTGTAGGCACAGATCCCGAATGCTGCAGATTGGCCCAGTGACCGTGGCACCACGTCTTGGAACATGCAGGATTCCACATACCTGTACGTACATGCCCACACGATAGGTCGGACTCAATTGAAATCTTGAACACCGACATCAGCCGATGAAAATCCGAGGTATTGTGGGGGCGCAACGTTTAGTCTGTTCTATACTGAGATAAAATGGACGATTGGTCCGGATGTCGCGTTTCAATCTTGGTCACAGCCACTACCGATGTCGGGAGGAGCAAAAAGTCGCCATGACAGGTGGAGGCGTCATGTGGAGTGCTGAAGATGTGAGAGAATTGTGATCGTGACTGTAAATGGGCTGTCAGTCGCTTGAAGTTCGTCATTCTTTCCTCGATGCAGGCGATATAGCCGAAACTCTGCTTCACCGAGTTCGAGTCTAGTCAGCATATTCATGTATGCGTCTAACCTCTTAGCCATGCGGTCAGAGGAAGGACAAAAGTAAAATCAAATAAACATATAGCCTTGGCGCCATGTTTCACTCGGGGTCCAAAAGGATCTCCCATCATACTAGGGAATTCGCCCTCGCATGAAGTGGAAAGTTAGCTTGCCCTAGTTCCAGACACGGGGCACAAAGGGAGGTCCTCTCGACTCGCAATTGGCTACTGAGACTATATTCATTTCTTCATGCAAGGTCACACTCTTCACCTCGTGTTGCTCAGAATATACCTCTTGGGGGTTTTACTTTCTGACTCCAGGGGGAATCAGTCTATTGGTGCCTGTGCATCCCCCATATTCCCAAGGGGGGAATGAAATCGCGGTAAATTGAGCTTTAAGTCAACATGACCACATTCAAATGAACAAGTGGATACATGAAGTCACGATCCAATCTTTTAAGGAAAACATAGCCATAGAAAATCGCCCGAAATTTACCCAATTGCCCCTATGAGGTGCAGCTGAATAGGTCGCCATACAGGAAACGGCATAACAACCGAAGTCTAGATGAGCTCACAGGGCATTGCTAGTATTGGCATTGTAAGATAATTGCATCAAGTGTTTAATTCCATGTCCACTCTGGTGCAGGGAGCCAGTGGCAAGGCCCATCAGGGCGAGTTCAGGGCTGTAATCCTCCTAGATGAAGTAAGCTCCTGCAAGAGGGATACAAGACCTGGCTGACTCCTATGTACCTTCTATGGTTTCTGCCGCTAGTAGAAGTAGGATTCTAATGTCACTTTTGGATGCATCCGATTCCAGACTAAAGGCCTAAACTTCCCCTAATGCATATGCTTTAACTCCATACACTCGTTTGCTTCTTTTATTGCATTTTTTATTCTAATTCCCCGTGTCGCTCGTTTCCGTCTCTCTTCTCTTCAACCATCCTTTGTCGACAGGTGGTTCAAGATTAGACATGGCATCCTCTCGCTCTACAGGGCCGTCGTGCCGCGATCTGGACAATACTATGCGTATTGACGCCGGATCGTGTCGTGGGGGTTTCGACTTCTCTCTTTTATTCGAAGAAACGATTCTTGAGATCTTACCTATTGTCTTAATGCTAATTGTCATTCCTGTTCGTCTCTGGCACCTCTCCCAAAAAAGGAACAAAATTGTTGGATCATGGTTGCTACTCGTCAAGCTTGTAAGTGCTGAGCATATCTTTGCTTTTTCCAATTCACAGCGAACACCGTCGGAATTGAAATGCATCCTGGCCTTGGAAACTATTCTTATCTAATGCGTGAGTTTTCTCTGTGACAGGCAGCATGGTTGGGATTGCTAGCGCTCCAAATCGCCCAGACAGCTCTATGGTCAATGCCGGCAGCCGACAGAACGAAAGCTTCCATTGCATCCAATGCACTTTTGACAGTCGGTGTGCTTATGCTCGGTCTACTTTCATATGCAGAGCACATGCGATCCGTGAGGCCATCGTTTATTCTAAATACCTACCTCTTCTGCAGCCTGCTTTTCGATATTGCACGGACACGAACTCTGTGGCTGCGCCGCGTGGACTCGTTCAATGAAATCATTGCTATTGTTACCACAGTAGCGCTGGCGGTCAAGCTTGTACTTTTTGTGCTTGAAGCTGTTGAGAAGAGAGATATCTTGAAATCAGAGTACGCCGGTTACCCACCAGAAGCAACGGCTGGTTTCTATAGCCGCGCGGTCTTCTGGTGGCTGAACCCTCTGTTCAAAATTGGATTCACCAGCTTCCTTCGTGTGGATGATCTGTCTGTTTTGGACAAGCAACTAAGCTCTGAGCGGCTGCTTGCCAGTTTCGAACAAACATGGAGTAAAGGTAATATCTTCATCTGGTATATGCTGAACACATCTTGCTAACTTGACTTAGTGACTGAGAAATCTCCCAACACTTTGCAACTGGAAGCATTTAAGGCTGCCAAATGGCCTTTGCTTGCAGGTATTCCTGCCCGAGCATGTGTTGTGGCTTTCAACTTCTGTCAGCCTTTGCTGCTCGAGAGATCTCTATCTTTCTTCAACTCTCCCGTGAACAACGACTCCAACAATGTTGGATATGGACTCATTGGCGCTTATATTATGGTTTACTGTGGACTTGGAATCTCAATGGGTCAATATCAGCACTTGACCTACCGTGGAATCACCATGGTCCGAGGAATCCTCATCACGATGCTCTACAAGAAGGCAAGC